CAATCAATAAAAAAACAAAATCGAAATCAATGAAAATAAAAAAAACGATGTTCACATGTCAATGTGCAATAAGCGAGTCATTTTTTTGTACAAAAACATTTTTAGATCATTTCACATTACAATAATTTGAATAATAATAAATAAAGTTCTATATAATTCGATCATTGAGCATTAATTTACAACAAAATAAATTGCGTTGAAATGAAATTCATACCTGTCTGTGTGTCTGTGCATATTTAACACGCCGGAGGCAAGAACAAAAGCATAGTCTTGCTGGGAAACAAGGGCAGACTTGTAGCGCCTGACCACGGCTTGTTTCAAATATATGAATTACATTTGTATCACGTTTCATCATTATGACTTTACAGCAACAACAACAACAACAAACAAACAAACAAACACATTTCATTTATTCATTCATTCAGACATTTACAGTTACATACAGACAAAAACAAACAAGCGGATGTTCCATGAGTAAGAGTTTTAACTTTTTACTATGGATGATGATTTATCACATCCAACATATACACAATCAAAATCAACCAGCAAGCTGGCAAAAAAAAGAAAAAAATCTAAATCAATCCTGGCCAAAGACCTTTTTTCTCATTGTTCTTTTTTTGGCTCTTCTCTCTTCGCATCAAAAAAAAAAAAAAAAAAACAATTGGGAGCCAGATGGTCGGGCAAGACCAAACACCAAGCACACCACACGACCCAAGAATAGAATCAAAGAAAGGAAAATAAAATATCCAAAAAACAAACATACAACTTGTCTATGTGTGTGTGTGTGTGTGTGATACGTGAACAATATGGTGATGAGATCATATCACACACTATATGCTACTATACACAAGACAGGAACCAAAAAAAAGCGATGATGCTTATTTTTAATGCTTAAAAATTGATTCTAAACACACACACACACACAAGGGTAAATATCAAAGAATATTATATACATTGTGTCTGTATATTTAAACATATCCACATCAATATCATCATCATATATTGGATACAAATGTCGCAGACACACACACACACACACACAGAGGGGTGAAAATGATATTTTCAATTTGGGTTATACCTTTTTTTGATGATGGTAAAAGTAAAAAAAAAAATATTAGATGGATAGAGAACGTGATTTCGGAGAAAAAACGTAAAAACCACCCTCAATGATGATCAATTAGGGCCCACGATACACACACACACACACAAACATGCACTGACTTATGTAACTTTTTCAATGAAGACAAATGATGATGATTATCACTATGGAGAAATGAATTGAAAAAAATTGATGTTTTTTTCTGAGGTTAATGTTGTTATACAACAAAAACAACGATATGCAGAACAGAGATAAATCCATTTAATAAATTGAACTTTATATATAAATGCTACCCATATTCTAAACACACATACACACACACGCATAAAAACATTAAGCCACGTGGCTATATCTGATCACTAACCGATGTTGATTAAGAAAATTTAACCCATCACATACCATGTATCACTACTACTACTAATGAATAATTCAATTCAATGTTGGTTAGAATCTCACAGAATTCCAATCATACTAACGAATTTGGATACCTGATTGACATTGAATACAACTGACATCTGACACATTGTATGGTGTTGTGGTATGATGTGTTTATTTTTAGAGAGAAAAAAAATGAAAAAATAATCTTTTTATTTTCAAAATTAAATTCGATACGAATCAAACATATATACAAAAATACTCAATAATGGTTGTCAAACGACCAAAAAAAATGAATCGAATCTTTTTATAAAAAAATCTTGAAACTTCAAATCAAGGTGACATGCATTTTTATTTTTAAATTTGCTTTTGCTTTCGCTCTCTCTCTCTCCGATCAGCAGCTTGTTTTTTGAACTTGCTTGCTTTGAGGTCTAAATTTATATTAAAAAAAAAAAAAAAAATAAACGAAATTAATACGCATAACCAGGTCGGATAAATTGAACAGAAAAAAACTAACCTTCTAAACTAACTATAAAACTAAAAGAAATCCAGTTATATTTGGTTATTAACATATGATGGATGGATGGAGATGATCTAATTGATTAGCCACAGGTCAAAATGTTCAAATCCAAATTCAGCTTAGAATGGTTTACAAAAAAAATCAACAAGAACTAGACAGCAGCAGTAATTATGAAAATTTTTGTTTTTCATTAACCAGAAAAAATTTCAATTATGACAGGTGACATATTATTCATCGTTAATTTATCATTATTATTGATAAACGGTGTTCAGGTCAAGCTAATTAGATTATTATTTGGTAAAATAGTTATTATTATTGAAAAAAGGTCAAACATTTATTTTTATTATAAATTAATGATCATCATCATTAGTGATGGCCGTTTAATTATTACACATTGCATAAGAGTTTTACAAAGACAGAAAAAAACAAAAACAAGGATTTTTTTTCTCAATTTAATGTAATCAAATTGAGAAAAAAAATCTTATTTTTTCCTCTTTATGGGAAATAAAATCCACCCAAAATTAAACAACTATAGATAAAAAAACTCCTACATTTTTTTTCTCATCTATAGACACACACGCACACATACACACACACACAGACCTATTGCAATCATGAATGACCAAATAAAAATTTCGATTGGCCCCTTAGGTGGTTCATAGGTCCTAAAATTGGTAAACAACAACAAATAACAAAAAATGTTTGGAAATAATCAGATAATAATGCTCAATGTATGATAGGATGTATAATTATAATCAAATATTGGTCAACTACATCGTTGTATGGCGAAAAAGAAAATGTTAATGTAATTTTAACAATTGGAAAAAACATTGAACAATTTAACAAAAAAAACAGAAAAAATGGCCCAGTGAATATAAAAGATTTTTAATCCAGATTTGATGATGTAACAAGATGGTTTTTGTTGTTGTTGTTATTGTTCAATCACAATACAAAATGTATCAATCACATTTTGATCTCCAATCGATTATCGATTGGATGTATTATTATATTTGATAATCATTACACGTTTAAAGCTCACGAATTATCATCATAAATAACAAATTCGAGGGATGGGGAAAAAAACGACAACAACAACAACAAAAACCATTTGATGATCCAGACAGATCTAATTTGATCAAAAAACTAAATATCAGTTTTGTTGCTGTCTGTGTCTGTGTATGTAGGCAAATTATATTAATCTTGTGTTTGTTTTAAATTGATCAATGATTAGTCTTTTTCAAGAGGAAAATCTATAATTACAGGAAATAAAAGTGTTGATTCACACACACACACATTATATAACGAGTAGACACAATCGTAGGTCGTTCACAATCTTCATAATCTCAATCGCCTTGAACCACAGATAGACAGATAGACAGACGAAGAAAGATCAATCCATCATACACCTGTCTTCCTGAAATGATGATGATGAGCATTCTTGATAACCATCATCATCAAGAATCAAACATGAACAAAAAATGAAATGAATCTGTTTATGACAGCAGGCCCCCTAGGGCCAAACATTCGAAAAAAATTTTCCGATTCAAACAATAATCAATCAACCGTTATGATCATGATGATGATGATGAAGGTGAAGAAAAAAGAAAACAATAATATAATGATGATGATGATGAAAAAGTTTTCATTTTCAGGATTAATGAATCATTTGCGTGATGATTACATTGCAACATTGTGAACAACAATAATAATAAAAAAATTAGGAACATGAACTTTATCATCATATCATTATCGTAGTCGTCGTCGTCGTCGTCGTATTCATGAACACTTCGCATTTTATTTTCAAGGATCAAACACTTACCTTATTTATTGAAATTGTTGATCCAGAAATAAAAATCGTTCGTTTTGATAAATTCGATTCGGCTATTTTCAAATAAACAAACACACAGGTTGATTCCGTTCATTCTTTTCTCATGATGATAATTATCAATCCGTTTTTTATTGTTCAAATCATTTCAGTTCCGGTAACAATAAAAACAGAAACACTCAAACACTAATAAAGTAGTTTGACATTTGAAATTCTCAATGAAGACGACAGTTCCAGAGACCACACAATTATTATAAATTGTTTGTTTCACAAGACTTTTTCGTTACAACTGATGAATTTATGTCAAACACCAAAAAAAAAAAACGTTGTTGATGAAATGAAGATATTTCCTTTTTGCTGTTGTTGTTGCTGGGCTTTTCGGTTTGAAAATGATTCAAACAGGATCACAAAACACTCTCTCTGTGTGTGCATGTGTTGTTGTTCACAAAAGAAGATCATAGATTTCATCATCTTCATCATTCGACGCTTGCGTTCGTTGATTCGTTTTCTCTTTATAATTCTTTTTTATAGAAACCTTTTTTGGCCACTTTTTTTTCTCATTCAATTCACTCTCTCTCTCTCTCTTTCTTTGATTGCTCTTGTTATTTGGTGTCTAACTGTCGTTGTAGTCGTCGTCGTCGCCGTTTATAGACCATATTCATTCGCTTGTTAGTTGATGGTGCGCACATCTATTATATCATCAAAATGAAAAAATCGAATTGAATTCGAAAAATAAAAATAAAATCACACATTACATTATAGAGAGATAAACTGGTTAAATATAAAACTCTTGAAAGAGAAACGTTATTGAAAAAAGTTGTTATTGTTGTTGTTGTTGTTGTTGTTGCTGCTGCTGCTGATAATGATGATGATGATGATGTCGATCCAGTTGTTTAAAGATCATCCAATTGGATCGGATTTTGATCTGAACTTTTGACACTGTTGAAAATTACCCATCGATTGTTTGGTCATTCGATATTCAAAAACACTCGAAAATTCGAAGGAATCATCATAACGATCATTTTGACTGCCATCTAGTGAGTTGAAACGAGACGAATCATTTTTCGAATGAAAAATAAATTTTTGAATTTTGTTCTTTTGTTTTTAAAATTTGATTTTAATTTATTTGATTTTCTTTATCAGTTTGATTATTTATGAATAACAGGTGTTTTTTTCCTGTGTGTGTGTGTGTGTGTGTGATTTTTGGTGGTAATAATGATGATACAGAATAATCCATCATCAACAACAACAATAAGCAATAGAATAAAATCTGAAATCGTTGTCAAATCAAAGATAGAAAGAGACATTGAGACATAACAACCAGAAACAAGAGAGAGAGAGAGAGAGGAATACTGAGAGATTTGCCAGAAAATTATTATAATAATGAATGATTATTATCGTAGATCAATTTAATTGCGGATTGATTGTTGTAGCAAAATGACATGGTGGCCTATCCGAATAATCCGTATTATCTTTAGTTAATTGATCGGATTCACAACGAAAATCGGGCATAGCTGTTTCCGGTAAAACAATACGATCATATGAATATGATGCAACTAGATTTGTTGTTGTATGATTTGATGATGTACTATTCAATATGTTTGTATAGCCAGAAGGTCGCCTATACGTGTTTTTTTTATAAAACAGAAATCAATCCAAAATCAATGTTCTTATAATAATGATACTTACCATGATTTGATACGAATACAAACAGATCGAATCCATTTATAAAGAGAAAATTCGGAAACACCGGGATAAAAACCAGGATTTGTATGGCCAATAATCCAAGCAAATAAAATGAACATTATTATTGTAATCATTGCATAATGCCATGCAATAATAAACATGAGTAATAATTTAATGATAGCTGCAATCAATACGATCCATCGATTCATTAGTCGTAGATACCAGACTTCTTGTTTACAAGCAATTTCAGATAATTCCGGATCCGGCATTAATAAACGTTCACATTGATCATTGTTCATTGATGATGGTTGCTGTTCACCACCACCATCACCACCACCATCATCATCATTATCATCATCATTTGTATTTGCTATTAATCGTGTGCTTGAACCGATATTACGAAATAGACTTGATGATGATGCGGCATGTGATGATGATTGTTGATTAATTTCATCATCACCAACTTCAGCGGTACCCATCATGACAGAATCATCATCATCATTGATGTTACCATCATCATCATCGTCTTCCTCATCCGAATTGCTAACGGCAGCCATTAATTGTCGAATTGTTTTTGGTTTTGTTACTTTTGTTTTACTTTTTATTGATGATGATTGTGATCGTTCTTTAGTAGATTGCTTAACCGTACCAGTTGATTTAATCGATGATCCACTTGGACAACCACCTTCATTATCACTATCACTACTTTGAGTACTTTGTCTTCGTTTTATTTTTATATGTTGTGTTATACTTTGTATTGAACCATAACCGGCAAGATGTTGTTGCTGTTGTTGTAATGATGAAAATGATGGTGATAATGGTGGTTGTTGTCCACCACTATTACCACCTGAAAGTGATGCCGATAATGAAACAGTGTCTTCGGCTGGCTGTCGACAACGTTTAATCGATGATGATGATGATGATAATGACAATAATTGTCTTTGTCCAGTTGTTGTTGGCGCTGTTGATTTAGTTTGTTCAGAAATAATGTCACCTGATGATTGTATTATCATCTTAGTGCCATGATCACCAGCAGCCACAGCATCATCATCACAACCACCACCACCGAATGTACCAGAATCGGAAGATTTAAGTTGTGAAGCAATCTGCATAAATCGTTTTTCACGTTGTATTTGTATATCGAATGTCATTGCCATTGAAAAATATGCATATTCAATGGCTGCATATGTTAATAGGTATGGTATGGTTACAATCGGTGCTAAAACATTAATACCACCGATCATAAGAAAACCAATAGTGACTAAGACGAACAACATTAATGCATTGATTGGAACTAAATGATGATGGATAATAAAACGAACATTAGGAATATTCATTATGATGAAAACTTACTATTGTTTGGTCCATTTCCGCGTGCAAAACATCGTACAATTGGTACAGAATGAAGCTCTTGTGCCAGATTTTGCATAATTCTTGGTGCCGTATACATTGAACCAAGACCCGATGAAATGGTTGACATATAGAGACCAAAAGCGAAAAAAATACCCACAGCTGATGCATGTTGAGCTATAGCAAAATCATTCAATAATGCAATACGTGAACAGCATAATGATAATCCAAGAATGAACAATGCATGTACACCATAACTAGATAAGATAGCCATTAATGATCCAGCCGGTATTGATTTGGTTGGTCGTTCCAGATCTGAACCCATATTTACACCAGCCATAACACCGATTGTTGCTGGAAAAAATACACCAACAGTTTCGAATAATTGTCGCCAAAATATCCAATGATTTGGATTCGACCATGAATGTGGTGGAATATTTTCGATAAAATGTTCTTCACTTGGTTTAATTGGGCCATATCCTATTGGATTGAGAAGGATTTTTTTTATCATAAATTGATAATAAATTTTTCAAAAAATAATTACCATAATCAGCGTGCTCATGAAAAAGTCCGGTAGAAAAATCACCAACAGCAGCTACTAATGCTAAGAATAGTAATGTTTGTAGACGAAATAACCAACGAACACCGACAATATTGATGAAAAACAATATGAATATCAATATAATAGAAACAATTTGAAATGATTCTGGATTCAATATTAATTGAGTATTTGATGTTCCACTGGAAGATGATTGTTTTTGCTGTTGTTCCAGAATATCGATCCTTAATAATCTTGCTATTGTGCGTGCTAATGATGGCTGTTCAATGATCGATATGTTTGATGATGTTAATAATGATGATGACGGTGTTGATGGTGATAATGATGGCATAAATTCATTCGATGACATCATCAATTGACGACGTATGAAAATAGCACATAATTGTACAAATGCTTCACTAAATCCGGTTACATGTAATGCACAGGATACAGCCTGTCCAATACAATAAACCAACGAGATGGCACCACCTATACGTGATCCTAGAACAGTGGCCACTAAAATATGTACATTTGCCCGTGCCGTTGCTACTGAACGTGTGTATTCCGGATCGAAACGTTGTTGTTGTTGACTTGATATTGCCTGATTATTGAATTGTTTGAATGGTGTTAAACCGGATGTTTGTGCAGCCGTTACAGCAGCACATCGTTCCATAATACCGATTGCTGCTAACAATGATATAGTATTGAATAGTAGACAGGCAAACACAATGGCCAATGATAATGGTACACCTTCATTTCCGACCATCCAACCTAAACGTAGAAAACTAATAACACCAAATAAATGGACAACGGTAGTAACGAATACACCATTCCATGTTCCAAATAGAACTGGTCCATGTGTTTCGGTACCAAGAAGAAATTCTGATTGCCACCAATGTTGTCGAGAGAACCCTGATTGCTATATTTTGGTTGAATGATGATTCAATGATTGATCAATAGACAACAACTGATAATGGTGAGCCTACCTTTTCATGATCATCGTAAAGCTCATTATAACCAGATCCGATCGTCGTCGCCGTCGTACCGTTTGTTCGTTGGCCAAATGAAAGAACTCTTTGTAAAATTGATCTACCACCTGTGATCTGTTCATCATTATTCGATCGTTGACGTTCAGTGGTCGTATTTGTACTAGTACCATCACTATGCTGTTGTTCACTACTGCCAGCTTTTTTAGTATCAGATTTTTTTGTCGATCGTATTGATGGAAGATTTAGATCCGGTGATTCAAAATCATCATAATCTTGTGCAGGCATTCCCAATGAAATGGAATCATGACCAGAAGCACCTTGTCTATCATTATCATCATCATCATCATATGTTGATGATAATAAACGATTTGATTCGCATGTTGATCGTAATGAACCGGTTCGTATAGCAGCCGATTTTGATGGTGATACTGCTGTTGCTTTTGTTGGTGATTTCGAAGATTTTGTTGATGTTCGTGAACTAAGACGATTTTTTGCATTTGAAATAATTTTTGATATTTTTTTCGGCATTTTATTTATTCAATAATGTTTTGTTTTGCATTTACAGTTATTATCCATCAAACGATTGTCGTTACATTATTTCTATCATAATGGTATGGCATATATTTATGGAAGAAAAATTATAATAAATAATAATGGCCAAAATCATAAAAATTGGCTTTCTCCCTCTTGTCGTTGCTGTTGCTGTGGCAATGTTGAGGATTGATATTGGATTCCATATGGAAATGAAACAGTGTCGACAACTAACCAAACATGCAAAAAAAATATCAATAGAACAGATGGTCCATTTTGTTGGTCATATTTTTTTACATTAATAATTTATAATTCTGAATGCATGAATGAATAAATGAATGAATGAGTGAAACAAACAAACAACAAATTTAAATGGAAGAAAAATTGACTGACGAAAAAAATAACATTCTATGTGAAGAAGATTTTATAATTTATGATGTTGATGATGATGAGATATTGTTGTCCATGGACAACACACAACAACAACAACAACAACAACAACCGACTGACTGTCCGATGAAAACAAATACAAAAACAAAAAACAAAAAACCACCAGACAATCAATAACCAAGTGGAAAGAAACTTTTCTTTTCCAACAACAGAATATTCGTTCCTGTATTCTCAGATATGATCCATAATCATTGTCTACTTTGTTGTTGTTGTTGTTGTTGTAAATGTTAAATTTCTTTTTTGAATAAAAATTGCATTTATCGCCTCTTTCTATCTCTGTGTGTATGAAAAAAAAAACAATTCAGGTCGATAATAATTATGCTGTCATCGTCGTTGTTGTTGTTGTTGTCGTCATTGTTTTTGTTGTTGTTGTTGTGTGTGTATGTATGTGAATATGGAATTCGAATTGTTTGTTATGATGATTTGAATCGATTTGATGTGAATAAAAACAAAACCACCACATACCACATAACCACTGTGTATGTACTTGAATACTGCACTAAAAAAAACAAAACAAAACAAAAAGAAAGAAAAACACTGCAACACAGAAATATTTTTCTGGTATGTCGAGTTGGAACTTGATGATGATGATGATGACGATAAAACCGGTGATAGGTTCCAAAATAGAGAGAGAGAGAGAGTAGGCGGACAGGTTCCAAAATGATTCGATCCAACTGGTATGTATCGTTTGGTTGTTGTATATCAAACACACACACACACATAAACACCAGAAATAAAGCAGCAGTAACTACATTTTGGAGCATGTCCACATATATGCATCATCATTATCCAGATAGAGAATGCGGCCTGAAAAGCAAAAGCAAAAGCAAAAAAAAAAAATTCTTGTTGCTTAGAACTTTGGCATTCTATCTCTATCTCTCTTTCTTTTTTGTAGATACAAAATGATAATTGAATGAATGAATGAATGCCATACATCCAGATATGTTGTTGATGTTATTGCTGGTGATATATATATAGGATTTTGGGATTTATACTGTAGCTGGTTAATCAAAAATGAACAAAAAAAAGGGCCACGGTTACAAATTGGATTCGTTTTTTCTGTGTGTGTGTGAGATAGAGATAGAAAGAGAAAGAGAAAGAGAAAGAGAAAGTGATTATTTATTATATTTTATTATTATTATTGTTGTTATATCAACAACACAAACACTTAACATTGGTCTTACAAAGAAAAACGTTAAAATTGTGTTTATGTTTTTTTTCTATTTAAATCGATCAAAATAAAAGAAAGAATCGGAATGATAATGTACTTGGATTCTTTGATTCGTTTGTTCGTTTGTTGTTTCTGTTGTCATTGAAAAGAATTTGATCGAATTTGATTGGATTTGATATGTTTTGCATTTCAATTTTTTTTCTTCTTTCAATCAATATGTTTATCGGATTGTGTTGATTGTTAATACCGTTGATGGATGGATTGATTGTAATTGAATTGAGTGTATTTTATTCAATAGCATCATTCGTCATATAATAACATGATTTTTTTTTGTTTGTTTGTTTGTTTGGTTGGTAAATATTTATCTATATGCACATTTTGCCTTAAAATGGCCATTTGTGTACATGCCAGAAATAATACAAATAACACATATATAACACAATATATTACAAATTGATACTGATTTGGCAATTTCATGGAATCAAACGGCAATATATTGATGATGATAATGATGATGATGTAAACTTGATTAAATTCCGGATACGTTATTATTAAATGTTGTTACTGATAATAATAATAATCGGATCTGATTCGAAAGAAATTTTCATCATTTCGATTCGTTTATCATTCTTTGATGGAATGGTTGGAAATTCATTATTAGAAATGAAAAAAAAATCAAATGTACAAGTACGTACACACAAGCACACACACATATATGGAGCAGATGCACAATTGGAATAAAAAATAACTTCCGGTTTTTTTTGAAACATAATTTATTCGTAGTTTTATATGGAAATTTATCGAATTGAATTGAATTTTTTTTTTTCATTCTGAGACCGTAGGGAAGGTTACCATTGTGTGGTTTTTTTTCGAACATTTTTAAATTTTTAATGTTCGAATAGTGTGTGTGTGTGTGTGTATATATAGCCGGGGCAACTATTTTACACCAATTACTGATGACAACAACATTACCGAATTCTCTTTGGTGGCAACATAAATTTATCCTGTTTAATCCCTCGTTAAATTTATATCATTATCATGAGTTCTTTATCGAAATGAAATGATCAAGATGGAAAAGTAGAGAAAAAAAACTAAACTAAAAAAATTCATTAAGAGACCTAGAGATCAAAAAAAAGCGTAAATCAATTTAGCTTGAACAAAAAAAAAAAAAAAAAAAAAACGAAAAACTTTTCATCATATCAAGAGAAAAGTCTCTTTAATATCAAGAACTTTGTCTTTGTGTGTATGTTCATCAACATGGAATGAAATGAATTGAAAAAAAATGGCTAATAACATGAACTTTTTAATTATAGTTAATTAAAAAAAAACCAATATTGTGGTGGTGTGGTTGTTGGTTGGTGGTGATTTTTTCCCTGTTTAATGTGTTGTTGTTGTTTATCGAATTAGACCAGCAAAATATCCAATCATTACTACAAACAATTCGAATGCAAACATTGCTGTCCAAAATTGTTTTGGATTCTTATTATGCCATTCATCCATCTGTCTGTATATTGATTCTAATTTTTCTAATAATTTATCACTTAATGATGGTGATGATTTTTTTTCGTTTCTGTTTGCTGTTTTACTAGAATTTTTTGCTAACGATATAACACCACCAACCGTTATATCACTGATAATAGCCAACCAGTTTGCTGTTGTTTTTGTTGTTGTTGTTGTTGTTGTTGTTGTTGCTGCTGTTGTCATTTTTGTTGTCATTATTGTTGATGTTGTTGTTATTTTTGTTGTTGGTCTTTTTGTTTTCATTGTTATTGCTCTTGTTGCTTTTGTGGCTCTTGTTTTCATTGTTATTTTTTTTAACTTTGTGACTTTTGATGATGATGATGATGATGATGGTGATAATGATGATGACGATGATGATGGTGATAATGATGATGACGATGATGATGATGATTGATTAAAATAAAAATAATCAATAGATTTACCTTCGATAAATATTATCAAAGTGGTCGAAATGATTAAAATATAGAGAAATAATAATAAATCACATTGTTGTTTATGGCCCATTTCTTAATTCTCAAATCGATAATTTGGTCACGAAAATTTGCGAATGGCATGAAATATGGAACAAAAAAAAAATTTCCTCTCTTTTTTTTCTCCAACCAATTTCGTTTCATTTTATTTCATTTGGCACGAGAGAGAAAAAGTGAACGGAAAAAAAATTCTCGAATTCAAATGAAATTCAATTCAAACCTGCCCCTTTTTTTTCCTATGAACAATTGAATCAATGAATGAAGACCAGAAACAAAACAGAAAAAAGTTTTTTTTCCTTCTCAACATACCGAATTTCATTTTATTGAGGCTTCTTCAATAGAAAATCGCCAAGAATTATTATTATTATGATTACTATTTCCACTTGATAATCAAAATCGAAACTTTTTAAAAAAAACATTCAAAACAATTTATCATGCCCGATGGGTGAATTTTTTATTTACAACGAACGAAACGAAAACGAATCACATACACACACACACACATACACAAAACAAAAACAATGACCAAAAATTCGATCGAATGACGTAATTGCTATATTCTCGACAAAAATTATCATCCATATATAAAGAAAAAAACAACCACTTCAATATATAAAGTAATTATAATTATCTAGAATTGGTAAATGAAAAAATGGCCACCGAATATAATGATTATACAGATTTTTATCATAGAAATGCATTTATTCGGAAACATTATAGATAAATAGTGTGTTTGATCCAAGTAAGCAAGCAAACAAAACAAACAAAAAAAATTTGAAATCATCAAAAAAACGAAATGAAATAATCCAGATTCAATTCACACCACCACCACCACCACCATCACCATATTCATTGAAAACATCAAACGAATCGGCCTGGAACCACGAATATCCGAAAGCCTTATGTCCGAAACATCAAGCGACGACAAATGAATAACATATATTAGATTTGGGAAAAAGTCGTGTCGTTTTTTTGTATAACATTTTGGAATGAGTGTCACAAAAAATCGGTAAAGGTTTCGACATCGTGTATGGCCTCGATTCATTCTTCGATGACCATACTTTATTTCAAAAATAAATTTTTTCCAACTTTGACCACCGGAAGTGGTGTCCGGCCTCTGTTTTTCGACCCATTAAAAAACAAAATTTTAGCCATTTTGATTTTTGCTCGTGGTGACCTCGACCAAAGAGTTAAAATTCATCTGACCACTCAATGCAAATTCCACATGTCCTGGGAGTTGAAAAAAATTATGGGCGTAATTCTTCCTCAACTCATCCGTTTTCAAGGGCGGATCAAAATCCGGTCGGCCGCTATCAACATTCAATATAGACTGCTAGCAATTTCAATGGGCAATGCCATTGGGAGAGTGGCTGACGGCACATGAATTGCATGGTCGGTTATGCGATTTTCAAAATTTGAAAAAATTTGGAATTTTTAGTAAACCAAATTTTTTTGTTGACTTTTTGGTTAGCGGAAAACGTGTCGTGCGATAATTGATTAAAATTTTTTAAAAATTTCATTTTGACGCATATTTTTCCTAAGGCTGAATAACACAGTGGCTGATAGCGGCCGACCGGATTTTGATCCGCCCTTGAAAACGGATGAGTTGAGGAAGAATTACGCCCATAATTTTTTTCAACTCCCAGGACATGTGGAATTTGCATTGAGTGGTCAGATGAATTTTAACTCTTTGGTCAAGGTCACCACGAGCAAAAATCAAAATGGCTAAAATTTCGTTTTTTAATGGGTCGAAAAACAGAGGCCGGACACCACTTCCGGTGGTCAAAGTTGGAAAAAATTTATTTTTGAAATAAAGTATGGTCATCGAAGAATGAATCGAGGCCATACACGATGTCGAAACCTTTACCGATTTTTTGTGACACTCATTCCAAAATGTTATACAAAAAAACGACACGACTTTTTCCCAAATCTAATATATATAACATTCGAAATCAAGGCCATCAGGCTGTCTTGTTGCAGTTAGTCTTCCGAGAAGAATTCAATTACCATTTTTTTTTGCCATTCTCAACAATAAACCAGAAAACTGGTGTTTTTGTTATCTGAATAATTCATCGGCTCATCACACAACCACAACAATTACCATTACTATGATAATCATTTATTCATTTTGTTTTCATGCATTTTTTCTTCCCCATTGGTCCAATTGTATCGTGTCAAGAAGAAATATCAACCAGCCAAAATTTAACTAAACAAAATGAAAATGACAAACATCAGAATTGTTTGGTGAGAAAAAAAAATTATAATCATAATGATGATAATATAATATATATAAAATATTGCGCATATGGTGGATTAAATACATTTTTGTTTTCAAATATTATATAATCAAACGAAAAAACGAACAAAAAAAACAAACGCTCGTATAGAGGTAGAAGCATTATCTTGAATAATTGATTTTTTCTTCTTTCACTTAACCCCAACGACTTTTTTTATTTTTTCCTTCCGTTTTTTGTTCTTGGCTTGTTGTTGTTGATGATGATGATGATGATGATGACTTATTCCAAGATGTTTCATCACTTGCAGCTTTAAATTGTGAACGAAATTGTGCTTTATATGCTGCACGCATTAATGATATTCGATCACCACCACCACCACTAACGTTGGATGATTGTTGCTGTTTAATTGTTGGATTATGTTGAATCTGTTCGACTATTGATCTGGATGATGGAATAAATGGTGCTGATGATATTTGTGTAGCCATTGTTGTCGTTGACGATGATAATGATGAATTTAAATCAGATTTACCAAATCCTAAACCAAATTTAGGTCTTCTACTGCTACCACCACCACCACTACCAACAATTGATGATAATCGACGAGGATCACCTTGTTTAAATCGAGATTTACGAAACCATTGTGATTGCATAGCCAAATTCATCAGATCATCCGAAACTATTTGATTAGCTGATTCCAAATTCCGTACAAGATGACCGACCATTTCTTTATCTTTTTCCGTAACTAATGTATAGGCAATACCTTGTTCACCAGCACGACCAGTACGACCAATACGATGTGTATGTGTATCAATATCTAATGCTAGATCATAATTAATTACTGTTCGTATATGCGATATATCAAGACCACGTGCAGCAACATCGGTTGCAATTAGTACATCGGATTCTTTACGTTTAAATCCGGTGATCACCTTATTACGATCCAATTGATTCATATCACCATGTAATAATAATGGCTGATGATTTGTTTTCGATGCTAAATTTCCACATAATTCTTGTGCATTTGCTTTTTTCGTTACGAATATTAATACCGAACCTTGTGATGTAAATTGAACGAGATTCTGTACAAGCCATTCCCATTTTTGTGACGTACCATGTTTAAATACATGAACAATTTGCTGTACATCTTGATTAGCTTCACCAACACCATCACCTTGTACGATACGAATCGGATCATTTAGAACATCTCGAGCTAATTTTTCAATTTTTTTCTTAAATGTTGCCGAAAACATTAAAGCTATATGTGTGGAATAATTAAAAAGAAAAAACAGAATGTAATTAATATGAATCCAATAAATAAACGCTAGATTCGAAATTACTTTGACGATCCGGACGAACTTGATTACAGATGGATCGTACTTGTGGTTCGAAACCCATATCGAACATACGATCAGCTTCATCCAAAACCAGATATGTTACCCTTAATAGATTTGTAGCTTTCATTTTGATAAAATCAATCATACGACCCTATTTTCAAATGAATAAATCATTTTATAAAATCTAATTCATCAATGATAATGAGTGATAATAAGTTTTCTTACCGGTGTAGCAACAACAATATCAGCACCTTGTTCTAGATCTTTTGATTGTTCATATTTGGAACCACCACCATAAGCACAAAGTACTCGTATACCATATGGTTTGGCAAATTTTTTTCCTTCCTGATAGATTTGTTGTGATAATTCTCTGGTCGGAGCCAGAATCAATCCGATCGGTCCATCACCTGGTTTCAATTCTGACTGATCCATTATGTGCATCAATAATGGCCATAGATATGCAGCCGTTTTTCCTGAACCAGTTTTTGCAATACCGATCACATCACGACCACTTAATGCAGTCGGTATTGCTTGTGCTTGTATGGGTGTCGGTTGTGTGAATTCCATTTTTCGTATCAATTTCATTAATGGTTCATCAAAACCAAAATGAGCAAAACTTGAACATGGCTTCGGTGGTGAAGGTCCCGATACACGTATGCCTAATTTACGACGTAATTCCTGGCATTCAACAACTGTTAATTTAGCAATTTCTTCATGTTCTTGATAGAAATTTTTTTCAAATGGTTGATAATCAATTTGTGAATGATAGACCATTGGAAGTGGATCAATCATTTTTTTTGTCGACGTTACAATTGGATTACCATCATCATCGTATTCGATTTGATTATCAGTGGCATTGGCATTGGTTTCACCCCCTTCATCATCACTATCACCAGCGAATGTACCAACTCCAGCCATTGGATTTGATTCCATGTATTTATAATATGATTCTTCCAGATCTTCTTCTTCGATATCTTGTCGAACTCCTTTCACCTTGGCCATGGATTTTTTCATGGAAGCTGATGATGATTTACTCGAATCGGATGACGATGGTTTGTTTGTGGGTTGTTGTTGTTGTTGGGATGATATTTTATTTTTTGTTTTGTTCGCTTTTTGTTGTTCACATTTATTCAATTCAGCCATGAATGCATCTAATGGATCTTCTTCCTCATCATCATCATTACCATCGTTTTTAGCTGGACTTTTAGATGGCTGATGGTGACCATCATCATCTTCATGTTCAAAATATTCATCTTCAAAATCACCGAATTTTGGTCGACGACTAAATTGAGTGCCCGAATTGATTCGTGCTTCGAATCGTGCACGAGCTTGTGATGCATTTGCATGAACATCTTCAAAACGAGTATATGATTGGCGTTGATTGAGATTTTTGGGTGGTGGAACTGATCGAAAATCTCTAGACGTCATTTTGGATGGAAAATACAGAATTTTTCAAAACGAATGACAGAATAATCAGCTGTCAAAATACAGAATTTTCGGCTATTGTTACAGTCAATGGTCATGTTGATGTGCATGTCGTCATCCACGTGTGTGTGTTATGATCAATATTATCTGCCGATTTCGTCACTTTAGCTCTAAAATTGTAAGGAATATGGATAAAGAATATCGTCAAATCGATGGTAGCCATTTAGAAGGTGGTGGACAAATTCTACGTAATGCTACCGTATTGAGTAGCCTATTGAATATACCGATTGAAGTGGTAAATATTCGTGCAGGTCGTCCACGGCCCGGTTTAGCAGCTCAACATCTTCATGGTCTTTATTTAGCACGTGATATAACGAATGGTGAATTATTAAATGCCGAAATCGGATCAACAATCATCCGATATAGACCGATGAAAATTATGGCCGGAACCTATAAAACTGACATACGTACTGCAGGGTTTGTTGTTTTGAATTTTCAAAACAATTCTTTTTGTAATTCATCATATAATTACAGGAGCATAACATTAATTCTCCAAACAGCTATACCTTTATTACTTTATGCTAATAGTCCATCAACGATCGAATTTCGTGGTGGTGGTACACATGTTCCATTTGCTCCGTTTGTTAATTTTTTTACCGATATTCTACCTGATTATCTTCCATTTATGAATCAAATTCAAATTCATTGTGATAGATATGGTTTCTATCCACAAGGTGGTGGTCATGTATCTTGTCAGATTAATCCCGCTAATCTAACAACACCATTACCCTTACAACCAATTGAACAAATAGATTTTGGTCAATTGATTGAAATTGATGGTTTTGTATTGATCTCCGGACAAATTCGACGACCAATTGCCGAAGCAAATATTCGTTCAGCGATGCAAATTTTTGATAATCAACAACAAATCATCGACAATAAAGATCGGATAAAAATCACCATCAATGAATGTCGTGCACGAAACGATGCTTTAGCTGTGATGTTCACAGCTCGTACAACAACCAATTGTCATCTATCCGTATCCAATTTAGCATCACGACGGAATGAAATGAATTCTGATAATTATGGAAAACAAGTTGCCGAAAAACTTTGCCATCAATTGCAGCAAAAATGTTGTGTTGATGAATATGTTCAAGATCAATTGATCATTTATATGGCATTAGCCGCCGGTACAAGTCGAATTATTACCGGTGAAATAACAATGCATACACATACAGCCATTTGGATTACTGAACAACTTACTGGTGTTGAATTCATAATTAAACCATTAAAATCGAATAATTTATTAAATATGATTGAATGCAAAGGAATCGCTTATATGCCTGAAACATTTTATCCATCTTGATTGATCATCAAGATTCAAGTTGTAAAAATAAAAATTTCATTTATTTTTCAACAAATATAATAATAATAATAAGAACATTTAATTTTCATTTGGATGACATTTATTTCATCTATATAGTTTATTAATAAAAAAAACATAGCCATTTCTCACTTTAAAAAAAATCCAATTGAAAACGATAACAAGAATATAACAATTATTAAGCATTTTTAAAATATCAGGATAAACTTTGTTTTCGTTTCTTATTTTTGTTGTTATTATTATTATTGATCATATCATCATCATCATCATCCGTTTCAATCAATGAATTCAATGATTTGAATAATGAACTATAGTCTGGGGTAATTGTTTCTTGTGGATTCGAATTTATATAATGAACATTAGCATTTTGTTTCTGTGAATCATGAATATACGGACTATATGGATGTTCAATTCTTGAGGGCGAAATTTCAAATTTTCTATCAAATTGATGATGGTTATGATTAACAGAATTTGTAGATTGATTCAATAATGATGATGATGACGATGATGATGATGACGATAATGATGATGACGATAATGATGATGATGATGATGAGGAAAATGAAAAGGATAAATTTGAATAATCATCGAATGATGTCCAATCATCATTACTATTATTGAATTCATCATCATCATAATCATCGTCCATACGATATGATATTCGATCCGGTGAAGGCTGATGGTGATGGTCTGATCGTTGTTGTTGTTGTTTTTGCTCAACATTATCTTCACCATCTTCGTATTCATCAATCTCATTGAATGATGATGATGATGATCGATCATTTGTAAATGAATCCATTGTACAGGTTTCATTCGATGATGATGATGAAGAATTTGTTCGTGAATTTTCACGATTAATCGGTTGATAATCCTTAGTGTTTGATAATGAAAACCAACGACGTTTAACCGGTTTTATATAATTAAGTTTATTACAACTTTTACGTAGAAAATTTAAAACTTTTTTATCAAAATATGCTTTAATCGTTTTTTGTTTAATGAATTTTTTCGAATTCGGTACAATTTTTATACGATTTTTACCAAATTGTATTTTATGTACCATTTGCCAATCGATAAATGATACCTGATCAATAATTGATGATCGTGATGACGTACGCATTCGTTTCTTTTGCACAGTAACATAACATCTATTAATTGAAACACGCATTAATGATTTTTTATCTTTGGTATGGCCATTATAATGCATAGTTGGAACTTTTTTGACAGCATGCATGATGATGATCAAACATTGAGCAAATGCTGGTTTGAACAAAAAAAAATGAAATGAAAGATTGAATGAACGAAATTGTTTTCGTTTTTATTTGCAAACCCCCTCCCCCAGTGACAGACGAAATTGAGATGATTTTTCTGTTCTACATAGAAAAAAAACCGTGTGTCAAGTTTAAATTATTTTTTTTTATCAAACATTGAAAATGATTACCGGTCAACAGTATAGATGGCGGTCAAGATTGACTTTGTTTAAAGGTAAAATTAACCATTCATACGGTTATCTGGAAATGGTGGCGCATTTCTGTAATCCAAGTTTCGGGGAGGGTAAGGATTGAGAATCGACGATCAATGGGGATTACTGGATAGCGTTGCGTCTATGTTGATCCGGCGTCCACACTAAGCACGGCGTCAATATGGGTAATAACGGGTAGCCGATGTTGTCCAGGTTGGCCAATAATGAGGAGTGGAATGGCTCAGAGTGGAAACACCACAGGCAAAAACTCCCGCGTCGTTCGGTAGTGGGATTGCGCCAGTGAATAGAATGCCGCTGTTCAGCCCATTTGATACGTTGGGACCTTTTCTTTTTTATTATTTTTATTTTTTATTTTTATTTTTTGATTTTTCGATTTTATCCCTTCATTATGATCGTACAAATTATGATTAATCAGCTGAAATTGGGGTTAAAAATATAGATAAAAATGTTTGCTTACTGGTTTGTTTGTCGACAGATGGCGTTATATTTTTTTTTTAAATTTTTTCATTTTCAATTATCAAACGTTCCCATCAAATGTTTAAATTTTCTTTTTTTTTCTTTCTATTGTCGATCGATTTGAAATATCCGATCCACAATCGAAAAAAAGAAAACAAACAAAACCAAAAAAAAAAAAAAAAAAAATGAGAAAATCGGTATAGACCATCATCGGGTATTCACATTATACAATCGATAACATAATTGATATTTGCATATTATTTACGGGAACAAAAAAATTTTTTTTACACAGATCGAGATTGGTCAAAGTTTTGTTTTTGTTTTATTTTGTTGTTGATGAAATATTTAGTTAGTGTCCGAAAAGAAAAAAAAATATCCAGGAAGAATTCATTGGATTGTGCTACCATAATGAAAAGTGAAATTTCACCATAATTGTTAGAGTAGTAAAGAGAATTTCGAAAGCGTATAAATACTGATGGTTTGTTCATTTATTTATTCATACATTACAAATTTCATCACCATTACATATTCAAAACCAAGCAAAAAAAAAAAAAAAATAAATAAATAAATAAATAATCAAACAAAATGCGTTCGACAGTATTAGCCATCACTATAATGACCATAATGGTCATCATAATGTCATCATCATCTGGTCCTTTTGGTCAACAATCATCATCATCATTTGTTGAAGCTGGTCAAAAGAAAAAAATGCGTTTAGCAATGGCATTAATACATTTATTAAGTCGTCGTAATAAAGTTGTTGTTCCATTTCCTGTACCAATACCGTAAGTATGATTCAATTATTATTAAATCAAATCTTTTAATTTTAACAACCAAAATCAAAAACAGTGTTGAAAAGGAGAAAAAATGCTATCATGTACAAAAAGAATATGTTCCTGTCTATTATGATGAAAAGAAATATGATTCCTATGGCGGCGGTGGTTATGATCATGTAATGGCATCTACAAACAAACATGGTGATTCCTATTCACATGATCATAATAGTATTGGTCATACATCTGGTGATGATTATTATGGTGCTGGTGGTGGTGGCAGTTCAGGATATTAATTTTAAATTCGAATTTGAATATTTTTTTTTTATATATAACGTAAATTCATTACTTGCGCTGGACGCTTTAATAGATAATAATGTTATGTTATTAAATGATTTTATTTACAAGAGAAAAAAAAATGATAATAAAGAATAAAATTCACAAAATGAATTTATCGAAATTCAAAATTTTTACAAATCAAACAGGAATGTGTTTACGTTTTTTTGCCATTGGTTCATCGTCATCAGTCTTACGATCATCATCATCATTATTACTGTTACTATCTATATCTATTGCTGCATCGGCAGATGCAAATATTGTTTTTGGTTGATTTTGTTGATAAGCTGGTGTAACCCAATAAGGATTTTCTTCCGCATCTTTTGCATGTCGTAATAATGCATCACGTGGATCTTCATTATCATCAATTTTTGCACGCACACCAAGATTACGTGCTATAAATGATGCAAATGTTTTGCCTGCTGCAGCTATACGTCCACCGGAACCAGATCCAGTGATCGGTAATTCAGGTCTACGTGATTTAATTGGATCTTTACGATCTTTCAACATTTGTACATAATGTGATTTTCGTCGTTCTTGTTTGAATAATGGTAATGCATGTGGTGTTATTATTGTTGGTTGTGCCATTGTAAACACTTCTTTACGTTTACGTTTTTGTCGATATGAACATAGTAATGCACCACGAATTGAATATTTTAGATCATAATACATCTGTATAGAACCATCCGATCCACTGGTGACAATTTGATTCAATTTCGGATGCCATATGGAACGAATATTTGATGATGATGATCGACCATCAATTTTCTGTAACAAATCAAATGTTGATGTTGAATAAAAATGTAGTTGACCACATTCAATATTTGAACCATTATCCCGTTCATCACAACTAGTTGCAGTAATAAGATAACGATCATCCGGTGAAAATGCACAATCAGTTTGTGCATATCGATTTGTTAAACCGGTCGTCCATTCATGTAATGGCTCAGAACGTTGTCGTCCAAATGGTCGTGATTGTCGTACCATACGCATATCCCATAATTTCATTGTATTATCCGTTGAACGTGTTGCCATCGTCATACCATTATAGCCAAACATTAATGATGACATATCAGTAGAATGTTGATGAGCATCACGAATCAAATGAGCAGTATTGACAAATGATTTACGTGTATCCCACATCTGTACACTACCATCATCACAGCCTAATGCAATTAAATCACCCATTGTTGAACTGAATGCACAAACGTTTGGCTGTGTCCGTAAACCATGTTGTGATCGTGGACGCATCAATGAACGATGTTGTCGTAGATTAACTTGTGAATCCCACAAACGACATGTACCATCATTTGAACAGGTTGCAAATATGTTTCTTTCCATTGGATGCCAACATCCCGAATTCAGCATGGCAATATGACCTTTTGTATTTTTCATATCGGAAATATATTGATCACCTTTAATTGTTTCAGCCTTCACATAACCATCACGATCAATTAATTTGGCCACGCATGATCCAGAAACGACCAGAATAAATTCACCATTTGAAGAAAATTCCAAATGTTTAATCGAATGTGAATGGCAAGGTGTAATTGTTCGAAATGATTTTAGTGTGGAATCCATACCGCCAAAATCCCAGAATTTTATCTCATAATCAATACCACCAGAAACTAAACGAGCACCATTTGGATCTAATGCTAATGCCGTTACAGATTTTCCACCATGTTTTAATTCAATTTCATGCGATATGGGTAATACTGAATATCGATTATCTATGATAAAAATTAAAAAAAACGATTAGGATCAAAAGTAATCATTTTTTTTCAAAATTTTATTACCATCATTGAGATCATATTGACCATCGTCATCATCATCACCATCATTGTTGTCTTTGATTTTCACTGAATTATCTTCTTCTTGGTTAAATCCAGGAGGCAATGGTGGACCTATGAAATCATCATCTTCGTCGTCGTCATCATCATCATTATCATCATCATCATTTGTTGATATTTGAGGTTTAGATGAACATTTATTATTGTCACTATCATCATCATCATTATCATCATCATCATCGCTTGAATTCGTAGTTCTAACCGTTGATGAATCATGTTCTTTACCATCAGTACGTAATTTTTCATAAAATTTTCCCATCATTTCTTCAATATCAAATTTACGTGCCGTTTTTGTTTGCATTACTTGTGGTTGTTTTGTTTTATTTATTTCATCATCATTATCATCACCAGTAACATTTGATTTAATTGTCGATTTATGATGGGTTTCTGTTTTGACTATCTTTGTTGGTTTTTTTGGACCAAAAGTACCGAAACCCATTACTTTCATCATTTCGTCATTATCACCATTATCATCGTTATTCAATGGTTTTTCCGTAGATATTTTTGGCTTCATTGCCATTTTAAATTTTATTTGGTTCATTTTTCTTTTTTTTCCCCAAAAAAAATTTATTTACAGCTTGTTCACAACATAAACAACAACACACACACAGAATTACATCATTCCAATGATCATAAGTAATGCCATCTGATGTCTAAAAACCAGAGAAAAAACATTTAAAAATTATCTTCAATTTCCGGACCTATTTTTTTTCTCCCCATTAATCATCATTTAATGATCGATTTGTTTGTGTTTGTATTTGTATCTGTCATTGATTGATTAATTTAGTTATAATTGTATTGACATTCCAATGCAATGACATCGATTTAACGAAAAAAATAGACAAATTTCTCCACATGTGATTAGATTATTTTTATATTTAATCTATATCTGTTTCATCAATCAATCGATCAAGCAATAAAAAAAAAAATAAAAAACAAACAAACACTACAATCGATTATAAAAGGAATGAAATAAACTATTTTTTTTAATTACAATTTATTATGCGACTGAAAGAAAAAAAAACATTTGAGAAAACAAAAAAATCATTTTTCCAATGAAGAATTGAAAGAAAAAAAAATTAATCGATAACGCCATTTTTGTACGGCTGCGCGTTCTATGTTAATCATTTTACAGTTGTTTTTTTTTGGAGAATTCGTATTCAGTTCATGTCAGATTGTTGTTGTCGTCGTTGTTGTTGTTGTTGAGTGGCTCTAAAATCCAATTCTTCAAACGATTTGTGTTCAATATATTGAAAAAATAATTTATTGTTATTTTCATCGATCTCTGGGTATTTTTTTTTAATTATTATCTTCGAATAAAATATATTGAACCATCCCGAGAACAACAACAACAAAATATTTAGATGGTTCTATATCTCTATAATTAATTGTGTTCAATGAAGAATGAATGATTTTTTTTCCATTTCAATCAATAATGATGATTCCTATTAGTAGTTAGGTCTTTCTATCTATATTTTTTTTTTCATCAGAATTCATTAAATAAAATACAGGTAATTTTGTTTTCTGATTGATGATTTTTTTTAGTGATTTTCTTTTTTTTTGCGATGTGATATAGATTTCATTAAATCTCATTCACTTTGACGAAGATGATGACGATAAACATCAAAAGCCTTTGCACATAGATTGCCTTATTTTATTTTTGGCAAATGAATGCCAATATCATCATCATCATCATTCAATATTATCGTATTTGATTTATCAAGATTTAAACCAGCTGTTTTTTCAGCCATACACATTCGAACAAACAAATAAAAATTCAATTTCAAACGCATTAATTGATATTTCATTGTGACGAAGAAATATTTCCTTGCTGTTCTTAGGTTTGTTTCTACAAATATCATCAATTCATTCAAAAAAAATGGCACAGCAACCTGTATATCTTAACGTTTATGATATGGTATGTTGAATGTATTTCTTTCATTTTTTTATCCCTTTTTGATTTCTAAAATAATTTTATTTAATTAATCAAAAGGCTGCAATCAATCAGTATTCATCATCATTGGGTATCGGTATTTATCATACGGGCGTTGAAATCTATGATTCAGGTATGTGTACTACAATCCTTGATTTGATTTGATTTGATTTGAATCTAATCAATGAATCATATGTTTAATTTTCCCTCTATATTTTGTTGCCAAAAATGATACTTTAAACATAATTATCATCATAATTTAATCAGAATATGCATATGGTGGACATCCGTTTGATTTTTCCGGTATTTTTGAAATTGAACCTAAAGATGTGATTGCATTGGGTGAAGAAACTTTTAAATTCAAGTAATAATGTTATATTGAACATGAAAAGAAATCAAGTATTTACTTTTTTACTTGACAAAAAAAAATAGGAAATCACTTTTAATTGGCCATACAGATTTTCAACGTGAAGATGTACGACAAATTGTCAAAGAGATGGGCAAAGAATTTAAAGGAGATAAATACCATTTATTACATAAGAATTGTAACCATTTTTCTGATCATTTTCTAAAAGTATGTTTTTCTGTTTATTTTCCAAAGTTATTGAAATTTAAAATTTAATCTTTTTTAGTATTTATGTGGTAAACCACTGCCACCATGGATTAATCGATTAGCCTATCTAAGTACTTGTGTGCCATTTTTGGAACGTTGTATACCGAAAGAATTTCTAATACCAATTGCATTAGAAAATAGTATACGTGGTGATGATAATAATGATAATGACGATGATGATGATGTTTGTGGTTATCGACCTGATGGCGATAGCGGTGGTGGCGGTAATGATGATGATGATGATGATGAACATATTCTAAAACAATCAACATCATCAACTACATCATCGACATCAACATCATCATCGAATTGTTTTTCACCAATATCCAGATCACCATCCAAAAGCCAAACATCATCATCATCATGTCAACAACGGCGACAAAGACGAACAAATTTAGTGAATAATTTTTCCACAACAAATAATAATGATGATTATGATGATGTTGATGATGGAAAAAATAATCATCATCATCCATCCACTATATCGTCATCATCATCAAGTACTTCCAATCTATTGAATTTAGAAACGATACGCACAAAAAATTCACCAAGATTAGATCGTCCTAATCGGCCATTTTCCAATTTAAAACGATGATGAAAAATCATTTTTCATTCAAACTCTTTAGGATTACATTACATAAACATTACCTATTACACAAAACAAAAATTGTGCGCCTTGTATCTTCATCATCATCATTACATTATTCATCTTTTTATATATAAAAACATATAGAATTTGTGCGACAAACAACTTTTTTCCTATTTCATTTGTTCCTGTTGATTTTTTTTGTGAATCGATATCATCATCCACAATGATAATACAAACCGCCTATACCCATTTATAACACCTTGGACAATTGATGAAAAAACTATTCGATAGCCTGGAAAACAACAACAACAACAACAACAAAGAAAAATTCTGCCCATAAGTGCTTTTTTTTGTAAATCATCATTACGTAATTTGAAAAAAAATATTCAAGAAACAAAAACAAAATGTTCAACAAATTGCCATATAGATAAACTCGGACAAGCAACAGTTACAATCGATTCGACAACATTTATTTGTGCCAAATTAATCTTTTTTTCTGTTTTATGGGAAAGAATGTTTTGAAAAATTTGAGAGCAACGGATGAAAGAAAAAATCCAACATTTAACCATCACTATTACTGTTACTAATGATTGCCTGTATAGAAAATATGTCTTTTTTTTGTGTCAAATTTAATTAATTAATTAATTAATTAATTGATTGATTTAATGAATAAATAAATAAAAAAATATTTATTATTATAATTCAATGTTTGTTGTTTCTTTGTACAAAAATACCGATACTATCATCGATAGGATATGTACAAACATCATTACGATCTTCCATCAATTCTGAATATGAATCATCATTAATTGAACGAACATTTAGTTCAAATTCTTCAAATATATCCATACGTAATAAACGTTTTAACATAAATTTAAGATTTGTTACTTTCATTGTTTTTGGAATCTGTTTTCGAAGAAATCTCCGTGATGAATCTGGATTTTGTTCATCATGAATATTTATGGTAAGAAAATTTTGTTGAATTTGTTCTTGTTTTGTTAATTTTTTCTCAACAATTGGTTCACCAAATTTGTTAAGAATGTCTAGAAAACATGGATTTTCATCCAGAAATTTTTGCCGATTTAAAGGATCTTTACATTGTTCCAGATAATCGAGATAAATCATTCGAAGATAATATTTTTCAGCATCATCACGGGTTTCTTTTTTCACTGGTTCACGATCTAATTTTTCTAAACGTTTGATAAGTGCTAAAATGAAATTAAAATTGTGATAATACGGATTCGTATCGAATAATGGATTTCGTTTCAGTAATAATGTTGTTAGTGATGGTAGTTTATTCAATTCGGCTATCGAAAGCCAATCATCGATTTGATTATATGAAAGATCAAGATAACGAAGATTTGAAAAAAGATTCTCATCATCATGTTTGAATCGTATCAAACTAATTCGACAATTTGGTAATTCAAGTGTTTCCAATCTAAAAATGAGAAAAAATTTTGTAGATAAAATTAATTCGATTAATCCTTTTTTTGGATTTTTGGTAACAAAAATTACCTTGACAATTTTCCAAGCTTTTGAATTTCATTCCAATCGGTTATAGGATTTTTTGATAAACTAAGAAATTTTAAATTTCTAAATTGATTATCATTTAGAATCTGTATGGTTTGAATTTGATTTACGAATAAACTCATTCGCTGTATTGATGGCCATAATTTTGAACATTGAAGTATTGCATTCCAATCATAATGAAGATCACCAAGAACAATTAGCTTCAATCGAATGAATCGATCACCAATTTGGATAATTTCTTCATCACTTGGTGGCATCAATGGATTCGATGATAATACTAATTCTTCAAGTATCGGTGTCATTTCAACAATCTTGGCAATATCTAGCCAATTGGTTAGTTGATTGTTAGCTAAATATAATGAGTGAGTTTTGGATAATTGAAATTGATGATTATTCAAATCATCGTGCTCATCATATGGCCGATCAACATTTTGGTCAGATAGATCAATGTATCGTAAATTGCTAAGATTTTTTAATCGATTTTTAATTTTTTCCATACCAACCAATTGACAAACACGTCGATGTCCATCCAATTGTGGTAGTTCAAGAATATTGACTGTTGATTCATTATCATTATCATTATCATCATCATCATCATCATCATCACAGTATTTCGAATATAAAGCATTAATGAATGATTTTCGGGAATTCATTATTTAATGAAAAAAAATTATCTTAAATCACAAATAAAATCCACAAAAAAACAGTTGTCAATAACAACACATGACAAAAATCTTCGAATTGATTTAGAACTAATAAAGCCATCGACAGATGGCATTATTATTGTTCTAGAAAAATTTAAAGAATTCGAAATCATATATATTCACCGGAATATTATCAATCAAACTAATTCTAGGAATCAGGAACATTAACACCCAACAACGGTTATTGGATGATTATCTTTGTTATCATCAATTGGTTTTTGGCTTGTGAATTAATCAATCTGATTGTATCTGACAATGATGATGATTCCAAGAAATTAAAACATTTTTTTTCTCTTCTCATTTGATTGGTCACCATGACAATCACATCAGTCGATATGTGATAAGGTTTCATTATTTTCTTCTGCTCTTTTTCTTTTGCTCAGCTTTTGTCAATTTGACCAATTATTACCACATACCACATCATCATCATCATCATCGTGTTCACTCAATGTATATATCTTGCTCATAATTGTAGTAATCTTTTAATAGCAACAAATTATGATTCAAATACGATTAAAAATGGTGGAAAATGAACAACCATTACGTGAATTTTTTATCGATTCATATCGACGAAGAATACTAACGGATTGCGTAATTTATTGTCATTGTTTGAATGATTCGAATCATAATGATGATGAGAATAACAAAAGTAAGTTTTTAATATTGATCGGTTAATTATTCGAATGAAATATGAATTCAAGTTTTAGCAATAAATTATGATCCATCATCAACGGAAACTTTGAACTTGAATCAGGAGGAAAAATTTGAAATTACCCATAATGAAAAATATCAGGAATTTCATTGTCATCGTTTAATATTGTCAACATATTCAACATTTTTTCGTCATTATTTTTGTCATCATAACGATAGTAATCAATCACAACGATCGACATCAATTTTTATCGATCTATCCGCATCGATTATGGCTGATCTATTGAAAATTATCTATTATGGTTCGATTACAATTGTTGATGAAGAAAGAAAAAATGAAATAATGGCCGCTGCAATGAAACTAGGTGTTTCAGACAATCTAATTATTGGTGGTGATCAGATTAAAATTGAAAATCAAGAATCAATTAATAAATCTTTAATAGATCATCAATCATCATCAACAAAAATGATGATCGGTAATCATTTCCTTAAGAAACGTTTATTAACTAATGATAATGATTCTGAAGATGATCAAGATCATCATCATCATCATCATCAGGGAACATCGATGAATAATAAGTATTATAAATGTATGTGTGTATCAATAATAATTGAGATATATTTCTTAAAAAATTAATGAATTTTTTTGTTCTTCACAAATACAGTTGACTCATCGAGCATTGTTGGACCATCAATACATAATCGAAAACAGCAATTAAATCCTTCGATTGTTCCATCATCTATTAAAACGACAACAACAACGATGATGCCTACAGTTTCAATGCCAATGATAACCAATACAATAATGTCGACCAATAAAAACAACAACAACAGCGGCAATAATACAAATAGTAATCAAACAAAACGAATTGGAGATAAAACAACAACATCAGTAGCAACCGTGACAACAACAAACGATACGACAACAACAACAACAACAACAATGTACATTTGTCAACATTGTCAAAAACAATACAATTATGAAATTTCATTGAAAAAACATATTAAAAGTGCACATTAAATGAAAAACCCACAAACAACAACAACAACAACAACAACAAATAATGATAATAGATTAAATTAACAAATCTTCAAGGGGGTGGAATGAAAACAAAAATAAAAATTTCTCTCACTCTCTCTCTCTCTCTCTCTCTTTTATTGTTTGCGACAAACGCATTTTGACCCAAATTTTCATTTCGAAACAAAAAAAAAAATAAACATTTATTCATTCATTTCTCATCATCACCATTACCATAAAAAAATTTTTTTGAAATGAACAAAAATGGCCATGTTCCTCTCTCTCTTAGTGTGTGTGCGTGTTTTCGATTATATAATCACAAACACGGTAACAATATGGATAATTTCATTTGGCTTGTGACGAAAGTGTAAAGGTGTGTGTGACATCAATGAAGAGGTGTCTATGAGACACGAGTTTGTTTTTTTTTTTTTTTTTTTTGTTCTCAATTTCATAAATGGTAGTATATCATTTTTTTTTCTTGTTCGTTCAAATGTTTTTAAAATGAAAAACACTTTTTTTTCTGGCCGACACAAACAAAAATCTGATCACATCTATTATCAATTATGCCATAAATGGGGATTTTGGAACAAAAATGGAAAAATTTTTTTTTTCGAGCATAAAAAAAACATTCGAAAAAGAAACAATTTTAAATCACACGCATGCGTACAATTCTATATTCGAATGTAATTATTGATTCGTTTTGTTTTCTCCTTTTCTCACCATTGTTGTTTGTTTGGTTTTTTTTGAATTGACCGAAAATCAAGGAATGAAAAAAAGTCTTTGAAATCCCAAATGGTTACCATGGATTTTATATTCGTCATCGGTTGTTGTTGTTGTTTATGTTTTGTGTTTTTGCATTAATTACTATATATATGTTGGATATTCGGATACCGATTATTTCATTGCAAATGGAACAACAACCAAAAACAACGACAAAATTTATTGTCATTAAGAAATTTCTGGGGAAAAAAAAGAATTGCAATACACAAAATGTTCCAATAGACGAATCAACAACAACCCTAAATCAAGAAAAACAAATACAAATGAAACCATGATATATTTGGGCGTATTTGATCATCATCATATATTGTATGGTGTAATTATTCATTCGAAATACGGTAGTAGTGGTGGTTATATGAACACTTGAATGTATGAATCATAAATGGCTTCTCATTCATTTACTCATTTATTTCATTGAGGAAATTATTTAAATTTTCATCAAAAAAAAACATCATTATAACAAAACAAAACAAAAAAACGTTCGAATCGAATGTTATTATTGTTTGTGTATCACCTGCGCGAACAGGTAAATCATAAATTGATCACGAATGAGCATTTCAATGATGATGATCAAATGAAATGAAATAATTTACCATATCATCATATATGTCCATGAAATTAATATATGTGAGAGGAGTGTTCTCTAGAATGAAAATGACAACAAAAGAAAAAAACAGACAATCAGATCAGTCAATCAAACAGCCAAAAATCATCCTAATCATCATCAGACGAAAAAATATTTTTTTTTGTCGGATATGATATTTGACAGAAAAAAAATCCTAATGATAACAAATAAATCACAGGTACAAATCCACCTTTTTCATTTTTTTCTCGTTTAATCAACCAACAGATTTCCAACCCGATCATAGAAACCATTACCATCATCATCATCATCATCATTATTTTTTTGTCATCCAAGAGGATTTAATTATCAAACTAGATTTATTTTTTTTCCACTGAAAAATTTGTTACAACAAAACAAAAATAAAACACACATTATTATTATCCATTGGCGGCATAAATGTGTTGTAATAAATTATGTGACCGGGGCATTTATTATTATCAGGATTATCCTGTTTCTATTTACACACAATCATTAACATCCTAGATGAAAATGGTACAAACAAACAAAAAAAAAATTCGATAAATTGATTTCGTCCTTCACACAAACACACCCAATTAATTTATTAATCTCACACATAGTGGTATGGTCATAAAATAAAAAATAAGAATATTTTTCAAAAAAAATTTACAAATTCTTCAACTGACCATCATGGTTATTTTGAAGAATCCCCAAAAAAATTAACTCTATTTGCCAAGCCCTGTTTGTATTTGTATTCGTATTCATTATTTTCTTCTTTTGTCATGATCAAAAAGCACATTTTTTTTTTTGTTGTAGCAGCAATGCGGTAATTCAAACGTGTGTGTGTGTGTCTGTCTATGACTCATCCAAACGAATATCTATCTGTCTGTCCATCAAATATGCTGACACGCCCATTTTTCATGAAATAAAGCCGTTGGATTTTTTTTTTTGCGCGCGCATAATACTGCAGTAGTTGTCAAAGTAATAATTTTTTTTTTTTTGAAGACAGTGTCTCCACCAATCTTAATTGTATTCAATCAATGTGAACCACTACTATTTACTACTACTGCCACCGCACTAACTATTAACAATTGTAGTGTAATAAATTCAATTTCGAACACACACGCATACACACACACACACAAACAATGAGAGCGGCCAACAACAACAACCAAACGTTCATTTATAACCGTCATTTCCTTCAAGCACACCGCTTATAACAAAAAAAGTTTTTTTTTATTTTCTCGAACGTTGAATTTTTGCACTGGTTTTTTTTTCTCCAAATCGCGGTATCTTTCCATTTGCTCTGAAAATCTTTTTTTTCTATATTCATTTTACGATTTCAGTAGCGAGTGAACGAATCATCATCATTCATCCATTGTCAATTCACGATTAAAATCGGTTAGTTATTTTTTTTTGTTTTGGAGGTTAAAATCAGATCGATCATTGCTTTTTATACCTCGTCATCATTACTATTTTTTTCTATGATTTGATCTTTTTTTCTGTTTTTTTTTGATCTAAAATAATATAGTTGCCTATTTGATAAATATCATATACATCACATTTGTTGACCGTCTTTTTTGATTCGATTGTCATCTTCATTTTCATATACGTTAATCACCGAAAAAAGTATACAATATGCGTGAAATTGTGCACATTCAAGCCGGCCAATGTGGTAATCAAATTGGTTCGAAATTCTGGGAAGTAATCTCTGATGAACATGGTATCGATCCAAGCGGCTCATATCGTGGAGATAGTGATTTACAATTGGAACGCATTAATGTCTATTATAATGAAGCTTCTAATGGTAAATATGTGCCACGTGCCGTCCTGGTTGATCTTGAGCCCGGCACCATGGATTCAGTTCGTTCAGGTCCATTTGGACATCTTTTCCGACCTGACAATTTTGTTTTCGGCCAAAGTGGTGCCGGTAACAATTGGGCAAAAGGACATTACACTGAAGGTAAGAATTTTTTTTCCCATTACCATTCATTACTATAATTACGTCATCACTTTATTTTTTCCCATCATATAAATCTTATTAAATTAGGTGCTGAACTTGTAGACTCTGTTCTTGATGTTGTCCGTAAAGAGGCCGAAGGTTGCGATTGTCTTCAAGGTTTCCAAATGACTCATTCATTGGGTGGTGGTACCGGATCTGGTATGGGTACATTGCTCATCTCAAAAATCCGTGAAGAATATCCTGATCGTATTATGAACACATTTTCGGTTGTTCCATCACCAAAAGTATCTGATACCGTTGTTGAACCGTACAATGCAACACTGTCCGTTCATCAATTAGTCGAAAATACTGATGAAACATTCTGCATTGATAATGAAGCTTTGTATGACATTTGTTTCCGAACATTGAAATTGACCACACCCACCTATGGTGATCTAAATCATTTGGTCTCTGTAACCATGTCTGGTGTGACTACGTGTCTTCGATTCCCTGGTCAATTGAATGCTGATCTCCGAAAATTGGCCGTTAACATGGTTCCGTTTCCACGTTTGCACTTTTTTATGCCTGGCTTTGCTCCGTTAACATCGCGTGGTTCACAATTGTATCGTGCATTGACTGTGCCAGAATTGACCCAACAGATGTTCGATTCTAAAAACATGATGGCTGCTTGCGATCCACGACACGGTCGTTATTTGACTGTCGCTGCCATCTTCCGTGGCCGTATGTCAATGAAAGAAGTTGATGAACAAATGTTGAACGTACAGAACAAGAACAGTTCATACTTTGTTGAATGGATACCAAACAATGTAAAAACTGCCGTTTGCGATATTCCACCACGAGGTCTAAAAATGTCAGCCACATTTATTGGTAATTCAACTGCCATACAAGAATTATTCCGTCGTATCTCTGAACAATTTACCGGTATGTTTTTAATTTAATAACATAATGATGAGTATATTCTGTGATTTTAATAATTTGTTTTCAAATAGCTATGTTCCGACGAAAAGCTTTCTTGCATTGGTATACTGGTGAAGGTATGGATGAAATGGAATTCACCGAAGCTGAATCAAACATGAATGATTTGGTCAGTGAATATCAGCAATACCAAGAAGCTACTGCTGAAGATGAAGGTGAATTTGAAGAGGAAGAAGATCCACAACAGGATGCTTAAAAATATCCAACACACACACAGAATACACATAACAAATACAAACATTTGTTTGAAAAATTAAATTATATATTTAAAAAAACGAATTCCTCAAATTTCCAGTATAACATTCTTGAATATGATTCTGACACATAAACACAGTTTTTTTTAGTACATCAGCACCACTCACATAAACAACAAACATTCATTTTCATTTTTAATTGATGATTTCATTTTTAAAATAAAAAAAAACTGGAAAAAATCAAAAAGTTTAAAAATCTGGAACTTTTGTAAACCGTTAAAAAATAATGCAAACACCGTATTCATTATGATTTATCCACAATATATTTGATTGATTAATTTCCATTATTTTCGTTTTTCCTTTTTTAACCAACACACATTCATTTCATTTCTTACATTGATGATTATTTCTTATTAATTGACAATTGACAATAAATAATGATTTCATTTTTCAAAAATCAAAAGGAAAAAATTAAGTTCAATTCAATTCCATATGATTTGAAAAAATTCGGTTCGAATGTTTTTTTTTCATGAATTTCCAAATTCCAAAATTGATGATGATGTTGTACATATATGAAATGATGATGACTTAATTTTCATCTTTTTGATGATGTTGAGATCATAATAATGAAAATGGTTTTAAAAATTATTAGATTCATCATTGTTAATCGATTTTAATGTTTATTTCTACTATAAAGTAATCGTGACCACCACCACTACCATCATCATAATGGCCGAACATTTTTTTTATATAATTTGCAATAAGAAATTGTGACCATCATCATCATCATAATAATAATTATGTATCCACGATGATGATGATGATAATGATTGTAAAAAAAAACAAAATGGTTACCCTACTTCTAGTTAATGTTTTCCTCTTTTTTTTATTTAGTTCTTTCTTTCTTTTTAAATTCAATACCACCAGACTAACAACGGCTATAGTCAAATGTTAATTTTGATCATCATCATCATCATCGTCGTCGTCGTCGTCGAAGTTGAATGATGTTGATGATGGTTGACGATATATAAAAATAGATACATTTTCCATGTATTATCACAACTATAATATTTATATAATACTTGTGTGTATGTCAATTCAATTCATTCATTGGGAATTTGTTGCTTCTTGTTGTTGTGTATACATACAAAATGGTGTCTAAATGTGGTAGCCAGAAAAAAAATTGTATGAATGAATGAAACGATCATCATCATTATTCGTTAGTTTGGTTGGTTGGTTGTAGTATTTTGATTGATTGATTCAACCAAAACAACGACAACAACAACAAGAGGAAAATACTAATAATAATGATGATGAAATCAACTAATATAATGATGATGATAAAATTTCATACAACAAAATTGAATGTATTCCAAAATAATAGTAGAGGATTATATTAGCTATATAAAAAAAAATTCGATACATTACAATCGATATTTGAAAAGCTAAACTTTTTTTTGTTAAACAAAACGAAAACAAACGACATGATGATCACATTCATACATACACACACACACACTCATACAATGATTGATTGTTTTCATTGATCATATAATCAATCATGATGATGATGATGATCTGCAGAAAATTGATTGTACAATAACAACAACAACAAAAAAAATTTTTTTTTGGCCAATATTTTTTAACCTCGAAAAACAATAATACGAAATCGAATGTGAACAAAACATTCATTCATTCTATTAATAAAATTTCATTCATTCGATCGAATGTAATGTGTGAGTGTGTTCTCGATGGCTACAATGAGAAATGAATTGAATTTTTCTTCTTTTCTCGCCATAAAATACTTGAAAATTTTTTGTTTAAAAAAAACAAAAATCATCATCATAATCATCATCATCTCATTTTCGAATGTCCAAAGTTTTTTGACTGTTGCTGCTGTTGATGTTATGGAAATTCTCATCATAGTATAGTTAGTTAGTTTGTTGTTTGCGGTAATTTCCATGCTGATTATTATTATTATTATTATTATTACCATCACATACAAGTTTGTACGCCAACGCCTTTATGTAGAGTATATATTTTATATAATGCAGCAGTACTGTGTAGTTTGGTACCATTTTTTTTCTTGTTGCCAATTGCTAATATGACTGGCCAGCCTCAACAATCAGAGTAAAAGAAAAAAAATGGGGAAGCAATAGGAGAAAAAAAATAGCCCGAATAAATTTCAACAGACAGAAAATTATTACGAAGACGGCAATTGTGTGATGACAACAATCCACTAAATATAAATGGATGGATGGATGGATGGTTGGTTGAGGTCAGTGGACTTGTCGTCGTCGTCGTCTCCTTCGTTGTTGTAGTCACTGAATTTTACCCGATTCTGACATGAATGAACAAAAAAAAGGTATAAACGTATGGCACATTCGAATGGGTTTGTTGTTTGTGGAAAGCCGGTAGTCGTCGTCGTTGTTGTCGTTGTTGATGATGATGATGATAATGTCGAATCTCATTTTAGATAACGAAAATATTATCATCAATCGATGATTATTATCAATCAATCAAGCTATAGATTAATAATTATTTTCACTTATTTTGGCACAAGTTTCGGGTTTCAAATGTTTGTTTGAATAGAATAGAATATATAACAACAATGAACAATATCAATATGTTCAGCATGAATGAACATTGATTGATTGATTCTAACCATTTTTCCGGAACGATAAAATCGATAAATGAGTTTCGAATGAATGAATTGAAAAAAACGGGACACACTCGACATGAGACAACTTATTATTTGATTTCATCTTTAATAATATAAAATATATTTTTTTGATCTCAATCTTGATAAAAAAAAATATTTATAAAATTCAATATATAAAAAAAATTAATTGATTTTTTCTTTTTGATCACAGCTTTGTATTTGTTTGTTGAAGATGGAGATTCGGAATGGATAAACTCACATTCAAACCAGCGAATTCTTTTTCAACCACATTTCACAGATTTTTACATAATGTTGATCATTAATAGCACGAGCGGCCATTAATACGTTTTCAATATTATCGGCATGTCCCAATTGTGCGGCTAATAGATAAGCCAATTTTAATTTACCCACCTGTAGATAGGCATCAATACGACGATTATCATCAATGATTAATTTGATTATCGATTCTTTTAATTCGGATAATTTTAAACGTGTTAATCCGGCTATTATAGCTGTCGTATCATGTTGTTGTATATTTGATAGACGAATAACGACTGTCATGATTGATTCGACAAAATGAAGGCAATCAAAGATTATGTCATCCGTAGATAATTGACGATTATTGATTGCTGTCTGCTGATGGGCATCAGCTGACATTTTTTCCATCGAATGATTCTTATTGTCATTATTATTACTATTATCATCATCATCATTATTATCCTTATTATGGAGGATGACAAAATCATCATCGATCATCGTAGTCGTTGATGATGACCATGTTGATTGAATGAAAGACATTAACTGTTTTAAATCATTACAAATTTTTTTAACATTCGAATTTCTTTCTAAATGTTGAGCAATCAAAAACAATGTGGCCATTCGAAATATTAGCTCTCCATTTAGATGATGATCCTAACAGTAAAAAAAATAAAAAATCAAACCATAAATGAATAAAAAGTTAAACATTTTCAACCTACGAGTCATAAAGACACGGATGATGCATTAACAATTATTAGCCGAATAAATTAAAAAAAAATTCAAATCCAGACAACACATACCTGTATAATACGTAATGCACAACGAAATCCATCTTCAATATCAACATTATCAGCATCATCATCAACTTTAGCTAGATTTTCATTTCGGTTAACTGTGGTGACCGAAATTGTGTTGGATGAAATGTTTTTCTGACCATAATATAATATAACAAAAGCTGTGATTAAACTTTTCCTTATCGGATCATGTTCCAATAATGTAGGTGGATATGGTAATCGTAACGTCATCATTTTGATCGATTCCAAATGAGAAAATTGTTGTTGTTCTTGTAGAATTTGTCGTTGTAAATGGGCCAATGCATATGAAGATAATATAAGCGATGTGGATGATGATCGATTTCGTGGATAATTTGATAATATTGATGTTTTAAAATAATTTTCCAAATCATCAATATTATCGGTGATTGTAATGGCAACAGGAAAATGAATTTTTCTTCGTCTAAATCGTCGTAATATATCGATTTGTAATTCAATCAAACGAATTTGTTTATATACATCTTTTTTATCCACCGATAGACAGCCACGTTTCAGACGGATAAAATCGATATTATGTAGATACATATTACAATAATCTCGTGCCTTTTCCAGATGTGAAAGACGATGAAAAAGTAAATCAAAACTATTCAAATCATTCGAAAGGTCATTATTATTGTCATTGTAATAATAATCATTCGATGACGATGTTCGTTGTTGATGATTGATAGACGATGATGGTGATAGAAAAAAATGATTAATCTGCGTAATGGCAGCACGTAAATAATCAGTCATAAAAACTTGGACACGATAAAGTGTATGAAATGATTCATTATGATTAAGATATTTACAAATATGTATCAATGATGAACCAAGTTGTTGTTGTTTTGGATCGGCAATACGAATTGCTGCAAACAATTCGCTTAAATGGCCATTTACCTGTGCTGGAATAAATATTTTCTTCAAGAAATTATTCACAATATTTGATTTTGTTTCTTTAACATTCGATGTTGATGATGACGATGAAGGTTGTCGTAAAAATGAATCAATAGCTTCTTTCCAATAAAAATGACTAACATAGAATTGTAGTTGGTCATCTTTTGATCCATATGTTTCAAGATAATAAACAATTTCTTGTAATATTCGTGGTTTTAACTGTTGATTTACCAATGTCGATATATTTGTGTTGATTTTGGAAGATGATGATAAAGCCAAGGTTGGTGTATCGCTAAAGAAATCAAATTGACCAAAAATAATTCGTGAACATTTATCGTTGATAGGAATCGATGTTAAACTAGTCGAATTAACTGATACCAATGTTTCAATGATCATACGTAATGTTTTCTGTACTTCGGAAAATCTTTTCAGCTGATCAAAATAACGACCGAATTTTTGTCGTGCTTCAGCAAAATGAAAATATTTCAACGAAATCAATGCCCATGATTTCCAGATCGACGACGATTCATTGCCATATTTTTTTGCTATATCAATGGTCAATTCAAATCGTTCAGCTTCAAGTAATTTTTCCTGTAATTTTTGTATATTATTATTCAATACGTATCCAATCATTTCTTTACTTCCAAAATTTGAATTAATCAACATTCGTATCACATCTAATCGATCTAGATACCGATTCAGTTGTTCAATTCCAGTTGATGCGGATGATGATGGCGATGGTGATGAATAATTATTTGAATTATTAATTGAATGATGATCATCCATACCGCCAGTACAATCACCTTCGAATGCAACACGTGTTGAAATCAATAATGAACGTATCATTTCAATCAATAATGTTGAATCAACATTATGTGATGAAATTGTTTCAATTAATGGTGCACAGATTTTATCGATTATAAATTTACAGCTTTTTGTTTTGTTTGAATGTAAACGTAGTATAGCTAAACATAGTGATACACTTGGACTAGATTCATATACAAATTCTGTACGACGATTTTGATTATGTGAATCATCTACGATCGATAATTTCCATTGTGTACGACGATTCGAATTCAATGGTTGTGATGATTGTCGATCCAATGAATTTGTACTAATTTTACGATTTTTATTTGTTTTTGTTGACCAATTAAAACAATCATCACAGACACGTACAGGAATGTTTGGATTAATTTCAACAATAAGAATTGAATTTGATGAACAACCATTACAAACAATACGGCCACAACGTCGACAATGATGACGACGATTTATCTATGAAAAAAAATTCAGAAAATTCATTAAAAACAAAACAAGCAAAATTCAGATGGTCATACCATTCCAAAACGAACAATTTGACATAGCATACAATGTGTTTTAGATGTATCCGAAACCCATTGATCTTTCGATGGAATCGTTTGTGGTATGAAAAATGGTTGAACATTTTTTCCGGTCATCATGGAAGAATCCGATGATATTATAGTCATATCTGAACCATCAAATGAATTTGAATCATATAATTCAATATAAACAGATTTTTGTGCATATTTTTCCACTAATTCATCGGCACATATCAATTTATATTGGTTAATAATTCGATCTAATGATTCAATTTCACTATTCATTAATAATTGTTCAACCAATAATAATGGTATTGGTATTAAATCAAGATAATCTGGTTGCATTTTTCGGCTCAATAATTTAACCATTTCAATACCTAAACGATGACGTTCATATTGATTAATTATAATATAGCTTCCACATTTACGATGATATTGAATCAAGAAATCAATAAGAAATGTTCGAAGATCAAGATTTTCCGATTGATTCAGTATTTTTTCTGCCATAATAATCACATTATTCGATTTGGGATCATCCAAAAACATCTGAAATAATCGTTTCAATGGTATATAATCATTTGTTTCACTATATGCATATATTAATAATTCGATCAATAAATCGGCTGTATCATTTTCGAAACCACGAATTTCAAACCAATCGATTGCCAATGAATAACGTTTTCGTGTTTTAATTATGGTCAATACATCGATTGATTTTAGATTGTTTCTTGCGGATTTCCATGATTTTAATCCAGTTAATTGTCCAACGGATGCATAGAATTCAATTTGTTTCAACATTATGGTCAATTTAGATTTACCTTCCGATGCATCGATACCATAATTTAATTCATCATCGCGAATATTTTGTAAACCTAATCGAATCAATCGAGTAGCATAAAATGTTTGTTCATAAATTTCAAACGAATCCAATAGGCAAAGAATTAATTCGGCTTTCATACGTGGATCACGATGAATTTTGAAAACGTATTTTGCATCTTCTTTGATGAATGCTAAACATGCTAAGATTGCATTCTGGAATATTTGAAAACTTGTATAGAAATGACCGGAAAGTGGTGGAAAATCCGCTGGTATTTGTGGCGATGTTTGATCAGCGATCGATGAGAAATCTTCAATCAATCGAAATAGACGATAAACTTGAAGATAATTTCCGGATGCGCAATAATGTTCAAGTGTTTTGATGACAACATTTTGACCGGCTGGAATTTGAGTATAAAAAGCGAGCAATAATGATGATTTTCGTAGATCATTACAATGAAAATTTTTTCGGATCAAATCCAACCATCGATGTAATGGTGATCCATCGAAAAACTGTAGATTTGATCCAATATTATTAGTAATGTTGAAAATATGTGAATCATCAATCCAATTGAGTAGGCGAAGAATTTCAACTAAAATTGGACATTTACTATGAAAATAATTCAAAACATCTTGATTGATGATTGGTTGAAAATCAATCAAATCATTCATATCGGCTGATGGATCACGATGTTCATCCGAAAAATAATCATTAATAACAATATTATTATCATTCAATTTAGTACGGAAAGCTTGTGCACCTTGAAAATATAATTTAATCAATTCAGAAATTGATGGTTGACATAATTCAGTGATGGTAAATTCAATCGATGATTGTGGTAAAAATGTACTTGGTATGGTTGGACAGAACACTGAACATAGTACACCGATTAAATTGACTTTCATCACCTGTGCTAGATCATCGATAATTTTCGGTGATATTTTACTTTTTATCACCATTGAACATAATATAGCGGATGGACTTTGTTTCAGTATGGAAAAATTCGATGATGAACAAATAATTGATGTATCGATTGTTGTATGTTTATCAATAGATCGAATATCTCGTTTTCGACATTCGACTAATGCATTATTAACTTTACAAACATATTGATATAATGCTTTCATATATTGATATTTACCCAATGGACAATTGGCCATTAATTGATCATAAATATGATTCAATTCATTTGATTCTGTTTGATTAATTTCATTTTGATTGGTATTTAAGAAAAGATCTGGATCTTCAATGATTTGATGTTCAAGTTTGATCAATAATGATTGAAATCGACAATACCATTTACATAGTTCGGTTTGTGTCCGTATCATTTCGACAAATGATCGGATATCCAAAAAAGACGATAATGTTAATGATTTTTCTAGAAATTCATTCAATGAAAACTGACTAATATCCAGATGTTGTCCGAGATTTGTTATAAATTTTTGTACATCATGAACAAAATTTTCTACCTTTTCCGGTAGGATTTTTCTATTCTGCCCATAATCGGATGATGGTGATTGTTCGAATTGTGCAAATAGATTATTATTATGTATGAATACCGATTCAAGAATCGATTGTGCAATCTCCATCGATGGACTTGATGATAGTGCATAATCTAACATGAAAACAATTTTCGTTTCCATTTCAATTGTATCCATTTTCATTAACATTTCATATAATAATGATTGTATACGTGATGAACGAATACCAAACGTTGTTATATCATCAATATTCAATAATCTGGTTGTATTATTACTATTATTATTATTGTTGTTGTTGTTTTGACTATTTGTTTTATTATTATTTTGATGATCATTATCATCATCAGCATCACCGATATGATACGGTTGTTGATAATTGATCGTAGAATGATTATCAAATTGTAGTTGAACATTACAAATTTGTTGATGAAATTCGACAAAATAATCCAACAATTGTAGCTCTTTATATGGCTTAGAATTTCGTAATTCATTGGCAAATAATTCGGCAATCTGTCTTGAACTATCGAGACGATTTTCCATCAATGTATAACATAATAATTGTGTATATGATGCAAGCATACAGGAAATTAATGATGTATCACGATTTGAATATTGTTTATAATCATTATCACTATTTGTTGATACGGAATAATGACGATTCATACCATTCATTCGTTGTTGTTGTTGCTGTTGCTGTTGATCAGCAGATAATCCAGAATGAATTGGTGATGATTGTAATTGATCAATCATTGTAGTGATTGTCGATGATGATGATGATGATGTTTGCCGGAAAAATGCCGGTCGTATTACATCGTAACGGAATCGTGCATCACTTACATATTTAAGTAAACGAGATATTCGTATTTTAAATTTTTCACGCCATTGTGTATCATCATCATCATCGTCATTAATGTTGTTGTTGTTATTTGTTGATTGTAACGATGATGAAGAACGATGATAATGTCGATTAAATAGATCGGAATTTGTTTTATATAACATTGTTTCGAGAACTTTAAGTAATTTTGGTATAAGCCAATTTGGACAGATAAAATTTGCCATAGAAAAATTATTCATCGATTTGGCCATTGTTGTTGATTTGTGACGAATTTTTGGACTAGAATTACTATTTGTACCATATGGTGATTCAAATGATGTTTGTTGTGGTGGTGAAATTGTTTCATCCAAATAATCTTCATCATCAGATTGATGATTATCGTTATTATTGCTATTTTTGATATCATTTTTTGTTAAAAATAATAAACTGAATAGATTTTCCATTATTTCCATACGAAATTCAATCATATCAATATCTTGTAATAGACATTGTAATCGATTTGAAATGTCTATGATAAATTTTTCACCAAATGTATTGGATGAATTACGATCATTAATGAAAAATATACAGAATAAAACTAAACGAATGACAATAAATCCTTTAAGAATGATGGCAATATTACAATCAAAACGATTGATTAGATCACAAATATAATCACAGGTAATATCTGCATTGATTGAAATTGTATCGATTGATGATTGATCATTATTATTATTGGGAAATTTTAGATGAAAAAAATTATTATTTGATAAAATTTTCAATGGTGATGTACCGGTCATTAGACCAGCAATTATTTCCAAACGAAATGTTGAACGTTCATTATTATTATGATTGTTATTATTCAATGAACACCAATCAGCAAATTTGAATACAAAATCCAATTTATTCATAATACGTAAGAAACATTCATCTTTATTATTACGGAATTGTTCTTGATGAAGATTATTATACTGATGATTCAAACGATTAAACAATGAACATAGATTTGATTCATTTTTATCGATTTGATCTTGCATTCGATATACATCTTCATAATTATTAATAATTTGATATAATGATAAAATTGATAGAATAATTTTTGATTTTAACGGTAATTTTAATGATACATCATCTTCATTTTCATCATTACATTGTTTTTGATTGATGTAATTGAAATCGATAAATTCACGTAGAAAATGTTTACGATCTTCAACGGCCAATAGAAAACATTGTTTTAGATTGAAAAATGTTTCAACCATCGTAGAATGGTTTGAGCCATTGTCAAATTGTCGTTGTCTTGTATGACTTGTATCGGAAATGAATCGTATAAATCGTTTACTATTAGCAAATAATCCATATGAATATAGAGACATAAGATCCGAATCTGATTGATCCATTAATTTGGTTGACGTTGACGTTGTTGTTGTTTTCAATGGTCGTAAACAATCGATAACTTGTTTGATTAGATTATCATCATTATATACAGAATCAGGACATCGAAGTAATATCTTCATCATTAATTCTTTGTTCTGATTTTTTAACGTATGTATCAATGCTTGTGAATAGATTTTTTCGAATACATTCGACTGTGATTTCGAACGATCATTATAAACATTGGCTAAAATATTGCATACAATAGAAGTGGTTATTGGATCTTGATACAATGAATTTCGTAGTTTTATACATAATGATTGCACAATTTCACCATCTTCAGCCAATGATTCATCTGCTATTGTTAAACGTCGATAAAAATCCGATGCATATGGATGTAATCTAGTTAGCCTTGACGAACAAATCATTGTTAAATTAACAAAATTTTCATCTGCTAATAATCGAACTTTTCTATTAAGATCCGTACTTGATATGACATTATCCAGATTTGATTGTGAATGGAAAAATTTTCTCACCATCAAATGTATGAGCCATAGTTTATTTGAATCGGAATTTGTTTCAAATAAATAAACAAAATAGCTTAGTAAACTATTAATATGATTACGATATTGTTTATCAAACATTAATAATGTTGATCCATTCGATTCATTGTCGATGTTGATGTGAACATTTTTGATGAAATTTTCAATAGCAATTTCATTGACAAACGTATAGTTACCAATTTTAGTTGCCAATTCAATCTGTTGTTGTAATTGTGTTAATATTTTATCCACTGAAATTGCCCGAAATACGGGCTGAATTATTGGTTGATCCATATGAAGATGAAAAATTTTTAAAATATTTAAAAAATTTAAAATTCATTACAGAACAAACCAAACCAAACAATGATGATTTGAGACGATTCGAATGTTTGTGTTTGCAAACAAAAATATTATTATTATCATTATAATTGTTCGTCTGTATCCACACAATCCGTATCGTTTGGGTGTATTTTTTTCACTTTTTCTTCTCAACTACTACCACCAATGGGCGTTATTGAATGAATGAATCATTCAAAATACAAATGTATCGAAGCAACATGAAAAATGAAAAAAAAAATGTTGTCTGGTAAACTTCACAACATCAATTTATAATAAATTGCTGCACATAAGTTGACATTTCGCCAATGCACACACACACAAATTTAGAGCGCACAACAATCCGAAAGTCAAGTTTACAGGTCAAAACTTGAGACGATTTATAGTGTTTGTTTGCAAAATCCAAAAAAAATGTCAGAAGTGGGATTCGAACCCACGCCAACATACGTTGACTGGAAAGCACACATTTTGAAACGGAAGTTCAAATGCGTTTTTGGACGTTTCGATGATAGAATGCGTATTAAACGCGCACCATCCGAAAGTCAAGTTTACACGTTAAACTTGAGTCCAGCGCCTTAGACCAACTCGGCCATCCTGACTTATCACCACAGCGGAAGTAGAAACCCCCAAACTGCGGTGATATAATTAAAGAGGAAGTATTGGCCATAAGCTTTGATTGGGGAAAATTGAAAAAATTGGTTTTGATTCATATCCACCACCATTGAAAAAATATAGGTTGTTGGTTTTTAAAGTGTTAATGAAGAGTTTTTTTTTGATGGCATTTAAAGTGTTAATAAGGTTATTCAAAAAGTTTTGTCTTTTTTATCTTCCATTGTACAAACGCTTATTATGGGAGTCTATGGAAAAATGGCATATGTTCAGGAGACAGAATTTTTCGAATGATGTATACTTTTTTTTCATTTAACATTGTAGTCTATGGAAATAACATTGCAGTCTATGGCATTAGCATTATGTCTATGGCAACTTTTGTGACGTTGGATAGCATTAGAATCGATGATGAGATAGAAATGTCATCACAATCATTTGGATATATACTCGAATTTAATGAAAGAAAAATATTTATTCAATCAATTCTCGAGGAGGTATGTTGTGTGTATTCTCGATGTTCTCTCTTGTTGTCTGTTCGTTGTACGAGTGTTTAGATGTTTTTTTTTGATTTCGATCGATTCGAATTTGGCGATTTAAAAAAAATATTATTATATGTATTGTTCATTATTATTGTGTAGAAATGTTTCCATTTCATTTTCATTTATTATTTTTATTCTACTACAACCAACGGAAATATAACATAGGTATTTATTCCGCAAAGATTTTCACCCCGTTTCATGCGGAAAAATCCCTTGTCTCCCCATCCGGTTCCCCAACTATTCTTAACGATCCATGCTTTTTCATCCCAGCCAACAATAACTATTGCATGATTGGTTTTCTTTTCACATTTCTTATTTTTATAAACACCTTTTTTTAGATTTTTCATACTACCCAAATCATCAGCATTGATTGTACTATAAACTGGGCCAAATTCTTGTATGATATATTGAATTTCCTGATCAGATAGTTGTTCCGTTTTACCATCCACTGTAACATATTTACCACGTACACAATAATCATCAATGACGGCAACACGATTCTTTTTCGATGCTTTACAGTTTCCATCCTGCAATATTAAACAATTAAACTTAATATAATCACATCATGCTTTGATTTTTACCTTTGATTCATATGGATATGATGCTTCATCAGTTATACCATCAGCTTCAAGCAAATAATTAAATGAATCGACTGCCGTACCACCTTTACAGCCAGTTTTTTTCGCACAATCCACCAGTTCTTGTTCACTTAGATCAAAACTTTTATTTTTGGTTAATCCATTGATAAGATATGCACTTTCCAGTATAGATGTCGATACAAATGCCCAACAACTACCGCATTTATTCTGAAATTTCGGTTCAGTAACCATACCTTTTTGACGCCAATCAAATTTTTTTGGTAATTTATCACGTTTTTTCACTTTACATTCATCGGCAACTTCAATAGCACGTTTTAAACGTATATTTCTGTTGCCATTATTATTACCACGATTTCGATTTCCACCACCACCACCGGATAATGGATTTAATGAACCTAACAGATTCGATGATGATGGTCGATTACCAGAGGATTTTTTCTGCTTACGATTATTATATTCATTATCAATGTTATCGGATATTTTTTCACCCAATAATGTTTTATATTCTTTTTCATCCCAATCGGATAACTGTGTTAAACCAAGCTGATATTCACCAATATCCAATGCGCAGGATAGCGTATAATTAGCAATCTCCATCATTGAATCAAATAGATTTTTCATACGTTTCGGTAATTGTTTTACATCAAAATTTTCTGGGAAATTTTTCTATAAAAAAAAAATTTGAAAAGCACAGAATTTACCAAAAAAAAGAGAAAAAAAATTTTTAAGAAATTCTTGAAGAAAAGAAAAGAAAACAAAAACACTTACATAAAATGTTTGAAGTGTTGTCATTAGATTCTGATTGAAAAAATTATATTCCTCATCACGTACGGACATATCATAACATTCTTTAATTTTATCCAAACTTAATTTCGATAATGATGGAAATAATTTCGAAAATGTTTCATTCGATTGTAGATTGACTCCGGAAAGAAATTGTGTCACTTGATTGGTATTTTTGCCCAATGTATCCATAATTTTCTGTTGACTTGGTGTTAATTTACGAATAATACCGGTACCGGGCAATTGACAATGACAAACAATGGCTACCGTAGCCATTATTATTATGAATTGTTTTATTATCATTTTTGTTTGTTTGTTTGTCTTAGAAATAAAATAAAATTCACTGATAATGAAAATTGTTGCCAATTAATCTACATGAATGAAGGACAGAATTTCAAATGATCATCGATGATGATGATCAATCTGGAAAAAAAAATTTTGTTGATTCAATTTTATCGTCGATTTGAAAAGAACAAAAAAAAACCTGTTGTGAGCAACAACTCTTAAACAAACATTTCCTTTATTAATTCCATTCATTTGAGATCATAATCTTGATGACAAAAAATAGAAAATTTTCAATTTTTATTTTCAATGACATTGAATTTTTTTTTCTCTCCTTCATATATTCATCATCCAATAAATTATCATCATTGGAAATTTTTTCAAAAAAAAAAAAAAAAAAAAAATGTATTGCGACTCATTCGATTCGAATGTGATTCAAATATGCTGTTGTTGGTTGCAATCGAATAACAACAACAACAACAACAACAACAACAAAAAATGAATCGCCATCGAATGAAAATATTGAAATGATTATTTTTTATCTTGTTGTTATCGCAATGTATTTATTGTAAATTTTTCATTTCAAAAAAAAAAAAAAAAATTAATAGAATACTGGTTGTTGTTGTTAATTGTTAATGATAATGATAATATGCTGTTAACAGTGACCATGAATGAATGAATCGGTTTTTTTTCACCTATGTCTACTATTAAACTATTATATTCTATTCCTTGATTGTCGTCTATTCATTGATGATATTCTGGTATTAGTACCACCAACAACCATTGTTGATGATGATGATCGACGATGTTGATGATGACGATTACGATCTTTGATTAATAATCGTACAACATAGATGATCATTGATGCACCGATTAGAATGACAATTACCATTAATATTATAATCCATAATGGTAATGATCGATTTATAATTTCAGGTGTTGTTGAATGTTCTGTTTTACTATCATCCGATAGTTGTATTAGATGTTGAGATAGACTTGTCGCTACTGTTGCCACTGTTGCTGTTTCGTTGTTTTTCATTTCTTCTTTTCAACAAAAAAAAAATTTGTAAAAAAAAAAATTTTTAAAAATCAAACAAAAAACCAAAACCAAAAAAAAAATTCAGAATCACGTTATGAAAAATGAAAGAAAACAGGCTTTTTTGTACAGGCATTTTTTGAAACTTGTTTTTCAACTTTTAATCCAAAAATCAACAACAGTGCAAAAAAAATCGAATTTTTAATCAATTTCATTTGTTTCTGTCAAAAAAAAAAACATTCCATATTCTCGATTGAAACGAACAAACAAACAAAAAAAAACAAAATTTTATTCGTATAAATCAATTATAGCATTACTCATAGAAGAAAGATGGGTGTGTTACAAATTGAATAAATATAAATTTCAGTGGCCAAACAGCAACAGCAACAACAACAACAACAAACGATTATTGATGAATGATGAAGATGATGATAATCACCAATAGGAGAATTATAAACAAAAAAAGGAGTGTTCGAAAAAAAAGAATTATCCAAACATTTCGAATAATTCAAATCACAACAATGAATGGTGGTGTATATGCATGGAAATTGATCAATCATTACGATGGCCACGGTGATTATCATCATTATCATTATTATCATCAAAGTTTAATGTATAAATATTCTTTGTAAATCTTTGTAATCGACGTTGACGTATCAATTCTTCTTGATCATTATTATTGCCATTATTATTATGATTATCATCATTATCATCAAGATTATCACCACCAACATTATGATGATGTGAGATTACTGTAGGTCTTGATGATGATGATGATGATTGTTGAGCAGATGGACTAGAGATATTATTTATTGGTGACTTAATTTCAGTCGATGTTTTTGATGAGGATTCTAGATTGGGCCGCTCTTTTTGTTGTTCAGCAACAGCATCAGTGGAAGTAGTCTGTGTACCAATCGAATTTTGTATTGGACAATTCAATATAACACAATTATATTGCTGTAATCGTATCATTGCGGCAGTAATTAACGTTTTAACATCCATTAAACATTTAATTCTTGCTTCTAATTGTTGTCGTGTTTGTCCTTCTAAATATCGTAATTCATCATCAGAAAATCCTTGTAATAATGTTTCAATCGGAATCTGTGGCATTGAAAATGGTGGTGATTGTAAAAATGGAAATACAGTTGCCGGTATCGATGATGATCCAGCAATATTTGTACTTTCATTATTCATATTATCAAACATTGTTGTTGTTGATGGACCTCCTACTCCTGTTGTCGAATTATTAGCTGATTGTTGTTGTGTTGTTCCTGTCGTCGTTTGTTGTTGTTGATTACCATTATTTGATTGTTGTTGTTCACGCCGTTGTTGCTGGCCAAAAAATTGTTGAAATTGTTGAAATAACAACGGATGTGTAAATGGTGGTAATGGTGGAAATGGAATTTGTCCATTTGCTTGTTGTTGTGGTGGTGGTGGTTGAGTTTGTTGCCGTTGTTGTTGTTGATTGTTATTATTTGTTAATGGCGTTTGTGAATTACCTGGTGGCTGATTCGGATTATTATTATTATTATTATTCTGAAAAATACCAGCCGCAACTCCAATATCACCGGCAGCGGCTGCTGCCTGTTGTTGTTCTTGATTAACACGTAAAACATCCATACGACATGTTGGACATGTTTGTTGTCGTTGAAACCATGATCGTAAACATGAAATATGAAATATATGATTGCATGGAAGTTTTTTACAACTACCATTGCCTAACATATTTTCACGACAAATAATACAAACATTATCGGAATTTTCAATATCTTGAGCAGTTGCATTCGGATAAAAGGCATTCATATTACGTATAGCACGACGAGACATGATAACATCATTGAATGCTTTTTTAAAGTTTCTATTTTTTCAAAAAAAAGTATAAGACATTGATATTAATATTTATATGAATGAATTATTTGACATACCTGATTGCCAAATACAGTGGCCTGATTGAAAATAATGGAAATGTATGTATTTTCATCATTATAAAAATGAATATAACATAAAGGGTAATCTTCAGAAAACCCATAATTAATTCCGTATACAATAGATAGATTGCCTTATCTTCCCATGGATTTTCATTGTAAAGGTCGAAAAAATGTAGAATATATTTCATTGATATATTCAATATGATTGCGAATAATATTGCATACTATTTATATGATTTTGTTTAAAAAAAATAAATGGATTGAGTTAGATTGAAAAATGGAACAGGGTTATAGAATAGTATTACCTCGAAACCAAAAACAAGTTGTACGGATGCACCTTTCGAAAGTGTACTATGATAGGCCATATAGACAAATATTGTATTCAATATACCGAGTATTGATAATAATGCTATATTGATGAGAATCGAGAAAAAAATTTTTTGGTAAAAAATTTTCTTGAAAAAACAACAAATACTTACAAACAACACGTATATGAAAAAATACGGATATATTAGGACTACGTTCCATATAATCGACACGATCTTCGGCCAACCAATGAAAACATTTAAGAAATAATAATAATGTAAACAAGGCAACGAATTTTGGTGAAAGATCATCACGAAACACGGTAAATGCTAGACAGGTTTCCGTTACCGCATACCATGAACGTTCGATTAGATGTTCAATTTCGGCCGTACGTAATTGACCGAAAAATATTTTACCAAGTAATTTTCCAATCAACATGACAAGTATTAATCCTTGTAGATAGATTATCTATGTGTTAGTATGTGGGAATCCAATAATCAATAACCATAATCAACAAACAAACACAACCATTACTTACACCCATCGATGCATTCGATTTAGTTATATAAACCACAGATGGATAGAATTGTTGTTTCTGATAATAGGCATTCGTTATGACCAATGATGATAATACACCACTGATGACAAATAAAAATGATGATTCAGTAAATGATATTGGCATCTTGATATTTTATTATTTATTTATTTCTATTTATTGACAATATTCACAGTTGAATCAAATCGAATCACACAATCGAAAAAGATCGAGGAAAACAAAAAAACATTCAAAAACAATATACAGATTCAATCGATGAAATTAATGAATTTCCAAATGGAAAAAAAATTCGAATCAAATGATTGATTCAATTTGGAAATTCGTAAAACAAAATTTTTTAATTCAATTCACCAGAATTATTGTTGTTGTTGTTGTTGTTGTTGAAAGTTGACGTGTCTCACAATTGTGGCAGCAGCAGCATCATCATCATCATCATCATCATCAGCAGCAGCAGCAGCGGCAGCAGCTGAAAGTTGATAAAACAGAAAATTTTTCCGAGAAATTTTTCTTCAAAGAAAAATTTTTTTTTGTTTATGAAATTCATTTTTCAATTTTGCAATATTGCAATAAAAATAATTAACCGATTATCAGATTATTCGGACAATTTTTCATAGTTATCAACAAAAAAAATGAAAGAAAAATTTCAAAAAATTTTCATCACAGTCGGTACGACACGATTTGATCGATTAATCGAATCATTATTATTGCCCAATGTTATTTCGGTAATTATTATTAGCCACAATTCATTGATCTATTTATTTATTGATTTTCATCATTAATCATCATAGGCATTACATGAAATTGGTTGCAAACAATTAACCATTCAATATGGTCGTTATCATGATTTGGATCAATTAAATCTATTTCAAATGTTACCCGGTATAAAAGTCAATTTATTTGATTATAGTAAATCATTTTCTAATCATATCCATGATGCTGATCTCGTTATTGGTCATGCTGGTGCCGGTACCGTATTGGAAGTACTTCGTATGAATAAACCATTATTAATCGTCATCAATGATGATCTTATGGATAATCATCAACAAGAATTAGCCGATGAATTGGTGGAAAATAATTATGTAAAATGTACGGATATTGAAAATTTTGTTCAAACATTACGAAAATTTGAAACAAAAAATCTACAACAATTTCCACAACATGATCCATTATTGTTTCGAAATTTTATTCAAAATTTATCCACAATGGAAATAAAATCATAATTGATCACAAGAAAAAAGAAAATAACCACCCGTTTAAACGGTTAATAAACCAGGTAGATCCGAACGTTCAAATGTGGGAAATTTTGATTGTAATATTCGTGATAATTGTTCGAATAATTCCTGTATTTTATTCTAATATATAAATTATTATTTAATAAAACAAAAAAAAGTTATTAATTTACAATAAAATCAAATCAAACTACAACTATAGCAACTTACATTGATTTGTTTGAAAATGATGGCTTCAGTTTCCACATTAGCCAGATATAATGACATTGATTTGGCTAATGATTCTTTCCGATCAAGATATGATTGTATTGATTCCTGTAGTTTTAATTTCAACTGTTCCAACTGTATTTCCGATGGTGTCGGTGAAGGTTGTTGTTGATTAGCCGTAAAATCAAATTTAGTATTCACAATAAAATTACGAACGTCGGCCGTCAAATATTCATAACTGAACATAATAAATTCTTCACATTTTTCTTTAATCTTATTATCAACAGCTTTTTGTGAATCGATAACTTTTTCACTAACTTGTGGAGAACTTTCAAATATTAATTTCAATAATGCATTATTCGTTGTTAATGAAAATAGATTCTCGCGTTTCTGTAGAAGATCAATGACGGCAGCTATGGTGGAATGAAAAAGAAAACAAAATTTTGAATAATGATAAACAACAACAATAAAAGAAAACTAACTTTTAGTTCGTGTAAAATCTAAATACACTTCTTTGATTGATGTATCAATTTGAAATGGTGTTATTTGTTCACGAATGATTAACAGATATTTAATGATAAATAGATAACCATCGATTGGACCTTTTCGTTGTTTAATCTGTAATAATGCCGATTCTAATGATTCGATACAGGCAAGTAATACTTCTTGTGAAAGACCTTGAAATGTCAATTTCTTTTAAATAATAAATAATTAAAAAATCATAATTTTGGACTGGATAGAAATTCATTCAACTAAAAACTTACATCCAAAGATCGATACAATTTGGAGAGACACATTATTGAGCTTCGAACTGTTGGATACCACATACCATGTAGATCAACAATGGCACCTAAATATCGAGATGATTATGATGATTTGAATTTCAAAATCAATAAAAATAAACTTACGGCTTGAAACAGTTCTGGATGATTCAGATGGATGATGATAACCACGAACAAAACTTATATCTGATATGGATGATATGATCGAACTAACCGAATCGGAACGTTTCATTACACCTGTAGATGATTTACTCGTTTGTTCTTGTTCATTTGTATTATTCTGGACGTTATTTGTTTCAAGTGTTTCCGAAATTGATTTCATCATTTCCAATTTTTCTGGATATGCAAGATCACCACTTGCCGGTGAATAATTGAGAATATTCTTTTCAACATGAACATTACATCGATAAACAAGACGTTCCTGTGTATCCTGTAGTAATTGTTGCATCGCCTTAACAAATGATTCTAATTCATCTTGATGTAAATTCTCTTCAATAAATTCAAATTTAATTAATGAACAAATTTCCGATAATGATTCCAGATGTTCCAGATGAATAATAATCGGTCGAAGTTTATCATATAATGACATACAAAGTTGATCAAGAAATTCACCTAAAGAATGATCAACTTGAGTGAAAAATTGAAAATATAGCTGATATTCATCACGACAAATATGTGTATAAAGTTTAGCCGATGATCGTATTAATGAACAAAAATTACGGCCAGATGTTTGAATCATTTCATCCATGGCCAATGTAAGCACCGGTGTAATTAATGAATCACGAATTTGAAAATAACATTGATGACAATCGTTAAGAAATTGATTGAATCTGGAAAATAACATTTTAAAACAAAATTATTTTTATTACATACAAATGAAACATACGTTTCCGATTGTTTGGTACGATTTTCAATTTGTTGCATCAATGTTTTAATACGATGTGCATTTAACTGAAATTTTCCATAATACAATGTAAAAACTGATTCATTCGATGTTAATACGGTATCATTTTCAGGCATCACCTGTGTTTCCGTTTGTTTCAATGTATTGATAACATGTGTACGTATTGTATTTAATGCTGATGTTTGAAATCGACGATAATCGATAAGATATTTATTGGCTTCAAGATAGTTATCAATATTGGTCGACATAAATTCAATACATTCATCAAGACGATGTAACAATGGTATTAATGATTCATTCAATGTTAACATTGTTGGTGATGAGAATTTTTTCGACATTGTTTCTAAATCTTCAAAATATGATAGCTTTTCATTGATGGCTTCAATAGCAACAAGTAAATTTTGCTGTTGCTGTAGCAATGTATCACAGGAACTATAAAATGATTTTGTTTTATCAATAACTGATGAATATTCTTCATCCAATCGATTTAGGCTGGCTAAAATTTCGCCAACTAATTCGGTTAACTGCATACATAATCGGTGATGTTCGTTAATTTTTCTGAACCAAAAAAAACAAACAAAAAAACAAATCTTGATTATCATAAAAAATGTTCATAGAACCTGATACATACCTAAATCGTTCATCACTTTGAATATGAATTTCATTCTCTAGATCGTTATATCTTTTGTAAAACTTTTTTTGAGTGAAGGAGGAGAAAAAGTCAAAAATTATTGCGACAAACAAAAAAATTAAATTTTCTTTCTCACTCACATCTTGTACATTGTCGAATGATGTACGGTTCTTTTCCGATTCATCAGTTTTAAGTTTATCGCCATCATTATCCTTTTCAAATGAAACAATCAATTATTAATCATCGAGCCAAAATATTAAATTTCAATCCAAAAAAACCTTAATTAAATCGATTAATCTATCGATAAATTTCTGTTGATTAGTCGATAAAGGTGCTAATGAATCGGCATCATCACGTTCCCAACGATCGAGAAAATTGGAATTCATTTTGACCATAATTATCCCGCCATAAATATGAAATGAAAATCAATTTTGATCAATCAATCAATTACGAATTTCACTAAAAATCACATATATTCTGTTATCAAAATGATACGTGTTTTAAACACACTATTTCGACCTTTACGAGCGAACACACCCGATGTTTATTTTTATACAGAAATTTTTGTACACGAAAAAAGCCGAAAATTTTACTACTCGTATTATTACAGCTGTAACCTGATGATTTATTCTGATCAATTTGTTTTTTTGGATCAATCAACAGATAAATTATGTTCAATTAGATTTCGTTGTTAATAATTTCATATTATCATTGATTAAAAACATACGTTACGGTTACATCAGCCATCATGTCAGCGTCAGCAATCTATTTTCTGGATCTTAAAGGCAAGGTCCTAATATCTCGAAATTATCGTGGTGATACCGATATGAATATTATCGATAAATTCATGGCATTAGTCGTCGAACGTGAAGAGGAAAGTTCATTGAATCCTATTATTCGTTATCAGGATGCAACATTTATGTACATAAAATTTAATAATTTGTACATTGTTGTGACAACAAAAAAGAATGCCAACGTAGCTTTAGTGTTTTCATTTCTACATAAAATTGTTGCCGTATTTTCCGAATATTTCAAAGAATTAGAAGAAGAAAGTATTCGTGATAATTTTGTGCTTATCTACGAACTATTGGATGAAATGATGGATTTTGGTTATCCACAAATAACTGATGGTAAAATTCTACAAGAATATATTACACAGGAAAGTCATAAGATGGAGATAGCACCGAAAGTACCGATGGCTGTAACAAACGCCGTTTCATGGCGTACAGAAGGTATTCGTTATCGTAAAAATGAAGTTTTTCTTGATGTTATCGAATCAGTTAATCTATTGGCTAATGCAAGTCAAGCAATATTGAATAGTGAAATTATTGGATCAATTAAAATGCGTGTTTATCTATCCGGTATGCCGGAATTAAGACTTGGCCTTAATGATAAAGTTTTATTCGAAAGTACTGGCCGTGGTAAAAGTAAATCAGTCGAATTAGAAGATGTAAAATTTCATCAATGTGTTCGTTTATCACGATTTGAAAATGATCGTACTATTTCATTCATACCGCCGGATGGTGAATTTGAACTAATGTCTTATCGATTAAATACGGCATCAAGTGTAAAACCATTAATATGGATCGAATCAAATATCGATCGCCATGCACATTCACGTGTAGAGATTATGGTCAAAGCAAAAAGTCAATTTAAACGTCGATCAACAGCTAATAATGTTGAGATTATTATACCAGTACCTGCGGATGCTGATTCACCAAAATTTAAAACATCTATCGGTACGGTACGATATACACCCGAAGTGAACAGTATGGTATGGACGATAAAATCATTTCCAGGCGGTAAAGAATATCTAATGCGTGCACATTTTGGATTGCCATCGGTTAGTGGTGATGAAATTGAAGGCCGACCACCGATACATGTTAAATTTGAGATACCATATTTTACAACATCAGGCATACAAGTTCGATATTTGAAAATAATTGAAAAAAGTGGCTATCAAGCATTACCATGGGTTCGTTATATAACACAGAATGGTGATTATCAATTACGAACTAATTGATGAATTCGATGTTTTCATTTTTTTCACAAAAAAAATCAACAATTATAACATTCCTTTGTAATTGACAGCCACCATCATTCAATTTGATTTGATTAAAAAGTAAAAAAAAATCAATTAAAATTTTTTAATTATAAAAAAACTTTCTTAACATTTTATTGTTTTGATGTTCTTCTCTATCTTTCTTATTTTCTTCACCATTTTAAGTATTGTAATGAAATACCAATGAAAATCGAATATAAAATGTACAAATCTACAAAATAGTTGTTTTCATTTGATTTCGATTATGATCCAAAAAAAAAATTCCGAAAGTTGTTCAGTGGTATTAATCAATCAATTTCTTAGCTTTGAAAAATTGTCGTAGATAAATAATTTGCCAGATAGCTAAACCAAGAAGACATAACATTGAAAATATGCTCAAATAGAATATTCGAGCATTTGTTGATTCTGTTGATCAAAGAGAAAAAAAAAGTAAATTCATATATTAGAGAATAGAATAGAATAGAAGATAAATAAATAAATATAAATTCATTCATTTACCATTCGTATCGCGCATAGCTTGTTCACGTTTTTTCATATAATCAAAATCGCCAATAATTGCTGCAGATAAATCATCCAATTTTTGTAATTCCAGCTCTAATGGTTTCAATTTCGAGATGGCTGCAACTTGATCATAATTTTTTGCTTCAATACCATGTTTCATTTCGATATGTACTTCACGTGCTTGTGGCATTTGATGTGCCGCTTGTAGATATGATATGAAACAAAAATCAAATATATCATCTTCATCCGAATTAACAGCGAATATTCCTTTATCAATATTTTCACGATTAAAAGCGGCATGTCCTTTCGTATCGGTTATCTATTATAAAATATTTAATCGACAATTATAAAGAAATTCAAATTATCAATCAATCAAACGATCGAGATTTACATACAATTAAATCGGTTCGAACACCAGGTGAATCACCTAGTGAATAATTACCAGTAACCAGAACATCTTTACGCATCTCTTCTTTTAGACATCTTTTTGTATTCGGTTGCAGAAGAAATCGTATTGAATGACCAAATGGACAATTTATGGCCATTATAGTGAACAGAACACTAATGATGACCAGATTTTTATTCATTTTAATCATATAGGATCGTTTCGTTTTTTTATTTTGATGACTATATAAAAAAAAAATTTAGTTAGAATAAATTCTGTCCACGATCAACGATATATCATCGATGATACATCGAATCGGTTGAATTTGATTGCAGATTATTTTTTTTCACAATTTTACAATTTGTGACACCACCAATGTGTATGTTATGTTTTGAGTGCAAATGTGGCAAGATTTTTTATTTTAATAATAATAAAATTTTGCTATTTCACTTAATGCTGACGTTACGTAAAAAAAAAAGAAATACCGGTGCTGCCGCTTTAATATTATTGAGGATCAATGTGGATTATCCATGATGCATAGATGGCAGCACTTACAGTGATGATTGTTTATTCATCTGTGTGTGTTGGATAACATTTTCGTTTTGAGAATTGATTGATTCATTTTTTGCTAAAAAAAAAATTCATTCAAAAATTTTTATGTATTGTTAAATTTGAATTTCGAAAAAAATTTATATCGCGGGAAAACAATAAAATAGAACAACGAATAAAAAAAAATGACACGTCTTGGTAAAACATTAGTACTCGGTGTATGTTTAATCGGTCTTTGGTTACGGTTATTGATGATGAAAGAAGCTGAAACATATTTATCCCGAATTCATATACAATTAATGCCCATCTATACAATCATTTTATTCGGTATCATTTCAGCTTTAATTGTTCTTTATCGTACATTCACATTTAATGGCTGTCCCGAAGCTTATGAAGAATTAAAAGCCGAAATTAAAGATGCTAAAAATGATCTTAAACAAAAAGGATTTGAATTTAAATGAATGACAAACAAAATTTTTTATTTTTTTTATATCTTTCAAATGTAAATGCATCATATGTTTGTTTTGATTTTGTTCATAATGAATTAAATTTTTTTTTCTGAAAAATGAATATGATTATCACAAATGTGTGTGTGTGTGTGTGTATGTGAATGAGCAAAAAAAAAATTCAAGTCAATGAATCATTAAACTATTAGAATCGAAAATTTCTACGATTACGATTGATACCACGACGGATATTGGTACCACCACTACCACGTGGTCTTGGTAATCCACGAATATTCTGCTGTGGTGATGGCTGCTGTTGCTGCTGCTGTTGAGCTTGTTGCTGTGTAATTCGCATTCGATGACCATGTTGTATGATATTACCACGATGTATGGCCGACGTTTGTTGTCGTTGTGGATTATCCGTCCATAATACAGGTTTTCGTTGAATTCGTGGATGATGCGGCTGTTGTTGTGATGATTGTTGTGGTTGCGATGATGATGATGATGATGGAGTGATCGATTCGGTTGGTTGTTGTTGTTGATGTACGGGAGTTGTCGATGATGAACTTTGCGATGTAATAATCGATTCGGAAACTTTGGTCGTTGATGATGATTGTGAACCTTGTGCAATATTTATATTAGATGATGATCTAGCTGAACATGTTTGTTGATTCATTCCGGTTGTTGGTTTATCATTACTATCATCGGTAGCTGTTGATATAGTAGTAGTCGCAGTGGCTAAATCATTTAAATCATTTTTAATCATTTGAAAAAATGAAAAAGTTTACTTACCACAATTATTATTATTATTATTATTACCAGAAGTTGCTGCTGTTGATGATGATGAACCTGGATGTGATGAACTAACTTCCGATATACCACTATTATTTTCAATCGATTGTTTCGAACTTGTTTGCTGCTGTTGTTGTTGATCATGATCATCATGATCATCATCATCGTCATCATCACTATCCAAATCAATAACTTCAATTTTCTTTCCGTCATTTTCTTCTGGTTCTTCTTCTTCATCTTCATCAATATCACTACCATCATCATCTTCTTCATCAATCTCCTCATCTTCACCTTCAAGTATGGATTCATCACATTCTTCTTCCTCATCTTCATCATCAACATCACCATGGCCTTCATCCACTTCTTCATCCGATTGTTGCTGATGACTTGTTATATTATCCTCTTCGGCTGATTCTTCATCATCGGCCAATTCTTCTTCCTCATCTTCAATAATTTGTTCATCATCATCTTCTTCATCCGCTTCTATTACATCATCTATCTCATTATTAGAAGGGTGATGTTCTTGATCGATAACTAATTCACTTTCAACTTCTCCATCTTCGTCATCTTGATTAGCCTCATCATCATCTTCATTGTCGGTCATTTCTTTTGCTTGTGATTCAGTATCATCATGAAAATCATCGTCGTCAACATTATTATCATCTTCTTCTTGTGATTCCATTAAAGCAAATTCTTCATCTTCATCATCATCAGCAATATCATTACTATCGTTATCATCATCACCGATGGCAATGTTTCCACCACTTGATACATTCGATTGAGCTGTAATTTTTGATCGTTTTGTATTATAACCACTACTTGATGGTTCATCAAATGATGTATTTTGTAATGGTCGTTTATTTGATCCAGATGTTGATGTTGAAGTTGATGCTACTTCCGTAACCGTAGAATCTTCAACCGGCTCAGATATATGATGATGATGAGATTGTTGTGTTGTTGTTGCTGCCATAATATTACCCGATGAACTAACAGATGATGTTGATAGTGCAGCAGCAATAGCCGAACCAGAACTAACAGTTGATATGGCTTGTGTTTGCGGTTGAACCGTTGCTTGTGGTAATGATGTTGAAGATAATGAAGAATTTGTTTCTTTCATTGTTTGACCAAATACCTGGCCAAAACGGGAATTTGATGCAATAGATTTGGTCATCGGTTTAATGCTAACCGTTGGTGTTGATTTGCTTGGATTGTTGGAGAAAACCAACGTAATCGATGATGATGATGATAATGATGAGGATGTTGATGGTTGTTGTTGAGGTAACACTGAATGTCTAACCGGTGGTATTGCCGATGTGGTTATGCCGGATGATGTTGTTTTACCACTATTACCCATAGCAATAGTTGTTGTTGTTGCAGGTGCGGCCATTGTTGTCGTTACCATTGAATCCTTAACCATTGTTGATGGACCAACAACAACTGATTGAGTACTCGTTGTTGATGATCCGGTTCCTGTAACCAATAATTGTTGTGAGGATTTCAATTGTAATGTTAAATCTTCAATCTGCTTATTTGCTGTTTGCAAATCTTTTCGTTTTTGCATCATTTGTTGATCATATTCACTACGTAATTGTTCAAAATCAGTTTCCAATTTATTCATTTTCGTTCGAAGTTCTTCCAGATTTTTCGCCAATGTTTCTTTCTCTTTCAAAAGCGTCGATTTTTCCATACTTAGATCGGATATTCGTTGTTTAGCTTGTTGAGCAATTTTCTTGGCAATCTCTTCCTTATCCGATGCATGTTTTTTATATGATTCATTTTCTTTATTCAATCGTTGTATATCATTTCGTAATGATTCAATTGCTTGTTGTTGTTGTTTTTGTTGGGATTGATCAACATTCGTCGATGAAGCTGTTGCCATATCAACAATTGGATCACATTGAACATCTTTATCAATCATTTTAGTGGACACAACAGCAGAAGCGGTAGATGTTGCTGTTGTGGCCATTGTCGTCGAAGTTGTTGTTGCTATTGTATTTTTAATCTTACCAATTTCAGCCTTATATTTTCGTGCCAATGATCGTAACTGTGCATTAACATTCTGAAGATTGGCATTTTCATTACGTGTTTTCTGATATTCTTTACACATATTCTGTTCCTGTTCCATGGTTTTCTTCAGTTGTTGTCGTATATTGTTCAATTCTTGTTCATTCTGTGACAACATTCGTGTCTTATTTTCCAGTTCATTTTTTACCTTTAACAATTCGGCATTATTCATTTGAATCTAAAAACAGAAAAAATTATTTCAAATTTTGAAACAAACAAAAAATTAAAAAAAAAATTCTTACTTGTTTACTCAACGATGTTTTTTCCGTCATCAATCGTTTCACACTATCGGCATCAAAATTTCGAAGCTGTTGCGATAGACTCTGTGCTTTTGCCTTCCAATTGTCCAGATCTTTTCGTAATAATTCCACTTGAACTGCTTCGGCTTCATTTTTTTGATTCAAATTTTGTAATGATTTTTCTTTTGTTTCTAGCGTTTGAAGTTTTCCCATTAGTTCCTGACATTTACGTTCCAATTGATTTACTTGTGTTTTAAATTGAATATTATTTTCACGTAATATTGGTACCATTTGTGCATTGGCAACAATCTCTTTGAATTCATTCGATGTATTCAATCGTTGTGATGATTGTCGTTCCATTTCGAGCATTGATTTCAGCTTATCAATTTCAGTACGATAATTATCCAATTCAATTCGGATCTGTTGATTATCATCGGTTAATTTGGATATTTCCAATTGTAGACCAGATTTTTCTTCACGCAAAAATTTTACCACTGAAAGTAGGCGGGTAGCCGATTCTTTTTGCTGTTGTTCATCCGCCATAAACAATGTGGAATTATTTTGTAATGCAATAATCTGATTGTTCATCTGTTCCAATTGATTAAATAGGCTATCATTCACCTGTTCTAAAGAACCACATTTCATCTGTAATTTTTCACATTCTTGTTGCAACGTTTTCCGTGCACTATCGATCGATTCAAAATTTAAACGATATTCATCACGTAATCGTGATAGTTCTGATTCCTGTGCGGCCAATTGTTGTTGTGAATGATCAAATTTTGTTTGTAATTCGAAAATTATTCTAGAATCTTCATTACGTTGTTGTAATACAGAATCATATTCTTGTTTAGCTTTATCGGCAATGATTGTTTGTAAATGCATTTCATTCAATGAATCATGTTCATTTTGATGTGATTTTTCCAATGCTTGTTGCAATTCATTCAATTCTTTACGCAATTTTTCCGTTTGTCTACCATAATTATCGGCATTTGTTTTTAGTTGCGCAATTTCCGCATCTTTTTCGGCCACAATTTTTTCATATTTTTCCTTTAGATTCTGTAGATCTTCATTCAATTGTGTTATAATCGTTAATTTGGATTGAATTTCATCATCAATATTTTGTTTCATTTGTTGACTATTTTCGATAGCTTTATTTAGATTTTCCACCAATGATTGATTTGTTGATTCTAATGTTGAACATTTTTCTTCTGAATTTGTTAATTTTCCACGAAGAATTTTTATCTCATCTTGTGCCATTTGTAATTCTTTTTTATTTGATGATGAAAATGAACTGCCACCAACACCACCACCAATTGAAACATTCATTTCATCATTAATATCCATCATCGTTTCCGTTTGTGATTGAGACTGTTGTTGCTGCTGTGATATTGTCGTTGGTTGTTGTTGCTGTTGTTGAGATTTTATTTTCAAATCAAAATTTTCTTGCTGTAATTGAAGATATTTTTGTCGTTCTTTATTCAATTGTTCTTGTAGGCTATGTAATCGTGTGGAAAAGCTTTCAATGGTTTCTTTCCATTTATCTTCTTGTTTCTGCACCTTTTCACGATAATAACCAATTTCCTGTTCAAAACGTTCAATTTGTTGCTGTTGTCGTCGTACGGTATCGCTTTCAACTTTAACACAATTTTCCTGCATCACCTTCATTGATTCAACCAATGACATCTGTGTACGTATCTCACCTGTTAATCGTTCATTTTCTTTGGCCAGATAATCTAGCTGACTTTTCAGCTGTGTTGATTCGGCACGACAAAATTCCAAGTTATTATTTTTTGATCGAACATTTTCATTCAATGAATCAATCTGATTCTGTAATGTGATCACGTTTTTCTCTAGATTTTCAACCAAACTATTCAATTTAATATTACGTTCACGTAAAAGTGCATTTTCATCTTGAATTTTTTCCATTGTTAAATTTACTTCATGCATATAGGATTTTTGATTCTGTAATTCGGTAGTCAACCGTGATAAATCACTTTTGACCGTTGAATTTTCTTGTATCAATTGATTCTTATCCATTTCTAAGCGTCTTGTATCATCCAGATTTTTCTGTCGTAACGTTTCAAAATTATCGACATATTTTTCCAATTTCATTTTCAATTCTTTATTCTCGGTGAATATTTCGATTGTATCGAATTCGGCTGAATAATTTGGATTGATTAAACGTTTTTGCTTTTTAGTCATTTCAATAATTTCATTTTTCTGCTGTAATTCTGCATGTAATGATTTCATTTTTGTCTGCAATGTTTCTAATTCAGCTTTTAATTCACCAATACGTTCATCACCATCATTATTTTCACCAATTTTTCGGCTATTCGTTAGTTCATCATTCATTTCATGTAACAATGTTAATAGGTGACGATTTTTTTCTTGTAAATCTTGTATATCTTTGAATTGTATCAGACCATTTGGAATGTTTGATTGTTGCGGTTGTTGCATTGAATCATTCATCTGATGATCATCGAATACCTGAAATCCTTTAGCTTCTTGAATGGCTTTCATTAGATGTACAATCTGTATGCTTAAATCTTGGGTTTCCTGTTGATAACGTTTTAGTTCACGTTTCAACGTATTTATCATCTGCGTATCTTTATCTTTTTCGGCCATAAATTTATCTTTTTCCATCAATAATTGCATCAATTCTTCCTGCAATTTTTGATAATTCTGTTCAATCAATTCATATTCATGAATATTTTTATATAGTAATGGCCTTTCTTCATCCATTCGTTCATTCATGTCTTTTAGTTCTTTTTCCAAACGCATATTATTGGCCACAACACGTGTCAATTCTTGTTTGGTACGTATTAATTCATCATAAAGATCGGATAGATTGACAGCATTATTTAGTTTACGATTCGTTTCGGTTGCATATGGGAAATGTTTCTCAAATTCTTTTTCCACAGCTGTTTTATTGAATTCATTCAGATGACAACGTGCATTGTCCAATTCATTCAATAATTTTTGTCTTTCATCTTCAAGCTCTTTCACATCTTTCATATAGTTTTCTTTCATCGATTCAAATTGTAATTCCAATTCATTATGTGCTTCCAATCCTTTCTGCAACAATTCACGTAGTTCAGCAATACATTCATCTTTTTGTCGTGATTCTTTTTCCTTTTCATCATTATTCTTATTCAACAGGTTAATAATTTCATTTTGTGCTTCAGTCTCTTTATTATATGTACTTTCCAATTTTGTACAATGAATCTGCAATTCCAACAGCTTATTTGACAATTCTTCATTTTTCACATCTTTTGATTCGTTCAATTTTTTCAATCGATTTATCTCCAGCTTCATATTGGCTATTTCATCCGTTTGATCTTCAATCTTTAGATTGGCCGCCAATAATTTCTCATTGTTTTCTTTACGAACATTAAGTAATTCTTGTGTTTTATTCTCCAATTCTTCATTCAATAATTTCAATTGATTTTGGTAGAGATTTTTTTCCTCTTTAAAACGATTGTCCATAAAACGTAATCGAATTTCATTTAATGATGAATTCATCGAATGTTCCATTGTGGACGGATCATTCGAATGTTGTGATGATTGTAGCGTGTCTTTTAGGCTTGTTATTTCGGCATTTTTTTGTTTTAATAATTCGAAAATATCAATTTTTTCACCACTAAGCTTCTGTACTTCACCGACAAGATTTTCATGTTCTTTTTTAAGATTATCACGACCTTTGAGAATATCAACAATTTTATTGATCAAACAAAAATGGATCAAATAAGAAAAAAAAGCAAACACACACTTACCTTGAAGAATTTCATAATATTCATGACGAGATTTTTGCAGATCATTTTCAGTTTCTTGTAATTGTTGTTTAATTTTATCGATAAATTCTTTTTGCATCGAATTCTGTAGATTTAGATTTTGTATTTCACGTTCCATTGCAAAACGATCATCACGGTTTTCGAAACCACCTCCACCGCCACTGGTATTATTGTTGGTAAATGACATGATTAAAATTTAGTGATAATAACAGGCAAAATGTTGAACATTTTCAAATACGAATGAAAACGAAAAAAAAACAAAATTGAAATTGCTCATCCAACAACAAAAAAAAATCGTTTCAAAAAACTAGCATGTGAAACACTCACGAAACAAACGAAAAATTCTCAACAACCGCAACATTTAGCTACTATCGACCGAAACATATCGATTGTATCGTATTCTGTCCATTTCATACGATTTAAAATTTTTTTTTTTTTTGAAATTCGAAAGATTCGATCATCTTTTAGTTTTATTCTACAAGATTTTTTTTTATTATTATTATAGATTGATTAGATAAAATATATAACAATAAAAAAAATTATTTATCAGTAATTTCTTCGGTTTTTTCCAATTTTTTACTCTTAAATCCTGATTCAATCGTTTCGATTGTTGTATCTTCATCAACATCATAATCACGTTTAACAAATAATTGTATCTCTTTATCATCTTTATCGATGGCCGTAAATACATCCACATATTCGATGAGATTTTTTATATCCACTTCTGATAGTTGATAATGGGCTGCAATTTCTTCGATTGTATGTTTATCTTGTTTATGGCTAAGTATTATGTCCAAAATATCTAATACGGTAATTTTATCAACAGGCATTTGTTCCGGTTTATAAAATACGTATGGTAATGGTGCACCGAATCTTTCTTTTGGTAATATTTGTTGACGTTTTAATTGTTCTTCTTCACTACCGAATTGTGGTTCAGGATTTTTATCGAATGCATCCACTTTAACCGATTTTAAACGATCAACAAGATTTTCATTTTTAGCATTTGCTTGTTTGAATAAACTATTGTCTATATAAAGTGAGAGAAAGAAGAATTCATTTATTATCATGATGATAATCTAATTAATCAAGCATAATTACCTTTTTTTGATTCATCAACCAATTTCTGTGTGGTTTCATGCCATGGTGCACGTTTTGGTTGTTGATCAATTTTTCGATGTGCACGATTTTCAACATTAAATTTCTGTACAGGTTTTCGAACGGTTTTGATGAATAAACTTTTTAGTCCTTCACCAATAACACGATATAGTTTATCGATATTCATATCGTATTCGTATCAAATTAATGAGAAAAAAAAATCAATGATCAAAAATTCAATAAAACAAAAAAATTCTCGATCAAATTGGATGTGCTAAAACTATACAAACAATTCCACCTTGTTGGGTTAAATTAGTCGTCGAATTCTGAAATTTTTTTTTTGGTATTCGAAAAATTCTGAAAAAAAATTCTACTTCCTATTTTAAAATATTTTTTAAAAAATGTGATTCATTCTTCTTCATAATGATTAATTATTGATAAACATGATAATATTCATATCGATCTGTATCGATAAGTTTAGTCTTATTATAGCATAGTAAATTTCGTATTTGATTACGATAATCATCGCTGAGTAGCCAATCCATTTGTTGATCACAAATCAATGGACATCCATACATATCGATAATATTCTGTCTGTTTTCCAATAGAAATGTTTCGAAAACATTTTGTTTCAATGTTTTTAACATTAGATTACAATGACCATAATCACCAAGATATAATATTACACGTCTTCTATTACCACCATCGAATGCATTCGGTTCAAAACTATCCGTATGTAGATCATTTCCACTTAGATAGATACGTAATTCATGCCGTGATGGTCGTTGAAAATGAAATGCATATGAACTAATATGTGTGATACGATTATTTTTCAGATCAATTTCTTCCAATTTAGTTGCACGATAAAATGCTTTCGAATTTATTCGAATTAATTGGCCACGTTGTTCTGGATTATAGAATCGTATGATTTTAACATCAGTAAATTTACTGAATGCTTTATATGGTAATGTTTGCATTGAATGTGATTGAAATTCTAATACATGAAGATTTTTCAATAAACTTAATGCTTTGAATGTTTTTCGTTTCCAGTGTGTATTATCGCTCAGGCTTGTAGTATTCAGATAAATATTTCGAACGAATAATCGACTTTGATTACCGAATGCATATTCATTGATATACAATAATTTTGGACAATTTTGTAGGTAAATATTTTCAAAATAAATATTTGCAAATAAATTATTTTCCAACGATTCTAATTCCATATCAATCATATAGAACCATTTGAATTTTTGAAAATAATTGCCATTGCCATTGCCATTGTTGTTGTGATTATTGTTAGGATGGATTTGTTGAAAAATTTGTCGTAATTGTGTCATTCGATTACCAATACAAGTGATCACTGATGAATGACATTCACTTGTTATTAGATTCGGATCATTACATTCAACGGTTTTGGCACCATATTTTGGCATAAAATTACAAAAACATGGATATAATATTTCATATGATGGACATATTTCAATCATACTACCAAAAACGATTGAAACGCAAGCCAATAATAAAAGTAATGATAATTCTATAAAAAAAATTGAATCAAAATCATTTTGCGGAATAAAAATACTACAGTTTTTAAATATTTTTTTTTTCAATACTTACGACCGTCGAAAAACATTTTTCCTTTCAATCAAAAATGAACGACAATTCCGAACCATTCACGAATCGAATTGGAATGATTCGTAAAATTCTCATTCATTTTTCATTTGTCACTAAATTCACTTTTCATTTTGATCATGCCCAAATCCACCTATTTTCAACATCATCGATCGGTTGTCGTGATTCAACGTTGGTGGTGGTGGTGGTGGTACGTACGGAATTTCCTAGGCCAAATTAGATCCAAAAAAAAAATTATGGTGAATGTAAAGAATTTTTTTTTGTTGTTTTTAACAAACTACCGTGAATGATTCTTCCGTAACGTAATTTTCTTTTTATCCAGAACGCTGATGATGATGATGATAAGAATGATAATAATACCGTTCATGATGGCCATAATCATCGATTATTGATTATTATAATAATTACGATGAAAGTGATCGAATCGAATGTGACGCCCAATCATTCGTTTTTTTTTTTTTTGGTGAAACAAAAATCAAATTCGAAACCATTCATTATCTGAGGCGGGGCCATTCACTTTTTTCACATATAATATTTCTTAAATCATCATTATATCAATAATTTGACGAACTTCTTCATCAATCTGAAAGGAAAAGTTTGTATTTTACGAATCTCAAATTCTCGGACGCAGAATCGAAAAGAAAGAGCATTAAAAAATTGTTTTTTTTGTATTATTCATCACCACCAGATGGCGTAAGAAGGAATCTTTTCAGCAAAAAAAGAAAAGACTGCGCATTCATGCGACCATGTGCTTCATGATATATCATGAAAGCCACACCGAACATTTTTTTTCGAAGACAACCAACACGCTGAACCAGATTTTCATTATTCAATTTAAAAATTTTCGATTTTTCTCAAATTTTCTTTGATCCAAATTATCATTATTATAATTTGAAATAATGTTTTTTACAAGTAACGTATTGTCCATGGTTGGACGTCAATTTACACGTAAATCATTTATTCATACTGTTTCTATGATTCGGCAACCATTACCGGCAATGATTTCATCATCATCAAAATATTTGATTCAGAAGCAGCAGCAGCAACAACAACAACGGTCATTTGTATCAAATGTATCGTTGAATAAACGTGAACAAGAGCTAACGGATTTTCTTGCTTCCGAAATTGATCTTGAACGTGAATCGCAGAAAAAACCGTTGCCAAAAATGTCCGATTGGACCATAACCAATACCGGTAGCGATATTGTTTTGTTTAAAAAATTTAACAATGAAGAAATTACGATTAAAGCAAATGTTTGCTATTCAGTGGATGCCGCTAATCCGGATGCTGATAATGGACAAATGGTTTGTAAGCCTGAATTTGCTATTGAAATTAAAAAAGGTGATTCCATTCTTGGCCTAAATTGTTCATTCATGCAAGATGATGAAAATGTTGATGACGGTGCACAACGTTTAGAAGATGATTTTCAAATCAATGAAATATCAATTTATGAAGGTGAATTTCAAAAAAGTAGCTATGCTATTTCAGGTGAAGTAATCGATGGTAATCTTTATGATCTTCTCATGAATGTATTGGAAGGACGTGGTATTGATCAACAATTTGCTAAAAAACTTATCGAATATTCAACAATTTATGAACATAATCTATATGTTGGTCTATTGGAAAATATGAAGAAATTTTTCTCAAATTGAAACAACAACAACAACAAAAAACATTCGATTCAAATTCGAAAATAGATAACACCACACTACTGTTTCAATATTTTTCTGTCATAGATTTTCTTTATTTTTTTTCAATAATTTTTTTTCACTTTTCAAGTTTTTTTTCCTGTAGATTACAATTCTCATTGATTGATTGATTATTGTAGATGAGATTATGTTTCACCACAACCACCATTATTTTTATTACATGTAATCATTGAAAATTAAAAAAAAAAAAAATTTTTCTATCATAATCAATTGACAGTTTGAATTGAAAATTTTAACAACAAAAAACAAATTTCGAATAAACATCAACGGGTAAAATATGAGGAACCGGTATCATGATGTTGACGATGATGATGATGATGATGATGAATTTTTACGATGATGTTGTCGTCGTCGTCGTTGTCGACGTTGACGACCAAAACAACAGCAACAACAATAATTATAAAGATGACATTTTTTCGTCAATACACATGGTAACAATGCAATAATAACCGGTGATGCCAATAACATTAAAATACTGATACCTAAACAAATACTAATGGTTTGTGCACGATTAAAAAATATCGATAAACGTGAATGTCCAAGTTTATTTTTACATGGTCCAGAATCATAATGAAATAAAAGAAAATCATTATCCAATGATTGTAAACAATGCCAACAGAATACATGGCAACAATTACGGCAGGAAATCTGTGCACAGCCACCTTCCCGCTGTATAAGATAATGACAATTTGGACATCGTTTTATATCGAATTCATTCAATATTGAATTATCTGGATCACGACAATCATGGTGGCTATTTTCATCCGATAATCTTGATGAACAGGAAGCACAGGATATTTTTGAGCACTGAAAAAAACCAACAGAAATTAATTTTTTGTTTTTGCAAACATTACTACTACTTACATTTGGACATTTCAGGATTAGGATGGGCTTTTTTTGTTTCTCAACACCGTTTTCATTTCCATTGCCAGTATCGTTGTCTACATTAGTTTCTTCAATTTTCAATTGAATCAATAGAGATTTCATCAAACCATTGTTGTTGATATCATCACCATCATCATTATTATTATTATTATCGAATATTTGCTCACAAAATGGACATTGTAATTGATTATTGTTATTGATAATGGCCGAATTATTATCACCATTTATTTGTAAACATTTATTTTTAGTGAATAATGTTTGAATTTTTTGTCGATAATATTCATTGGTGATAATATCATTAATTTCATCGATCGATATCGATTGTTTACGTAAACATTTATATGATGGACAATAGATACGAAAATGGCCATTATCGATCATGAATTGAAAATAACGATCCAGACACTTTGTGGTGGATGAAAAAAAAAATAAATAAAGAATATATTTTCAAAAACATTCAATGATTCGAACACCATCACCAACAAAGTCGATATATAGATACCTGTATGCAGAATGTACATGAACAAAATGTCATTGAATACATTTGATCGGCTTGTAGTTCATCTAAACATATTCCACAGGTTTTTAATAGATTTTTATTTTTATTATCATCGATAATATTATCGGTTACGATATGATTATCACCATCATTATCATCAACGCTACCATCATCGTCGCCATCATCATCATCATCATAAATATCATTATCATTATTTTTATCCATTCGTTTCTTTTTCTTTGTTAATTTATTGATTAAAAATATGCTTCAATTCAATGGAATAATTTGAATAATAACCAATATAATTAACAGAATTACTAATAAATTTAATCAAAAAAACAAAAAGAATGTGATGAATTATATCAATCACACTTACTGTTTTTTCATTGATTGCATGATTGATAGAAAATTGCCAGGAAAAAAATGAACTTATTCAAATAGGAATTTCATGGCAAAAAAAATTGGAGAAAATGGAAAAATTAATTTCGATACAAGAAATATAAACAAAATCAAATGATTAACAACTGGAAAAAAAAGGTAAACAAAGCGATTCTGTCAAAATATTTTTGGCAAAATTAATGATAAACAATCAACATCACAAACACATACACAGAAAGAGACAGAGAGACAGAGAAAGAGATTCTTTCATTTGAAAAGCAACATTCAATAATAAATAATAGTTGACGACAGAATTCTTTGAATTTCAATTCGTTTTTTTTCTTTGCCATTGGGATATAGATAGATATATAGAGCCAATAACCAGACAAGAATCCTGCTACATGATTCTCGAGTCGACGCTGAAACGTTATCGGTATTATAATTATTATATAGAATATTTTCGTGTCATCATCGTGAATGAAAAACTAACAATGAACAAAAAAAATGTATGCAGAAACGACCTTCGAACACTAAAATGTTCATTGTTTTTTTTTCACTTTTTCTTCGTATTTTTTTTTGTCGATGATGATGAATCAAAACCCGATGATAATTGATATGGCCATATGATAATTTCCATCAATAGTTTATCACAATGACAGTCATGACTGAGCTTGTTTGAAATTATTATGATATTGGAATTTTTATTGAACCACATTTTTGATATTGAAAAAACAAACAAACAAAAACTGAAAAAAAATTATTAGCATACATTTTTTTCGTTTGATTTGTCCCCATTTTTTTAAAAATAATTGGTACAATAATTTTTTTTTGTAGTTCCTGTTTCCGAAAAAAAAAAACGAACCAATTAATTGATTGCGAATCTTGGCCATTTCTTTTACATTGATGAGATATCTTATCTTATTTGATCGAATCAACAATTTGGTTAATGTTTTTTAGGTCTTATATTTCTGTGAAAAATGAAAAAGAAATAATTTTACTTTGGTCATCCACCACCACCACCACCACCATCAATCACATGATAAAATGTGTAATGTAGACAAACTGGTTGTGGATGAAAAAAAATAACAAAAATCTCTCCTGTTGAATAATTTTTTTTCATATCAAAATTTAGAGATGGCTGCAAAGGATAATCATGATGATGTCGTCAATCAAGGCCAAATGATTGATTTTTTTTCTATTTGCTTTTTGGGTTATAAAAAAAATTGTCCAACAAAAAACCACCAAAAAAAATCTAGTTTTTATTTTCCCACACAATTTTTACGGAAATTATTATTATCATCATATGACCAACTTGTTTCAGTTTTTTTGGCCTTAAAAAAAATAAAAAAAAAGTTGTTCCGTTAGATTAGATTCTCTATAATGTTGTTGATGTAAATAGAACGCAATTTACCTGGAGCAAAATAAAAGATTTTTTTCCTGGTCATTCATTTCGAATCTTGGTCACATACACACTCACACCATCATTTTGAAATATTCACAGACAAAAATTATATGATGATGTTGATTAAAAAATATTCGATTCGTCGATGGTGGTCATCATCGTTGTTGTTATTATTGATAATTATTCAATTGACAAATATTATCAATGGATCATCGTCATCGTCATCTTCATCATCAACCAGCTCAGATGAAACATTCAATCACCATGGACAAGCATCATGGAATTTTACACAATGGTGGAATGTACGAACCGATGATAATACACAACTATATAATGAACCGGTTGTATTTCAAGAACCAGCCAAATATCTACAACAATATGGTGATTTTGAACGTTTTGGTCAAGTTGATTATCGACCATTAGGTTCATCGACTGCTACAAGTACATCGATAATGATTGGTACAAATGTTTTCCATATTGATCCAACATTCAGCCCAATTACATCTATCGATGTATTGAATTCAACGATTCGACAATTTTTCTCTCGTTCACGACATTGGTCCGATGATAAAATATATCTTCGTGATTTACGTGAAGCATTGAAGGATAAATTTCTTAGCTATGGCTTAAAAACAGCATTTCATGTATTCAAAACGGAATATACACAAGATAAAATGGTAAAATAAAAAAAATTTCATATATGAATTTTAAATTTTTTTTACCTGAAAATAAAAAAAATTAACAGAAACGACAAACAGCAACAAACATTATTGCCATATTACCGGGAAAATATCGTGGAACACCGAAAGATGAAATCTATTTGATTGGTGCCCATTATGATACGGTACGTCGATCACCCGGTATCGATGATAATGGTTCTGGTTCAGCTGCCGTTCTTGAAATGGCTCGTCTTCTTACCAGACATAAATGCTATTTTAACAAGACAATCATTTTCACATTGTTCGATCTGGAAGAAGAGGTAAATATTTAGCATCGATTGTATTTGATTTATTACTGAAAATTGATCAATTTTGATTTAAAAATTATTTCATCAATATATACAACAAGTATCTAAAAGGTAGTAAATATTTTGTACAACAATATCTAATACCGACGGAAATACGTAAAAATCAAGCCAAATTTAATGGTGCATATATTATGGACATGTTATTGGCATACAATACAACAGAATCCAGCCAATCATTACGTGATTTTTGGGTAAATATTTTCAAATAATAATTTTTTTTTCACTTCCATATCTATAATTAAAATCGTTCACAATCATAGCCAACATTACCGGCATTTGTTGAAGAGATTCAAGATGCTGGATCAAGAGGAAATTTCATGACTGCATGGTCAAGACGAAATATTGATCAAGATCTTTTCTTTTTCTTGGAAAAAAATTGGAAAAATAAACAAATTTATCCATTGAAATTGATGGATCCACCATTACCGACACTAAGTCATGAAGTATCAAAAAATTGGTCAAAATATTCAAAATATGGTACATTTGCACGTAGTGATCATGCAAGTTTTTGGTATCCAATTGAACGTGATACAACATTTCGTTCAATATTACTCAGTGATCTTGGACCATGGCGTAAAGATATGAGTTTCCATTATCATCGTTATGGTGATGATGAAAGATGGTTACGGTATGAAAATCTTCGATTCATGAAAAACACAATCGATAGTTTATTGGCAACCATAATCGATATTGGTGATGGTTATTGTTTTGCGCAAAAAATTTAAAAAAAAATAACCAAAAAAAAATCAAAAACAATTAATTATAATTAAGAAATTTTAATTTAATAATTTATTCATTCATTTATAACTGAAAACTAAAATAATTTTCTATAACATTTCCACATTGATCATGAATCATTGTTGTTCAAATCACAGGAAAAACAAAAACAAAAAAAAATAGGAACCAAGAAACAAAATTCATGTTTTGTGTATGTGTAAATATAATTTACGAAATTAATTGAATTGATGATGATGATGATGAATAAACGAAAGAAAAAACCAGTGAATTAACAAATAAATTAAATGTCATTGTTGATTGTTGATGATGATGATTGATAATTATCTCATTTGTCAATATTTCATATAGATATCAATTGTGGAGCCATCTGGATGGTTATGATCGATTTGTTGTTGTTGTTGTTAGGTTAAAATGAAAAAATGCACTAAATAAATATACTTATTATCACAGATTTAAATCCGAATCGAATGAGTGAGTAAATTTGAAATTTGAAAAAAAATGTTTAATGATGAAAAAGATTAATAGCAGCACCAAGTGCCCAGCTAATTTCAATTCCATTAATTTTTTTCACCAACATTATATCTTTTGTCATCGGTATTCCAAGGCCATAATGAAGATAGCAAGCAATATAGGTTAAATCGACGCAAAGAAATGGATTCTGTTGCCGTATCCGGATCATACCACGGCAAACATTTTCGGCGTAAAGAAAAAAATCACCAACACGTACACGACCACTATCGTTACGTATTACTTTGATATCTTTCATACGATCATAAAAATATGATATTGCATATATTTCCCGATGTTGAAGCTCTTCTGGCCTATCAATATTGGCATCAATAACAAAATGTTCAACACGTGATAAACATTCGAACCATGTACGTTGACCATCACCATCATTATTATATTGAATATGAAAAACAATCTGATCCTGTTGCCAATGATATGTTTCATTATGTAGAATTTTAAAACAAGGACTACGTATCCAATATTCATGATGATGATTATATTCTGTTTTGATTGATGATGATTTTGAATGATCAATATCATTAGCCAGAATTGAACGACGTGCTGACATCAGACCAAGACCTAGATATGAATGTGTATAGATAAATTCCTGTTCACCTTCAATATTTCTTTGTACAATATATTGATGTGATCGAATCAATGTATTCATATTATATGTAGAAAATGTTATCTGTGTTGAGCCACCACCCAAATCCAACGTAGCAATTGATTCATTAATTTTATGAAGTTTATGTAGCAGAAAATTTACCGTATACCATGCAAAAAGACCTTCATCATTTTCTTCGAGCATCGTAACAGAATCATCATCAACTTTAAATGGTAACGATCGAAATTGTTGATGTACATGTTGAAGAATACGATTAGCATCACGATTCGAAAGTAAACGTAATCCGGCTGTTGCTTTCAATATGATTGGTGTTCGATCGGCAAGAAAACCAGGTACAATATCCAATGCTTTACCAATTAATGGTCGAAGATTTTTGGACAATTCCGTTAGATTATGATGAAATGATGATAGACCCGGTGTTGTGTGGAAAAAATCTTCACGTTCCAATAGAATTCGTTGTTGTTTAATATCAAAATTAATTTCGAATGCAAATATATGGATACGTGTTCCGGTACTACCACCATCAAGAATGATGACAAAATTCTGATCTTTAATCATATCTTTAGTCGATTCAATTGGATGTCGTATTAATTGTGTTCCATAATATTTTGAATTAAACGAAATAAACGGCCCAGTAATCGATAAGGCCGTTATCAATATGAATAGAATATATAATTGTTTTGTCATCATTTTCGTTATGAATGTCATCATCGTCGTCGTTGTTGCTAATTTCATATTGTTCATGATTTATTCACATTCGTCGATGAAAAAAAATAATAATGTGTTTAACCTGAGGTTCGATTAGTAAATTTCGATTTTTTCTTTTCGTTTATTTGAATGATACACACAATTCCAAAAAAAAATTGATTAACTGTATATCAAATTACAGTGCAATTTCATTTTATCAAATTCAAATTCCCAATCGACATTTATATGGAAGAAAAAAAAATTGTGATAATCAATTCATCATGATAAAATTAAATGAAAAAAAAGAAATCAAAAAGTAACCAAAACTTACCGGTTTTGTTTATCAATCAAATCTTTTTTTTCTCTTTGTTATATCATCATCATCATCAAATATTTGATTACCCCAAATTGATTGTTTGATCATCATTGATCATACATTTATATTTTATGACATTATATTCACTTTAATTAATGATTCAAAGAAAAATTAGAATGGTCCGACGAAATTATCATCAACAACAACAAACAATAAATAATCCGGTCTAAGTCGGTGTGTTTGTTTACTAATTTGGCTCTATCAAACCGCTATGAAAGGCGCATGTGCGAATCGAAACGAAAAAAAATACGCTCGATTCGAATTTTGGGAAAAAAAGGCGGGCATCTCGTTATTTATGTTCGTTGAAAGTTTTATGTATATTCAATTATCATATCAACCATGAAGAATTTTGAATATTTTGTTTCTCGATAATGAAAATGAATTTTACGATTAAATTTTCCATTAACATTCATGACAATGAAATATCGAAATCTATATCACGCGAAACGAAATGAAAAATCGATTCTAATCATAAACAAAAGTGGAACCTACCGTAACACCGTCCGTCTATCTTACCTGAATTTATTATTATTGTGGTTGTTGTAAGCAACGTTTTTGTTTTTAGTTTTTATTTTCTATTTTTATCCATGATCTTCGATTCATTCATGGAAAAAAGAAACCGAGTATTCTCTCTCTCTCTTGCTTACATTGGGAACAAATTTGAATTTTTTTTCAATAAGCAAAACCCACAAAAGAAAGAGAGAGAGAGAGAAAAAAAAAGATGGCAATCACATCTATAATCATTCGAACGAAAGGTAAAAAAAATTTGACACGGGAATAAAACCGATCCAAGATGATGAAAAGAGAAAATGACTGAATACAATAGAAATTCGACTCTTCTTTTTTTTTTGTTTCATTGGTTTTTTTTCTCTCTCTCTTTTTCTCGCGTTTTTTTTCGTTTCACATCTTCAAGCTTGAAACCGTGGTTGATGATTTTTCGATAAAAATAATAAAATGGGAATGAGAATGGTGGTATATTCACCATTTGTATATATGAATTTTTTGTCTTTTTTTTCTCGAACAACATCGACATTTTTTGTTTTTTGTTCTTCACATATAAATTCATAGCTTGACGTCGAGTTGTTTTTTTTATTTCAAAATATTTCTATTTTTCTCCGTTGTTATTGTTGCTGTTTGGCTGTTCGGTAACCTATTTCGGGTCAAGTTTCGAGTTTGACGAATAATTTTTTTTTTTTCATCGATCGGATTTCATTTTCCATATTTGCAATAGACGACAAACGAATCATCGTCATCAAACGCACACACACACACACACACATTTAAATAAGTGAGCAAATAGAAATTTTCTTAAGTGAAAAATTTTTTAGGTGTTTTGTTTGGTGTGATAAAAGTAACCGAAATCCAGACCAAATTGATAAACTTCACGACAGAAAAACGAATTTCAAATTGAAATTGAATTGAATTACAGCAAAAAAAAACATAAATCTTTTTTTTCCACCGGTTAACAGTAATTTTTTTTTCTTCGTTCAAATAAATGATGAAGATGGTGTTGCGTTGATCGTATGATTTGTTAAAGAAGAAGAAAAAAAATAATTTAAATAAATTCCAAAAACCAGTTGAACCAGAAAAAAACAACGGTCAACAAGCAAAAAAGAAAACATCGTGAACTTTAATCTTCGTTCGAATCACTACACGAATAGACGTTCGATTCGAATCTTTTTTTTTTTGCTGTTATTATTGTTCACGTTTGATCGAAAATCAATCAATTTTTCATCAATCAATTAATCTTACCCCATTTTTTTCTGCGTGTTCATTTTCTTCTTCATCATCTTTGTTCATAAGTGGTAAGTGATAATTTTTTTTTCTTGTAGAAAAAAAACAAATTTTTTTTTCATTAGACAATGATTGATTTTTAATCATTGTCAATATTTATACAATAATCAATAATAATATCCTGGTTTCATTGTTTTTTCCTCTTCTTCTTTTTTTTCAATCATTGTTCGTTATATTTAACTGTGAAAATTGATTCGTTGCCGTCATCGTCATCATTTATTGTCTGTTCTATATTGTATATCTTTTTTTCGGTCAACAATATATCGATATATTTGTTGACATGATACATACACATGAATCCATGATGATGACAGACATTCATTCATTCATTATGTCATTTATCATCAAACAAACATTTGTTTTTTGTCATCATACTGTGTGCCTTTGAGTGTGTACGTGTGATTGTTTATTGATTTATTTTTTTTACATTTTATTTCAATTGTTCAGAAATTTTTTTTCTTCATCTGTTTTCCCTCTTCTGTATATTGATTGATCTATATATAAATTTAGTGCACATGAACAACAATGGAATGGCCACAATTAATGATTCTATGAACACGAATAACCGAGGGAGGGAATATATGTCATCATTTGTCTGTGTCCATTGTGTGACACATGAATTTATTTTCCTTTGTCGTGTGTCATGAATTCATTATATCAAATCTAATTCATTCATCATCAATCAGAAGCTGCAAAGAAAACAATCAAATGTAGATGTGTGGCTATTGTCTCTATACATCAACAACAACAATTCTAAAAACACATAAATCGTAATTCAATGCTGGTCAAATCCTTAGAACATGATTGGATTAAATTTTTTTTTCTTTGGATTTTTTTCAATTTTCATCATGTCTAAATAGATGATAGGTTGTAGATGTTTTGATAATCTTTAACAGTTTGTGTGGGTTTGTATATATATGTCATAACAGGTGAACAGCTTATAAAGCTTATCTTTCGTGATTTGAATTGATTTTTTTTTCTTTTGAAAATTGTCCAACTTGTCATTACATCATGGTCATACTCTCATTTATTAATATGATGTGTGTGTGACCGTTATTTTTTTCGAGAAAAAACAAGCAAAATTTCTAAGTAAAAAAAAAGAAAGACAAGGAAATTTGAATGGGCATTTTTCTTGGTGAAAAATTTCCTCAAAATTTATTTGATTTTCAAATTTTCTTCAATTAATTTCTGGTGAAACAATGTTGACATTATATTTCAATCTGAATACATTGGTCAAACACAAATCAAATAAAATTGAAATTTCCTCGTTTTTCGATCATATACTCTGAATATATGGTGATGATATTTTTCAATTTTGAGCATCATTTTGTTTTTCTTTTGGATTTGAATTTCACCTTTTTTTTCGTTCGTTCGTTCACTTGTTTTTCAACTGTTTCAATTTATTCTCCAATAATTATTCTGAAATAATGTATCTATTGAAAAATATTTCCTATGGAATCTGGTATTGTTTACATCAATATTGGATCGATGCATCCGATCCACGTATCAATCATCTACCATTGTTTGAAGGTGGTCCCGAAATTGTTCTATTAATTTTAGCAACATATTTATTATTTGTCAAAATAATTGGTCCATGGTGGATGTATGATCGTAAACCATATGATGTATTCATACCAATGTTATTATATGATATTATTATGGCCATAATTAATGCGGTAATATTTCTATCAATCATTGTGAATCATATTGATTATGGTCAAAGATTTTTACAATTTAAATTTCCCGATCCAAATGACCATTCGGAACGTACAATATCAGAAATTAATAATGGCTATCTATGTTATCTAACACGTTTGGCCGATCTATTGGATACGGTGTTTTTTGTTCTACGAAAAAAACAACAACAAATTACATTTTTACATATTTATCATCATACATTAGTACCATTGATCGGTTGGATGGCATTGAAGATAGCACCACAGGCACCGGTTATCATATTATTCTTAATGCTTAATTCATTCATCCACGCTGTTATGTATACATATTATGCATTAGCTGCATTCGGTAATCATTTACGTCGTTATCTTTGGTGGAAAAAATATATTACCCAATTACAATTAATACAATTTACCATCTGTGGTATCTATGGTATATTGATGGTATTCCTGGCCGAAGGTTTTCCAAAATTTCTTTTCTGGTTAGGTTTTGCACAGAATCCATTCTTTTTCTATATGTTTTATGATTTTTATCGAAAATCTTATCACAACAAGAAAAAACATCTTTGAATCGTTGAATTTAACAAAAAAAAAATTAATTTTTTGTTTTCAAATAGAAAAAAAAATCCTTCGTTTAGATTAAATAAAAATCCATTGTTTTTTACAGCTTTTGTTTTTGTTTTATTTTCTGATATTTTTTTTTAGTTTTGAAAAAAATTCTAGGAATTTTTTTTTCTCAACAAAAATAAATGGACATAATGATGATAATCAAACGAATATGGAATGGATTCTGGTATTGTTTTCATGATTATTGGATAGAAGCAGCTGATCCACGAACCCGCCATTTTCCATTAATTGAGTCGGGACCTGAACCAGTAATCATTATATTATTGATCTATCTATTATTTGTTAAATTAATTGGACCATGGTTCATGAGTGATCGACCACCATTCATTCTACGGATACCAATGTTAATCTACAATATTAGTATGGTCATTATTAATCTATTTTTATTCACATTCATCACAAGCCGTATTGATTATGGAAGACGGTTTTTAAATTTTAAATTTCCCGATGTTAATGATTTTACACCAGAAACAATATATGAAATTCGTATCGGTTATATTTGCTATCTAACACGTTGGGCCGATCTATTGGATACGGTGTTTTTTGTCCTGCGGAAAAAACAACAACAAATTACATTTTTACATATTTATCATCATACATTAGTACCATTAATTGGTTGGATGACAGTGAAAATTGCACCACAAGCACCGGTTGTTGGATTATTTCTTATGTTAAATACATTTATACATTCAATAATGTATTTATATTATGCATTAGCAGCATTCGGGCCAGAAATACAGAAATATCTTTGGTGGAAAAAATATATAACACAATTACAATTATTACAATTTACAATCTGTGGTATTTATGGTATTATTATGGTATTCTTACAGGAAGGTTTTCCACCTGGCCTATTTTGGCTAGGTTTTGCACAGAATCCATTCTTTTTCTATATGTTTTATGAATTTTATCAAAAATCTTATCGTAAAAAACAATTACAACAACAACAACAACAACAGCAGCAGGAACAAAAACAACGACAATTTGATTTAGCCAATAATAAAAATGTACATGAAAAGATTCATTAAAACAAACAAACAAACAAAACAAGACACACACAAACACACACACATAAAAAACTAATTGTTTTTCATATATATTATTTTTATTTGAATAAACTGTTGTATTTTGTTGTTGTTGTTGTCGTTTTTTTCGTTGATGATTTTTCTCATCTATTAATTTGGAGTGGTTAAATAAGCGACGAAAGTTGCCCCAGAAAAAAAAAATCATTTTGTTTTCTCTTTAACAGGTATTTGTGAAAATTGTCAAATTTTCGCCATTTCTTCAATAAATATTGCAAATGATGAAATGGAAAATTTTTTAATTTTTGTAGATGAAAAACACAAATTTTTCATTCGCGCTTCACATTTGAACGTTCGAATTAAAATATACACGTTGCAATACACTTGGTTTACTCTGTACTATGCATCAATTTTAACACCAATCGACCTGGTATTGATGAAATAGACGACCAATATATAAAATACCATTCATTTTTCTTTCACTTGTTTTTACAATGGTCATCGTCATCGTTTTTCTCACATGTACATCTATCGTTTTTTTCTGGATGATTAAATGTTTCATTGAGTGTTGTTTTTATTGATCATCGGCAAATCACGATCTTTATGATTGTGTGGCTTCATCCAGAAAAAAAGTGCTAGCTGAAAAGGAAAAAAATCTTGAATTTCTTGTTCGAGAGTGTTCGACGTAAGTATTGCTCAAATAATAAAATATTCTTGTTTTGATTCGAAATTAATTGGTTTCCATTTTTTTTTGTTTTGTTGATGAAATAGTTTTGTGTTTATCGAGAATAATGGATGCCGGTGATGAAATTCTTGAACCATTAGAGCCATCCATACGGAATATAATCGAACAGAAAACATTAAAATGGATATTTGTCGGTGGTAAAGGTGGTGTTGGTAAAACAACTTGTTCATGTTCATTATCCGTACAATTAGCTAAAGTTCGTGAAAGCGTATTGATCATATCGACTGATCCGGCACATAACATAAGTGATGCATTCAATCAGAAATTTTCTAAAGTACCAACATTGGTCAACGGATTTACCAATCTATATGCAATGGAAATTGATCCAAATCTTGGTACCGAACAATTGCCGGATGATTTTTTTCAACAAGATGATCCCATGCGTTCAGCAAGAGGTATCATTAAAGATCTTTTAGGTTCATTTCCCGGTATCGATGAAGCGATGTCATATGGTGAAGTAATGAAATTAGTAAAATCAATGAACTATGATGTTGTTGTATTCGATACGGCACCAACTGGACATACACTTCGTTTGTTAACATTTCCAACAATTGTAGAAAAAAGTTTAGGTAGTTTTATGCGAATCAAATCACAATTTAGTTCAATGTTTAGTTCATTATCGACAATGTTTGGTTTACAAAGTAATTCAGGTGAAATGATTAATACAAAAATTGAAGAATTATTACCAATCATAAAGACTATTAATGAACAGTTCAAAAATCCTGAACAAACCACATTTGTTTGTGTTTGTATTGCTGAATTTCTATCACTATATGAAACTGAACGTTTAGTACAAGAATTAACGAAAATGAATATCGACACGCATAATATTATTGTCAATCAATTGATCATGTATCCGAATGGTCAACCAATCAATTGTAATGTATGCCGTGCAAGAATTCGTATACAACAAAAATATCTAAATCAAATTGAAGAATTATATGAAGATTTTCATGTTACAAAATTACCATTATTAGATGATGAAGTACGTGGACCGGAACGTGTTATTTCATTTAGTAAAAATCTAATCGAACCATATGATCCATCATCATCAAGTGGTCATTCATCTTAATGTTCATCATCAGCACAACAGCCTCTTTCCAGCTATCACCCAATAATTTTTATTTGAATGAAAGTAAATTTGATTGATTTTTCTTTTCTTTTGTCAATTTATCGATATTTAATTGGTCAACAAAAATTTTTTAAGATGATTTTTTTTGCTGTTTTAAAATGAATAAAACTAAATTAATTATTGACTTTCTTTTTTTGGATTGTCATTTAAAAAAAACATTAAAACACTACGATTCTATCTTGAGATATTTGAGATTTGATGGAAATTTTTTCTTGTTAGAATCCCCATTTATGAACTTTCAAGAATGACCGAAAAATAGGTAATTATTGCCGTTAACATCTGGATAGAATTTGACAGAAAACAGAATTTAAAAAAAAAATTTAAATTGATTCTGAAAAAATATTCTTACACTTGATATAAGACCACTGGTTAATACGAATGAATCCAATATTGTTAAACCGGTCGTTGTATTCGATATACGTTGCATGAATAATGTTGATTGTAATTGAACGCTTTCTGGTAAATTATCAAATTTATTAACACCATGCATTGCATAATATGGTTCATGTGCTTTCGTAGTGATCTGTGCCGATAATACTGAAACATAATAGACCTGGAATAGATCACCAACCATCATTATTGCAGCTAATAATAATCTTCCTTGAGGAGTATATTTTGTTGAAAATATTATCTGATAAGATACGAAACAAATATGTGGTGCAAATATCATATAGAATATGAATAGATAAAATTTAAGATGTTTGTTTGCATGTTTAACCATTTCACCGACATTATAATGTTTTATAATTAGACCGCTTAGCTGTTCAGGTTTCGTATGAACAGAACGATCACTCAATACAGCATATTCTAGATCACGTTTAATTTCATCATAACGAATATGTATTGCATGACAGATTATAAAATGATGACCTAATGCTGTCCAATTGATTATCATCGTTAAACATCCAATTATGAGTGTGAATATAAACCATATAAAATGTATTATAATAGCTATTTGACCATGATTATCATTGGTGAATAAACGATAACCGATGTCAGTTTTAAATGAAATGAATGACAAACTAACAATTATTACAACTGTACCAATCAAGGATATTTTGATGAATAATTTTGCCCACCATAATGCCGATTTCATTCGTTGTCGAAATTCTGGTTCAATATCTTTATTCACATAATAAGATGTTTCCGTGTATAAACCATCAAACTTGATGAGCCATTTACGCATTTGATTACGTTTTCTTATTTTTGTTTAATTGTAGAGAATTTAAAATGAATTAATATGAAAAATAAATATTAGAGAATTAGTTACCGTGTGATCCAAAAGTAGCAAAAAGTTGCATTCAATACCCAGCAAAATCCGAATAAATGTAATGATAAAAGATCTACATGTGTACCGAATGCTATGAGTATATCACCCACATACAAACTAATCAATTGCTCATGTTCATCATCAATTTTTTCATCACAATAAATTATCCAACCAATACAGAAAATCTGATTGATTAACAGCACGGTCAATAATAAACGCCAGAAAATGATAGAGAATCGTTTTGAATCACCATTGATACGCATATTTGGACGATCAATACATTCTTCAATGGTTTTTAATTGACCACCATCTTTTGGTAGAAATTCACGTTCGAAAAGATTGAATCCAATCATTCGTGCCAATGATTCCAATTGCCAAAGATAATCATGAAAATATTGAAAATCAACTGTGGATTGTGAACTACGAAATAATGAATTGAAATTTCCATATTTTTGTATCGATTTCTGTTTGATTGTTTGATTATTTGTATCGTCTAACGTAAGTGAATCCATTGAATTATGATACCATGTTCGATATGGATGATTACGATCACCAACAACACCACCATTATGATGATTTGGAAATATTCGATTCCGTTGTGTTTGTGACATTTTTGTGGTGGTTTTTTTTCGATTTTTTTTCACTTTTATAATACTGGATGCCCAATGTCCATTGAACTTTATTTTCTTGCCAAATTTTTTGGCATTAAATCTTCTTATTAGACGGTTGAACATTCAACAATCATCATTGCTTTGACCATAGAATAAAAGATCGAGAACATTACCGTATGAAGTTGTCAACAACAATATATGTGAAAAATCAAAAAAAAAAAAACATAAAAAAAATTCAGAAAAAAATCCAAAATAATCGATCCAAATTGTGTCGACTTTTTATGATTGAAAGACAAAATAAAAAAAAAACAATACAATACGTACTTGTGGACAACAGAATATATTATCATAATCATAATAATAATAAATAAATTTGAAAAAAGAATTTGTCTTGGTTTGATTCATATTTTGAATCGATATTGTTGAAACATAATAATAATAATAATCATAACAATGTTGATTTTCATATACATTACTATATAAAAGAAAAAATTTTGCACATAATTTCTATTGAACACGCAATTTATCATATCATCATCATCATCATCATTATATTATGAATTCTTCGGAAACATATTGTTTTCGGCAAAAAAATATGAATATGAATTTCATACAATTTCCGACTATTTCCATTTATTGAATATAACAAAATTATTTATTCAACAAAAAAAATCAATTCCATTATAAAAAAGAAAAAAAAATCTTTATTTTTTTTTATTTTTACCAAAAAAAAAGAATCGGAAAAAAAACAGCTGATCATCAAAATCATTGATCAATATTATCATATTCATATTTTAAAATGGTTCAGAATATATTTTTTTTCATTTAGAAAATATAATGAAAATGTGATATAGATGAATGTGTGATGATGATCATGAAAAATTATCATTATTGTTGTTGTTGTTGTTATGATAAGATTATTCAAAACAAACGGAAATAATAATAATAATAATAATAATAATGAGAGGGAAATGAAATGTAAAATAAAAAAAAGCAAATATAGAGATACTTTTGAATTGATGCGATGTGAAATTAATGATAATAAATTTTTTGAATATGCAAAAGATTCGGGCCATTATATCATCAGACTGGTTGTGTTTCTATCCATTAATAATATCAATATCGTCGATTACGTTTTCCATAGTTACCATTATCATTTCCGTCACCATGATTCATTCCAGATTGTTGTTGTTGTTGTTGTTGCTGAGATGGTGGTTGTGGACCATATAACTGTGGTGGTGGAACACCATTATACGGCACAATCGGTACCGGTTGTCTTGATGGTGGTTGTTGCATTTGTCCTGGATGTCCACCAGGATGATGACCAGGTAGGGGTGGTGGTGGTACACCACCATAAGGATGAAGATGATGATGACTCATTTGTGGATGTTGGGGTGGAGGTTGCTGCTGCTGTTGTTGATGATGTGGCGGTGGTATACCACCATAATGATGATTTACATGTTGATGGCCATAAGGATTTGTTGGACCATGTTGTGGTGGCGGTGGCGGTCCAATCATTCCGGCCATTGGATTGGCTCCACTCATTTGCGATGGATGTGGTGGTGGTTGAACTGGTTGTGGAGGTTGTGATGGACCATTACCAACATTACTACCGGGCATCATTTGAGATTGTTGTTGTCCATAGACCTGAGAATCCATCTAATGAAAAACAAAGGGATATATGTTTTTCTAAACATCGAAAAATAAATGTTAAAACTTACATGTTGCCCCATCGGATCCATCTGACGTAAGGATTGCTCTTGACGTTCCAACATCTGATGTAATGTGGTTACTTGTTGTCGTAGATCACTTTCCTGTCGTCGTAGCATATTCACATCATTTGGTGTATGCTGTTGTTGACCACCCATCAATTGTTCTTCCTGTTGTCGAAGAACATTTTCATGATGTCGACGCATTTCTTCACGTTGTCGTTCATAATCTTGCCGTGTATCACGTTCAACATTCATATGTTGTATTTGTGATTCCATTCGTTGTAATTGTTCTCGTAATCGTTTGGTTTCCTCTTCCAAACGAAAATATTCCATTTGTACAATGAAATTTTCACGTTTCTGTTGCATTTCTGTTTCGAATGCTTGTCTTCGTTCGGATTCATGTTGCATGAATTCTTTCCATTTTTTCGCTAATTCATTTTCCACTGTATTCTGTTCGGAGAATCGTGGACCAATTTCACGTTCACGACGATAATCCGATTGATATAGAATATTTTTTTCCGGTACACCTTCTTCTTCGTCACGTGATTCCAATGATGTTGCAATACAAGGTAATGGTGATGCCGTCAATAATAGACATTCATTTTGACATTTTTTTATCGCTGCTTGTGCTGATGATTTACGGGCAAATTCAATAATACCTTCATTTAATGAACGGCCACGATCATCGGCAACAACAATGGCACGTTCAATTGGACCAAATGTACTAAATGCATATTGTAATAATTCATTCGAAACACATGGCGGTATATTCGTCACTTTGATCGCAGCAGCATGAGCAGCAAGACGTACACGTAATGTACGGCCTTCGAATGGTTTACCATCCAATGCATTTTTTGCATTCTCTGCATTAATACGTGTATCCATCTTAATGAATGCAAATTGATTTCCTTTACCAATGAATATTTCGGATGTTTGTCCAAATTCCGAGAATAATTTACGTAGTGCTTCTTCTGTTGCTGTGGATGGTAGATTGGCTACGAATAAACGACATCTTCCTATTGATGATGACATGAATGGATGTTTACATCATCATTAGTAGAAAAAAACATTAAATATAAATAATCAAACCTGTAAATGTTTGGGTTGATGAATCCTGTGGTGGAAATTCATAAATTGGCTGTCCAGTTAAACGAGGACCAATCATTTGTGGCTGTGATGATGGTAGACCATTATAATTTAATGATGATTGATCACCATCTTGATTATGATGATAATTATTATTCAATTTACGTTTCTTATTCTGTTGTTGTTGTTGTTTATTCTGTGATTGTTGTTGTTGATTATCCGATGATTGCTGTTGTTGTTGTTGTGATCCAAGATCAGAATCGGATTTCATTTTTGAAAACATTTTATTACCACCATCACTACCACTTCTTGTATTATCATTATTGTTATTATTTCGAGCAGATGGTGGACGATTATTATCCATTGTTGAACGGATATTAATTTTAATATTCGATGATGATCCAGTGGATGATTGTTGATTCGTTGTATTCGACTTTACCACCGGTGTGGATGGTGCTGATGAAGATGTTTTCACTTCGGCCATCATCATTGATTATCAATTCAAATGATGATGATGATGATGATCATCAATTACTAATTATTCAAAATTTTAAATTATCTTATGGATAACAACAACAATGCTACTAAAAAAAAATTCTTGAATTTCAGAATATTGATGAACACACACACACACACACAGACACACGAGCACATATATATACAGACAATGGATTTCAATTCAATAATACCACATCAATTCTATATAATCACATAACAAACCGGTCAACATATATGCAAACAGAAATAAATAAGAATCACCCGACAAAAAAAAATATTCCAACATCCAAAAGATAAAAGACCCAATATGTGATAATGATGACAACAAAAAACGTGTATTTGAGTGTATCAAGATAGATAACCCGAACAAAAAAAAAAACTATACATCTACATCTACACATAAGAACTCAAATACAGCTGTATCAGTTTATTATGGTCATAGTATTAGTAGTAGTGGTATAAGTGGATATTATTACCATTATTCTAAAATCGATAACAATGGCGGATCACTATCATTGTATACTGCTACCATGTATTCACAGAAATTATAAGAGTTATGATGGAAAATTAAAAAAAAAAAAAAGAATTCTGGTTTTGACACGCATGCGTTGAAAGAAAAAAGAATTTTTTTTTTAAATTTTTTAAAAATTTCAAAAATAAAATAAAATTCATTTTGTTAGAAAAAAAATCCATATCATTAAAATATAAATCATGATTGACTTAGATAAACTAGATCATCGGTGGTAAAAAAAAACTAAGATCAAAATCAAAAACTTCATTGATTTCAAATCATCATGACCACCAATAATTGATGGAAAAACTATCGTTATGTGACCGAACAAAATGCCACCAATTTTTCGGTATGAATAATATATCACCTTCGGTAAGGAAACAATCAAAAATGAGATTTGAATCAATATTTTTGAATTCAGGAAATAATTCATCATCCACATTTTCAAAATCCACTTGTGATGTATTCCAAAGTAATGAATCTTTAGCATTTGGATAGATCTGTTCATCCGGTGTTTTTGGTGAATAAAGACGAATATATTTTGTGCCAATCACTTGCAAAAAGAAATTATTTCGACCATCAAAATGTAATGGTGAAACAGTACCGGCCGGTCCAAACCAGGCATTAATTTCAAAATTTATGGCCGAATTTAGTTCATGATCATCGCCATCACCATCACCATCATCGGTTGATTCACTGATAGCACAATAAATCGGTACATCAATATCACGATATAGATCTAGAATCTGATCAAATAGATTATGTTGAGCCATATAGCCAATTGGTTTTGAATGTTGAAAAATCCATCTTTCCATGAATTCATAAATGAACATAATTTTCTGTGACCAATCATCAGATGTGTATTTGGATCCTATTTCTACCGGCACACGACGAAATGCCATCTTTTGTAGTAAATATTTTAATGTCCATTTTCGTTCATTCAAACATGGCCAATCACTGAAACCACGTTTAATAATGAATGGACGATTTTCACGTAAAAATTTTTGTTGAAATTCTTGCATTTCTAGCTGATGATCAATAGTTTCGATTGGAAAACGAAGCATATCAATAGGGAAATATAAATTATTTGTTGTAAATTTTTCATCCACCATATTATTCCATTGTTTCCATTTTAAATTCAATTCAATCGATAAATTCGGTGATAATCGATCAAGTATGTTGACCAATACTTGATGTGAAATTGAAGCCATTCTGGCGAGCAATCGATTTCGTAGATCTGGACTCATAATAAGACCATCATCCAATAGTTTCAAAGCATCGACAAGTAAATCGATAATGTTTTTCGATGGAATTTGTATCGCTGACAATGTTAATAATGATTGTAGCCATTTATGATATGCATAAATCATACGTGAAAATACTGAAACATTTGCCCACATTCCGGTATGTATTTCTTCCCATAATTTATCCGTAACAATGATCGAGCTTCGTAATGCTAAATCATATTGTGATCCTCTGGAATTATCGAAACCAATATCATTGGTATCTTGAAATGGTTTGAAAAAATCAAGAAATCTTTTCTCAGTTATATTCATAAAATCTGAAATCACTTTTCCCACATATTCTTCGGTAAAATTATGTACATTTTTCAATATTGAATCCGATGCCATTAATTCGGTATTGATTTCTGTAGCCATAAGAATTGATTGCCAACTATGACTTTTATTGTCTGATTCAACATGACAAAATCTATGACCATATATCGTTTCAAATTGATGTATAGATTCAGTCACAATTAAACGTATTATGAATATTTGAATAGAACGATCGGGTAATTGTGTGGCACCGTTGACGACATTTTTATCCACAAATTCAACAATAGATAGCTAATTGAATTGAATAATTAAGATAATTTTTTAATGCCAAAAAAAATCACATCAACAAAACAAACCTCCTGTTCGGTGTCCATCATGGCAACGACAAATGATCATTTCAATGATCACACACACACACACACAGACACACAAACGATGCTCAAACCAACAAAATGTCGATTCAATGATCATCGGTTATATCGGCGCTTGATTTAAAAAAAATTGTTCAAATTACCAACCTTTATGTTATAATGACCCCTTTTTTTGGGGGGCAGACTTTATACACTCAAAATGAGTTTCGAAAGTCAAAGAAAATCAAAATGGGAGGAGCTTAAATAAACGACAGCTGACTATTTTTTTTTCATGCACAATAACATATTATTTGAACGGTTATAATTTCAAATGCTCAAATTTCGCTCCAAATTTTGTCAACAACAAGTATTTCATTGCAAAGCTAAAAGTATGATGAAAAAAAATGATAGAAGATAATGGAAATGCTTAAAAAGTTTTTCAAGATTTTTTAAAACATCAAAAATTCATCTATTTGATTAATGTTAAAATGAAAACATTAATAGAACTATATTTTAATACGAATATTAGAATTTTTCTGAATATACCAATTTTGAATGCATATAAAAATATTGTACTGTATTAACATTCAATTTTAAAATAAAGTAAACAGAATTTTAACAATTAAAGATGAAGAAAGGAGAATGGCTAAAGATTGATAATAGCAAAATTGAACAAGAATCTGAAGATTAATCCACATTCATAATATTTATTTTAAATTAAATTTTCATTTAAAGAGAAAATTTTCTCTTAAAAAAATCAAAGATATGTTTTCATCATCAAATGATGAGTTAAAAAGAGACCGTAGAATCTTCATCTAATGAAACAATACGATTAAATGAAATTTCGAAAACATTGTTTGAAGAAGAAATTGAATATTGTTGAAATATATTGAATTCTGCCAACAAAATGTATAAATTAATCAAAAAAAAAAAAAATGAAAAAAATAAATAAAATAACAAAGTAAATTTTAGCAGGTATATTGCAAAAATTACACACACACACATGTAGAAAATGCCATAAAATCATTGTGATGTTAAAAATTGTAAAAAAAAAATTACAACGTGAATCGTATGATTCCTTAATCAATTGAATTTGATTTTTTTTCTTATTTGATATAATTGATGAATGATGATGATTTAGTCATTCCATTTATCTTTCTTTCTCTTCTCGTATATGGGGTCATAAATTGTTATCGTTGTCGATGTGTTGATCATTGATTGGAACCAAAAAGAGAGATATGTAACAGAAAATTTATAGTCATCATTATCAGTTTTCAATGAGAAAGAAAAAAAATCAAAGAATTTTTTTCCCGTTTGTTGTTGTTTTATAACGATTAATCAAATTGATAATGTCAATGTAGTGAAATGAATGAATGATGAAAATCTGGATGGAAATTGTTTGAAAACTCATCGTTATTGTAATAAAACAACTTACTTAGACTGGGTGTTGGCAATTTTTTTTTGTTTGTTCTGTTTTTGAGAATAAAGAATTATGTTAACAATACAGCGAAAATGGATAATTTCAATGTTAGGAATATATTCCTGTGGTCTAATGTATGTAGTTCGTGCAGGTATTAGTGTGGCAATGGTTCGCATGACAATGGTGAAGAATGAAAATGATAATTTAAGTAACAGCAGCAGCAGCAGTATTTCATCAAATGCACCAACATTTGATTGGAATGAAACTTTACAGGTATGGTTTTGGATGTTTTTTTTTGATATATTATTATCGTAATTTGTTGTATCACATAGGGTATTATATTGGGTGGTATATTCTATCTATATTGGATTGTACCAACAATTGTTGGCAGTTTAATCGAACGTTATGGTGCCAAATGGTTTGCATTTATCGGTGTTATTGGGCCTTGTATTTTGACGGCAATTACACCATGGATTGCTACCGTAAATGTTTATCTTTTAATTGTTGTCATGATTTTGGTTGGTGTTACACAGGCATTTACATATCCGGCATTATTTCACCTATATGTACGATGGTTTCCACCAGAAGAACTTTCAAAAGCTAATTCAGGTATACAAGTTGGTGCATCACTTGGTGGTATCATAATATATTCAATTGGTGGTTATCTTTGTGAAACAACAATTGGTTGGCCATTAGTATTCTATGTTAGTGCTGCAACGCATATCCCATGGTTATTTCTTTGGCTTTATTTTGGTTCCGATCATCCGGATAAACATATGGATAATGATATTAATATGAAATCATCATCATCATCATCGATGATGAATGAAAATCAAAAGGTTCGTGAATTCTAATGAATTCAATTTCCAAAAATAATTTGACAAACAAAAAAATAGAATAAAAAAATACGCACACCGTGGTTAGCGATACTTAAATCCGGTGCTGTATGGTCATCACAATTAAGCAAATTTGCCTGTTCATATGGTTTCTATATGTTAATGAGTAAAATACCTGCATATTTGGACCGTTTATATAATATTAATATCGTTGATAATGGTTTTATCTGTGCAGCTGCTTTTGCTAGTTATGGCCTATCGTGTTTCATTGCACCATACATATCGAATTGGATGATCGATCGTTTGAATATATCGGTATTGACGACAAGAAAATTATTCCAAGCCGTTGCCATGTTAATACCATGTATATGTCTATTGGCCATTACATTTGTCTATGATAAAACAATAATGATTATATTATTAATAATGGCAATGTTAAGCTATGGTTTTTTTACCGGTGGTGAATGGACAATGATTTCGGAATATGCACCAAATTTTGTCGGTGTTGTTAGCGGTTTTATACACATCCTTGGTTTTATGTCGGGATTTTTAGCACCATATATTGTCGGCGTGATATTGGATTCAAATATTGGTGATGAACGTTTCAAATGGAATGTTGCATTTTGGATCAGCGCAGCATTATATTTTATCGGTTATTTGGCATTCTGGTTTCTATGCACTGTTGAACAGCAAAATTGGGATAAAATATAATAAATTTTTTTCGTTTTATGCAAATGATGATAAATAAATAGATAAAAAATTGTAATAAAATTTTTTTTCACAGAAAAAACAATTATCTTACAATGTCTAACTATAATTATGTAATAAAAAAACCTAAACACATTCTTATAATTCAAATAAATAAATTCAAAAATAAAAAAGTTTCCGAACACGATTCGAATCAGCTGTATTCATGTGAATTCGAACATGCGCCAAAAGAAGTAACAAAGAAAACATTTTGGGAGGAGCTTAATTTTTTCCGACAAAAAAAAGGGGGGACCATTATTTTGAGTGTGTAGCGCAGATGAATAGACAAAGTTCAAAAAGACACAATTCATATTGGAAAAGTATCCATAAATCATCATTGTATAAATTTGAATAGAATTGTTTTTTTTGTTTGTTTCATAATAGAATGCAAGAATCCATTGCTTTAAAAAAAAAATTCTGTATGTCCAAAATAACAATAACAACAACAAAATGATAATGTTAATGATGAAATCTTCACTTTTACCATTTAGAATTGTTGTTGATAATGTTGTTATTTTTAGAATTTTTTCTTTCATTTTGACATCATCCGATGTTGTTCATGTTCGGATATGATAAAGATGATGAATAACAGATTCTTTTTGTTTTCTAATTCAACGATTCGTTTTCTAAAAAAAGGTATATAGTATTTTTGTTCTTTTTAATCCATGAATCTAATGACCTTTATGGATTTTGTTTTTTTTTTTTTTTTTTTTTTTTTTTTTTTTTTTGATTAAAAGAACAAAAAACTGGGTACAAAATTAATGTCGTTCATTCGAATTATTTCCAATTGAGAAAGATATTTGATTTTCTCTCTTTGTAAAGATGATCGCTCTGAAAAAAAGAGAAAATGAACAAGAAAAATCCCGGATATTAATCAACGAGGATTTATTTTCCTTAATTTATACGTATGATGAATTTTTTTTGCCATCTCCAAAATATAATTCGATCTGTCGATTTTCATTGAAATCGATCGACAAGCAATTCGAATATTTGTAAAAGCCAGAGAGAAAAAAAAATATCACGAATTCTATAACTGATTCAGTTTTTTTTTTCATTTCGGTGAGTTTATAATATGCGTTTTTGTTTTGTTTTGTTTTGTTTTGTTTTTTATTCGTCACACACTAAAAAACAAAACCAAAACAACAACAACAACAACAAGATCAACATTCGAAAAAAACATTTTCTCATAGTCATTCGTCATCAATACCATACAACAAATCATAATCATAATTACAGAGCTCTTTTTTTTCTCCTTTTTTCGACATAAAAAAATAATAATCATTAAATCATTTTATTAATCATCATCATATTACATTAAACAGGAAAATTAATTGAGCTACATCATCATCATCATTCGACAACAAACATCATCAATTAATAATATACAGAGAAGAAAAAAAAAGATACATCCTTCTCATCATTTAATACATACAATAATTGATGTCATTATCAATGAAAGAACGAAAGTAAGATAGAGAGAGAGAAAGAAAAAAAAATCATCCGATCCAGAAATTTGTTATAAAATACATTGATACAAACACGATCAAATGTGAATATCCATAAATGGATCATCATTTTTTTTTAAATTATGATCTCAGAACGGTTTGTGGTTCGGTTTTTTTTTCTTTGATCTTTTGACAAAAAAAATTTTTTTTTTTTATACGACGATGAATTTTCTTTTCTTTTTTTTCTGGATGATATTTATAAGATCATGATCATATAATTTATATGTTTGAATTTGATTGTGATATTGTCATCATAGCCATCGCGATCATCATCATCATCATCACAGAGAAAACAAAGAAAAAACGACATAACTCTACCTGATTGATTTGAATTCGAACATCGAATTGTGTGTTTGTGTGTGTGTGAACGAATAAACAAAAATGACGGCCATTCGTTTACGATTTGCCATCGCAATACTTGGCTCATATGCATGTTCATTAGTTTATATGCATCGTTCCGGTATTAGTGTGGCTGTTGTTGCAATGACCAAAAAACCTGAAAATCATATTATATCATCATTATCGTTTGCCAATTCAACCGAACAAAATTTAAAACCCGAATTTGAATGGAGTGAAACATTACAGGTAATTATTATTATTAATTGTTCGATTTTGACAATTTGATTTTGATTGAATTTTTTTTCATTTTTGAAAATACAGGGTGTAATACTTGGTGCACAATTTTATCTATATATTTTTGTACCAACATTAGCTGGTAGAGCTACCGATGCTATTGGCGGTAAATGGATTGCATTCTTTGGTGCACTCGGCCCCTTTATACTAGCTATGCTTACACCTGTGATGACCGAATTAGGTGGTGCATGGGCATTAATCATTAATCGTATTCTAGTCGGTGGTTTTCATGGTGTTACATATGCAGCAATGTTTTCATTGTATGTTAAATGGTTTCCCATACAAGAATTATCAACGGCTAATTCTGGTCTAATATTTGGTGGTTCAATTGGTTCAACGATTATGTCGGCATTAGCTGGTTATATTGCACAATATTGGTCATGGCAAGCTGTTTTCTATGTCATTGCATTGTTTCATTTACCATTTTTAATTTTATGGTTTATATTTTCGACAAATGAACCGAATACCAATCGTTTTCTATCGAATGAAGAACGTGTTTATATTCAACAAAATGTTCAAGAAAAAGTTATTTCGGTAATTTTTGTTCATTTTTTAAACTTTCATTTTCATCTTTCTTCTGTTTTTTTTAATAATAGAAAAAAATCAAAGCACCATGGTTAAAAATGATATTTTCTGTACCGGTTATCTGTTCATTAATAACGAAAATGTGTTCCGGTTTTGGTTATTTCCTGATGATCACCAAAATGCCAGCATATCTTGAAAATGTATTTAGTATTGAATTATTTAAAAATGGTTGGGTTTATGCTGGCACAAATCTGGCCAATGGTTTGGCCAGTTTATTAGCACCAACTATAGCAAATTTATTGATTAACCGTCTTAAAATACGACGATTGATTGTAAGAAAAATATTTCAATCAATTGCATTATTTGGACCGGCACTTTGTCTGGGATTGATACCGGCATTTGGTACACAACCGAATCCAGTGATTGCAATGCTTATAATGGCAATGATGTTATATGGATTTTTTAGTGCCGGTGAATGGACAATAATATCGGAATATGCACCAAATTTTGCCGGTACCGTATTTGGTATGGCAAATATTTTAGCATTTGCTATGGGTGTTGTTGCACCATATATTGTTGGCGTACTGTTGGATGATAAAAATTCTGGCGGTGATAGACAACAATGGAATAAAGTATTTTACATATCGGTCATTATTTATGTAATCGGTGGACTTACATTTTTAATATTCGCTACTGATCAACAACAATCATGGGATCGTGATGCAATAGTAGCCGTTATGGATGATTATGATGAAGAAAAATCCAGAATACGTCATCATAATGATAAACAAAATAAATTCAGTATTCATAATAATAACAGTGATGATCTTGAAGATAAAACATCAACATCGACAACATCTTAAAGAAAAAAAATGTAAAATTGTAAATTTACAACTACTACTACAATTGTCTCGTAATTTTTTTTTCTAAAAATTCCATTGTAATTATTCCGATATTAATTGATCGAAAAAAAATGAAAAAAAAAAACAAAGTTCATTTTAGCAAGTACAATTTTTAAATATCATCACCTGAAACACACACATACAGAAAATGCCATAAAATCATTGTGATGTGAAAAATTGAAGAAAGAAAAAATAAAAATAACTTTACAACGGGTTTCATATGACTAATTAATTAATTGAACTTTGATTTTTTTTCTACATTTATAATTGTTAATGAATGGTGATGATGATTATGATTATGGTCATTATTTAGTTATTCCATTTATATTTGTCTGTCTTCTCGTCTTGGGTCATAAATTGTTGTTGTTGTTGTTGATCATTAATTGGAACCTAAATGAGAGATATATAGTAGATAATTTTTAGTTGTCATTGTCAGTTTCCAATGACGATACTTGTAAAAAAATGATGATGATTCTAATTACATTGGTGCTGATGATGGAAAAGAAATCAAAGAATTTTTGTCCGTTTGCTGTTGTTTTATAACGATTAATAATCAAATTTATAATGTCAATGTAGTGAAATGAATGAATGATAAAAATTTGGATAGAAATTGTTTGAAAACTCGTCGTTGTCGTTCTTGTAATAAAATCACTTACCCATTTTTTTTCTCTAAATGCGTGTCGGCAAATTTTTTGTTTGTTTGTTTTTTTTAAAGAATATAGTATTATGTTGACAATACAAAGAAAATGGATAATTTCAATGTTAGGAATGTATTCCTGTGGTCTAATGTATGCAATTCGTGCAGGTATCGGTGTAGCAATGGTTCGTATGACAATGGTGAAGAATGAAAATGATAATTCAAGTAACAGCAGCAGCAGCAGTATTTCATCAAATGTACCAACATTTGATTGGAATGAAACTTTACAGGTATGGTTTTGGATGTTTCTTTTTTGATGTATTATTATCGTAATTTTTTGTATCACATAGGGTATAATATTGGGTGGTATATTCTATCTATATTGGATTGTACCAACAATTGTTGGTAGTTTAATCGAACGTTATGGTGCCAAATGGTTTGCATTGATTGGTGTTATTGGTCCTTGTATTTTGACGGCAATTACACCATGGATTGCTACCGTAAATGTTTATCTTTTAATTGTTGTCATGATTTTGGTTGGTGCTACACAAGGTTTCACTTATCCATCATTATTTCATCTATATGTACGTTGGTTTCCACCAGAAGAACTTTCAAAAGCTAATTCAGGAATACAAGTTGGTCAATCAATTGGTGGCACATTAATCTATCTGATTGGCGGTTTTCTATGCGAAACATCAGTCGGTTGGCCATTGATTTTTTATGTTGAAGCAGCATTTCATTTACCATGGATATTTTTATGGCTATATTTTGGTTCAGATCATCCGGATAATCATACGAATATTGATATAAATATGAAATCATCATCGTCATCGATGATAAATGGAATCGAAAATCAAAAGGTTAGTGAATTCTAATGAATTCAATGTCTAGAAATAATTTGACAAACAAAAAAAAATACATAATACATAAAAAAATAGGATAAAAAAATACGCACACCATGGTTAGCGATACTCAAATCCGGAGCTGTATGGTCATCACTATTAAGTAAATTTGCATGTTCATATGGTTTCTATATGTTTTTGAGTAAAATACCCGCATATTTGGACAGTGAATATAATGTTAGTATCGTTGATAATGGTTTTATCTGTGGAGCTGCTTTCGGTAGTTATGGCCTATTTTGTTTCATTGCACCATACATATCGAATTGGATGATCGATCGTTTGAATATATCGGTATTGACGACAAGAAAATTATTTCAAGCGATTGCCATGTTAATACCTTGTATATGTTTATTGGCTATTACATTTATCAATGATAAAACAATAATGATTATATTATTAATAATGGCAATGTTAAGCTATGGTTTTTTTACCGGTGGTGAATGGACAATGATTTCGGAATATGCACCAAATTTTGTCGGTGTTGTTAGCGGTTTTACACACATCCTTGGTTTTATAGCCGGATTTTTAGCACCATATATTGTCGGCATGATATTGGATTCAAATATTGGTGATGAACGTTTTAAATGGAATGTTGCATTCTGGATTAGTGCAGCATTATATTTCATCGGTTATTTGGCATTCTGGTTTCTAGCCACTGTTGAACAACAATATTGGGATGAAATCTAATAAAATTTTTTTTCTGTTTTATGGAAATAATAATAATAAATAAATGAAAAATTGAAGGAAAATTTTTGATTTCGTCAACAAAAATCATAATTACCTTTCAATGTCCAACTATAATTATGTAATAAAAAAATTAAACATATGCTTGATGCGTATTTTTTTTTTTTTTTTTTTTTTTTTTTTTTTTTGGTCATCAATTTTATTATCAAGGATTTGTTTGTTGTGTTTTTAGTAGTTTTAATTTGAATATGTAAGAAAACTTTGATCAATACAATTCCAATGAAATAATTTAATAAGATCTTTATGATGATGATGGCAAGTAGAATTATTATGGATCATAATTAAATTATATTAAATGATGATTATCACTTATTATGGTTAGAAACACTTTGACTTACAATCGTTTATCACCATTAAAATATTTGTTATGAATTACAGAAAACGGAATTGCCAAAATGAAAAACCCTTTTTATATACGAATAGACATTGTTCGTTCGCATCATTTATGATTTGTGAATGTATGATTCAACACAAACAGCGATAATAATAATAATAAATAAATCGGAAAAATGATTGCTCGAAAATGGATTATATCATTATTGGGAATATATTCTTGTGCATTAATGTTTGCTCAACGTGCCGGTTTCAGTGTGGCTATGGTTCGTATGACCAGTAAATTATCATTTGATAATCTAACTGAATCCGGTAATAGACCACCACATTTTGATTGGAATGAAACATTACAGGTTTGTTGTTGATAGTGATGTCAAAAATTTGAAAATTTCTTGATAATCATCTTACACAGGGTGTTATATTAGGTTCTTCATTCTATCTTTATTGGATCATTCCCACTATTGTTGGTAGTTTTACGGAAAAATATGGTGGCAAATGGTTTGCGTTTGTTGGGGTATTCATTCCATGCATAATGACAGTGATGACACCATGGGCAGCGGCAATTAATGTTGGAACATTGATTACCATACAGATTATTGTCGGTTTTACACAGGCATTTACATATCCGGCATTATTTCATCTTTATGTACAATGGTTTCCACCGGAACAACGATCAAAAGCAAATTCCGGTATACAGATTGGTGTATCACTTGGTAGTAGCATAATATATTTGATTGGCGGTTATCTTTGTGAAACAACAATCGGTTGGCCTTTAGTATTCTATGTTAGTGCTGCAATGCATGTACCATGGTTATTTCTTTGGCTTTATTTTGGCGCTGATCGACCAAATGAACAATCAAAATTATTGGATGATAATGAACAATTTGAAAAAAGAAAAGATGGAGAAAAACCAAAATTAAATGTTAGTTTTAGGTTTTTGATTTTTGATCATTTTCTAAATAAATGAATTTTTCTTTCGTAGAAAAAAATTCAAACACCATGGCTACAGATAGCAACATCACCGGCCGTTTGGACATCCGTTGCAACAAAATCGGCTGGTTCATATGGATTTTTTATGTTTCTTAGTAAATTACCAACATTTTTAAATTCCGTTTATCATATTGAAATCATCTATAATGGATTTATAAATGCAGCTGCTTCATTAGCCTATGGTATTACTTGTTTTCTTGCACCATATATTTGCAATTATATGATTGAAAAACGATGGTTCAATAGATCATTGGTCATAAGAAAATTATCACAAACAATAGCCATGATTACACCAGCAATATGTTTGCTATTAATTACCATATTTAAAGATGAGAATGATCGAAATATTGTCATTGTATTATTGATCATAGCAATGTTTGGTTATGGTTTTATTACCGGTGGTGAATGGACAATGGTATCGGATTTTGCACCAAATTTTGTCGGCACTGTAAGCGGTGTAACACTTATGCTTGGTTTTATCAATGGTATACTTGCTCCATATATTGTCGGTATTGTATTGGATTCAAACATGGCACCAACATTATTACAACGATGGCATATTGCATTCTGTATATCGGCTATATATTACATTATTGCATTGATAATATTCCTTATATTCGGTACGGATGAACAACAATATTGGGATGTTATCTAAAAAAAGAAAAAAAATTGAATGATAAAAATTTAAATTTAAGCAAAAAAAAAATCGAAAATCATTAAATAAAAAAGAAAAAAACGGGTAATCCTTTCTCTCTATAGTATATCACTCTCCTTCTTTAGATAATCAATATGATGATGAAAAGAAAATCAAAAAAACTGGTTTCTCTTTAACATTTCGATGATGATGATGATGATTTGTCGAGGTCATCCGTATGTATGATCGAACGGGAGAAATCGGGCAAAGGACAAGGAATTATATAGAAAAACAGATTTTCAAAAACAGGATTGTTGTTGTTTTCAGTTGTTATTGTTCATTGTAATAGATACACACAGGTAACATTTAAATTTTTTTTTTTCAAATATGTCATTTTTTTCCATATGTTTAATTTCATTATGTTATTTATATTTTGTATACACACACAGGTAAATTATGATTAATTTAAGATTAATAAAAGATTAATTATGATTTTCTTTTTCGTTTGCAATACATCTATTTGTCTGTGAGTGTGTGTATCATCTATGTAATACATCACAATAATTAATATGCATGTAACAAGTAAAAAAAAATTCAATTTCAATGAATGCAATGCAGATAATTTACCTGGTTTTTTTGTATAGGATACAATGATTAAAACAAATGTACAATAAATGAATATGGTGAAATTTTGAATCGAGTTGAAAGAATAACGGTTTGAATAATGGTTTTCAATGATGATGATGATGATGATGATGATGATGATGATTACATTATTCTTATCAACCGATTTTTTTCCAATCATGGTTATGGTCGATTGAATTTGGTTCAACCATGTGATGGAAATTTGTTGACATTTTTTTTCATCACAACAATAGTGGTGTTAATTCTCTTTTTTTTTTGCTTGTTTTTGTTGTTGTTATTGTTGTACCTGTTGGTGGATTGATCCGTTCGAATGAATTTAGATCAAAAAAAAAAAAAAAAAACGCAAGAAAACAGTTAAGCTGAAATGTCTTTTTTTTTTTTTTTTTTTTTGGTTTGATAAACCTTGAAATTTGAAAAATCAAAAAAATTCGAATGGAAAAGTTGGCGAGAGAGGGGCAAGAAATAAGAAAATATAAATCCCGAACAAAGATTGCGCCATCTAGTTTTTTTTCTGGTTCATTCATTCAAATGCAGATATAAATCATTTACCCGATTATAGATTTGTGTATATCCCGCGTTGTCCAAATGAGATAAAACATTTGCCAAACAATTCAAAAATATTCAACGGTCATCAGAAAAAAAAATTCAATGAAAAAAATTGTATTCGGTAACGAATGAAACGGAAAAAAACGGTTCAACACTCAAAAAAACGACGCGTTTGGTGATTTCATTTGGAACATTTATTTATTCATTCGAAAAAAAAAATTTTTTTTTTGTTCATCACGCATGCTTCAATAGAATGAATGAATGATATGTCTATCTCGTTCGAATGTTTTATTTTCAATATATATTTGTGTTTACCGGATATCTTCGTTTGAATGTCGACAAAAAAAAACAAACTATTCATACCGAAATCTTTTTTCTATTATTCTTGTCACATTCTGAACAACAAAAATGTATCCGTGAAATAAATATCCGAATTATAATGATGATGATGGTGATGAAAAAAAACAAAAGAAAGAATTATTTTTTTCTATGAATAAATTAAAGCTTTTGGGCTTGTCGTTTTTGATGATGATGATGATCATTACCATCATCAACAATTACCGATTGTAGTGTGCACATTTATACAAGTTACGCCTGTAAAATCTCAACCACACACACAAATATACAAATTATTATGATCATAATAATCAACATACACTGCTGTTGTTGAATACAGGGTGTTTTGTCATTTGTCAAAAAATTCTTTACAATTTTATCGATCACCTTGTATCGGTAATAATAATGTTGGGTAGGTTCTTTTTTTTCGTTTGTGTTCAGATTTTTTTTATATATCTCTCTCTTTATGGGAGAGACTGTTTTTTTCTCGTTTTTAGAAATAGGTTCAAACCCATTATCAGTTTGGTATAAAGGGTTGGTGATGATGGTGGTGGATTCGATCCATGATGATGATGATGATGGAAATGGTACATACACATAATTAATGGACTTGACGATCAAAACTACTTCCAACCGTACCAGATTAATCCTGGATGAACAAACGAAAAAAAATTTGAATTAGTTTGACCAACCAAACAATGGTCAACCATCCATCCACCACCCCCCATTTTTCTAGTATCAACCATTCAACTGCTAACCAAACGCCGCGTTGGTGGTGGCGGATGTGTGTGAATTTATTTTTAAGATTTGATGATTTTTATATCCAAAAAAAAAAATTCTTTTTCTCACACAGTTTTTTTTTTGCTAGTAATTTTGGTACTGGTTTTTTAGAGATAGAGAGAGAAATTGTGACAAAAACGAAACAATTCTATACATACAGGATTGGGTAATGAGTGAATGAGTGAGAATGAGAAAGACATACACACACACACACAAAGACATATAGCATGGATGGAACGACGATAGACCCAAATATATTATGGACATGTATGTGTGTGTGTGTGTGTGTACAAGGCCTAGCTAACTCTGTGTATAGTAGTGTAGATATAGCATCACAAAAAAAAAAATAAAACAAGTGTTTAGTTGACGGAAGTATATACCCTTATTTTGTATTTTTTTTTTTTTTTTTTTTTTGGTGCTCTCTTTTTCGATCACAAACATATATAAATACAATTGGGACTTACATTGGTGAATGAATTCTGATGGCTGATGAAATGATGTTGTTGATGGTAACCAGAAATCATGGTGAAAATTTCAACTTTGAAATTCTTGTTTGAATTGAAATTTTTTTTTTTATACTAGTTGGTACTTTGTTTTCATCAAATTATAATTGTAAAACAAATACAATGATGATGAAATGAGAGAAATTGAAAAAAATATCCGAAAAAAAGACACAATAAAAATCATAAAATTATAAGGACATGAATATATGTCAAATGAATTGGACAATGTACTTATAATTGTGAAATTGTTTGTATATAATTTTTACAACAAACAAAAAATACAATACATTGAAGAATAGCCCAAAGATGATGGAAATCAAAAAAAAGAGATGACAGCTACTATACCACTTCTCAGTAGCTGGTCAGTTGATGATTCCAGGATCTCTCAAGAGATTCAAAAATGCGTTGTTGTTGTTATGATTCGATATTCAAACAATCAAAAAAAATGATTTTTTGTTGTTTGAGATTATTCGTCAAAATTGTTGAAATTCTATCCAGAATTCATTTTTTTTTACATTTTTTTGACTAGAACCATTCCATTGTTCAATTAATGATGAATAAATAAATCAATGGCCAACAAAAAAAATTGATTATTCATTCAATTGATTTGGACAATGATGACAAATAATAATCATTGAATTTTGAATAAATCTTGCATTGAATGGATGAATGTTTGAATTGTTCAAAGTTGATGATGATAATGGTCACGTTTCGGTCATACGAACAATAAAATGAATGATGATGATAATGTTTTTTTTTTTTTTTTTTTTGGTTGAATAAACAATTGTCATCGCTATCGTTATCGTCATCATTGTTGGAAAAAAGTGAGGAAGATGTTCCAATTGGATTTTTTCTTTTTCCAAATAACGATGTTGACAACAACAACAGCGACAACAAAAACGATAATGGCCAATATTGTAAGAAGGTATTTTATTCGATAATCATCATCATCGATAGATTCGTTCGAAAAAGAGACTATATTGATACAACTTTTTTTTAGATAGATTGAAATAGCTGATTTTGTTTTTTGGGTGACAATTTCCTTCCTTTCTTTTTTTTTATCAGTGATATAAAAACAATAGATAATCCCATTGAACAACAATAGTAATGTGTATTATACCTACTACCGTAACTACCGTAATTTCCCGAATCGATAAGATCCACATATAATATATTCTTTATTTATAAAAATCACAGACCTCATTAACCTACGGGTTATATGAACAATTTGGGAATTTTTAATCATAAATCTCTTTCTCTCATTGTATGTGAAAAAAATGTCCCAATAGTGTGTGGTGATCATGATGATGAAAAAAAAATCTCAACATTTTTTCCCCCTATCTCTTTTGTAGCTTGTGCATTTATGTTGTGTTGTGTTCTCTTTCTCTCTATCGTTGTCGTTCTTTATAACCACCACTATCCTTCATCATCATCAATGTTTGAAAACATCACGAATCTCACATACGAAAAAAAAAAATATTCGAGCAAAAAAAAAACCAAGTTGAAAGAGAACAACAGCAACAAAACACATAAAATGATGATGAACAATGGGCTTGTGGGCGTGTGTGTAAGTAAGTTTTTTTTGTTTTGTTGTAAATATGGAGATGGGTATAGATTTCAATGATAAACTGTGTGATTGATTGATTTGATAAAAAAATGATGATGACATAAATATAGAAGAGTTCCATTTATACGATGTCTATCATCAAATTTGAGAAAATTATTTTCATTTTCATTTTTATTGATTATTTTTGATTTTTGATTGAAATTTTTTTTTTTTTTTATTCCATAAAGATTTTTATTCAATCATCATCAAGATAATATATAAATAACAAAAGAAAAAAAACAAGACATAATTAGGTACATATAGTTGGCTAAATTTTTACCAAAAAACACCCAAATAACATACGGACATATAACATTCGAATTTCACGAATTGTTGTTGATGATGATGATCATCATCGTTCGTCGTAGTTGTAGTCGTCGGTCACATATAAAACACACATACACACACACACTCGATAGAAAGATGAGTGGTGGAAAAAAAACTACAGCCATTCTTCGATTTCTATGATCATCAGCAATTTTTTTTTCTTTGACAATTTAATGTTTAAAAATTGATGATTATTTATCCACAAACAACAACAATGAACAGTAATCTTATTTTTTTTCTTTTTTTTTGTTTACTTGCTCTTCCCTATCCAAATTATCCACAAAATCCATCAATGTTTTTTTTATGGCTGATTATGTAGTTTTTTTTCTACATTTCTTTCGAATGAAAATTATCATTTTTTTGCTTTGTTTTGTTGTTGTTGTTGTTGTTGCTGTGTTATTTTCACAAAGAGTGATTAGATTAAAGTTTTTGTACAGAATGTGCATGTGTGTGTCCGTGTCCGTTTTTAAAAAAAAAAATTCCAAGATTCCATTATCGAATTTTAATTTTTAATTTTAAATGGTGGATATTTTATTTGTTGTTCCACACCAGGATCTAAACCAAAAAAAAAAAAAAAAATAGAAAAAAGCTGCAATCGAGCGAATCCACATATATACAAGAGCTTAATTTTCCCATCAGAGTCGACTCGATTTGATGAATTTAGGCTTTTTTTTTGGATAGTTTGATATAGAAGAGAATGTGAATTTGTACATGGAAAGAAAGCGATAGAAATGTTGCTGTATTTATTGTTACAGGGGATTGTCTCGATTTTTTTTGTTTTGTTTTGTTTTATTTTTCAATCCAATGATGATTGAAAGATCCAAATGGTGGTGATCGAATCTGAATTTTAGATCATTTCTTGAATCATTTTATATAACATATATCTAATTTGGTATGATAATCAAAGGATGGTGATCAAAAAAAAAAAATCAATCTTTTGCTAATTTTAATGTCAGTGTAGGAAAAAAAACAAACAAACAACGTAATATAATTTTTTTGGTGTAAAAAACAGAGAGAGAGAGAGAGAGGCATAAATGACGAAAGTCGATTTTTTGCATTTCTTGTTCGGAAAATCCCAGACCTATCGATACATTTGTTTAAATGGCTAATAGTGGTTAAAATTTTATGGACGACACAACATTTTCATGTTCATATATAGCCGCACATATAAAAACGGCAGTATTCCTGTCATCCTGAATCGAGTTTGTTGTTGTGAGCAGTCTTTTTTTTTTTTTTTTTTGTTATCCATTCAATGATGAATGCTGTTCAAAAAAAAAAAAGTATTCCACTATTATATGTACTACTACCATTTCTTATGTTCTTTTTATGAATAATAATAATATGTGTACGGATATCCAGTACATGTACATTGACTATTATCATACACACGCATACACACATTATCCTTGGATACTGTTGTAGTAGTGGTATATAGTTATGGTATTGTTAATCATGTGAAGTGAGAGAGAGAGAGAGATAGAGAGAAACATATAGAGATACAGTGCTGATTGTATGTGACTATAAGAAGACAAAATTATCCATGATTGTCTCATTTGATATTTGTCCATTCAATTGAATGCATGTCGCGAGTTTTTTTTTTGTTGGAAAAATTTTCATTTTTTTTCTTTCATATTTTACCTTCAACATATTGGCTGGTGGCTTCAGAATCTCATACACACACACACACAATTTTCTCTCCTGTTTGTGTATGTTTTATAATATATAAAATTACACGAAGCCTTACTCTTTTTTCTCATCTCTCATCGCTTCTTCCAATTTTTGTATTTCAAGAACGTGTGTGTGTGCGTGTGGCGCCAACCCAAAATCAAACTAAAATAAACAATATAAACCAATCGTGCGTCGTTTTTTTTATCCACATCATTTAAATTTGAATTTTTCAAAAACAAAAAAATCCGCGAAAATCGGATTGTTATTGTTATTGTTATTGTGGTGGTGTTGGTGGCACAAGCGCACAAATACAAATTTCAAAATGATTTATTTTGATTTTTTTTTTTTTTTTTTTTGGTTCAAAATGAAAAACATCATTTTGAAGTGATCAAGTTTTTATCATCATCATCATCATCATTGTAATTATTATAATTCTGACTTTTACATCCACACACACATCGATCGACAAAAAAACTAAAGAAAATTGTAATCAATCCAAAAGTAAATTCATCAATACGATTTCAAAACTTGAAGATATAATTTCATTAAACAGGAAGAATTTTAATATTCAATCAATCTCATTATCTCACTCTCTGGATTTTGAAGCAACCATTTCTGATGTAATTATTAATATAAGCTTCCATATAATTTAATTCTTAAAAAAAAAACATAACACACACACATCAAATATAAGCAGCGTGCGCGTATAATTTTTTTTTCCTCAATCATTCACTTATATTTGTTTCGAACAATCCAAGATTGTTTTCCTTTCTTTTTTCATCATTATTCGATTTTTACATACAACACAACAAATACAATATATATATTTAGCTACGTATAGTTTATTTTTCAAAAAAAAATCATATTTGATGATTAAATCATAATTAATAATAATAATAATTAGAAAAAATTTCAAAACACATACACTTTTGTAAACAAATGTTCTTTTTTTTCTGGATTGAATTTTTTTTAATATAAAACAAAATAAAAAGAAACCATAATCGTGGTTCAAATGTTATTCCTAATGGACATAGAAAACATAATACCAGCATCTGTACAACAACCAATAAATACACCTCTTCCGCCTCCATCATTATCATCCGCATCATCATCGTCATCCGTATCATCATCATCTTCATCATCATCATCGGTTTCATCATATAGATTACAGAAGCAACAACAACAAAAGATTAGCAACAAATTGTTGGCTAAATCATCATCATTATCCTGTCGCAAATTATCAACAATGACAATTTCGACAACTAAGCAACATCAAACCTATGGTAACAATAACAACAATGACAACAATGTTGCCTGTTTAATGACCAATTATGATGTTGATAAAATAACAGACGATAATGATCATTATCATCATCATGAAGTAATATATCATCATCCACATCCACATCATCATCATATCCAGGATACGAATAAATCTACACTTCCAAAATCATTAACAACAGCTGTAAGAAATCAGAATTTGGACCAGCAACAACAACAACAACATATACAAACAAATGTAGTGAATAATAATGGTTCACCATTTAAATTTAATCGTACAACTTGTTCACCATATAAATTGAATAATCAATATCAAACAAATTGTTGTGGAAATCATAACCTGAATCATAATCATAATCATCAACAGCAGCAACAACAACAACTACACCAGCAACCTTATCGTTCATCATATCATCATTATAATAATCGATACTTTAATAATAATAACAATAGTCAATCAAATAAGTTACAATATCGAAGAATCAATAATTGTTCACCAATATTTTCATCATCATCATCAGCAACATCAACAGCAGCAGCGAAAACATTGTTATCTGTTAATAAGAATCTTCAACATCATTCACATCATAATCTAAATATTAATAATGGTGAGCCATCATTCATTCATACGAAACAAACAAATTCATCACAATCATATCACAAATGTTGTGAATGTACAAATTCAGCTGCTACTGCTACTGCTGCCATTTCTGTTCCTAAAAAATCTAATGCCATTAAACGTAATTATTCAATGATGTTGAATAATACAAATAGTTTAATAAGCCAAAATCATAAGCACAATAATCAGAACCAGAATAGTAGCCAACAAAGTGATAATCTAGTTATCAATACTGGTATTTGCCCATTTATTCGCAACAACCAAAACAAAAATAATCGTAATAATGGTCAGAAGAAAAAATGTCGTAATCGTTCGAAACGTCGCCGTAAACGTTCATTTAAATGGTATAAATCAAATATTATTGATGATGATGATAATATCGTTGGCCAATGCAGTAATAGCTATAGTCCTGATGAACAAAATATTGCTGATGATTGTGACGATGACGGTGATGATGACAATAGTAATAGTCGAGGTCGTTGTGCAAGAAAACAAATGCGTTGGACCGAATGTAATGCAGGTGAAGTAACCAGATTGCATAGGAATTGTGTACAGAATGGTCAACCATTAGCGCCATATAATACAACACAATTCATTATGAATGAACATTCAAAAGAGATTGATTTCGAAGCATTAAGTGGTCAAATACAACAGATGAGACAATCAAAACAAGATCGTATACAGAATAATAATAATCATCAAGATATTGATTCGGGTAATCATTCAGAACATCAACATGAACAACAAAAACAACAGCAACAACAATCATCATTATCATCATTAAATGAAGATTATTATAGCTCACCGGAAGATGAATCTTATTTTCTTGAACAACAATTTCATGAAGCATATGATACAATGCATGCTGAACGTTTGAATTCAATGTCAAAAAGTGATCTATTAAAAGAATATCTATCAATGGAAAAAGAATTGGAAATATTGAAACAACAACCGCCACAGCAACGGCAACATCCACAACAAAACGAAAAACGTAATTCACCAAAATCATCATCAACAAGTGGTGGTTGTGTTGTTGGTAGTGGTGATGATATCATCGATCGAACCGGAACAAGTGACATTTATGGTGGATCACAACGACAACGACATTGTCAATCATGTTGTATAAATGAAAAGATTTATGAAGAAAACAAATGTCTAAGGAAATTATTACGACAATTATATAGTCGATATAATAGCCTTAAATATTGTATAAATTATGTTCAAAATCATAGTCATCATCAACATCATCATAATTTACATTCTACAAATAATGATAATGGTGATACAAATTCGATCACTACCAATGATGAAAAACAACAATCAACAACAATTGAACATCAACAAGATTATCAATTATCTAGTGAAATGTATTATTCAATTGAAAAATATCTAAATCAAATATCACCAAATCATAAAGGTGATAATAATAATGATGACAATAATGATAATGGTAGTGATGGTCATAATAATGATGTTGATGATGGTGTTGTTGTTGTTGGCAATTCATCATCGAAACGAATTGTGTCCGATATAGATATGGATGATGATGATGATGATTGTCTAACTAAATCTTCAAATGATGATGATATGACTAATTCATCTTCATCCTCATCATCATCAACGAGTAATTCATCATCGTCGTCATCAAGAAGTTCAGATTATTCTGATGGTTCATCATCATCGTCATCCACAACATCTTCATCATCATCATCAACGGAAACATCAAATTCTGCATCATCTTCTTGTATATTAGGATTAGATATGATCTCTAAATCATCTCATTTATCATCAACAACAACAACAACATCATCGATTGTCAAAATAGTGGAAAATTTAATTTCCGTTGTCGTAAATGAAAATCAACAACAAAAACAGCAGCAGCAGCCTCAGCCATTGGAAACAAAACAAAAGGAAGAACATCATGAACAAGGTAATAAACCCCCCAACAGAGAAAAATGAATGAATGTGCGATCAAATCGAATTTGATAAAGTGAAATTTTTTTTTCTAAAAAATCAAAATATGAATGATTGAAAAAAAAATAAAAACTACAATTATATTATTATGATTATGATACCACCAACCAACCATTGTTGTTTTTCAAAAAAAAAACCATTTTATTTAAATTTCATTCTGTTTTGGCTTTGTTGTTGTTGCTGTTCATTTATTTTATTTCCTTTTTTCATACAAAAATTTTTTTTTTTACAACAATCATTCTCAACTAAATCAACTTGTAAAAAAAATATACAACAACAACAAAACACACGTTCGGAAATTGCCAAAAAGGAAGCGAACACACACAACACACACATCATATACACACATTTACACGAATAAAAAAAATAAAATTTACAGAATATGAAACGTTTGTCTGTTTTTTTTTTGTTCCAAAAAAAAAATTCATTAATTGATCTATTAATTTCAAACAATTATAGGTGAATGATAATAATAAGTGTGTAAAAGAGAAGCCATTTGATTGGAATTTTTTTTTTGTCTGGATGGAAACTAGAATTCGAATCGAATCATCAAATGTGTCCACTGTGTGTGTGTGTGTGTCTGTCTGTGTCGATCATCATCATTATCATCATTATTCACCTATATTACATCATATATACCGTTTGTTTTATGTGATGTGATTTACGATGTTTGTGTGTGTGTGTGTGTTTCAATTGGCGGCTATCTGTATTATTCATCTCAAAATTTGTGTTTTCTTTTCCATTTTGTCAAAGCTAAATTATTTTTTTCTTTTTTTTTAAATAATTTTTTTGTGTTTGTATGTTCATCATATGTATTTAAAACCTACCTTGTTTTGTGTACGAGAATCACACATATATGGACACACATAAGTTGATTGAAATCCAGTGATGTTTCTTCAAACTGGTAATTTATTTCTTTAGCATTTTGTGAATGTATGGTTGCATGTTGTGATGATCACAACTCCGATTTTTTTTAGACAACACAATGATTCATAATGAAAAATGTGTGTTTTTTTTGTTTTGTTTTTTATTCACATGAAATTTTTATCTAAAAAAAAATCAAGGTGAATCGATTATAATGCATAGTGAAATTAGATAAGGATTAGAATCAAAATGAATATAATAATTACAGGTATATCGAATGTTGTTTTTTTTTTTTTTTGGTTCCGGTCGAAATGATCACAACAATTTTTTCGTTTTTACTTATTTGAATTTTGCCAATAACGATGACAAATGGAATAATAATTATTATTCCATAATGAAAGATGATTCGATATTTAAGTGGTGTGTGTTTAACAAAGGTTATTCATTTTTTTTTTTTTTTTTTTTTTTTGGTGAAAAAATTGTCATGTGAAAAGTTCATTTGATTATTGAGAATTGTGAAGCAATTTGTGTGTTAATTATTAATGGATGATGATTAAACAAACAAAAATAACAAAAATTTTGTCGAAAAACAAAACAAAACAGACACCCACATATACATACACACATTCATTGTGATCAAATCTGTGATAAATACACACACACACACACATATCAATGTTTGTAATATGTTGTCATTTTTGTTTATTTGTTTTTTTCGTTCAAGAATGAAAAAATCGATAATGATGATATTCACTGTGATATTTCTAATTAATTAAAGAGATCAATTTTTATTTTATTTTTTTTTCACAAAATTTTCATGTTTGTTTCGAACATTCAAAAAAAAAATTCCATTCACGCATGTGCCACATTTATTTCAATCACGTCACGTCATCTATTGACTTGGCTGTGATATATTCGAAACAGAAAAAAAAAGTTTTCGAAAAAAAACTTTGAGAAAAAAAAAGAAATTTTTTCGAAAACATTTTTTCCTTTGTCCACACAATATGTTTCTCTCTCTCTCTCTCTCTCTCTCTCTCTCTCTCTCTCTCGAGCAGCAGGCAAGCACGCACAAAACACAAACATAATCGAATTTCATATTCATTCTCCATTTTGTTTTCCAAGTCGTATCATTTTCATTTTTTTTTATCACCAACTAATTCTAAAAATTTCCTCTTTTTTTCTCATTTATAGATTTTCGTTTAATCGCATTCAACATTTATTTTTTGATTAATTGAGCAAATTAATCATCATTTTATATATAATAATATAATGAGAACAATAATGAGTGCAAGTGCATCAACTGCTAGTTCAAGTCCAGATGCAACTGATCATCAATCGTCGCAACAACAATCACGTGGACGACAATCCTCGTCATCATCATCTAATAATAATGATGGTAATAGTGTTAGTGATACTAATCAAAATGGATTAATTTATGAAGCCGGTCAGAAAATCTATTGTACTCATGAAAACAATATTTATGAAGCACGTATATTAAAAACGGCCATACGTGAAAATATACCGCAATATTTCGTACATTATCATGGATGGAGCAAAAATTGGGATGAATGGGTTGTCGATGATCGTATTTTGCAAATCAATGACGAAAATCTTGTTAAATATGAAGAATCATGTAAACGACGAAATTCTCGACGTAATCGTCGTAGTGGTGGTGGTGGTGATAATAGACGATCATTATCAACAGTGACCAATTCTGCATTCAATAATTCGGACAGTGTTTCAAATGGTATTTGATTCTTTTTTATTGCATTTTTTTTTTTTTTTTTTTTTTTGGTTTGCTTTTGTCAATTATTACCATTGTATCCATTAATATATCCTGTCATCTTTAAAATTTGATAATAATGTGTGTTCTGTTTACATTTTGATAATTTATTCATTAAAATTATGAATGATGATATAATTTTTGACAATCTTATTTGCTTTTTTCTTAAAATTCTAGCTCCACGAAAATCAACAACGGCAACGACTGCATCATCATCATCAGCATCATCATCATCATCATCGTCGTCGGTGGTGGTGTTAACAACAACAACAACACCATCATCATCCATAGCTAATCAGGATTTGATGGATGAAAAATCTGCTCGTCGTAAACGTAAACGTACATCACGATCAACATATGTTACCGAAGAGGATCATAAATTGATTAATGAAAAACCTAAAATTAAGATTCCAATGAAATTAAGTGAAATATTAATGGAAGATTATTTACAAATTTATTTCAAACGAAAAATTCTTCAACTTGTCGATTTGAAAAAAACGGCACAAAATTTACTTGATGATTATCTGGCTGATCGTATACAACAAGAATCAGAATCATCATCATCATCATCATCGACACATCAATCGTCGTTGGAAAAAAAATTCACTAATCTTGATCCACCATTAAATTTTACAATCAATCCATTTTCATCAAATTTACGTTTCGATAATATCGAAATGAATACACGTAAAAGTTGTTGTGAAGAATATGTTAAAAATATTCGTATCTATTTCAATACAGTATTACCAACACATTTATTATTCAATATTGAACGATTACAATATCTGGAAATTATTAGTAATCCTAATCATGATATCAGTAATAATCAACAGGACAATAATAATACTAATAATCAATCAAACGAATCACTGGACACAACAACAACAACAACAACAATGCCAAAAATGAGATCTCGTAAAAATTCCGATTCAATTGTGATTAAAAATTCAAAATCAATTAAAACCTCATCATCAACCAAGACAACAACATCGACTACTACTACTACTGTTAAAGATAGTAATAATCATAATCAATCAAAAGAACCGATCGAAATCTATTCACCAATACATTTATTACGATTATTCACAAAGCTTGGATCATATTTACAATATTATTATTGTGATAAAAATTTTTTCCGTCTATTGAATCTTTTCAATGATGATTTTTTCGATTTCTGTATGGATAATTATGATGAATATTTTGGTGATGATAATCTACATTATTATGAACCGAAATCCGATTATATTGAACGTTCGGCTAATATATCATCAATAACTATGGCCAAACAACAGCAAACTGAACATTCATCAATTATTGATGGACAATCATCATCATCCTTGTTGATCGATGGTGATGATAATAGTTCAACAAATGAAAATATGAATCAAGATTAAATATATTATTATACGGTTATGAATGTGGAGAAAAAATAGATAGCATAAATTCATAAATAACGTTACATGCAAATTTTTAGATAATATATGATTTTGAGATCCAGATGAGAAAAATGATGATAATGAATTGAGGAAGGAAGAACAAAATAAAAGAGAGAAAAAAAACCTGTCCTGTGATGACCTCGAAAGACATGATGATGATGATGAAAAAATTAAAAATATAAATTACAAACAAATCATCATCATCATCATCAACGATAATTGTGTGTGATGGTGATCCTCTTACACATACATACATACACATACACACACACACACACACAAAGGTTTATTTTTCAATATTTACTACATTTTATTGGTGTTCATTTAAAATGATTTTGATCTGATAATAAATATAAAATTTAATGAATTTTTTTTTGGACAACAACGCGTTGACGAAAAAAAATTTGCCAATTTCAATCAAGATTTCTTTTTTTCACCTACGTTTATTATCATGTTCCATTTGGGAAATTTTTCTTTTCGTACACTTGAATGGTGGATCGAGTAATTTGTAGTCGTCGTCGTCGTTATTTTCATTGTTATTCGCTTGGTAAATGATGAATACATGTGTGTGAATGAACTTTCGAATGCCACATGATCATTACAACAACAACAACAAAAACAGCAAAAAGACTGGTGACCTTCGAAGATATATGCAAATTTAAATGGTGATACTAATAATTGATTAATGGGTAAAAAGAAATAAAAAAAATCGAATCATTGTTGTGTATTTTATTTGTGAATTTGTTCGCACACACACGCACAAATACCCTTCATTTGCCTGTACAAATTCGAATGCCAAATGATTCATTGTTCATAATAATGTGAACCACAATTATCAATCATCAATCTGGATTAAATAATCATTCAATCAATTTGGAAAATTACCATCAATTTATCGTTATGTGATCATCATCGTCATTAAAATGATATATTTAAAAAAAACAAACAAACAAATTGATATGGCGGCCTTAATTATGCAACATTTTCGTTTTGTTTGTCGAAATGTTTGTTATTTGATGGAATTTTTTTTTTGTTTTCACCTCGTTTGCATTACCAGTTTGAATGAGATAAACTATAGTAATCATATATTTAAATTTAATTATCAAATATAATTGATTAATAATCATAATCAAATTGTTTAATTTTTATAATAATTACAGATAAATATACTGCAATCGAATCGAATGTAAAATGTGATTTGAATAAAAAAAATCATACACAAAATTCAAATTATATCGATATTATATCAAAAAAGCATTGTGGTGATAAACATTGATTGATTGATAATTGTAATCATGGTATATGGCTCCAGATTGATTTTTGTTTGTTTTCTGGATTGCATTGAAATGTTTAGCAGCAGTTTCGATTGAAAAAAATGATGAATTCAACTTTGCCATTGATCGCCATCATTATTGTTGGAACATTATGTATTGTTTCGGCACAACAACAGCAACAACAACAACAACAACAACAGAATGCCTGGGCACAAGGATCACAAGATTTGATACGTAGTTTTTCTACCCATAATAGTAACAATAATAATCAAAATTCGAATCAACGTCGAAAAAATCAACGTCCATTAAACGTCGATGATCAAAATGATCGTTTTGGTGGTAGTGGTCGCAATAGACATGGTTCATCATCATCATCATCATCATCCGATACGGATGCAACCTGTAATCTTAATTATCAATTTGATTATTTTGTATTGGCAATACAATGGCCATCATCATTTTGTTTGGAAAAACAACGATGTAATCATACAATTGCCCAACAACATAAATGGTTAATACATGGCTTATGGCCAAATCAATATCCACAACAAGCGATTGGTAGACGAAATCGTCGTTCAGTAACATTGATTGATGATCAAAAACAACAGAAACGACAACAACAATCAAAAAAATATGGTTCTGGATCGAACAATCCTAATTCGGCTGCTGCTACTGCTGAATATTGTTGTGGCCCAAAATATGATCAATCAATAATGCATCAAGGAAATCTTTATAATGAATTATTAGAAAAATGGCCAACACTACATCCGGGTAATTATCATCATGGATTCTGGAAACATGAATGGGAAAAACATGGTACATGTGCACGTAATGTACGGCCATTAAAAAATCAACGAAAATATTTCGAAACAATTCTTGGACTTTATAATCGATTCAATTTATCGACAACATCTTTTCAGAATGGTCAACATTATGATAAAGGTGATGTTCATCGTAATCTACGAAAAAATATCGGTGATTATAAAATTCGTCTTGAATGTTCATTAGTCGATGATTATTTTTCACGTCAAAAACGACAACAACAACAACAAAACCGTAATCGAAATCAAAATCGAGAACGGAACCAATCAAATAACAATGGCGACGGTAGCCAAATATCCGTATTCAGTGAGATACATATCTGTCTGAATAAAACATTACATCCGATCGATTGTATACGACGTGATGATTATCAATGTAGAAATCGAATTCTATTTCCATAGGATTTGGAATTTTCAACAAAAAAAAATTTAAAATATGAGAAAAAATAAATCTTTTTCTTCTTCACAGATTTCAATGTTTCGTAAAACAATATATATTCGGGATGGATCAAATCTGCGTAAATAAGAAAAATAAATAAATATTTTTTGGGTCAGCAAATAATGGATTCATAACCACGAACGAACGAATTCATCATCATTTTATTTTGTCTAATGTATGTGTGTGTGATTCGCATACAAATTTTTTTCAATTTTCATCATTGATTTAAATCTCTTGAGGAAATTTTGTTGTTGTTGTTATTGTTGTCATTCGAATTGAATTTAGCAATCATTTCACACCTCTTTTTGTTTGTTTTATTTTGTGATTTTTTTCTTTGTCTTCTCGGCAAACACTCACACATACAGCACAAAAACATTCGATGAACGATGCGAAAAATGAATTTCCGTTTTTTTCATGAATATTGATTCAATATTGAAAAATATTATGGATGGATATTTGTTTCATCGTCGTCGAATGGAAATTAATGATCAACAGTGATATTCATTCTAATACCGAATCAAAATTTTTTTTTTGTTCATATCGCTAGATTTTTCGATAATCTTGATAATTTATTAACCAGATTTGAAATCACATTTGAATTGAATAAAATATCTGAAATCTGACGGAAAAAAATGATTCAATTTTTTTCAAAATTGAAAACAAAATTTCTAATTATTACATACCCAAAGGGAAAAAAATGCTGGAGATTGAGAAATGAAAATCGATCAATCATCAGCTGATCATTTTAGGCCATTCCATTCATTTGATTATTTATTAACCGATTTCCGATCCATCATTATGAACAATTCATTTTTCGTTGTTGTTATCAAGTTTTCTAAGAAAGAATGGTTTTTTTTTGAAATTCGAATCATAATGAAAAATTTCCCCGGGAATTGTTCTGGACAAAATTGAATGAAGGAATAGTTTTGGAAAAAATATGCGCGAAAAAAAAAATTTTCCTCCATGCATATTTGGGGGTGATGTGTGCGTGTATATTTGTTGTTTACATATAGGCGGTATAAAATGATTATATTTTGGGGGAGAGGAAAAATGAATCCAGATGTTGATGTTATGTTGTTGCTATACAATCCTGGTGATAATGATATATATTCTCGACACATAAATTTTTGATTCATAATTCATGTAATCGATAATAATAATCTATGATTTGTAAATCGATCAACCAAGAATTTGTACCAAACTATTCGAAAAAAAATTCAACACAACAATTCAATTGAGCATTCAATTAATCTAACTACTCACTACTAAATCTAATCATCAACACAAAGGTAATTGTGAATCGATTTTGGAGAAAAAATATAAAATTATAAAAAAAGAAAAATAATTTATTTTCCAATACATAGAATTTCGAATGGAAACAATGATGACAACCACTCAATATCATTCTCATCATCAACATCATAATAATCATCGAAATGTATACCAATCACAACATGAACAGCAACAACAACAACAACAGCAGCAGCAACAACAACAACAACAAATCTCGACACAATCATCAGCATCGATTGGATCATTAATATCTTCATCACCGACAACGGTTTTAAGCCAATTATCATCGTCTGTATCATCAGCTTGTAGTGGCCACCAAATTATACATTTGTCAGCATCATCACCATCATCATCATCTTCATCAAACATATTGAAACCAAAAGTTCAAACACAAATAATGGATAATAATAATAATAATAACAGTATACAGATGGAATTACAAATATTACAACGGGAAAATCAAAAATTAGCCTCAATCACTAGATTATGTATACATCTAGTCGATCGTTGTCGTACATTGAATAAAACGAAACAATTTATTGAAGATTTATCACGTCTTGGTATATTGATCGATGAATTTAACCATTGTAATACGAAAAAGAATAGTCAATTGCCGACATTCGGTAATTCTGGTCTTGTTTTTGATGGTCATAATACAACGACAACGGTTGGACGAGGAACAAAGTCTTCGGCTAATACTTCTTCGAATAATATTAATAATCAGTCAACAACAGCAACAGCAACGATGATTACGACTAATAATAATAATAGTAATACTTCAGGTGGTGGTATTGGCACAAATGTATATTTAATACCAATACAAATGGGTCCCAATCAACAAGGACCACAACAATATCAATTAATTCAAACAACAAATGATACAACATTGATTAGTCCCTCTGGAATATCTTCGAAATCAAAAGGAAAAGGTAAAAAAGGATCATCTACAACGTCGATGGCGGCAGCGGGCACAACGACAACTACAACGGCATTAATGATGATGGATCCAAATAGTTTGAATATATCAACACCACAACAACAACAAAATCATCAACAACAACAACAATCAATACTATTCAAAAAATTGACTGAATCTGGCCAATTACAATTAATCGATTCAACAATGTTGATACCACAACAACAACAAACATCGACGAATAATCAACAACAACAAAATCATCATCAACAGATAAGCATTCCAATGAATATGACAACGGCATCAGGTGGTGATCAAACATCAACGATATTCTCAATAATACAACAGAATCAAAATATTGACCAATCAAATATTGAGAATAATAATACGGGAAATATTAAACGTAAGTTAAAATAGATTAAAATAAGTAATTTATTAAATTTTTATGATTTATGATTTATTTAAATAGTTATATCACATACGATTGGAAATTCTCAAACATCAACAACATCTACTACGACCACCAATATAACCGGTCAATCATCATCATCATCATCGCCACCAACAACATCAACTGGTGCTGGTAATCAAAAAGTGTTCAAATGTGTCATTTGTGACAAAATATTTGCTAATGCATATAATCTAAATCGTCATAATAAATCACATAGCGGTTTTCAGCCATACGTTTGTGATTATCCGGCTTGTTCAAAACGATTCAATTATAATTATCATCTAAAAAGACATATGGAAACACATACTGGAGCACGACCATTCGTATGTACATGGCCAGATTGTGATCAACGCTTTAATCGTAAATATAATCTTAATCGTCATCTATGGATACATGCAGAGAATAAGAATAAAATTCAACATCATCATCAACAACAACAACAGTAACTCAGTTACGATAATGATGGAAGATTATTTAAAGAAATGAGTGAATACAAAAAAAAACATTCACCAAACACACCCACACAAATAGAATTAATATATTATTCTATCGATTCCAATCATCTATGACTATTTTCATTTATTGGCCATCTTTTTTCATCATCCTAAAAATTTGTAAATAATAACTACAAACTAAAAACAATAACAATAAGCACAAGGTATATACATAATTATTGGACTATTCCCGTTCTCTCTCGCCATAACTTGTCATCATCATTATCATTATATTATCGATATATGATTTGCATTGCTGTTTTTAAAACTACACACACACACACACAAACATTTCTCTTGTATATTTTATTCGAATAATAAATTATTCAAATTCTAAAAAGTTGAAAAAAAATAACAATCCATACATACAGTTTTTATTTATTTTAAAATTTTTTCTTTTGGTTTTATATATATCGATTAATTAAACAATTTCTTTAAGAGATAAACAATGAACATATGAATCACGACAACCAATCAATAATGATTGATGTTCAGCATAATAAATTGGTGTGGAAAATATTTCGGCTTCAAAATGATTAAAACCATTGATTGGAACGGATTGTCTATCATTCAAATTGATGAGATGAATTTTTCCATTTGTTTCGATTGCTAATAATAAATGTTTGTATTCGGATAGGCAAATAATATCGGCATAAACATTCGATTCAGTTTTGTATATCCAATCAGGTTGCGTAGAATTTAATTGAGCACATACAATCGAACAACCATTTGTTCCAATGATGATTCGAATATTTTCATCATCATCATCATCTGGGACTAGACATGGTGATGAAAATATTGGACTTTTTTCCATACACAATTCCCATTTTAGATCACCATTTGATAATGATATGGCAATCAATCTTGAATCGATCATTCCAACAATCAAATTATCTTTGAAAATTTTTGGTGTTGAAAAAATTGGCAGATTAGATTGATTACGTTTCCATCGTTGTTCACCACCATTCAAATGATAACAACCAATCGTTCCATTCAATGTACAAACAGCTACAAACCAATCATTACATTTTTGATCATACCAAATTACTGGACTACTAAAAATTGGTGATTGATTTACGTTTATTTTCCATCGGATATAACCGTTTGATTGTTGCCAACAATATAGATTATGATCAAAAGAACCGCATAGAATTAATTCACCAATCAAACTGGAAACCGACGAAAATAAGATTGGTGAACATTTGATTTGATCACCAGTTTTTGATTCCCAAATTATTCGTCCAGATTTCAAATGAAAAGCTCGAATTGAGCCCGAATAATCACCAACAAAGACAAGATTATTATCAGTACTGACAACGGGATTTGCTTCGATACGATTCGTAATTCTTTGTGACCATTGTATTGTGTAATGATTTTTTTGATCTTCATAAAAAGCATTGATTAATCCTGAATGAGATGTACATATCATCATTGTCTATATCATTCGAAAAGAAAAATGTGATTAATTGATTTCAGATTGCAGAGAAAAATCTTAATATTACAAACATTTGAATTGAATGGAAAAATCAATGGCGATGAATCAACACATTGTTCCATAAAATATGACCATAAATGTTCGATTCGAAAAGATGAATAACAAATCGGAATGTGAACAATAGTTTTGGAAGATTTATCAATACAATCGACTGAATATTTGTTTGATTTTTGACGTTTTTTATTCATTTTACATGTTGTTGTTTCGAGCGTACCGACAATATTATCGACAATTTGATCGATTGTATGGATGAATAATGAGGTATAAATATTTTCATTATAAAATGAAAATAAATCTTCAATTCTTGTTGCAATTTCGATTGCCATCATTGAATCGATACCATAAGCATTCAATGGTTTATCGGTTTTTATTTCCATCTTTAATACATTTGAAATAATCGATTGAATTTCATTGCTTATGAGATCATTTGAACAATTAGGTAATTGTGTTGGATCCAAATTTTGTCTTAGTTTACTATTATCTAATTTATAATTTTGATTCAAACAAACAATTTTTGTTGAATCAATCAAATGTATTCGAAATGGTATTTTTGAATAATTTTTTCGAATAAATAATCCAATTTTTTGTCTAATATTGTCATTATTCTGTTTGCAGTGATCATCATCAATTTTAGTTGGACATATGGTTATGATAACATCAATAAATTGAAGATTACCTTTCCATTCACCTTGTTTGGTATGGCAATTTTGAATGAAAAAATCATGACTATCATTATTAGATTGGCCAAATTCCAAAAGTAATGATTGTTCAATGGCACGTAAATGACATTTGATGCCATTTAATTTAATGAAATTATTATTAGAACTTTTTCTTCGATCAAAATAAAAATTATGATTATTATCAATCGATTGACCATAATCATTTGTCATCAATTTTGAATACATACTCCATCCTTTTTCGGTTTCGAATATTAAACATTTTCTCACGATACTTTCCAATATTATTTCATTCGATTGGTTCATATATACATCAGTATTGAGTAATGGCCGACCTATAATTGGAATGTCCATACACGAGGAACTCAATGAATCATCATCAATTTTAAACATTGAAGCCCAGACACTCATTTCGCTTAGGCCATAAAGATTACGAAATTCAATTGGATAATTTTGAAACATTTTCAAATGACTACGATTAGGACATATTTCACCACCAAAATTTACGTAACGCAGTCGAATTGATGATGTGTCTTGAAAATTTTTGAACAAATAATATTGGATTCGATACCAAAGCGATGGTGTTATTGTCATATAATTGACATTAAATTGAAAAATAATTTTGGCAAAATTTTCCCAGACATTCTTCACACAATTATCCGTTATGATTATATGACAAAATGATGATAATGCTACGAAAATATCACAGATAGATGGATCAAATGAAAACGGTGAACATATCAGAACGACATCATCGCTATTAAGCTTGAATTCGTCACAAAAATCTAGAACATTTCGTTGAATTGATGCATGTGGAACAAAAATGGTTTTATTTGAAACAATTAAATTTGTTGTTGTATCATTCGATAATTGACATTGATTCGTAGTACCAGATGTATTGATTAGATAGGAAATGTTTAATATCTGAAATTCTTTGCTGTTATCGTCATCATGATTATCGAATGATAATTTATTCAGATAAACAACAAAATCATCGATGATATTATCGATGACAATGTAATCATCGATGGAATGCAAAATTTGTTGAAGTTCTTGACTTCGATATCGATGTGTGATCAGAATATTTGTCAGGAGTGATATTGATTTGAATTGTTCGATATTTTTCGATAATGTTGCTCGATCCGATACAAAGTAGAATGGCAATTTGAGTATATTAGCAACCAACATGAACACTGGTGTCCATACATTACAATCACCAAAAATGACTAATGTTGGTCGAATTTTAATTGAAATTTTTTTCGAATCATCAATTAAAACATCTGCTGGTATTCGTATGGGTTCCAAATTCAAATTAAATTTGATCAATCGATCACAAATACGTCGACAAGAATCGATAAGATTTGAATAGGAAATCGTAACAATATTAGCATCCAAATCAATGAATGTAATTGCAGATTTTGATAATAAATTTTCATCAACATCAACCACTGTGGTGTTTGAATCAACTAATTGAACAAATTTATTGTTCAGTAAAAGATTTAGAACATTATAATCATTATTGGGGTCCATTTTTTTGTTTTATCTCTTCTTTTTCATTGGAATCTTGTACACAATCCATTTGTATTCGTTTCATTATTTGAATTTTTGTTTTCTTTTTAACAGGTTAGGTTAGGTTAACTGTGTGTGATACTCTGTTCGTTCCTATTCAAAAACAATGTAATTTTTTGGACCAAAAAAAAATTGGTTAAATCCAGATTCAAATTAAAAGAAAAAAATAATGTAAATCTATAACTATGACGACGACTACGATGATGATGATGATGATGACAAGATTGTTGATTGTGAAGTTGTGTGTTTGTGTGTGGGTGGAAATATATCTTGCCAGACTTCAAAATTGAGCGAATTAAACGATCTCTTCATCGTATATTTACAGAAGACAACATCAAATACACACACACACACACACACACACACCCAGAAAAATCAAGTATCCATAAATAGAAATCGAGGTTTATATGGTAAGTGGATTCACTTTTCATTTAGAAAAGATTTGTTTGTTTGTTATTTTAGTTTTTTTTTCGCCTACGATTGCCACAATTTTTTTTGCCTTAAAAATTTCTGTTTTGATGATCACAGCCAGAAAGAGAGAAAAGAAACAAAAAAAATCTCATTCTCTTTTTTTCCCACTTCTTTTCATTTTTGTTATTTTAGAATAATAATGATAAATAACTATGCAGCTTCCACAAATTTGGCCACAAAAAAAAATAATTTCACCATTTTTTTGACACCATTTTAATGTTCACTCGGAAGTTGTAAAAAGTTGTGTGTGTGTTTCAAAGTTTTTCAACGATCAAAATTTCCATTTTTTTACTGAAGCGAATTTTTTAAATATTTTTTTTAAAATTGTTTGGAACTGTACCGGAAATTCATCGACCAATCAAAAACAAATAAACGGATCATGGACGATATATTTCATTGGTGTAAAGATGGTAATGCATTATTGGTTCGTGTATGGTTGGATGATATTGCCAATGATATGAATCAAGGGTATGTGAATGAACATTTATTATTATTTTTATGTGATAAACGGATGAAATAATTTTCGTACTTTTCCCTTGGTTCATCTCATCATTATCATCTAACAGTGATGATCATGGATTCTCACCACTTCATTGGGCAGCATTTTCTGGCCATCTTCCAATCGTTGAAATGTTGATCGCTAAAGGTGCACGATTAAATGCAACAAATATGGGTGATGATACGGCATTACATTTGGCTTCAGCTCATGGTCATCGTGATGTAGTGAATTTGTTGATTAAAAATCGTGCAGATTATAACCTATTGAATGAACATGGTAATACACCACTTCATTATGCATGTTTTTGGGGATATAAAGATGTTGCCGAAGATTTAATCAACGCTGGTGCAATATGTAATATTGCCAATAAATATGGCGAGATTCCATTCGATAAATGTAAGGGAATGCTTCGCGAAGATCTTGAACAATTGGCTATGCGAAATGGACAAGATTTATCGAGAAAATTTCCATATAAAGACCAAGCTTGGTATGGTACGACCAAACGTTCACGTGATGCAACTTTATCCCGATTTGCCGGATTAAAACTAGAAGAATTATTGTTAAAACAAAAAATGGCTACAACAGCATCGGGTGAAACATGGCATGGTATATGGCAACGAAATAAAACGGAAATTTGTGCCAAATTTTTAGCCGTTTCGGGTGAAATGTCTTCAAGAATACCACGTGATTTTGCTGAAGAATATCCACGTTTGAGGATTTTCTCTCACCCGAATGTTTTACCCGTTATCGGTTGTGTTAATTCACCACCAAATCTGGTCGTTGTTAATCAATGGATGCCATATGGTTCATTATATAAAGTTCTACATGAAGGTTCACCAATTGTTGTTGATACACAGCGTGCATTACAATTTGCCATTGATATTGCACGTGGAATGTCATTTCTACATACATTAAATCCCTTGATACCGCGTTTCTACCTCTCATCCAAACATATTATGGTATGTCATTATTGTATTTCATTATTTATTTATTTATTTTTTTTTTGTTCAAAAATTAATTTAAATTTATTTTAATCTAACATATAGATCGATGAAGATCTAACTGCCCGTATTAATATGGCGGATGCAAAGTTTTCATTTCAAGAAAAAAATAAATTCTATAATCCTGGTTGGATGTCACCGGAAGCATTACAGAAAAAACATAGTGAAATCAATATAGCCAAATCGGATATGTGGTCATTTGCAATATTATTATGGGAATTAGCAACCAGACAGGTACCATTTGCTGAATTTCCACCAATGGAAATTGGTATGAAAATAGCATTAGAAGCATTACGTGTATCAATACCACCAGGTATATCACCACAGATGGCAAGATTAATAAAAATCTGTATGAATGAAGATCCAGGTAAACGGCCATCATTCGATCAGATTATACCAATATTGGAAAAGATGCGATTATCATGAGAATTTTTCATCAATTTTTTTTCGAAAATCATCAGACTGTCCCCGGTGTACCAAAACAAAAAAAAAATACAAACAAACCATACAAGCAATGATGTGTTCAGAACCAAGCCATTGTTAAAAGAGTATTACTCACGGTAAAAAAATCACAGATGCCATACATACTTAATCAATCAATCAATTATCCCATCTTCATACATGACGCACATGCCTTTCACTCGATTTATTATTATTTTGATTTTTTGAAAAAATTTTTAATTTTAAAAAATTTGATGATGGAATTTATAAAATGAATTACGATTATTATTATTTTATGTACACAGAAAAAAAAGAAGTTGATTAATGAAATGTTATCATTTATAATAATAATAATCAGAATTGTTCATCAATTAGATCACACATGAATGCATCTAATTCAGTCATTTTAGATATTGCTGATTGTCTAAATGGATGGCCTATATCGCCACCACCATCATCATTATTATCATCATCATCATCATCGTCAATCAATTTTTTCATTGGATCATGACTATTAATATTACCACCATTAGTTAATATAGATGATAAATCATCATTCATCATTGATGATGATGATGATGATGGATTCCTGTTTGATTGAAAATTTTCGGGCAATGTTTCTTGTAATAGATTATTAATATCTTTGTCTTTTATATTTTGTATGGCCGTACGAATAATATCTTGTATACGTTCAATTTGTTTCGATAATTTGATCGTCGTTTCTTCACGTTGTTTCTTTTGCATCTTTAAACATACACGTATCGATTCACGTGCTTGATGTGGCCTTAATTCATTGATTAAATGATGCATCTGAAAATGTACATAGGAATTATAATTAAAAGATATGACAATCGTTTATTTTTATTGGTAAAATCTTACCGTTATAAATAACAATTGAAGATCGTTACATTTTTCTTCACGTTTATGTGTATCCGGACAGCGGATAAGAACATCGATTAGATCCAAAAAATTGACCAAAATTGATGCATTAATTTTTTTCAACTCTCGTTTATGATCATATTCTCTTGGATATAAACGACGAAGACCTTGTGATTCTAATGATCGTATAATCGTATCATCAATAGTAATATTTTGACCAAACATAAGATAGGAACCAGGTGCGAATGGTTTTGGTGGTAACGGTGTACAACGATTACGAACATTAATGTCAGTAAATTGTTTTATATAACGCATCGGTGGTAATGGATAAAATGATGATATTGATGCCTGTTGATCAGCATTATTCGAAGCTGTTGCCTGATCAAAAGATGGTTTTACATCTAGATTATCGTCCATATTCATCGTGATGGGTTGTTGAATTGTTGTTTTACAATAATTATCGAAAATATTAGTGACAAATTGTAAATTCTTCAATACACACACACACAAATATACAGCCAGCAACAACAACACAAGCACAACGAATCCATTCGAATGAATGATATTGTTACATATATTTGAATCGATACTATCGAATTGTATCGTTCGTTACTTCGATAGCAGAAAAAATTCAAACTCTTAATTCGTTGCAAAATGAAAAAAAATTTATTAATCATCAGTTTCGTTTAATTTCACAAGTAATTAAAGAATCTATTTAGATTAATGAAATAAACTAAATTAATATATTGAAAATTAGATGATCAAAGGAATCAAAAATGTCGAGAATGAACGAACGATCGAATGAAAGTTTAAAAAAAATGAGAATCAAATTTGAAGATCATTCAACAATGCAGTGGATTTTAGAAATAATTTTCAGTCAAATGTTGTTGCAATTGATTGGATGCAGAATTTTGCGTTTGATTTGGATTATTTGCCTGTTGTTGTTGCGTATTTGGATTATTATTAGCTGCCGATTGTTGTGGTGATGATAATTGTTGTTGTTGATTGCTCGCCTCCATAATCATTGTTTGGGCAGCAGTTTGTGCTTGTTGTACAACAATTGAATCATTATCACCATTTCCGTTGCCACCATTATTATGGGAACTACCATTGTTGGAATTGTTACCACTACCGGAAACATGTTGTTGTTGTGCGGCTAAATTTGCTGCAGCAGTAGCAGCTACAACAGCTGCTGCCGCTGTCTGTTGTGAATAATTTTGTTGTTGCTGTTGTATCTGTCGCTGTAATTGATTCAATTGATTCTGTAATAATTGTGGATCAGTAATCGATTGATTCATTCGATGGCCATGTTGCTGTTGTTGAGGATGCTGATGTGAATGATTTGATGGTGATTTAGCCGAAGATTGTGTTTGTGATATTATCTGTTGTTGTTGTTGAACGAGAACTAAATTCTGCTGTTGACCATTACTTCCAGATTGTTGTTGCTGCTGTTGATGATGATGACTTTGATTCTGACTAAGATTTGTACCAATATTTTGTTGGCCATTTAGTTTATTCGATGATGATCGACTATTATTATTATTATTTGATGACGATGAAGATGTTGATGATATTGTACTCGAAGTTTGTTGTAGCTGTTGCGAATTATTATTGCCACTATTATAATTATTATTATTAATATTAATATTGTTATTATTATGTGTTTTTTGATGATTACGTAAATCTTCTGAACGTGAATAACGTTTTGGACATCCCGGATAATTACATGGATATGGTTTTTCACCGGTATGTGTATTCATATGTCGCCGTAGATGATAATTATCATTAAAACGTTTATCACAATTAGGCCATTGACACATGTATGGCCTTTCACCGGAATGTGAATAATTATGGCGATTCAATTTATAGCTTGTTGGAAATGTTTTTAAACATGTTTCACATTTATATGGCCGTTCCATTCCTATAGGTAAAGATAATTAATCAATATTTTCATCAATCAAAAAAAAAAAAAAATTTACAGAACTTCGGAACAACTTACGTTTTAAATCATTCGGAGATTTTGTTGATTGCTGTTGATGTTGTGAAATGTTATGAATTTGATGTTGATGTTGCTGCTGCTGATGATGACCATGCTGTTGATGGTGTTGTTGTTGAAGATGATCTACATTAAATTGTCCAATTGATGGAAAAATTTTTGATGATTGATGTGATAGATTAGCCAATGATGATTGCTGATGCTGTTGTTGTTGTTGATGATGATTTGGATGTGATCTTGTTGTATTTGTTAAATATTGTTTCGTAGATGATAATGTTGATTCATTCGATTGATGCATTTTCATTGAAGATGATGATGTTTTATTCATTTGATGAATTTTTCCTGATGATGATGATTGAATCGATTGTTTTAAACATTGATTATTATTCTGTAATTCAATACTAAGTAGTCGTTTTTTTGATTCGACAATCTTTTGATTCATTGTTTCAATCTGTCTATAAAGCTGTGTATTTAATTGGGTTTCTTGTTCCTCTTCGATTCTTGCATTCAATAATGATGATTGCAACATACTATAAATATATTCATTATCTAAATTAGCCACATTAATATATGGCTCTAGATCGGTGAAACAGATCCACGAAAATTCCAATAATAATTGATAATCGGCGAATGAATTTCGTAGCTTATATAAAACATTGAATATTAATAATGATATTAAAAATACATTATTCTCTTTGATATTGACCAATGAAAATGTCGTTCCCTCTGTATGTACAAATACAAAAGAGTTATTTTCATTAAATTAAAATTTCATCATCATTACCGTTTGTTGTTGTCGATGGAAATAATTCATAGATAAAACTTTTATCCAAATAAAATTGCAACATCCAATCACGTATAAGTAATATTAACATCTGTACATGTTGTGATGATTGTTGTTGTTGTTGTATGATGGTTGTTGTTGTTGTTGTTGTTTCCAGATCATTATTCTCCAATTTAATACGTAATAGATTATTATTTTCAATAAATTCAATCAATACATTTATCTGTTGTAGATAAAGAACATTTTGATTATTCAATTTTAATTGCTGCTGCTGTTGTTGTTGTTGTATGCCCAAAACAACACCATCATTATTATTATTATTATCACCATTAGCATTAATAAGCAATGAATTTGGCCGAAAATACTGTTCAAATTTTGATATAATAAAACCTAAACGTGGAATTGCTGACAAATCAATCAATGTTTGTGGTTCTTTAAATAATAAAAATTCTATTGATTGTTGTTGTTGTTGTTGATGATGATTGGAAGATCCAAAAAAATTATCTTGTTGGTGTTGTTGTTGTCGATTAGTTCTATATGTTGTGAATGAATTGATCAATTTAAGTATGGCTTGTTTATGAATATTTTGTATGGCCATTTCTTGAATTCAATAAATGATGATGATTCGGCTAAACCGAAAAAAAATAATAAACAAACATACATAAACTAACAACAGATGATTGACATTCAATAGGCCATTATTGTCATCGAGACATTGGTCTCGATATAATTGTTGACAGATTATCCATTTCCGTCATTTGGATTGATGGAATTTGTTTTTTCTTTCTAATTTTTTTTTCGTCTTCAATTACACACAACAATACATGTGGTTTATATTCACTTATATTACATTTCATTGTTAGCCATTAGTTGATTATTATATCATCATTTATTTATTGATTGGAAAATTTTAACCAATCAAATTGTATATTTATTGATTGATTGATGATGAGTGATATGATAAAAATATATATCAAGGAGAAAATCATCAAAACAAAAAACCAAGAAAAAAAATCACTGGTGAAAGAGAGAGAGGGAGAAAAAAAATCCCACCAGGATCCGTCCATGACCAACGTGATCAACGGGAGTGAACAAATTTGTTTTTTGTTAATTTTTTTTTTGTAGCAAAAAAAATTATCTTTATTTATTTTTTCCAAAGAAAATTTAATAAAGATGACGTGTCATATCGTTGATTGCCAAATTTCATAAATAAATTAATCAATCAATCATTATCATTTCATTTTGATTTTAATAGTCAAGTTTGTATTTCAAAAAATTTGAAAACTTGAAACTCAGTCATTGACTCACCAACCGAACAACGATTTCCTTTTTAAAATTAATTCGATAATGATGGAAAAACCTGAAGAATATGAGAGAATCTTTTTGATTACTTTGGCCACTCTCTATATCGTTTATCTTTTCTTCATATATTTTCTTCGACAAACATACATACGAATTCAAAGATTCGGACGTCGATGGTTACCATGGCCAAAATTATCGATTCCAGTATCTATTGTTTTAACATTATTTATTATGTTATATTTTAAACAAGATCATTCGTATCGTGGTCATCATCATCATCATCATCATCATCATTATGATGAAAACAATCCATTATGGCAATATAAGTATCGTGAATTTTTAGATTTTGTCTTTGATCATACATTGGGCGGATCACCGATTACACCAAGACATACAGATGATCATATCGTTTATCTTTATTATGGTACATTAATCCTATTGTTAATCATTTCATTCTATATCTATTCGATTCGATTCTTTCTTGATCATCATATATATGGTTTTTTTATGTTTATTGTTGCATTATCCTTAGTTTATTTCCCTATTCATGAAATCAGTGAAAAGTATAGTTCGATTCAATATATTGATGAATCAAATCAAATACAAGTAAAACCACATATTATAATCAAAATATTAGGCATAATGATTCTTGTATATCATATTGTTACAAGATTGTTTAATACTTTTACATTTTTTCTACGTATGATTGTACAATTTTTTCTATTTTCATCAATGATCATTATTGTATTGGCAATTATTGGCCATTTATATGAAAATATTCAAGAAATGAATGAATCAAAAATTTAAATCCTATTGTAAATCTAAATTGAATGGTTCATTAATAAAATTATCACTTGAATCACTTGTAAATGAATCATTATCGAAAAATTCGTCACCATCGTCTTCATATGATTTGCCATTCGAAATTGGTAAATGATTATTCAAAGATGTTAATGTTGTTTGTTGTGGCCAATTTTGATGAACACCGTGACCACCACCACCACCATCGTTATTTTTATCATGTTTTGATGGAAATAATTCAACAGCACCGATTGGTAACCAACGATTTTGACATTGACTTTGTCGTTGTAATTGATTTTCCAATAGACCGGTTAAACGATTTATTTCGAAACAACGTTCGTTCGGTAATTTTGAATCATTCTGGATTCAGAAAAAAAACTTGATTTTTGATCGAAAATATGTAAAAAACAAAAAATACATACGACATCGATTGTTGATTGAAATTTGCCGGTAATAGTGGCAAATTGAATTTTCGAATTTTGATAAGTTGATAACGTACACGATGAAGAGGATGATGATGATGATCGTTTCGGTAAAACATTTGAATTATCATTATTCGATGATGATTCTAATTGTTGAAAAAATTCAAGTTTTTCACAAAATTTTTCCATTTTTCAACATTCATCAATTTGCCGAATTCAATATTTGAAATGGTGAATGATTTTTTTTGTTGTTGTTGTTGTTGAAAATTGTCGTCGCTCTAATCAACCACATTATTATTCATATAATTACAATGATGATCAAGCGATTTATAATAACAAAAATTTTGTGATGAATCAAAATTCAAATTTTTCAATGTTTTTAGCACATGAATTAATTTGACGAAAAAAATTGGAACAAATGAAATTAGGCCGAAATGATATGCTCTAAATTCGAAGCTGCCAAATGGGTTTCATGGGTAAATTTTTTTTTTGACTTTTAATTTATCAATAATAAAAAAATAATATTCTATATACATAGGAACTGAAAAAAAATGGAATGTTTTGTGTTCGTTTTAATTTAGCTGTTGTTGTATAAAAGAAATTTATATTTAATCAATAATGATGGTCGACAATGTTGATGGCTATGATCGAAAAGATTTATAAAACGTTCCTGATTTTGTGGTGCATGTAACTGAATATTTTGTGTCATAGTACCACCTATCGAACGACTTTCATCTAATAAATTCCGTAATAATAATCGTCTTTCACCTAGACAACGACGTGGCTCGAATGGATTAACATCTGAACAACGTATTAATAGATAATCATCAAGATTATAAAGTAATAATTTTGTATCATGATTCCATTCAACACGGCATGGACCTCCAAATGAAGATATTTTTATTGCTGCTGCTGGTGATAGTGGCCGATGTTCCGATTTTAGATTATTAAGATTATTCGTACTAAGACTAAGACTACTCATTCGATTGAATGAATTATTTTTCTGTAAAAAATTTCTTTTCGGACATGTAATAATAGATGTTTGAAATGTTGCCGTTATATGATCCCAATCATGACCAATAGAAATCTGTATTTGTACATTGATTTCGGCTGTAGAATTTTTTTTAAAAGGTTAGGATTATTTTTTCAAACAAAAAAAATTCCATAAACTTACGATTAATGGTATAGATTTGTACAGCTTCAACAACGGTTATGAATAGACTACCACATGGTTTACCCACCGATATGATATTGTTTCGATTCAATTTGGACAATATATCTTTATATATTTGCTGTGCACGATATATATCATTCAACCAATTTGTACAATCATTCGCTGAATGTGAACGTAGATTTAGATAACGTTTTTCATGTTTAAAATAAAGCCGAAATAAAAATGGATTCAATTGTGATTCGAAACCGATTAGATCGGCCATTTGAAATCGATCCAAAAACATTGGTTTTCTATAAAGTGTATATGTAGCTGAATAGGCACTTTTTGTTTGAAAAAAATTTGTTACATTTCTTAATTTCAGGCCACTTTTATCCGGTGTTGCAAGCATAAAAAAATCATTGAATAAAAATCCAACCAATACTCTGGATGATGGACTTTTGATTAAAATACCCGTACGTATTAATGTACGTGGCCCAAGAAATTGTGTTTCCGAATTAAAATCAATAGATCGTCGCAATGTTTTTGCCGGTATCCGTACATGTTGCTGTATCCAATGAAGTTTATCAAAATTATCCGTTTTTCGACAAGTTTCATTTAGATCGATACAGAATTTTCGAGCAAATTCCAATGTTTTTTGACAATCATTATAATCACCATGATTAGGTGGTGTATGATGAAGAATTTTTTCGATTAACAATGGATACTTTGTTATCCTTTGCATCGGTTTAATCAGATAGGAACTTAATGGCAAATGTGATTTCGTCTCGATCGAAATCTGTCGTAATAGATTTTCAAACGTACGATTCATTTCAATCATATTCTGTAGCCGTACGGATGCTTGTATTTGATTTGAGAAAAATTTTCTATAATTTGGCTGCATTCGTTCCAGATAATGATGAAATAGATCACAGAAATTAAAATCACGATTCATTGATTCTTGTAAACGTTGACTTAGATCTCTACAAGTGTGATGAAATTTAGAAAAAAAAAATTCAAAAACAATTTTTTTTTTGCAAAATAGAAACTTACTGAAAAAACATTCGATTAATATCATAAATATCTTTAAAATGATTGAAAATTAATTCAAAATCTTTTACGTCAATCAATTGACTTTGTTCGATACGATCTATATAATTCTATGTTATTTATGAATGAATGAATTTCGATTAATCGTTGTCAATTTAAAAATGAGAAAAATATTTACCTCGATGACAAAATATAAATCTTTTATATAATCATGTTCAGTGCTGATTAGTTCAAAAATTAAATTCTGTCGTTTTTCACACGAATTTTCCACATGATTTACATTATTTTGATGAATGGTTGATTTCAAAGTATCACTATTATTACTACCGGTGTTTGATTTGATTTCATCAGATGAATCATCATCAAAAGAATCATCATCATCATTATTATTATGAAATGGAAGAATCTGTGGTTTCTCTGATTTTGACATTTGGCCATTTTCATTATATTCATCATCAAATGAATCATCATCATCATCGAATGAATCATCATCAACATCATGACCATAATTATCATCATGATGATTTATAAACTGATCATCATTACAAGTCATAGTAGGCAATGAATAACGCCAATGTTTATCTGTTGAACGGGCGTATGGAAAAAGAAAAATTCTTCAATAAGCAATTGAATTGAGCAAAAAAAAATGGAAAAGATTTTAAAGGAAAGTATCTTTTTTTTACATTTTTGAAAATTAAGAGAAAAAAAATTTATGACCAATTTCATCAGCAAACTAAATTAAAGAACCTGGTGAAATCAAACAAGATAGAAGAGCAAATAAAATCTCTCGAAAAATTTTCTTTCGTTTTTTTTCATTCATTTGTATTCGGTGTGTGTGTGTTTGTGTGATTCTGTAACATTGTTATTAATTGATTGATTGATTGGAAAACGATTTATTCAAAATTCACAAATAGACATACGACACAAATACACACACACCCATATATATAAATATAACGTAATAAAATAATTAAAATCAATAAAATCAACGGGCTAATTAATAATTTTCTCGTGTTTTGTGTGTGTAATAAAAATTTTCATGATTTGAGTAATATAAAAAAAAATTTTCGAGATTCTAATTTTACACATCTACTTTTCGAGATAGAATTTGCGTATGGTTATTGTTGTTTGTTTGTGTGTGTGTGGGTGTTTGTGTGTATGGAAAAAAATTCATTTAAAAGCATCATCAAAATTGGCAAAAAATGTATCATTTCCAATTGATAATCCGGTATTATTTATGTTGTTGTTGTTGGTGTAATTCATAGTTGTTGATACCGTGTTTTTGTTGACCATTTCTGATGATGGTTTAAATTGTTGTTGTTGATCATTAAAACAATCAAACGGTGATGATGTTGTTCGTGTTGTTGATGATGTGAAATGACCATTCGTATTGAAAGCATCCATAGTAGTAGGAACAGCAGCAACATTAATAGGATTGGCAGAAATTGTTGAAGCTGGAGAATTTGAGAAAGCAGATGTAGAAGAAATGGAATTTGCGGAAATAGTAACAGAAGTAGTAGTAGTAGTGACAGAATTGAATGGATCAAAAACTAAAGATAAAATAAATATTTCATGAAACATAAACAGGTGAAAACATTGAGAACACATATTTTAAAAACACAAAAGACAAAATGAAGAGAACGAGAACAAAAAAAAGAGAAAAGGTGAAAAAAATCAAAATTTTTCGAAAAAAAGGACAAAAACATAAGTAGAATAAGCCGAAAATTATTTTAAGACATAAACCGCGAAATGAAATGGGAAAAAACAAGAAGCGAGCAAAAAACAAAATGCTCACATTTTCACGCACACACACACATATTGCAATGAACATTGAACATTGTGTTTTTTTTTGTATCGGATGTGTTTAGGTGATGGTTGGTGGGTGTGTTCATATGTCTGTTGGTTTTGAAAATTGTGTTTATTTATTAAACATTAATTATTATGGGTTTGTGTATGAGAGAGAGAGAGAGATTTTAAATTGCCAATAATTTATCTAATAACACATTACGAACCCAAATTCTTAGCGAAACAGAAAAGCCCAAACAGATTAAATGATTATGTATTGTAAAGTGTGTGAGTTAATCAGAAAATTGATTAGTTATTATGATAGAAAGAGAGATAATAGATAATAAGAATTGAATATTATGAGAAGTACACTCTGTTGTTAAATGGAAATTTGAAATATTCAGGATAGAAATTGGAAAGATAGATAGATAATAATTAATCAATTAAATAATTAATTAGAAAAATTAATTAGATGTCTAATGTCTATATGTTAATAAATTAATTCTAATTTAAAACAAAAAGAAAAATAAGAAATTTCTTGGAAAATCGAACGTAATATTAAAAAAAAAATTTATCAAAACTTACATGATGCTAAATTCGAATCCGATGATTTTGTCACACCATTCGATGTTGATGTTGATAACACTTGAACATGATTCGAAGGAAATAAGCCGATTGCATCCGTACGAATATTATGACCACGCCACCATGTTGGATCAGTTTTACTTAAAACACGTATAATATCATCTTTTTCAAAACTAATTTCATCCTCACGTTGCGCATTGAATGCATATAAAGCTTGTACACGTTCTGGTAACGAATAGTTTATAATTTAGATTTTTTTTTAAGAATTCAAATAACTTACCGAGTTCAACTTCATCATTCGGCTGTTTAAATGAGGATGATGGTTCATTAGTTGTCGAAAGATTTGTTGTTGATGTTCCAGTTGCTGTAGCAGCAGCAGCAGAAGCTGATGTACCACCAACACCACCACCTAATGGTTTAACATATGAAGCCGGAAACCAACCAACTTGTTTCTTTTTTCCTTTCGCTTGTAATTCACCTTCCCACCATCCTGTTTGTGTTTTCTTTCGAACCTGTATTAATTGTCCAATTTCTAATGATAATTGTTCGGGACCGGTAGCTGTATATGCAGCAACTGCTTGTACAATTTCCTGTTTTTTTGCCTTAGATTTTTTCGATGGTTTCGGAGAATCGATAATTGATTCCGATTCTTTACGCTATGGAAAATAACAAAAAAAAAGTTAAATTTTGAAATGAAAAAACCAGATAAAAAGCTATAAATACATCAAGTGGTTGATGGGCGGCTTTGGCCGAAGAAGTTGAAGCAGCAGCAACAGCAGCAGTATTAGTATCATTAACGGAAGCATTAGGGTTAGTTGTCGATTTTGTTTTTGTTTCAGAAGCACAAATTTTCTTTGAAATCAAATATTGTTTTTTAGGTTAATTTATTTTTGAAAAAAATAAGAAAAATTTTATTCATGAAAACTTACCAAAATTTCTGCCGGATCAGCTGGTCCAACAAAATTCGATGGAAATATTCCACGGCGATTATCATCCACTTTACCTGTATTACGATCAACAATGATACCAGTCCACCAATCACCATCTTGTTTTTCCACTTTAATCAATTCATTAACATCGAAACCAAGATCACCAGGTTCAACTGATTCGAATGCAAATAAGCTAACATAATACTGTGATGATGATGGTATTGATGTATCACCAATGCCACTTGTAGTATCAACAACACTGGAGGATGATGAAGTAATTTGAATATAACTTTCAGGAAACCAACCAGATCCAATCACATGACCATCATTCGAATCTAATAGATCGCCAAAAAACCATGAATCTTGTTGTTGTGTTATGCGAAGATGATCATCTTTATTGAATGATAAATGGCCAGTTTCTGTTGATGACCAATCATATAATGCAATTGCTTCACGTACAATATCTTGTCCGATGGTCGTTGCTGTTGTTGTAGCCACAGCCGTTGCTGTTTGTTGTTGTTGTTCTTCATTACCATCATCATCCAATATGGCATAATCTTTTGGAAACCAACCAATTTTACCATTAATCTCACCGGAAAGCCACCCTTCTTCCGAACAAGCACTTGTATCAACCATAATTAAATCACCCGGTTTAATGGTAATTTCATCCGAATTTCTTGCATCAAATTCAAATACACAACGATAACGAAATTTTGTTCGTATTGTTGTTGTATTCGTTGCGTTGACCGTTGCTACATTTTGATTGGACCATTGATCGCCACCAGCAACACTTTTATCTTCAGTTGTTCCGGTTTGTGATGGCCATTCAAAATTTGTTGGTACCTCCTGTCCCCATGCAACATCTGAATCGGCAGCATATTTTGATGATGCTTTACCATCACGAACTTTTTCCGCTTCCACACGTTTATCTTCTAATTGTTCAGCAAATTTCGATGCTTTACGTCGTTTCTCTTGATACAATTGTTTCAATCGTTCCAATTCTTGTTTACTATTCAACACATCTTCTTTTTTCGTTTTATATTCCTCTTGCATACGTTCTAATTGTGATCGTAGCTGATTCAACTGTGATTGTTTTGCCTGTAAAATCGATGCAAATGATGTAAGCTGTTGTTCGGCATTAACACCATTACTTGTTGCATTGGCTATCAATGATTTTAATTGTGCTGCCAATTGTACTTTTTCCTGTTCAACTAATAATTGCTTTTCAGTCAATGATTTCATCTGCCCTTTAATTTGTGTTTGTTTGGCCAATGCTTGATCACGTTTTACACGCATTCCATCGATTTCGGATTTAATACGTACCACACGATCACGTGATGTTTGCGCTAATTTTTTCGATTCCGATAATTGTTTATCAATCTGTTCATGTTCCAATATAAGCACTTTACGACGTGATTTCAATTTCTGTACTTCTTCCATTAATCGACTTCGTTGAGTTAATAATTCTGATCGTCGTGCCTGTTCCAATTCTCGTTGTCTTTGTCGTTCCATTTCTTTACGAGCCAATTCTCGTACCTCTTGTTGTCGACGTTTCTGTTCTTCACGTTCTAATTCTTGTTCACGTAATTTTTGCCGCTGTAATTCCAATTCTTCTTGCCGTCGACGTTCAGCTTCTAAACGTTCTTTTTCTTTACGTGCATTCTCTTCCCGTTCTTTACGTTCACGTTCTTCACGTGCACGACGTTCTTGTTCCTGTAATGCAGCACGGCGGCGATCCAATTCAGCTTGTCCTTTTTCATAATTTTCACGACGTTTATCTTCAAAACTACTTTTACTTGCCGTACTTAGATCATTATGTTCGGAAGAAGGATCATCCAATGACGATGCATGTGATAATGTACCACTACCACTACGACGATATGATGGAGGAATTAGATCGGCGGGTAATTTTGCCGGTAATGATTCTTGACGTTTGGCTTTATCAACCAGATGCATAGCCAACACAAATTCTTCACATGTTAATCGTCCATCGGTATCAACATCGGAAAGATTCCATATCTGTGCCAAAGTTGTTTGCGGTAATTTCGATTCTAATAGAATATTACGTGCTTGAATACCGGTAAGAAAACCGGTACGTTGACGATCATGAGAATTGAACATTTGAGTATATTTCAATTTAATTGGCTGCGGTATAGCCCATTCGGCCACATTTGCCGTCGGTGATGGAGCAGATTTTGTCATTGCAGGTTTCATCTGTTGTACACTATTCGATGGACTCATACCAACTGTTGTTGTTGGTTTCATAACCATTGTGGACGAGTGTTGTTGGGAGTTAACCATAACATTATTTATTAGTTCAGATGATGACGATGATGAATTGAATGCTGCAAATGGTGGTGGTGGTTCAACCAAAACCTATCATTTTTTTTGTTTGTTTGAAAACAATGCAAAAGAATAATTGATTGATTGATTATTAATGAAATGCGATGATGTAAACACATGCACACAACACACTGGACAAACCTTTAATGATTGTGGTAGAACCGTTGGCAATTCAACGCCCTTTAATTTCAATGCAATCAAATGTAATGCAATACAAAATTCATTTATATCCATACGGCCATCGGCATCAACATCGGATAGATTCCAGATATGTGCCAATATTTGTGGCGATAATTTTGATTGTAACATAAGTTCACGTGCCTGTTGTCCGCTGACAAAATCACCGGCCGGACATATTTTCTTAAATTGTTGTTCATATTTAGCTTTTTGATCCGGTGATATAACAAATAATGATGATTCAGATGTTGGAGATTTTAATGTGGTCATTGATTACTGGAGTGTGGTGTGGACTGATTTTTCGAGCTAATACAAAAAAAATTTGCTCACTTGTTTTTTGACTGAAAAAACAAATCCGATCTTTTTTTGTCAAGGAGAATTATACATTTGTTGTTTTTTTACAATGATGTTGTAGGTTTTGTTTTTTCTATGTATGTTCATATGATGACACATTCGATGACAAGACAGATTAGTTTGTGATTTAATTTTTTTTTATATATTTTTCAATGACCAAAATTTTGTCATTCTTCCTACATTACCATTTATCATCACTATTTTATTATGATGATCATAAAAATCTAGCGATTTTAAAATTAAAAAAAAAGACAAAAATTTACAGATAGAATGAACAGAAATGAAAAAAAATTTGCAAATTTTATTTCACTTACCACAAATGAATTTTAGACTAGAATTTTGTAAATTCAATTCATCCAATTCTCAATATTTTAGCCGATTTTTTTATTTATTTTGGAATTTTTTATCGTTTTTGTTGTCAAAATTTTCGGTCTTTATTAATCAATTTTTTATTCAATCTTGTTTACAGACTATCAAATATGTATGGAAAGAAGAAAAGGACACGTAAAGAAGAAAACAAGCAAGCTCAATGACTTTTTCTGGAGAATGTGGAGAAAGAAAAAATATGGAACCAAAAAAAAAAAAAAAAAAAAAATAAAATCGGCTATATATGACATCCGATAAAAAAAATGGTAAAACACTTGGCATTTTCTTGTTTTTTTTCTGGTCGATCTGGTTGGTTGGATAGATTGCTCACAATTTTAGCAATATAACATTTAAAACCGTAATGCCATCTAGTATCGTCTCGACAAAACAGTAATGTTCTATTTTTGAATTTTCGAATTTATTAATAAGGTTTTTTCATTAGGTAATAATCAGTAAAAAAATATATCGTGTAAATTCGAAATTTTATTTTTATTTTCAATTTTTGTTTGTATTTGTTAATCAACATGAATCATGGATAATTCCGATCAAATTGATGATCTTGAATATGCGATTAAAGTGATTATTGAAGAAGATGAACAACAATTATTCCGGGATACAGGTTAGTGTGTGTGTGTGTGTGTGTGATTTCATCATCAAAATTATTAAAAAAATTTTTTTTTCTCTATAGCGTTACGAATTCATAAAGATATTGAAAATTTATTATCAAACAATGATGATGATGATGATGAGAAATCAAATAATAATGATAATGATGATCATTATTCAAATCATTGTAATCAAAAAATCGAAATGATCCGATGGTTAAATGAATCATCGATAATGAAAACAACAAAACAACCATTATCGTCATCATCATCATCCCGGTTAAGTATTTGGAATAAAGATCCAATGGTTATGATGAAGTATAAAAACAACAACAACAACAGCGAAATCAATGAACCGGTTCAACAACAAATTCCGGCGATAAATTCAATTATTAACAATGATATTCATGATGATGATCATCAATCGAATGATGAACAAAAAGAATCAAATGATTTTAATCAATTTAATTTAATAATGGATCGTATGATATTGTCACGTTTAGAGAATGATCAACGTGTTGATTTTTATTCCAATAATTATAATCAGAATCAAAATTTTGATCAAAATCATATCGATTATTTATTCAATGAATATTTTCATTTTTGTTTGATCGAATTACAACTATTTGAAAAAGAAATTGATTATTCAATATTGAAACAATCAAATAAAATGAAATCGATTGGTAATGGACATCAACAACAAGTTCAAAGTCTAAATCATCAATCATCAAAATGGCCCATATCATTAGATGGCAATCACCAACAACAAATAAATCCCAATCAATTACATTTATTCATATGGAATCTATTCAATTTACATGAAAAATTATCATCATTTTATAGCTGTCAGAATAATAATGATTCAAGTCCATCACTATTGCCGTCATCATCATCATTGTCATCGATAATCAATAATGAAATAGATAATTTATCAACAATAATAATAAGAACGATTACCGTTTGGTATGAAATTGTTGAAAAGATTAAGGATAATTTTGTCAAACAAAATTCAACAACCAATTGTTTCGATGATGATCCTATAATGAATGCCGAACAAATTAATCAATTAAAACGACAACAAATTGTACAATTGAAATTATTATGGCAATTAACACGTCAAATACGTCTTTTACATTGGACTTATGATTTTTAAACTTTTTTTTTCTTTTTTTTTTATTTAATTCAATAAAATAAAAGTGTTATACATTTTTTTTAAAAAAGACAAATATACATGAAACATGAAATTTGCAAATCAAATTGAATTGTTGAACTGCAAATGGAATGTTTTTTTTTGTGTAACAAACATATTCATGCAGTTATACATTATTCATGTGTATGGAATGGTGAGAAGGTAACTCATATAACTTTTTTTTATTATTTTCTTTTTTTAATATTAGATGGTACCTGATTTGTATGCACTGATGAGTGATCGGCAAATATCATCATCATACATATATATCTCTACAAACAAATTCAATTTTGTTTAAAAAATAACGGACCAAAAATATTTTTACATGATTATGAAATGTCTGCTATTGTGGCCTTTAAAGAGATATATTTTCAGACTGTACCATACATGGATACTATTTTCATTTTGCTAAAATGTTGCAAACAAACATTGAAAAAAAAGATTAGAATATGCATTAGAATATAAAAATTCCATTAGTTTTAAGAATCATACATTTATCTATAATTCAAATCCATTGTCCTTTGTTCCAACAAATGAAGTGAAAAAAAATTATTTTCACTCACAATTTTTTTTGACCATTTATAGTTGATAATACGGTTTTATCATCATCAAATCTACTATACGATAATAAAACAACATACATCTTTGTTAAGGGCCGATCAAAGATCTGTTGAAATTAAAAAAAGAAAAATTTACATATATTAAAAACAATTCAAATATATCATAATGATTGATGATGATATGGTTATTTCAATTTTTGTTACCTGGATGCGATGGAAGTTTTTTTTTGTTTCTTTGCTCATTAGTAATAGTTGTTCAACACGGTCGAAACATCCATGTGGAAATACACAAAAATTCGATTCTATTTCAACTTATGTAGATGATGATGATGATGATTTAAATTGATATAAATATTACACACAGGTAAATATAGTATTGTAAAAAAAAAATTTAATTATTATATGATTTTATTGGATTTCTTCTAATTGTTTTTTTTTTCTTTTTTTTTATTGATTACGAGATCACAAAAAATACACGCAATATTTATCAGTGAAATAAAAACGATGTTATAAAAACATTACTTAAAGTTCCATCGGGTCCATCGACAACAACAACAACAACAACAACAAAAAATAATAAACGGTATCTTAGTCAAGGTTGTAAATAAAATAAAATGGTTTTTTTTTCTTGGTTGGATTACATATCATCCACAGCCATACCATTGATGATTGACAATGATTGACAAACCATACAAAAAAAAAATTTAAATTCAAATCGTTAATGAATTAGCATGAAAATTGATTAACCGTAATAATAAACTCACATAATCATCATCATCATCATCATCGTAATTTTTTGTTAAAAACATTTCAAATTTTTTTTTCTGCGAATAAAACTTTTTTTTTATTTTTGCTGACAATTTAAAATGTTGATGATGGCGGTGACCATAATCATCATCATCATATGATTATGATGATTATGATTGGTTTGATGAATATCTAGAAAAATCGTAATTATGGGTTTATTTTTAATTTTATTTATATATTTTTTTTTTTATTTTTTTGGTAGAAATAAAAGCCACAATCTCAAAATGATTGTCATTCGATTTTTCGGTTTGTTGCTGTTCATATGGTAGTTTGATCTACCCATTTCATTATGATTTTAGCTCCGTATAAAACAATAAGATATTATCATCATCGTCATCATCGAAATCAGAATAATAATAATAATAGAATTTTCAATTATTTTGTTTACAATCTCACCATCATCATCATCATTATCATCATTCATATTAATATTCGATAATTAATTGAATTAATCAAAGTACAACAGAATATAATTCCATCTATATACTGTTCATCATCATTATTATAATCATCAAAGATGAAGGATTCTAATAAATCATCAGCATCTTTAGGACAAATCGTAAGCTTGGATAATAAATAAAAAAAAAGAATTCCCAAAATTCTTGAATTGAAAAAAATAAATAAACAATTTTTTTTTCTTTTTTTTAACCAAAAAAAAAACAGTTAAAATATGTTAAATATATGGATTATTTACTCATATTAATCGGTTCATTTGGATCATTTCTATGTTCATTAACATGGCCTGGTTTAACAATTACATTCGGTAAAACGGTCGATATTTTTGTCAATTATGAATATTGGTATCATAATGATCGTGTGATGAATAAAAATGAAACATATATTGAACAACGACAACAAGAATATATGAATGAAGTATGGAAATATTCTGGTTTGACCGGTGCCGTATGTATAATGTATATTGTTGGTAATTTTATATCGATATATTCATTTCAAATACTTTCATTGCGTTTAACACGTAATGTGAAACGATTATATTTTCAATCAATTCTGAAACAAGAAATTGCATGGTTTGATTGTCAAAAATCCGGTGAATTTGCATCAACAATATCCAAGTGAGTTTTTTTGTTTTTTTTTGGAATCATTTATTTTCTATTCTATTTATTTTTGTTGAAAATAGTGATTTTAAAAAATTTGAACAAGCATTCAATGAAAATCTAGCACTTTTAATCTATCAATCATTCTCCAGTGTATGTCATTTAATATTGGGAATTTATTATGGATGGAAATTATCATTGGTCATCATGTCTGTAGCTCCAATCATGATCATTTCATCGATCACAATGACAAAGGTATTTTGATTTTGATTTTTTTTACATTCTATTTATTCATTTATATTTGATTTTGGTTGAAAAGTTTCAAACATATTTTGCACAAAAAGAGTTACAAGCACATTCTGCAGCCAGTTCAGTAGCTGAAGAAGCAATTTCAGCCATACGAACAGTGTTTGCATTCGGTGGACAGGAGAAAGAACGACAACGTTATGAATCAATGCTAAAACCGGGTATGATATTGGCTTGTAAAAGAAATTTTGTTACCGGTTTAGGTATGGCATTACATTGGACAATAATCTATATTGCACTTGGTTTGGGTATATGGTATGGTGTACGTTTAATCATTAGTGTTGATGATATTTATACGATCGGTGATGTTGTCATTGTATTCTGGGGCGTGACTGGATGTGCCTTTTCTATTGGTTATGCTGCACCATTTTATGAATCATTTCAAATTGGTAAAACATCAGCAAAAAATATATTCGATGTTATTGAACGACGATCAGAAATTGATACATCAAAAAATTTTGTTGGAAAAAAATTGCCAAAAGATTATAAAACCGATATTGAATTTCGTAACGTACATTTTAGCTATCCATTACGTCCGAGTGTGAAAATTCTTAATGGTTTAAATTTAAAAATTAATTCCGGTGAAATTGTTGCATTTGTTGGAACCTCTGGTTGTGGAAAGTCGACAACCATACAGCTTATACAACGTTTCTATGATGTTAAAGATGGTGTGGTTATGTTGGATAATCATGATATTCGCCATTTAAATGTTGGTTGGTTACGTGCACAATTAGGTGTCGTTGGACAGGAACCAGTATTGTTTGATACATCAATTGAAGAAAATATTCGTATGGGTATGCCAATCGATCAGATGGACAATGTAACCATTGAAGATATTGAACAAGCTGCAATAGCAGCTAATGCACACGAATTTATCAGTAAATTACCGGACAAATATAAAACATATGTTGGTGATCGTGGTACCCAACTATCTGGTGGTCAAAAACAACGCATCGCTATTGCACGGGCATTAATTTCTCGTCCGAAAATTCTTCTATTGGATGAAGCAACATCGGCATTGGATTTACAAAGTGAACATATTGTACAGGCTGCCCTTGATCGTGCAAGCCAGAACCGCACGACGATCATTATAGCCCATCGATTATCAACAATTATCAATGCTAATCGTATATTCTACATTGATAAAGGACAAGTTGTCGAACAAGGTACACATCAATCATTGATGGAATTGGAAGGAAAATATTATTCACTTGTACAAGCACAACAGATACAACAACAAACAATGAATGAAACGAAAAAACTTAAAACAATTGAACAATTACAAAATTCTGATATAGTAATAACGAAACGTCGATTAAGTAAACGATTTTCCAGTGAAATATCTCTTGGTAAAGGTCAATCGGTTACACCAATCGATGATGATGATGATCCAATTGTTAATCAAGAAGATTTTAAAAAATTGAAAAAATTCTCACATATGCGTCTATTACGATTGATATGGTTGGATAAAACATTTTTCACTATTGCATTCATAACGGCATTGATTTATGGTACATCAACACCGGTTTATGCATTAATATTCGGCGAATTTGTAGCGATTTTTGCCGAAAGTAAAGATGATGATTTTCTAATGACACAAACACTTTATTATACATATGCATTCATTGGCCTGGCTATCGGTATATTTATCTGTTGTACTACACAGATTACATTATTCGGTATTGTTGGCGAAAAACTTACCAATCGTCTTCGTAAGATGGCATATTCAGCCATTTTAGATCAAGAGGTTGCCTATTTTGATGAACAAAATAATAGTGCCGGTGCATTATGCGCCCGATTAGGTAATGATGCTGCCAATGTTCAAGGGGTATGTTACGGTTTGTTTTAATTGACAAAATTATTTGCTAACTGATTGAAAATATTTATTCAGGCCACCGGTTTACGTATATCAATGATGTGTCAGGCAATATCAACAGTCATATTTTCCATTGCAATGGGTTTCTATTTTAATTGGCGTCTATCATTAGTATCATTAGCATTAATGCCAATTGTTGCATTTGCATCGGTGGTTAGTTCATCAATTTATTCACAACAGGCAACAAAAGATGGTGTTACGGCAGAAAAATCCAGTAAAACAGCAATTGAAGTAATGAATTCAATACGTACGGTTGTATCACTGCATAAAGAAGATTATTTCTACGATATTTTCGATCATACATTGACCGAAAGTTATATGTAATATGAATGATTATTTCATTTTCATATGATTAATCGATTCGTTTGTTTGTTACAGAAATGCTCGAATGAAATGTCTTTACAAATCAGTTGTTATTGCATTTGCAATGGGTGCACCATTTTTTGCTTATACAGTTAATTTTGCTTACGGTGGCTATCTAATACGTGATGGTCTACTTGCATCTGGTGATTTTTTCAAGTAAGTAGCCTCTGTGCATGAGAATTTAATTTTCCTAATTTTTAAATTAATCATCAAATATCTCCATAAAAGAATTGCCGAATCCGTTATATTCGGTGCAATGGTTGTTGGACAATCGGCCGTATTATCATCAGATTTTGCTAAAGCAAAATTAGCCGCTATGAATATATTCAATTTGATCGATTCAACACCATCATTAATGGACGTGAATAATAATAATAATAATAATAATAACGGCATTATCAATAATAATCGAAAGAATCATAATGAAATTTATACGAACATCAATGGTGATAGTAGTGATAAAAATTTCCAGCTAATAAGAATGTCAACAAATGGATCAAAAAAACAGTTAATCAATCAAAAACTAATGGAACGATCCAAAGGAAATATTTTATTCCGTGGTGTACATTTTAGCTATCCATCTAGGCCAAATTCACAAATACTTAATGGTCTTTCCTTCAAAGCTATGCAAGGACAAACAGTCGCATTGGTTGGTTCCAGTGGTTGCGGAAAGTCAACATCCATACAATTATTGGAACGTTTTTATGATTGTAATACCGGTCGTGTGGTATGTATTTTCGGTTGTTTTTGTTTTTCTCGTCTTTCGTTCGTTGAATCAAATAATGAATTTTTCTCTTCCTCAACCGATAGTTGTTAGATGATAAAAATATCAATGAAATCGATATCGATTGGTTACGATCACAGATATCATTAGTACAACAGGAACCAATCTTGTTTAGTTATTCCATTCGTGATAATATTGCCTATGGTGATAATAGCCGTTCGGTAACGGATGAAGAAATTTATCGTGTAGCCAAAATGGCCAATGTACATGATTTTATTAATCAATTACCACAAGGATATCAGACACCAGTAGGTTCAAAAGGTGGTACACAACTATCCGGTGGCCAAAAACAACGTATCGCTATTGCACGAGCATTGATTCGTGATCCACCAATATTATTATTGGATGAAGCAACATCAGCATTGGATACAGAATCCGAACAAATCGTACAACAAGCATTGGATGAGGCATCAAAAGATCGTACTTGTTTAGTTATAGCACATCGTTTAAAAACAATTGTCAATTCGGATAAAATTATTGTCATTGATCGTGGCCAAAATGTTGAAGAAGGTACACATGAAGAATTATTATCACGACAAGGACATTATTGGCGTCTATATAATCAAACACCATGAGAATTTTTCAATATTGATTGATTGATTGATTGGAAAATTTTTTTTTTTTTTTTTGGTAAATTAATAATTGAAATATGTATACAAGTAAGATTTTCTGAGATAAAATTTTCATTTTTTTTTAAATTTTAATTTTTTAAATAATAATTATAATTAATAATAATCATCATATATAATGTATGTATGTATGTATAAGAAGCGAGAGCGAATGTTTTTTGTGGATTATTATTGTTAATTTTATTTTTCATTTTCATTGTATTTTTTCTGTTGTTGTTGTTGTTGTTGTTGTTTTTGAGTTGTTGTTGTTGTTGTCGTTGTTATTGTTCATTTATGATGATGTGACAATAATGGCCAATAATGTTTCATGAGAAAGAAAGAGAGAGAGAAGGAAAAAAATTTGAAAATTTGTTTTGAACAAACAAACAAATCAACAAATCAACGAATCAATCATTATCGAATATCGAATTTTTTGTTTGTTTTTTTTTTGCATAAACAAGATAATTAATCAATGTCCATGTTGTTGTAGCCGATGATGATGATGATGATGATAACTTTGTGTTAAAATCTTTGAACATCAATGAATGAATATACAGCATTATTACACATTTAGTTGTATATATCATATACATATATAATAATTAAAACAGACAGAAATCAAAACAGATAGAAATTTTGATAATCATTAATTTTTGGAATTTTCTTTTTTTTTCAAAGTTATCAAGAAAAAAAATTTACGATTAATTATCATATTATGATAATAATATGGTGATGATGATGATGATGATTATAGATAATAGATAACTCTATTTTTACTATCTATAAATAAGCTTGTGTGTGTGTGTGTGTGTGTGTGTGTGTGTGTGTGCAGGGTAATATTTTTTTTTTTTTTTTTGTTCATAAATATTTATAAGAATAAGAATATATGACGGCAACTATGATGATGATGATGATGAATAAAAAAAAATCAACAGGAAAAACAACATATTATTCCAAAATTCATGTTTCATACACACACACACACCCATCTACCCATAAATTCTGTATATAGAATGGATATCTTCTATATTTTTGGACAATGTTCGGATTCCATTCTATATATATATGTAATATGTAAGAATTCAAGATCGAGCACCACATCAAAAAAAAAACTAAATGAAAAATATATGTGATGATATAGTTATGGACCCGGTATAGTCAAAAACTATTGTCCACCATTCACATTTGAAATTCTCGTTTTCGATTCATTTTCACTTTTTGTTTCTTTGTTTCTTCATCGAGAAGTGGATTCTGAATGAACGGAAATTCTCCAAACAAAAATAAAAACAAAAACAAAAATAAAAAAAACAAACCAAAAAGGTAATCATCATGTATTGAAAACAGAAAATGAACAAACAAAATACAGATCAACTTCCGTGCCGGAATTTCCGGCCAATTCGTTTTTTTTTTGTTCTTTTAGGCTCTGTTATTGTTTTTTGGTGGTTTACATCTAATGATAATGATGAGTAACAATAGAACAAAAGACAAAAAAACCGGAATTAAATTGGAATGGGCAATGGAATAATGAAAATAATTTCTTATATTCATATATCAATATCAAAAAAAAAAAATGATCATGACAAACATTCGAATTTTTTTTTCATCCCAACATGTTCATAAAGAACGTACAGTAAATGGACATTATTCTTTTTTCTTTGGAAAGTTATAAAAAAATGATGATAATGGTGATGATATTTGAACAATTTTATTTCCGAATCAAATAAAAAAAACATTCATCAATAAGCGATTATCGAGAAAAAAAAATCCAATAAAATCGTCAAATGTCATTTTGTATCCATGTTTGACCAAGGGGGATGTGTGAATGAATGGGGTGAACCAAAAAAAAAAAAAGAAAAAAGAAAAAATCGAAATTCAAAATTGAAAATTCAATGCGAAAAAAAAGTAAATAAATTTTTCACATTAACCAGTCTGTTTTCATCATTGTTGATGTTTATTTTTTTCGGCAAAAAAAAGAAAAAAGTTTGATTTCAAAGTTTGTCACACAAACCAGCCGCCGGTGAGGCTCGAGTCCAAAAAAAGTCCAATCATTTTGTTGAATGAGATTAAAAGATTTCTCATTCATTCCCTGCATCTCTAATATCGAATGATGTGGAAAAACTTTTTTTTCGTCTTTCTCTCTCTCTCTCTCTCTCTCTCTCACTTACTCTCCGGAAATCATTCATTTTTGGCATTCGAATATGTGATGATACTCGATATAAGTTGAAAAGAAATTGAAAAAAAAAGTTTTTTTTTCGAAAATCGATTTCTTTTTCTGCCACATATTCTCAACTCCAATCATTTTTTGATATTGATCAGAAATAGCAAAAAAAAAAGTTGATCAGAAAAAGTTTTTCATTGTGCTTGTATGTTGTGTATTTATGTTTTTTTCGAATGAAAATGAACGAATTTTGAAAACAAAAAATTTCAAAGAAAAAAATCGAATCAATTTTTACGAATTCGAATTCTGTAATGATTGGTTGGTGGTGTTGTTTTAAATGAACATTGGTGCATTTGATCATTGAGAAGGGATGTGTTGGTGGTGTATGTATGTGCACGTGGCCATAATCAATCATTGAATCATTTTTAACACACAAACACACCCACACACCCACACACATACTTGTATACATTTGTGTTGGTGTATAATAATAATATTTTCATTTCCGGAATTTCCGTCAAATAAATTGAGCAACAACAACAACAAAAAAATAATGAAAATGAAATGTAACGATTGAATGAAATATAATGTTAAGAAAATCAATGAGTGAGAAAAAAAGTGTTCGATGAAATGAATGAATGAATGATTCTGGAACGATAATGACAAGCAAATGTATTTTTTTTGAAAATGAATCTGGGAATCAGACCAGAAAAAAGAGAAAGAATTTGTTTGGAAAAAAAAGTTGAGCATCAAGAATTGAATCAATAATGATGATGATGATGATGAAAAGATCGATATATCGATCGAACATTTTGAAGCAGTGATGACACTTTTTGGAATCATTCAAAAATACGAATCGTATGTGTTTCTGGTAAATGGAGTTATTTTGTTTGAGAAAAAAAAATATAATAATAATAATGATGATGATGATACGAAAAAAAGAAGCGAAAAAAAATCCATTTGTTATCCTTAATTGGTATAATAATAATAATAATAATTAGAGTTGATTGATGATTTCATCAATGGCCAATCGGTGATATATATAGTATAATAATAATAATAATGATAATGATGAGATAAAATAATTTGAGCAAATTTTTTTTGTTTGTTTGTTGTTGAAAATTTTCTTTTGTTTTGCAATAATCTTTTTCATTCCTTCTTCATTTATGCATTTTTTAATGTTATTGATGATGTTGTTGTTGTTGAAAAAATGTTTTTGTATAATAAAGATGAAAACTGATAAATCTTTTTCTAATTTTTTTTAAAACAGGTATATATTACTGATTAAAAAACGAGAGATGTGATGATTTAAAAACACATCGTGTAGAATTTTATCAATCCTCATCATCATCATTATCATCATCATAATGTAAATAAACACATAATTCACACACACACAGAAACACATATATTGAATTCAGAATTAATGAGATGTTGTTGAGCTTGAATCTTGTCGCATAGTTGTTGTTGTTGTTGTTAATTGTTCTTTAGGTTGTCGTTGATGATGACCTAATGCAATTTCTTTACCACATAAACCACAAGGCACTTTATGATGATGATGATGATGATGTTGGTGATGTTGGTGTTGATGATGTTGATGTTGATCATCATTTTTTTGTTGTTGTTGAACATTTGATTTCATCATCAACATTCCTTTCGATGATGATGACATTCGATTTTTTGCCGATGTTGTTGTTGTTGCTGAATCGGATGATTTATTTTTTGATTGTTGTTTATCATTATTATGACGAAATTTTCCAGTTGATCCAATCGCAGCAGCTGCTGATGATGATGATAATGATATATTAACAGTAACATTCATACGACGTACATCTTCACGGATAATTTGCCGTATAACACGAAGAAATTCATTACGTTCATCACTTGTTCTGTGGTAATCAATAAAGAATTTGAAAATAAAAAATCGATTTAAAAAAACAAACCAACAAACTTACTTATTACTTAAACGATAAATCTTTTCCGAACGTTTACCGGCATTCATTTTCAATTGTATCAATTCCCATTTATAATCCGTTTCATTTGATGATTGATCATTCTGTGGACATGCACGTACTTGTACTTCAATCACAGGTATTAATACCTGATGGCGAATTATTTCCACATCAATCGATTTGGCTGTTGGCATTCGTTTCCGTTGTCGTATTGTTTCTTTGCATAGAAATACAACACATTGACTGAAAACAAAACAAATTGAACTCCATTCAACACCTTTACGACAATTTTTGCCCAAAAATTCCATTGAATTTATCCAATCAACATTTCCATACTGGTATTATTATTGAATGCAAAAGCCAATATTTTTTTTTTTTTTTGTTGGAATATTAAGCATGAAGCAGAAAATGACATTGAAATTGTTCATCATTATTATTCGGCAGCCACATGATTACATAAGCGTTTATATATAATAAGTAATAGCATCAGTAGGAATTAGAATTAAGCAAAAAATGAATTTGAAATTTTTAAAAATGAAAACTTGAACTTACATGTTTCAATGCCGGTGGTGATAGATCAACAATATGTCCATTCTGTCCTAATGTATTAATCGCTGCAGGACCATTCGTATTAGTGGCCATACGTGTATGATTACGTGCTAAATGTTCAAAAATAGCACCATATTCTTCTTGTATACGTTGCATTTCATTTATATGTTCGGCAACTATTAAATTTTCATTTTAATTAATCAATCTATTCAATTCAATTCAATTCAATCAAAAAATGGCTTACCTTTTTCCAGATCTTTAATTGCATCTTCTAATTTGGAATAATTTGCCGTCCCTTTCGAACATAATGCCTTCATTTGTCCCAATAATAGTGGATATTTTAATACACGTTGTATTGGTCGTATTAGATATGATTCTAATGATTGTGATATCTGACCATTAGATTGTTTCTGTAACCATTCGTGTACGGCCGTTTTTTCCTGTGCCATTAATTTAACTGCACGTGCATGTGAGGCACAAAATGTCTATGAATGAATAAATAAGAATTTAAATTTTTTTTCTAATAAATCAAAAGACAATTTTTACTCACTGAATAATCTCGAAAATTTTTTGAATGTTTAGCAAAACAATCGGCAATATAACCAACACCCAATTCATTGACAGTTGGTTCTTGTTGTTGATTATTACCACCAGAAGTAGTAGTGAATGTTTGACATTTTTTCAATAATAATTCACAATCACCAAGGATATGTTCACCAACTTCAGTCAATTCTGAACGGAATTCATTCTGTGCATCAATCACTTTTAAAATTGATCCGAATAATACTTTTATATCGGTTACTGTAAGAAAATTATTCTGTGATAATGGCTCAAGATATAATTCCACTAATTGTTTTAATGATTGACAGAAATTCATTTCAGTATCCAATAATTCACGTATTAATTTTTCCATATGTTTTATACTGGTACTGGCATTATTCGATGATAATTGTGATGATGCCGATGATAATGATGTAGAAATTGATGGCAATGGTGGTAGTGGCAGTTGTTGTTGCTGTTGTTGTGATTGTTGTTGACCACCAATTTCACCGGTTAAATCAACATGGCATTGATTTAATGCCGATTGTATTGCTTCACTTAATGGTGGACCAGTATCGGTAATCAATAATTGTTGACAATCTATATCGCTAACAATTTGTTCATCACTAATCATTGTTTGTTGTAATAATTGTTGTAAATGTTGATTGTCTTGTGATGGACTGGTTGTTGTTATTGCTGCTGTTGCATTAGCTAATGAAATATAGCGATCATCATCACCTTGATGATCATAACTATCGGCTGTTGCTAATAATGCACCGGTTGTTGAATCAGTTATCGATGATTGTTGCTGTTGTTGATGAATCACATTCATTGATGTTAAATTTTCGGATGTAGGTAGAAAATGATCTACTTTTGGTACAATATATTTCGATAATTGTATATCCGATAATATTAGCTGTGAAAAATCTGTACTAGGTGGTGGTGGACATACTAATGATTCGATTAGATCATCTGTTACTGATGGTGTTTTTTCATTATCAAAACTTGATCCACCACCAACACCACTACCACCACCAGGATGTGCTAATAATTGTTGTTGGGTTATTACCGGTTGTAATGTTTTACCTGCTATATCATTTGATGGCTGTACTTTTAATATGGCTTGTCCTTGTGTAGGAACATCTAAACGTGCTGATCTTTTTTTTCCAGAAAAAAATTAATTTGTAAAAAAAATTAATAATGATTAAATCATCACACTAACCTTATCATAAGACAAAGTGTAAGCTCTTCCTGTAGGATCGATTCAACAAACATCATATCCAATTCTTGTACTAATGCACCATTGATGACCATTATTTCATCATGACGACAAAGACCATGCATTGCGGCAATTGAATTTCTAAGAATCACATCAGAATTAAAAGAATTGAAAGATTCAAACTTAAAACTTTAAACTTACGGTTCAACACGCATAACGAATACACGAAGAATATTTTGATATAACTCTGATTCGACTGAAAATCCGAATAGCATTTCATTTGATTCTCGAACTAAATCAATAGTGAATAGAAGCTATATGGATTGTAAGAAAAAAAATTTTCCACATAAAATAAATATAATTGAAATAATTAACCAGAAAAAAATCCTTTTACCTTTGGCGTAATCATTAATGTATGATTAGAATAATTGGCAACAAGATCATTACGATACAATATTGTACCGGTTTCTGAGCAACGGAGAAAATATTCACGTGATTCAGGACCAGGACCAAATATATCGGATAATAATTGTTCACTAATCCATGTTTGTGGCACTTCCATAGTACGTTGTTCACCAGTCATCAATATGATTGTTAATTGTACACGTGATAATGGTGTTACATTTCCAGTTGTTGTTGTCGTTGTCGGTTGACCATCAATAATTACTGGTGTTGTACGCTGATGATTAGGTGAATAATGCATTTCACGATGCAATACTATAGCCGAATCATTTGAAGGTGGTATAACGGGTGAAATAGAACCACCACCACCACTACCACCAAAAGAATTTTGTCGATGTAATGATTTTTCTACACTGGTTTGTGAATTTTTGGCACAATTGAATGCTATTTAAATGGAAATATTTTAAATATATTAATTTTGAACGATAATGAAACGAATAAATCTGCTTACCATGAAGTGATGATACAGTAAATACACCGATACGATTCAATTGAGCTTTCGTACGTCTTGATGATTGTGATAATAATGTCTTTGGGTTTGGTCCTTCATCATTGGTTAGGCTAATTATTTGAATATGATAGAATTTCATAAATTTTTTATTTAAAATCAAACAACAAAACAATCTACTTACGCAGCAAAATATGATTTCAAACGAAATATCTCAATTCGATTACGTTCAATTTTCTCCTCCACCATAAATACATGATTAATTAGCTGTTGTTTTTGTTTCTCATCCGTACAACATGTTAATAATATTTCAGCTTCCTGTCGTTGTTGATAATCTTGTTCAACAAATTGTTCAATACGTTGATATTGTTCAACAAGATAATGTGATATTGTACAACGACCAGAATTTCGTGCAATTTGTGCAGCACAAGCTGTATGTATTACCTGTATCCATTGATCACGTTCAGGTAAAGAGGTAGCATCAAATAGATAGGCATCACCGAATGAAGTTGAAAGACAGAATACATTGTCACGACGTGGATGTTCCGGTACCGGTTGTACTAGACACTCATCAACAAATATTAAATGTTTTGGTGTTAATTCACTTGTACTTGATTGGCCACTTTTTGGCTGTTGCTGTTGTCCAGTTGATTGATGTTGTTGTTCAACATTTTGTGTTGGATTCACCATATTTGCATCACAACTATAGAATAATAATGTTGTTCCTTTTAGACAAACCCAATAACCTTTCCAGCCACGTTTACGTGCCAATTCTAGACTATGTCGTTTACGTATAAGCCATTTTTTAACGGATAAAAAACCCGATTTTCGTACCGAACCAAGACATTCAAATGAAATGGCAACAGTTGATGATGATGATGATTGTGAATGATGTCTTGATTGATGTCGAGGATTTAATTGTGTTTTAGGTGATGGTTGATGATGTGTATGTGTGGTATGATGATGATTGATTAAATAACGATCACTACCGGTAGCAGCAGCCGAACAAGCGATAATATCTTCATCATCTGAAATAGCCGTTGTTAATGATGCACGATCATCATCAGATATTTCTGATGATGTTAAATAACCGGCAGCTAAACGATCCCATGATTGATATTGTTGTTGCTGCTGTTGTTGTAATTGATGATGATGATAAGCAGATGATGCTTGTGCTAATGAGCTTGCAAATGAAGGCAAAAATGGTAATTGACCATCGATTGACATTGTATCAAATTGTGGTATTGGTGAACGAACACCAGCACCATGTAATGAACCAGGTCCACCATATAGATTTGCTGCCGATGCAATACGATGTAATGATTGTGTTGATTGTGATTGATAACGTTTCTCTTCGGCACGTATCAATGTCAATTCATGTTGTACTTCACGCATTAGATTTGCAACATCATCCATTGATTCTTTTAATAATGTTTCAAATGTTTCCAAGGCATCATTATTGGTACCACCAGTACCACCGGTTGAATCACCACCATGTAATAATCGACGACGTAATTCACGTTCATATTCTTCTAATTGAGCAGCTGAAGGCCGATGATCATTATCGATTAGATCACGATTATTAGAATTATCTCTTATTGGTATTGTTGGTGATGAATCGGTCAAATCAACACATTGCATACGTTCTAATGAGCGTCGTCGTCCTTCTAATGATCGATGAGTACGATCACGACGTGTTTCATTATTATCTATACTATTACCGATTGTACCGGAAACCAATGATTTTGGCCGTGTTGATGTACGTTTTTGTTGTTGTTGTTGTGAAATATTTGTTGGGGCTGTTCCTGTTGTTTCCACTAAATCATCTGTTGTTGTTGCTGTCGATACTAATTGCTGTGTTTGTGATGCTTGAGCTTGTGATTGTGGACGACTTGATGGTTGCTGTTGTTGCTGATCCTGGATACTTTGTTGTTGATCTTGCTGTTGTTGTTGAATTTGTTTACCGCTACTATGAACTATTGCTTTTTGATGCTGTATCTGAATATAGCCACCATTCTGTATGGAAGTTGGATAATTATCCGCTTGTTGATGACCACTACCGGTCATTTGAATACGTTGTGATTGTTGATTACTTTCCATCGGTTGTACACGACTATGACGATGTGATGATGATGCTGCTGGTCCCAATGTACGAGATAATTGTTGACTAGGTGTTGTTGAAACACGATTTCTATAATGTTCATCAATCGAACGTTGATGTGCACTACTAAATAAATAAATTTTTCAAAAAAACCAAAATTCAGAATTCAATTTCAAGAAAACAAAAAAAAAAAACATACCGATAATATTGTTGTTGACGTTCATGCTGACGACGTACTAATGAACCATCAGATCTAGATGATTGAGTTGTACCACCACTATCTTGACGAGTAAAATTTGCATAACGTATACGGCCATTTCTTTGTTTATGTAACATTTCGGCCGTTAAACAATCACATGTACATTGAGGTTGTTGTTGTTGTTGTTGACCATAAGCTTGTTGTTGCAATTGTTCAACTTGTTGTTGCTGTAATCGCCGTTTTGATGGTGAATTTGGTGTCGATATGGCAGTACGATTAGAATAATATTTTGTTGTTAAATGTGCACCAGAACCAGCTTTACTTTGACGTCCATGCGGTTGTTGTTGTTGTTGTTGTTGTGTTGATTGATGTGTAGATGATTCATCTTGATTACCACCACCAGTACCAGTAGCAGCAGCACGAAGGCTATAGGAAGATTCGGCACGTTTTGGTCCAGAACCGGTCTGTAATTGTACTGTACCAGATTGTATACATTCACGAAATGCACGTGCATCAGCTGGTGATGTAAAATTCAGACCCCATGTATCACCCGAAACCTAAAAAAATAATTGAATCAATAGATTAATGTTGTTGATGATGATGATGATGATGATAGTGGTTCCATTTACATACATTATCTTTCCAATAGATAAAACAACTGGATGCTTGTCCCAATTTATTTGATTGTAGCCAACAATCTAATACTTTTTCAACACGTGAATTAAATGCAGTGATATGATAACGACCATTTATGAATGAAACAGTAACAGGTACAAGATCATCGCTAACTTGATTCCAACGTACAGCACCGGATGATGCTGATACATGGAATACTTCAGCCCATAATCGTAATATATGATTTGAACGACCAGCATTTAATATGTTGGACATTGGTGCACCATGATGACTAGCGGTGCCAACACCACCACCGCCGCCGCCGCCACCACCACTCCCAGATACGATAGCAACACCACCACCACCACTAGATGATAAAACCTGGTGATAATGATGTGCGTATTGCTGTGAACGAGCCACGTTTGAACCGGTAATACCAATTGTTGTTGCTGATGATGATGATGTACCACCGCCGCCACCTGTACTACTTGATGTTGGATGATGATGATGATGATGTCCTGCTACAGCTGATGATGGTTTGCCATTACAATTGGCACATCTTTATTATAATACAATAATAATAATATGATGATGACCAGGAGGAAATGGAATTATAAAAAGAAAATTAAAATTATTCAAATAAAACTTACGATATCTTATTACCCATTTGGGCATACAAAGATCAACAACAATCGTGAATGGTTTATTGATTTTTGTTTTTTGTTGCTGTTATTGTGGTATAGCTAAATTTATTTATTTATCAATCAATAAACAAACATCGATCACACACACATATAAAGAGTCGAATAATTATTATTTTTTTTTTTGGACCGGTTGGTTGGTTGGAAACATATAACACATTGGCACAATAGCCGAAACAAACAAGAAAAAAATGACTCAAAATGAATGATTGAGAGAAGAAATCACTTGAAAATGATTAAGTGTAGGAGTGTAGCATTGCACTTTTGTTTTCATTAAAATTATCCATTTGATTTGAGAAAAAAAAATCAAATTGACGTCGATGCATGGTCCACTCATCGATCGATTGTTTGATCGAAGACAAACCATCATCGAAGATCCCAAAAAAAAAGGTGGTGAATAGCAAATTACACGTAATACATTAGTTAACACATATTCATAAAGAAGAAAATGATTCAAAAAAAAACTTGAACCAAAAAACACACTAAACAACAATTGATAATCACGACAGATCATTCAACTATGAGAATTTAAACAAAACAAAAAAACATTTGACATTTTGTGTGATTTGATGTATAATTTTTTTTTTTTTGAGGGCATCAATTTCGACCTAAAAAAAGATTTTGAATTTGATTCATTCGATTCATGTACACAAACACGAGTAGAATTCAATGATGAGTGATGAAATTGGTTTTAATTTTTTTTTTCATTTTATTTTGATTTTGATATTGGAAAAAAAATCGAATATTGAAGCAAAAAATGAAGAGAAGAAGACGAAAAAACAGTAAAACGGGGAAACACCAATCAATCAATCAAACATCAACATCAACAACAACAACAACAACAACAACGACAACGACGACGACGACGAAATGAGAATAGATTGATGAATTTGATGAGAAGAAAAAAAAAGCTGATGTTATTTCGTGATTCTTGTCATTAGATTATTTTTTTTTCTTCATTTACTCGTTTCGGTTATAGTGAAAAAAAAACCTAGAACCCGAACGAAAGAATCTGATTCGAATGTCCGAATTTTTTTTTCTTCTTCTTCTTTATTTAGTGATGATGGTATTTCTCTTTGGAGTGTTTTTTTTTCTATTTCACATTCTATATTTTTTCAATACAGTGGTGGTGGGTGGTGGTATAACGTTTTTTTTTTTTTTTTTTTTTTGTTGGAACGGTAGGTATGATTGTTTTTTATAGAGACAAATGTCCTAGTTGATGCTATTTCTATTATCAAAAAAAAAATGTGAGTTTGTGTTACTTCTACCACCCATCCATTTAGATGTTCCAGAATGATGATGATATGTGAAGGAGTCAAAGGATGCTCAAACAAACAAACATACACACACACACATACACATATACACAACTCTTGAAACTATTTCTGGAACCAGTAAAAAAAAAGAAAAAGAAAAACTCATTGAATTTCAAGAATGAATGTCTATGTGAATAATGGAATCTACACACACACACACAGATGATGCGGCTGTTTATGACACATAACATCCAAAAACCACCACCACCACCACCACAACTAACAACTAACAACAAACGTGGAGCTTGAAGAAGAAGAATAAGAATCTAATATAGTTCAGAGCGGCCAACAACATCAACAACAAAACAAAACAAAAAAAAAATATAAAAAAATTCAAGAATCAATGGTAATGTGTAGTAGCAAAAAAAAAAAAGAATTATATATTGAAAAAAAAACCGAATTCGAACGACGCAGCATCAGTAGTAAATATAATAGATAAATAATAATAACAGAAAGAATAACAACAACAACAACAAAAAGTAAGCATCAAACATTCAGAGTATTTATACGCACGATTATTTTATATATTAATATATCATATCATAATTTTCATTTCATCATTTGTTTATTTGCCCATTATATATTTTAGATATAGATGTGTTGATGATAAATTCTGATTTGGCATTCTGTTTTTGTTTTGTTTTGTTTTTATTTTTCTATTATCAAATCGGAACAAATATAGTGATTGAAAATCAATATAAAATTGTCCATATAATTTTTGCATTATATGATTTTATATTATATACATTATTATGGCCATTATTACTTAGGAATCATATAATCATGATGATTACACAATGATGATGATGATGATAATGGTCGTGATCATAAAAAAAAATGAGCATCAGCAATAACCCGAATACCCCCGGTTATTGGTTTTCATTCATTCATGGAATAAAATTTTTTTCCGGTTTTTTTCACACAATTGTGTGAAATAATATAAAAATTGAAACTGCCGACGTAATAATATATATATATTGGTATATAATGTATGAATGAATAGATTCTGTTCCAAGCAGATAAAGATTATGTGATTGAGAAAAGAAATGAAAAAAGGCAGTAGTAGTAGTAGTAGTAGTAGTAGTAGTAGTAAAATCAAATTCCAAGATTGAAAGAATTTCTAGTTTGTTTTTATTTCATCTTTGAAAATAAAGATTTCATTGCTAATCAAAAATAAAAAGAGAGAGATAATAGCTAGAAAAAGAAGGCAAGATTTTTTTTTTAATAATCTCAACCAACTATAGTGACTAACTGGAACTGTTTTTGGGCCAAAATCTTCGAGATTCATAAACAAAATTTCGTTTTCGGTTTCTTTTTTTTCTGGGGCTGATTTTTTTTTATCAGAAAAAAAAAAGAAAAAAAATTAAATGAATGAATCCCGATTTTGAATTACAGAAAAAAAAATCTATAGGCCAGGGACGTTTTTTTTTCTCGTAGTCAAGTTTTAACCACTACCGCCGTGTTGCGTTATTTGTTGGATACACATAACATAATACACAGACAGGTTCATGGCCCATTGAAGAGATGTTATATAATATACTTATTACGGATTCTGTGTGTGTCTGTTTGTTGACGCATGCACATTACTGAATATTCGGGTGAACGAGAATTTCATTTTTTTTTTTTTTTTTTTTTGCCGCATCATGTTAAGTTTTTATCCATACAATATATTGGATGATGTGTTTTTTTGCTTAAAAATGTGATGGTGGTGGTGGTGGTGGTAGTGGCGGTGGTTGGCTACAGTAGCAGCATTTATAGAATTGAAAATGATCAATTTTAGCAGTTTAAAATTGAGATGGTGTTCCGGCTTTTTTATTTTTATTTTTTAGCAAATAAAAAAATTTTCATCTCAAAATCTTCAAAAAAAAAAAAAATTATTTGGTACTTTGTTCGTGTGTGCGCGGTTGTAATGATCATCATCATCATCATCATCATCATCCATTGATGATTACATTATGGTCATGAATTTTCCATTCATTCAAGTTCAAGATTCTTATAGTCTGTTCATAACAATCCTCTACATTACACACACACAGAGAATAGGCAGAATTTTTTTTTGTCGGCCAGAATTTTTAAACTTTTTTTTTACTTTTTGAAAAATTTATTGAGAAAAGAATTTTTTAGCAAACAAACAAACAAACAAACGACGACAACAACAACAACAAAATTCGGTTAAAGAATATTTGTCCGGAATTTGAACGAATCGTTGTGTGTGTGTGTGTGTGTGTGATAACCACGAAATTTTTTTTTCCATCAAATTTTATAATTTCAGAATATTTTTCAATCCAATTGTTGTTCTTGTTGTTGTTGTTGTTGTTGGATCATCGTCATCATCATCAATGAAATTCCATCGTGTATTCTTTTCTTTTTTTTGCTAAAATGAAATTAAATGAATCTCATTGGAGAATGGAAATTCGTTACATGAAAAAAAACAATTTGTAACAAAAAATGAAATAAAGATTGTTATTTTGTCGTCGGAATTCTAAACATGATTTTTTTTATTCATTTTGAAATATCAAATTGATGTGTGTGTGTGTAGATTTTTTTTCATTTTGTTGTTGTTGTTGTTGTCGATTTAAAACTTTAACCATTGATTAAATTTATATTTTGACATTCAATCGATTATTGAATGGGAATTTCCGTTTTTGTTTTCGCTCTTACATTCATCATTATTTTGGCTGTTTTGTTGGTATGGGCTATGTTTTCTACCTGTTGATTAATGAAACAGTTGATTTTTTGAAAGAAAAAACATGAATAAACTAAAAATGATCATTTTTTTTGAATGATAAAAAATTCAAATTTTTGTCACACGAAGTCTGATATTTTTCAATGGATGTATGATTACTGTTGGACAACAAAGTTTCAATAATCCAGTATTTGAATCTGTTTCAGGATTATTTTCATCAATCAAATCAAAACGATAATGTCGCAATAATGCTGTAATAACGGCTCTTGATTCAGATATGGCTAAATTGCCGCCGATACAATTACGTGGACCACTACCAAATGCTTGAAATGCGGTATTCTTTACTGATGTTACCACACCAGGTATAGGTAGATCTTGTCGATATGGATCAAAATGATTTGGTCGAGGCCAATATTTTTCATTATGATGTAATGACCATGTAGGCACCATAATGGTCATTTCTTTTGTGATCGTTAGGTTTAAACTTTCAATAAAACATTCATCAACACCAGTTTCTAATCGTCGTGTTATGAATGAAATAACCGGTGGATATAGCCGTAATGATTCATACCAGATACGATCCAATAATTCTTGGCGATTCTGATCAAATTGACAATAATCATCATTTTTATCATTGTCAAAATTTGTCATTATTTGTTCACGTAATTTTTCTTGCCATTCTGGATATTTAGCTAAAAGATATAATGTAAATGATAATCCAGTGGCAGTGGTTTCATAACCAGCCAACAATATGACCACTGCATTACCGATCAGCTGTTGTTCATCGATATTACCCAATTCTTGTTGTTCGATCATAAAATCCAACATGTTTACTTTACGTTTTTTTCGTTCATCATCATCATCATTATGATTATTTCGATTTTGTTCATCAAAATGATTACGAATTTTTTCTTGATAATATTTAGCAATCTCTTCATGAAGATTATCCGTGATTGTTCGTAATAATTTCCCATTACCAAACATGTAGTATAAAATTTTAAACAACCTTGAAAATATTGGAAAATATTCAATAATTCGAAGATTTGGATTCTCTGTTTTTTGCATAAAATCAACAACCATTTGACGAAATTCTGAATAATCATCATGTACATCAGTATCATTCATATTGAATGCTAAACGACATATCACATCCAATGTAATTGAATTCATATGTTGTGTAATATTCAATTGATTATCATTATCATTATCATTATTATTGATTTTCGATAATTTTTTTTCCATAGAATGTAATAACCGTTTTACAGACAAATTGATTGCCTGACGAGTTGAATCCATTGCGATTTTATGTGCCGTAAATGGTGGCGTTAGTACTCGACGTGAATGACGCCATGATTTATCTATTACGATGAATCGATTAATTTATGAAAATTAATTAAAAAATTCAAATTAAATTAAAATCAAATCAATCATGCCTTTTAGATGTAATAATGATGATTTAAATGGTTCTAATTCGATATTACTTTTTTGACGATTAGGAAATTTTGATCCTTGTTTAACGAGTAATTCCTGTACAGCATCACGATCATTAATCACTAATATTGGACAATCACAATGAAAAAAGCCAAAACATTGACCATATTGTTGACACCATTTATTCAATGTTTCATATGGATTTTGTTGATATTCTTGTAGATTACCAAACCAAAATGATGATTGTGGATATGGTATCGATTGTTTATGAAAACAATCGAATCGATTCCATTTAAAATGTAACCATTTTAATAATGAAATTAATGAATAAATTATCATTGATAATAATATCCATTGTAATAGGATTAATGTCGATATATTTATTGTTGGTATGATCATTGTTTTTTTTCTAAAATGTTAAATTGAACCTATTTTCTATTGAACACTAATAGTACAATTACAACACTAAATAATTTACAATTTAATGGAAATTAAACCAGTTTTATTTCCATCATTTTTTATTTCACATTTGATGATAAGATATATGCTATCAACATACATACACTATTAGCAAATAATTTATCAATTTCGTTTTTGTTTTATCATCATCATCATCATCATTTTCAATCAAGTGGCTTAAACCTTGTAAACCTAGATTTCATTTTGAACATACACACACACACACACACACACACGTACACACAATCAATTTACAATCTTAATTTGTTTTTGTCAGATATTTATGACAAGATAACGAAAAATCGAAATTATCAATCCACATGCGTTGTTGTTGTTGTTGTTGTCATGGAGAATCGTTAGACATGTTGTCCATATTGTCCTTTAATGAACATCTCATATTATTATCATTCAAATTTCCGTTTCTGTAAACAACGGTAACAACAACGGACAATTTCCGAATTCAATGAGCATCATTTCTGTTGTCAATTATTTTGACCCAAAAACACAATTGATTATGTATGTACGACGTGTGTGCATATAAAAGTTTATTATGATTCAATTATCATGTTTTATTTTGTTGTCAATTTATCATGATGCGGCACGATGAATGAATGAATGAATGAATAGATGATGATCACAAAATTGAAATTAAAATTGTTCTAAAAAAACCTATTATTCTGTGGTGATGATTGTAGTAGTGGTGGTGGTACTATTATCGAATACACCCAATGGATAGATGAGATCCATATTATGATGATTGAAATTTGAATGAAAATTTTGTACAATTTCATCATTATCATCAATGTTGTTGTTGTTGATTAATGTCCATAATGGATTTGAATCATCGATGGCAAAATAAAAATTACCAAAAAGCCATGTATTGAGCAATAACATTGATATGGATATAATTTTAGCAATTAAACCGGGAATAATCTAAGGATAATCGAACGAAAAAAATTGAAATTGAAATTTAATTAATTCAAAAATTTTCACTAACCATATCTTTGATCGACATTTTAGCATGATAAAATATCAATGTATTCGACGTAGTACCAACCGGTGATATGAATGCATATGCACATGATGCTGTTAATGGTAGAATAATTTTCAATGGATTTATTTGAAGATTTTCCGATAATTTTATTGCTACAGGTATCATTATACTGGCAGTAGCGGATGTACGCATCACTTCAATAACCATATTGGCTATGATTGATATGAATCCAATTAAAGTCGATACAGGTAGAATGGTGCCCAGCCGAGATAAATGCATACCGACCAATTTAGAAAGACCAGAAGACTTATTTTGATGATTTGTTAAAGAAATAGAAAAAAAACAGAATCGTTATATGGTACATGAATAAAAATGACATCATTATTATTATACCTCAACAGCATCGGCTAATGCAAATCCACCACCACGTATGATAAGTACACTCCATTCTAATTTTGTTTGCATTGTATGCCAATCCAATAATGCATCTTGTTGTAGATTTGGATTCCATTGTGGACGATTTGGTATTAGAAACAAAATTATTACACATAATATAGCTGCTGATGCTAATTTTGGTGTCCGTTGTACGGGAAACAATTGTGACCAACCGGGTAATAATGGTGGTTTATAGAATGTATATAATAGAATCATAAAAATGAATACAATAACAACGGCCCATTCATGAAAACTATAGTTTTAAGAAAACGAAAAAAAAACAAAACATTATCCCAATTGTATAAAATCAATTTCATTTCAATTACGTCATTGATCCAAGACGATGATATTTTTCTGTAATATGTTTACGTAGAAATAATTGTCGTTTTCGGGATATTGATACATTTCTGTGTTGCAATAAAAAAAAAGAAAGAAAAACACCATTTGATTTTTTATTTCTTATTTCAACTACAAAAATACCTGAAATAAATTGTTGAAAATATAAACCAAACAGCCAAACATATAATGATGCTAACCGGTGTTGAAAATAATAGATAGCTTGCATAATCAACTGGATCTTGATTATGATAATGACTAAATTTAATGGTTTATTATTTTTGTTGTGAAAATGATAAAATAGAAATTTCCGTAAATTATAGAAAAATAATAAATAAATAAAGAAAATTTCCGGAAAATATGAACCTACTTTTCTAGAATATCTTTCATAATAAGATTTGGTCCATTCGATGTTAATGTGCTGACACCACCGATTGTTGCTGAATATGCAATACAAAGATAGAATAATTTACAGATTTGTTCTTTTCGGGCCATTAATTTGATTAATTCTTCTTCATCATCGGAATTGTCAATTTTATTATTATCATTATCGATTTTTACATCAATTCTATCATCATCATTATCATTATCATTATGGCAACAACAACAGACAGCGTTTCCATTGGTCTTTTGGTCATTCTGTTTTTGTTCATTACGTATTGAATCGATTGATGCAAAAATATTGCGAAATATTTCATCCATAATCGGTAACATCATTGCAACGGTTGCAGTGGATACGATCCACATAGAAAAAAACATTGTTGTCATCATAAAACCTAATAACATCCATTGAAATTGTGTCTGACAACTGGACAATACTTTTAATGCTATACGTTGATGAAAATTTGATTTTTCAATTGCTAATGCTAATGTTAAACAGCCAAGAAATAGCATATTATTTGCACGAAGATATGCACCGCATGCAATTTCTGTGGTTGCTAATCCTAACAATGGTAACATTACAATCGGTAACATTGATGTTATTGGTAATGGTATCGGATTCAATGACCATAATATGGCCATTACAATGATTAAATATAAACATTTCAATTCATCTGTTGATTGTTCATTGATAACCAATATTGGTAATAATAATAATGGTGTTAATATTAGCGATAAATTTGGCATGAATCGTATAAAATGATTTAGATGATCAAATATTATTTGGATTGATGATTTCGATGATGACATTATTCTGCTCTATGTATCTTCAAGATGTTGACATTTAAAAAATGAAACCAAAAAAAAAGAAATGGTGATTAATGATGATGTGAGAAAATTGAATAAAATTCAAAACAGACACGAAAAAAAAGATGTTGAAGAACCAACGAACAGCAACAACAAGAGAATTTATGTGACAAATGAGCCACAATGAAATGAAATGTGATTTGTGAAAAAAATTATTTATAAAGACTTTTTTGTTTTGATTCTGAATCTTTAGAAAAATGTTGAAAATGATGAATGATCCAAATGATTCGGCCGTACATATGATGATGATGACGTTGATGGAATCGTTTTTTTTTCTGGCTTTTTTGAAAACAAGAATCTGGAAAATTATGCAAATTATAAAATGAAATGGCCGATTGTCAGAACTTTAGAGTATCACAACAATAAACTCATTGGGAGAGAAAAATATTTGATAATTTCGAAATGTCGAACTCGATGATGATGATTGTGGTGAATCGATTTTGTTCTTTTTTTTCTGCTTATAATTTATTTAATCCCGAATTTTTTTTTATCACAATTTATGATTTCATTGACATTTATCATTGATTATTGACGCATGATTGAAATGATGTTGATGATGATGATGATGATGATGGAAATAAATGTAAAATTTGTCACGAATCGATTCGTTGTTGGTCATTTTTGTTATCGTTTTCGGCCGATCATATGTAGATCATCATTACGGGCGTGATTTTCTACGACATAGAATCATGTCATGGAGACGATGACATTGAAATATTGCAATAAAAATTTTCGAATAAATAAATTTGTGAAAAAAAATTGATTAAACAAATGAATGAATTTTGAACAGCAACAACAATGGCAATCAAATTCAATCGAATTTATTCATTCAATCTATTACTGATTAGCCGATTTTTTCTTTTACCAAAAAAAATACACACACACACAATATCGATTGATTGATTTTTATCATTATATATAAAGATACATTGATCCTGTATTATTCGATTTTTTTCAGTTGATTATCATATGTCTTATTTGATATATACATGTTTTATTTTCGAATATATAAAGAAATTAATCAATTTTTTTTGTTGCGTTACCATGGTCGGTAATTTGGTAACAATTTTATTTTTTTTTCTTTCTTTTAATTTTCTTTTCCATGTCAATGTGTATGTATCGATTATTTATCTGTCATTGATTGATTTCGATTTTTGTTCATCACAATATTATTTATCAATTGATGTCTATAGATCATATTAACACATATTGGTATTATTGGCAAATTTTTTCTGTTTTCTATGCATTTCGAATTGGAAATATTTTTTTTTTCTTTTTTTACATTCGATTTTTACTGTATCGTTATGATGGTATCGATTGTATCGATTGTTTTGATTCGAATTTTTTTTTTTGATTCTCGCGCTCTTACCAAAAAAAAAAATAATTTTCTTTCTGATTATTTGTTTGTTTTTTAATTCTTGAGAAAAAAATGTTTTTCAAATGAAATTGGGTTTTTTTTCTGTGTTGAAGATTTTTTTCCATCATTCAATTCAAAAGAATTATTCAACAAAAAAATTGACAGAATGCATAAAAAAACTGATAAAAACACAAAATTGATAGCCAATCCTTTTCAAAAAAAAAAAAAAAAAAAAAAAAAAAAAAAATTTCGCATTCGTTTGTTGGTTGTTGGTACATTGAATATATATTTATCATCACCAATAATAATAATTTTTGTTTGATTTTATCCCTGTTTTTTTTCTCTGTTTAACTGGAAACCCAAATGGATTGCACATCTATCGTACATTGATCATAATCATCATCATCATCACCACTGGTTAAATTTATGATTCTTCATTTATCATGAATGATGAAAATAAATGCGACAACAACAACAACAAAAAAAAATGATTTATCAAACAAACAAACGAAAAAAAAAACAACAACAACAACAACAACTTTATATTTGATGATGATGACGATTTTTGAAAAAAAAAATAAATGACGTTTGTTTTTGTTGTTTATTTTTTGTTGTTGTTGTTAATGTTTTTTTTCTTCTAGTTATCCAAAAGAAAAACAAAAAAAAACCAAGCCGCTTATCATCATTCTTTCAATGAGAAAAAAAATAAACAAAAAAAAAATTTTTGATTACGAGATATTCCTGTGAAATCATACAATCACAAGGGTGATGATCAATGATTTTTAAGAAACCAATTTTTTTTTTTTTTGATTCCAAACAACAATTTCAATTTCAATTCAATGGAAAAAAAAATAGTTTGTCACCCCAATTCAGGATTTTATTTTCAATGATCGAATCGAATGATTTAAAACGTTCGAAATGTTGTAGGTTCAAAAACATCGTTACAAATTTTTTTTTATTTTAAATATACTTTAAGTACATCCATTGATAATGGCGAATATTTATGCTGGAATATTTTTCTTCCATTTCAATGAAATTTTATAACAGGAAAAAAAATCGATCACTATCATCGCCATCGCCATCATCATTATTGGTTTATTTGATGTTAGCATTCATGGTCAATGATGATCATCATCATCATTATCATTGCCATCATATGTGCAATGACAGCGACGACAACGATAAGAATGATAAGAATTTTTTTTTTCTTCTTCTTCTTCTTTTTCAAATTTCCAATGAAGGATATTTGAATGTTATTACCTTCGTATTTTTTTTCTCCATTTTCTTGAAATATTTTTTTTCTTGACGTTTTTTTTTGTTAAATTTCGGTTTCATGTTTGGAATGTTTTATTGTTTTGTTGTTGTCAGGTGTTATTTGTTTATTTATTTATCTGCGGCAAAAAAACAAAAACAAAAATAATATTGAAATTCGCAATATATGCATCTCTCTCTATCATCATATGTTTCCAGATTTCGATGTACTGGAGAAAAAAAAAATTATCGGTCATTTGTTTGTTACTGCGAATTGTGGGTTATTTTATTTCCATTGACTTGTGATAAATTTCAACAACAAAAACATGATTGAATGATGATAAAGTCGAAAAAGAATACACACACACACACAGCATTTTTTTAACACCTTTTTTCTGGAAAAAAACCAAGAAAAAAAAGACCATCGATCGATTGATGATTTTCATTTATTTACTCAAGAATTTCAATGCAAGAATAAATATTCTGGCCGGTATAATCCACACATATTCTGTAGATCGAATGAATGAATGAATGAAAAAAAAAATTATCAAATTATCAATCCATTAATTGATTCATTCATTTGAAATTCAGAAAGGTAACGAAGAAAAAAAAAATAAATATTGACCATGATCATAATTTGCGTTGATAAACGAATTTGTCTTGGATTTCTTCCTTTTAATGTAATTGTTTTGTATATTTTGTATAAAGGATTGATTGATCAATGATTAAGCAAGAATTTTTTGTTTTTTCATTTCATTTCAAATTCAAATCATTAACCATTAATTATTATGATGATGATGAAAAACTGATCAAATCAAATCGAAAATAACGTCAATCAATCAATAATCGCCATCATTATCAAATTGTATGAAACTTTTGCTTATCTGTTTTCGTCAAACGTAGAAAAAAAAAGACAGAAATCTTCAAAATTCAAAATTTCCATTTATGTCCAAATAGGATCTCCCTCTCTCTCTCTCATACTCTGTGTGTTCAAAATATTCGATTGGTTTTTCGTTCTTGTCTTATGTTGAATACAAAAACCTGTTTCATCTGCGATATGTGTGACCATCACACACACACACACACACACACACACAAACGCACTCACACACACACACACACATCAACATGATGACCATCATCATGATGATCATCACTTTCTCCTTGTTTTGTTTAGTTCGACGGGGGGCCACCAAACGAAAACGGAAAAAAAAAATACGTTTTGTAATTGATGATGATGTGAAACACGTAAAGAAAAATAAGAAAAGAAAAAAAATTGCAAACAATAATGATTACGAAAAAAATAAAGGTAGCTATTGAAGATGTAAATAATATAATTCATCCATACAGCTCTTTGGGATTTTGATTTAGATCAATTTTGGATATGGGCCAGCCACAAATCGATACATACCAAATCATATCTAAGCTTTTTTTTGGGTTTTCAGCCCAAAACATTTTATCATGCGTATAGTGTGTGTGTGTGTGTGTGTATGACCAATGCAACAAGTTTGGTAACTTTTTTTCATTCAATGATCCAATGATCATCATCATCATGTATTTATATATTTTCTTCAATGTAAAAGCGGCTTCGGCATTATAATTATTAAAAGAAAGATGTATATAAATAAAAAAAAAACTAAAATCAAACCAGAGATATGATGATGCAGAAAAATAAAAATCATATTTATTGATGATGAGATTGATTTATTTTCACATCTCTCAAAGTGTATTTTGTCTGAACAAATTTTGTTCATTCAATATAATCATCAGCATCGACAACGACAACAAGTAAGATTTTCTTTCATTTCATTTCATTTTTTTTTTTTTTTTTTTTTTGTTATTAAAAATCAAGTTGTTTTTTTTTGTTCGTTTGATAATTTGTAAAACGGGAAAAAATTTTTTTTTTTTTTTCTTGAAATGAAAAAGAGAATCTGTATATATTGTATAACACTCGTACACTCGTACACACATTGACTAAGTGGTAGTATAACACAAAACGAACGAGGGAAAGTTTTCAACGAAATCCACATACACACACACACACACACACACTGATAGAGTCCAGTGAAAAATCTTTACAGCCGCTTTTTTCTTTTACAAGACTTTCTCTTTTATTTTCATTCATCATCATTTAAAAACATAGAGAGAAAGACAAAATTTTCACAAACAAACAAACAAAAAAAATCCATCATCATCATCATCATCATCATCACCAACTTGAAAAAAAAGGACTGGATCATCGTCGTTCTACGTTATTATCATCGTCATCGCCAACATTCACCATCATCATGAATCTTTATTGGAAGGGAAAAATCTGAAAATTTTTTCAACATTTCTTCAATGTTTTTTTTTAAAAAAAAAAGAAAGAAAAGAAAAGAAAAAACCAATTTACCAATCAACGTTCCATTCGTCTCAACAGCAGACTTTCTCTTTCTTTTGGCTTTGGTCTGGTCTTTTTCTCTCTTCATTTTTTTTTCTTTGCTTATGTTCCATAATGTAGTAAACAACGAAAACTAAAACGAATACGACGACAACAACAAGGAAATTTTTTTTCCCAAATTTCGGGATTTCTATTTCACTATTTCATTTCATCATTTGTTGTTTGTTGCCAATTGGATAATTTTTTTTTGTTCATTTCTGCTCCCGAAAAGTAAGTTTATGTTGTTGTTTTTGTGTGTGTGTGTGGGTTTGGTAAAAAACAACAAGTGAATTTTGTTTTGACTATTCGAATTTATCTGGTTTCACTATAGTGATATCTGTGTATGTGTGTGATAATATCGATTGTTGTTCCGTTGTGCAATTCTTTATCATATTGATAAAAATAATGGTCAATGGCCAAAATTTGTCAATATGTGTGATTAATTATTCTAATTTAGTCATTAAATCAAATCTTCAATCATCATCATCATGAACAACAATTTTTGTTTAGTTTTATTTTAGTAAATTTCTGTTTATCATGATTACCATCATTTCATATCTAAATACCGGAAACCTAATGTCCACATTAAAAAATATCGTTATAATAAGCCACCAATCAATTGAATGAAAAATAAATAAAATTCAAAAGCGGAAATACTCTCCAACAGGAAAGATTGATTTCCTCCTCGTTTACTGTTTGTGGTGTGTGTGTGTGTGCTGTACGTGTGGACATCCGGTGCAGTTTTCAACCAATAAAGCCGTCACAATTGTCATAAATGGTAAAAAAATTAAAAAAAAAGACATTCGAAATCAGAGAAACAAACCAAATTTATTGATTATCCTTCAAATTGATTTACGATTGATATTGTTGTATCTAAAATCATAATCATCATCAGTATCATCATCATTCCAATGATCATCAATCAATTCAGAAAGAAAAACAGAAATTTTTATCTTTACTTCTTGATTCAATATAATTTCTGGGTGACCATGAATTTTATTTTTCAAAAAAATTAATCTAGATGTGTGTCTGCCTTTTTCTTTTTCCATGTTGGTGTGTACTTTTTTTCTGTAATTCCATTCAATTTGATTCAATTAATTTGATATGATTTTTTTGCGTGTTATTAACAACAACAGCAACAGCAACAATAATAATAAACAACAAACAACCAAAGAGAAATTTGCTTCTCACCATTCATAATGATGATCATCATCATTGAGCAGCAAAAAAAACCAAATAGCTAATAGAAACCGATTAGTTCGATGAAAAATTCTTGATGATCGTTGTTGTTGTTGTTGTTGCTGTTGCTGTTTGAATTAATTAACTGTGTGTGTTTGTATTTTATCGATATCCAGATCTTTGTTAATTAAATATTCCGTGAAGATATTGAAATATTGAATATTAATGTGTTATTTTATGTGATACATTATCAGACTTGTACCAATAAAAAAAATCTGTAAAATTCGAAGAAAAAACTTCTTTTCAACATTTAAGCATTCATTCATTCATTCATCATTGCTTCGGCATTCAAAACGGATTTTTGGAATAATTTTTTTTTTGTTTTTGTTTTTTTAATCGTTTAAAAATTTACAATGAAATCGACAAAATTATTATCATCATTGTTAATCATAACATTGATGATTATATCGATGATGATGATGATCGATGCTAATAATCGAAGAATTCGTTCATCACCGTCTTTACATAGAATAAGCCGATCATCATCAAAAACAGATGATAAAACTGATGATATTTTAACAACGACAACTTTGGATGAAATTCATCTTGACGATGGAGAAGATCATAATCATCATCATCATCATGATGAAAAACCTGTTGATAGTACCGAAATGGGAGAATTATCTCGATCATCAAGACAAGTATCAACATCGACAACAACATTTCCAACAACAATTGAAATGAATTCTTCGGATGAATCATCATCGGAACCTGAAAAATCGAAATCAACTGCTGCTGCTGACGAAGAAGATGAAGATGAAGATGATCCATGGGCCGATGTTGATGATGATGATGAAACAATGTTAAAATCCGGTAAATTGAATATTGTTGATCAAATGAGACAGCTACGTGAACAAGGCCGTTATATACCATATGAATTGACAACAAATCATATGAATGAAACAATATCACGTGTTGTTTCGGCATATGAAATTTTGGATCAATATTATTTACCATCAAGAGAAACATGGGAAAAATTACTTGGTCTAGTCACTGGTTTAGATGTAACCGTACAACCGGAATGTTTTGCATCCTATTTTCAAGGTGTTAGCGGTTTTCGTGGCTATGAAACATGGGCATATCGATGTATGTATTATTTTTGCAATGTCATTTTGTTTATCCAATGGCTATTTTTTTGACCAAACTATAGTTTTGGATGTACGTGGAAGATTTCCCGAATCCGGTACATTACATGGAAAATTTTCCAGTTTTGGTGAATGGGATGAATGTTTTGAATTGGAATCACCACAGAGTTCTTCAACCGGTTTAACTGTAAAATCACAATATTGTATGTTGGAAGTGAAAATACCTTATCCAGTTGTAAATAATTTGGAGGAATTGAAACAAGTGGTCGATGTTAATCATCCATGGTTTATGAAAATGAAAAAATATCTACGAAATTTTCGTCTACACAACCTGTTTACGCCATATAAATTGATTGAATTACTTCAGATGACCAATGGTACAATTTATCGTGCTGGCCTTTGTATACCACATCTTTGTAAACAATATGAAATTGAAAATCTTATACAAAATTGTAAGTTTCATGCCATTAGCTCTGCATGTGTGTGTGTGTGATTGGATTTAAATTTTAATTTATTTCATTCCTTCAATCACAGTAACTTATCCAATTTTTCGTATGCCATTACAATTGGGACCTAAATGTTATAAAATTGATGATCCAGTTAAATTTAAGCCACATCAACTTGTTGCTGCGTAAGTTTTTTCTTGTGTGTGTATTCCTAATTTTGATTTTCCATTTATAGAACATTGATCACAGCATTGGTTGCATTCGTCATACTTTGTACAATCATTGAATTCTACAATATTAATTATGATCGTACAACAGCAAAGAATAATCTAAAACTTGGAAATGTTATGTTTCAACATGATTTGATTATGAAACCGAATTTATTTCTTTATTCATTCTCAATGATTACAAATAGTCGTAGTTTATTGAAACATTCACGTTTTAGTTCATTAGATTCGATGAAATTTTTATTCATGATCTATATACATCTTTATAATTATTTCAATCTACAATCAACAATTGGCTTTGTTTCATTGAAACGTATATTCACAACATATCCGGCATTAGCAATGCGTAGTGATCGTTATACTTGGTTCCGTACAACATTACCATTTGAACCGATATTTATAATTAGTGGCCTAGTGGTTGGTTTTAATATTCATCAAAAATTGAAAGGATCATTCACAAAGAATAATTATCTACTTTATGTTGCACGTTTATGGGCACAATTTGCTGCTACTTATATTGGTTCAGTGTTTTTCATCTATCTATTACCGGTTATGAATCGTGCACCAGTATGGGAAAATGGAATGTCATGGTTAGATGGTTGTCTTAATCCACAAATTGTATTGAATGGATTATTATTCATTTCAAATTATAATGTACAAATGGGTTCAATGGGTGGCCGTCATTCACCAATATTACCGATGGTAAGTTACATTCCACATTCAATTATTTTGTTGTTTTTGTTGATTTATACGAAATTTTTCATTAAATCTAGTGTAATCCACCAACATGGATGACATCTGCATTAATACAATTATTGGTTATTGCACCGATAATTGTTTATATTGCCTATCAGCTAAGCAAACGTGGTGCATACATTTTTTTCATGTCAATCATAATTATTGGTTTTCTAATGAATTTATTACCATTCATTGTGTTTGGTATAAAACCGGATGTACATTTTCTGGAATTTGAAACCCTATATGAAACAATACTATCACATTCATGGTATCGTTATGGAACGCAAGCTTATATCGGTTGTTTTCTAATGGGCATCATGGCTGGCTATCTTCTAGTCGATTTTAAAATATTATTACGTTTTGAAATTGAAACCACTGTATTGGTTGTTTCATTCATATTGATACAGATATCGATAGCAGTGAACAATGTATTCTGGCGTCTAGATCGACCACCATCATTGATATTATCATTAACATGGTATACATTGATACGTTTCCTTGGTTCAGTTGGTTTTACCGGTATATTCTTTTTGATTGCATCGAATCGTTGTAGTAAGTGTAAAACAATTTCAAAAAAAAGAACGAAAACTTGAAAAAAACAATGCTCAAACGATTCATCATTTGTTTTTTTTCTTTGTTCTTTTGTTTCAATAGGTTTATTCAATCGACTCTTAGATTGGTCACCATTACGATCAATCTCTCGTCTTGCTTATTCATATTTTATGGTACATATATTGATCGTTTTCTATCGTATATTCTCCACTAAAGATGTCCAATCAATGACCGATTCAATGATGGTAAATATAAATGTTCCGAGAATGCCATCGATTCTTGATTTTTTTTTATATTGACCCTAATGACTGAATTAATGATTATTTTTGTTTTGTTTTTATTTTTTTAGTTGCAAAATTTTGCCATCGATGTTATGTTCACATTATTACTTGCATATCTATTCTATTGTATGGTAGAATGTCCATGTGTGAACATATTGAATTGGAGTCAAGGAAAAATATTTTTCGATGTTGAACATGTACAACAATCATCGAATGAAAAATCAACAACAATGATGATGATGACGAATGGTGGTGATGGCCATTTACACATTAACAATAATATATCAACAGCAACAACCGGTTCATTAGATCAATTGGCAACAACACAACAACAACAAGATAAATCATCAGCATTAAAGAATGTGACCAATAATAATAATAACATTGGCTATACAAATAATGCATATGTTAGTAATGGAGATTTATCATCATCATCAACATCATCTTCGTCGACACCACCACCACCATCCATTAATAAAAATAATAATGGTGATGATCAACAACAACCAATTCAATCTAAAGAAGATGTTGAAAAATGTTAACATTAAATCAACACATAAACAAAGAATCCATTGAATCAGCGTGTGTGTGTGTGAATGAATCAATAACATCATCATCATCGTCATCATCATCATTATCATAGAATTGAAATACCAAAAAAAAAAAAAAAATACGATGAAATCCAAAATGTAGCAAAACAACTAGAAAGCAAACAAAAAAATTGTGATCACAAAATCAATATATTGTCATAATTATATAATTACACATTCTGAAAAGAACAAAAAAAAATTATTATTTCGATTCTTTTCGATTAATTAATAATAATAATAAAAAAAATTTTTTTTTTTCCGTCACATTTCAAAAAAAAGATAATTTTCTCGTTCTCATTGTATTTGTTGTATAAGCAGTTTGACAACCAATTACCTATTTTCAGAAAAAAAATCCATTTCCATTTCCATTCTATTCCTTTTCATTTATTATTTATTTTTCGGATAAAAATTTTGTAACAATAAGTTTCAATTTCAAACAAACAAACAAAAAAAAGAAATAAATTGTGATTCTTGGCTGATTGGTTTCTCATTGGAAACTATTCCGACAGGAATTGTTGGCTTTCATTATTTCGAATGTTTATTTTGTTTTTGTTTTTGTTTTTTTTGTAATGAGGTTGACCATTTGTTTGTTTGTCATCATCATCAATAGAAAGACAATGTCGTTATTTTGTTTGATTGTTCCGTCATTAAATGTAATTATTATTATTATTATTATTATTATCACATCGTCATCATACAATTGAATTCGATTTTTAATGAAAAAGTAATTATTCAAATCAATTGTGATCGTATTTCTTTACATTCAATCATTCATTCATTTTTTAAAAAAAAACCCGAGAATTCAATTCTTTTTGTTTATTGTCATTGAAAGTGATGGGAATTGAAGAAAAAAAATAGACAGAAATTACTGGCCATAACAATTGTGATTGTTTTGGGGAAACTTTTTTTTGTTTGTTTGTTTGTTTGTCAGTAAAAAAAAATTCATTGAATTTGATCAGAATTTTTTTTTCATCGAATTTAATCGGTTAATCAATCAATCAATCATATTGATCATGTCGATCGATCAACAACTCTGATTTGATCGAACAATTGACCAATTGATATATCAATGATGATCATCATTGTCAACACACACACAGAGGGGAAGTTTTTTTTTGTTTTGTTTCAGAATCGAATAAAAATCCAAAGTTTCAAAAAAGTAGCCATCACAGATTTATGTGGACAAGTTTCAGATATCATTTTTCATCATACAGTTAAAATTAACGACATTATAAACTACTGTGTGTGTGTGTGTATGTGTGTGTAATTGGGTAAAGAAAAAAAAAGTAACATGAAACTATTGCAGAGAGAGAGAGAGAAAATGAACAAGAAACTTGGTAAAAACTTTGCCAAAATCAAACAACACATGAATGAATGAATGAATGACATTCATACACACACACACTAACTGACACTGGACATTTGTTTATTTCGCTGGTTCTAGAAACCACATGATTTTTTTGTTGTTGTTGTTGTTGTTTTTGTTTTTGCTTTCTGACACTTCTTTTCGTGTTTGACAATATGAACATTTTTTTTTTGAAGATATATTTGCATGAATGCAATACTATGACATTTGTTATTGTTTGCTGTAGAATAAAATCAGAATATGAACCACTTTATGAACAGTTAGTGATGATGATGATGATGATGGCCATCCAATGGTCATTCAGTCAGTCATATATAGTGACCAGAATTGAAATTGGATCATCATTTTTTGTTGTTGTTGTTGTTGTTGTTCAGTGTGATTATGTCAACATAAATTATGTTTGTACAATAGATAAAGAGAAATTTTTTTTTATCCTCACCATCAATTTCAGTTTATTTTCATTTCATTTCATTTTCTTTAAGGATTCATCTTCACCCCATACACATATGGTGCATGGATTTAGTGAATGCAGTAATAACAACAACAACAACAACAAAAATATTCTCTCGGTCAACTTGAATGTGAAACAACAACAACAACAACAACAATAATAATAATAACGACGACTAGAAACGCTGTAAAAGACGAAAAAATAAAAACAGAATCCTGAAAATGGATCATCATATTATATATGATGAGTGAAAAAAAAACTGAATCCAGAAAATCTTTTTATTCGACCCATGTTATGTTTTTTTTTTTTGTTCTTTCTTTCTATGCCGATCATCATCATTTGTAATATGTGAGCGTATAGATTTATGATGCGTAAATACCATGACTGTTAGTTAGGCTGCCCACCACCACCAACAATCGTATATACACGAATATAATAGAATGGCAGTATCCGGCATGTTCAAGAAAATATTAATTGAAAAAAAAGATTGAAAATTTATCATTTTCCAAGATGAATGAATGAATGAATGATGATGTGAAATTTAAATGAAATTATTTTTCGGAAATTTATTTTCCATTGAATGAAAAAAAAATGATGAAATTATTGATTTTTTATTTTTTCTTGATTTAACAAACTGTTCGTTTATCATATATCATCATCATCATCATCATCAGCATCATCATTTTTGGAATTCTGATGGATCGAAAGATGATGATACTGGTGATGATGACGATGAGGTTGACAGGTTGGAACGCCCATTTTTCAACAACAACAACAACACAAAAAGGACCGCCCGCTTCGAGAATATTATACCAAGAAAATAAAAAATAAAAAAAAACGAAACGAAAATATCGAATGTCAAGCTTTTTTTTTTTTGTTTCAAAATATATAATGTCTCTGGATGTGTGGATACAATATAACAGCAATTATTATTATGATCATCTTTATTATCACCAACAACAACAACATCAACATCATCATTATTATTATTATTTTCACGAGAATCCACCCACACACACACACACACATAGAGAGAGAGAGAGAGATAGACAGAAAAAAAACACTTGGCATGTTCAAGAATATAATAATGTTTGTGGTATAACGATATTGAGATGAAAAAAAAAAAAAAAAAAAAATGAAGAATGAAAAAAAAATTCTGTTAATCTATATAATTCTTGTGTGTGTGTGTGGTATGTTTTTTGTTGTTGTTGTTGTTGTATACATAGTGTATTGTGTATTGTTTGTTGTTTTGTCATGAGAGATAGAGGATATTGGAGAATTCCTATGGGTTTTTGTTTGTTTGTTTGTCGGTTGTATACGAGATGATGATGATGATGTGAAAAATTCTTATTGTTATTGTTTCTTGCCATGTTTTTTTCTTTGTTTTTTTTTGTTTGTTGGATTATAAAAAAGATAAGTCTCTTGATCGCAGGATATTAACCGTATAAAATTTATTATATTTGTATTATTGATATTAATGTAATGATGATGATGATGATGATGACCGTCATATCGGTGAAAGATACCGGGTGTGTGGAACGAAAATTTTTTCTTAATATCGGTATACTCATTTCCTGAAAGTAATTAACAGTAAAAAAACACACACACATAGTGATAAAAAAACATCTTCAATAACAACAACAACAACAACAACTACGAAAAAAGAAAACAATGTTTAAATATCGGTTGTTTCAATCATAAATGCATGATTAAAATGAACGGTCGTTGGATCAGGATATTGTTGTTTTAATTGAACAATCGAATGACATGGATGTTGTAGTTGTTGTTGTTGTCGATTATCAACATTCGAATCGGATGTTTGTGAGTCTAATAAATTCAACGATCTTGTGACGCCATCTGTCGTCGAATGAGTCAATAATAAATTTGATTCATTATTGTTATTATTTTGATTCTGATGATTATTATTAAATGTTAATCGTGGTTGATTTGATCGATTATTATTATCATGATGATGATTTAAATTACTAAATGAAAAAAATCGATCAAATATTGATGATGACGTTGTTGTTGCTGCTGCTGCTGCTGCTGTTGTTGATGATGATGATGATGATTTTAATGCAGAATTTTGTCGAGAAAATTTTGAATTCCATACAAATGATGATGATCGTATATCATCATCATCTTCATCATAATCATCATCGTCAAGAATATTCTTTTGTGATGATTGTTTTGGTTGTCGAAAATGACGACGTCGATGATGTGGATGATTATAATGTAAATATCGTTGTAGATAACATTTTTGATAACAAAACCATATGATTATGATTGAAAACAAAATAATCCATATGAATAAATTTATCGATAATAAATAGATTAATTTTCTAATGTCATCATCGATTATGATTGTATTATGATTATTATTATTTTGATGTAAAAAATCTAATTCACCATCATTTTCATATGATATTATAGATTTAGTTTGATTATTTTTGTCATCACTATTATTATTACTATGTTCACAAACGACCAAAAATGCATCCGAACAGGTTACATCATACCAACGGCCAAATAATAAATCCTGTTTTTCTGAACTCATTACAACACAATAATGTTTTGAATTTAGATTATTTGGTTCATTTGGTGCCCAATATGTAAATGATGACCAATGATTATTATTATCATCATCATCATCATTATTATTATCACCTGATGATGATGAATTATTAAGTCGATATAATGGACGACGATTATTTAACCACATAAAATGTGTAGAATTTTTTCGTATTAAACTAAGCCATATTGAAAATTTTAGTTCAAGTTTTTCGAATAAATATGATCGAAGAAATCGTGTTTCATCAATCGAATCGATTTGTAATAGATGTGAATGATGATAACGTTCACAGATATTGATTGCTTCATGTATATTGGCACCGATCATATCATTATGAAAGAAATAACATTTATTCTTGAATGATATCCAGCCATCATCACAATAATGATGATTCAAAGTTTGATTATTCATCATCTTCATCATCATCATACGTGCATTACGTTGATGATCTATTTCAGTTTCAGTTAAAATTAATTCTTCACCATCATCATCATCATCATCGAATGATGATGTTTGATTGAAATTTTGTTTCATAATTATCGAATCAAATTGAATGAAAAACATCAATATTAAAAATATCACAATATTTAGACGCTTCATCATTATATAATCGTTATTTTTGTTGTGTTTTCTTTGTAAACTTTATAACATTTGATATTGATTTAAACGAGAAATTCAATTCGCATGAATATGTTCAATGTGTTGGAGAATAATAATCATGTGTATATATAGACAGCCAGAAATGTCGAATTTGAAATGAAAAAATTTTTTTTTTTTGATGTCATTTCCTGTCATTGATGTTGTTGAACATGAAAAAAAAAATATTTATCGTCAAATAAAATCGACAACGAAAAAAAAAATCAAAATAAACGGAAACATAAATGCCATACTATTGTTGTTGTTGTTGTTGTTGTTGCCGAATCCGTTTGTTGTTATAATAATAACGGATAACAGCAACAACCAAAAAGGATTTAAATATATGCTAATTATTACAATGATGAAAAAATATTCGAATTTTTTTTTTTTTTACTGAAGTTCGACCGTCTATATCGACTTGGTTGTGTTGTTGTTGTTGATGTTGAAATTATGATAAAGAAATCAAATCAAAATGATTGAAGATGATGATGATAATGATCTTGTCATATTCCGTTTCCGTTTTTTTTTCGTTTGTTCATTCATTCTTGATCACTATCGATTGTCATCATTATCAATAATAATGGTAATTTGATTTGATTTGATTTGGTGATGATAAGAAACCCGGATTTGTGAATTGAAATTCTTTTCTCTCTTTTTTTTTTGCTGATTAATCATTGTTGTTGTTGTTGCTACTGCTGCTGCAGTTGCTCATATCAACAATTATTATTTCATCACAGAATTTAGAAATGAATTTCAAATTCAAATTTTTTACATTTAATTTTATTCAATTCAGCATTCATTGTCAGCAAAAAAAACCGATATATGTCATATTAAAGAAAAAAATGAAAATTAAAAATTATTGAAATCGACAACAACAACAACAACAACAATAATAATGTAATATAAAAATAGAACAGAATTTGGCGTTGTTAAAATTATCCATTGTTGTTGAAATAGAATACATTTATTCTTTTTGTTTTCATTTCTCGAATTTTGATTATTATTATTCTCATTATTTGGGATATATAAAAATGGAAATCATCATTTTGCGTTATTTTTTTTAAGAAAAAAAAATTCTTTCTTATTTTCTCGAACAAAAGACAAAAATGACTACTACTGCTAGATGTTGATGATGATCATATCTCATTTGGCCTATAGAATAAAAACATCAATTGCCGTCGACATCAACAATAAAAGAAAAAAAATTGGATCGTTTTTTTTTTGTTTTCTTCAATTCGATCCAATGCTAGCACACAAAAAAAAATAGCCCTGTGTGTACACTACTAAATCGTAGTGGAGTGGCGAAACTACCAAATCAGCTAGTACACTACCAAATCAGCTAGTACACTACCAAAACGATAGTACACTACCAAAATCGATAGTACACTACCAAATCGAATAGTACACTACCAAAATCGATAGTACACTACCAAAATAGTGCACACTACCAAATCGAATAGTACACTACCAAATCGAATAGTACACTACCAAATCGAATAGTACACTACTTTGATTTTTGACCTCTCCCCCTTTTTAATCCTTTCGACCTCCTCTTCATTATTTGTATTGAATTTAAATTTTATTGCAAAATTAAATGAATAATAAATGAAGTATAAATTATTTTTAAAAACAAAATATCATGATAATGCACAAATTGTATTATGCTGATCCAAAATCCAACATTTTATGGTATGAATTTTTGTTGTCCAATAGAAAAGATATATTGTTCCGTTCTCCAAGTTCTAAATGTTTTCAACACAATGTCCGAGTTTACAAATCCCAAAAATATGTTAATATGGCAATCCGAATCATATCAGCGGCATTGAGAGATTTGACTACATGGCATTATACTAAATAATTGAAAAGGATTAGTTGTAACCGTGGATTTTCAATTCAATTACATACCTGTTTGTTTTTTTTAAATAAACTTTATTTACCCCTATATCTTAACAAAAAAGGGAAAAACATGTAAATATTACAAAAAAAGAGAAAGAAAAAGAAAAAAAAATAAACAACAACAATTACAAGTTAAAAATATTAGAAAAAAATATAAATAAAAATACCTGTGTTTGTATCGATGATTCTAAACGTGATTTGATTTCTTTATTTACCCCTATACCTTAACAAAAATAGGGGGAAAAACATGTAAATATTACAAAAAAAAGAGAAAGAAAAAGAAAAAAAAAATAAACAACAACAATTACAATAAGTTAAAAATATTAGAAAAAAATATAAATAAAAATACCTGTGTTTGTATCGATGATTCAAACGTGATTTGATTTCCGTGGTCATTGATAAATTGAAATTGGTTGAGATTCAATGCATCAACATCGACGGAAATCTGATTATGACTTGAAAATAGGAAGAATTTTTAATAGTAAAATAAAAATAGTTATATTATACTTAACACGTTCGTATTGAAATACACAAAACAAACAGTTCAAATAATTATTGAACAATCAATCTACAACACATAGTAAAGAAAAAATCAGTTGTTAGCATGATTTAAAAACATAACTTATCTGGTTCTCTTTGATTGAAATCTAGCCGATATTGAATTCGATCTAAGACTCAAATACTAAACGAAAAGACATTTGTCGTTATCATTAATCAATTCAGATTCATACTCTTGGATTTAAATGGGACAAAAGTCACGTCTTTAATTTCAACATATATGAAATCAAAAACGATAAAATATTCATTTCGTTTTTAGGAAACCAGAACTTGTTCAAATATTTTATCTTTTTCCAAAAACAATATTAATCTACGTATATTAGAGATTAGAGATATTTGTAAAAATATTAATTGATTTTTATAAAAAAAAATGATGCAATAGTGCATGACACTTCGCATCTTATTATTTTAATAAATAAATGAATAAATGCCCCAATATTTTACAATATGTTTAATAACAACAAAACATTGTTACATATTTGCTCCAAAAATCAATCAGCTACTTACTATTTACCATGGCAAAAAAATAGAAAAAATATCAAAGTTAAACATTTCGAACATGAAAAAATTCAATGTTGAAATTTTTTGAAACAGAGTATGATGATTGGGCATTTTTATAGTTGTTGCAATTATAAGTCAATACATGTATGAAATATATTTAATGCCGTTCATAGACAATGTTATAATGTTGTAATTTTTTAAATTGTTGTAAACTACTTTCAAAAATGATAGTGTACACTACCTAGTTGAGGTCGTGTACACTACCTAGCTGAGGTCGTGTACACTACCTAGTTGTTAAGTACTTATTCATTTGGTAGTGTGCACTACCATTTGCACACTACCTAGTTGTTAAGTACTTATTCATTTGGTAGTGTGCACTACCATTTGCACACTACCAACTAGTAATGTACACTACCTAATTGTTAAGTACTTATACATTTGGTAGTGTGCACTACCATTTGTACACTACCAACTAGTAATGTACACTACCTAATTGTTAAGTACTTATACATTTGGTAGTGTGCACTACCATTTGTACACTACCAAATCGAATAGTACACTACATGCTTTTTTCTCTGTGTAGTGTGTGTGTGTGTGATAATTTTATTTATGATTTTTGGCACAATTTTTCTTCAATATTTTTTTTCATATCTTGATCGTTTGGCTTTAATTTATTTATTTTTTTTCTTTTGCCAGATAAAAAATAGGGTACCCATTATCATCATCATCGTCATTTGAATTGTGTCGCTCCAGAAATCTGTATTCATTTTTGCTTCATCATCATCATCATCATCATCATCGTTGTTTTTCATCCTTGTTAATTTCAATTTTTAATCATTTTTCTTGGAAACAGAGATAGAGATTAAAAAATACAGATTTTTTGTAATTTTCAACAACCATACAAACAAACCATTTAATCGCTTCAGGAACAATCGAGAATGTTTGGATAATATAAATATTGATATGGCTACAATGATGATGAATGGAAAATTAACCAAGAAGATAAGATTGATTTTTATATACTTGAATGGAAATATTTTTGGCCACTTGATGGCATTTAAAAATTGTTATTTTTTCCTGTTTCCCAAAAATCCTCCGATGAATCCTCATTGATGAAGTGTGGGTGGATGGATGATGAAGATAATTTTTCATAATGAATGAAATGGTATACGTGATGATAGTGTATCGATGAAATACTTCGAATGTATGAAAAAAAATTTTCGATAAGATGATGATTGTGTGTGTGTGTGTGTAAAATGTCATCAACCATTGACACAAACATTTTGATATCAGTCATTGGCGGCATGACACAATAATAATAATAATAAGGTCTCTTATGGATTCAAATAATGTACATTCGGATGTGTATAAATATATCAGCCAAGATTTGGTAATCATCATTATCATTCAGATACTTGATTTGATTCAAACCATACCTGATCAAGCAATCATCACTATAGTTCTTGTCTTACGAATTCTATAATCTAATAAAACCGAATTATTTTTTTCCGTATAAACACGGGCAATAGTGAAATTGAATTTATGCAAAAAAGAAAATGCCAGTTGTCAATGAATGTACGAATGATTCCGATAGATATAACGTAGCCATTATTGGTGCTGGCCTAAGTGGTATGTAAATTATATTGAATTTGATTGATTGATTCTTATGTAATCAACATTATTTATCACTATTAGGCCTATATGCAGCCAATATCCTCAATGATTATGGTATCACAAATTATTGTGTTCTTGAAGCACGTGATCGTATTGGTGGTCGTTTGTTGACTAAAAAAGATCCAAAAGTTGGCTGGGTTGATCTTGGTGGATCATATGTTGGACCAAGTCAACATTATATACAGAAATTGATCCAAAAACTTGGCATTGAAACCTATAAGATTGATGTTACAGGTAAAAGTGTCTATCTGAATCAGGTAAGAATCGGATTTTTTTTTTTGATCAACAAGTTATAATTGATCATTATTTTTTTTCCTTCTGATAGAAACGACGTTATTTACACAATGGTAATGAATTACCATCATTATCAAATAAATTGGTCGAACTAGAAATTCGTCATGTATTGAAATTAATGGATGAAATGAGTGAACAATTACCACGTGATGAACCATGGAAACATCCACAGGCAATCGAATGGGATCGACAAACATTTGGACAATTTTTGGATAAACATTGTTGGTCACAAGAGGCAAAAGATTTTATTGCAATCTATATTGGTTGTTGTACATCATGTGAAGCATATGAACAATCATTATTATGGTCATTATGGTACATACGACAATGTGATGGATTGGATATAATGTATAATATTGAAAATTCGGCACAAGATTCCAAACTAGTTGGTGGTACACAACAAATTTGTCAACAACTTTTACAGCGGATCGGTGTGGATAAAGTTAAATTATCTAAACCAGTCACCCAGATCATTATGGAAAATAAACAACAACAACAATCTGAATCTAAATCTTTGATACGAATTAAAACTTTGGATGGTGAATGTTTGAAATGTAATTATATTATAATGGCAATTCCACCTGTATTGGTACAAAAAATTCATTTCAATCCATCATTACCACCGGTTTATAGTCAAATGTTACAGAAATTTACAATGGGATCAGCAATCAAATGTATTGTTTATTATAAGGAACAATTTTGGCGTAATGATCAACAACAACAACAACAGCCATCATTAAATGGTAATATGTTGATTAATTGTCCACAGCCATGTGATGGACCAATTACATATACGGTTGATGATACTAAACCAGATGGTAGCTATCCGGCGATTGTTGGGTATGTTATTATTAATTAATATTTATTAAACTGTTGATGAAATATTTTTTTTTCTTCAAATCATCATTTTATCATCATGTAAGATTTATTATTGGTGATCGTGCACGTGATATGCTTGAACGTAGCCGAGAAGAACGTCTTCATTATATATGCCAAAGTTATTCACGTGCATTTGATTCGAAAAAAGCATTACAACCAATACATTATGAGGAACAAAATTGGATGGCTGAACAATATACTGGTGGATGTTTTACTGGTTTAGGTGCACCTGGATTTCTTACCAATTATGGTCTATTATTGAAACAACCATTATTTGATTGTATATTTCCAGCCGGTACGGAAACATCAACACATTGGGCAGGTTTTATGGACGGTGCATTACAATCAGGTGAACGTGCTGCATTTGAAGTTTTGTCACGATTAAATTGTAATATTAAAATTGAGGTATGATCAATTTTCTTAGAAATTTTTTGATTTTTTTAAGCTCATACAAGTCTATCCAATAGAAACCATTGATACGTGTGAAAAAATTTACTCAAAATAATTGTGGCCAACAAAATTTAAATTCAACGGATTTCAACTACACAAATCGAACAAATTTTCCATCCCTATCCATCAATCAATTGATCACATGGTCTAGCTTGTTGGTTGCTTTTTTCGGTGTTTTTCTTGGAATGGCAGCATTCTAATGATAATAATCATCAACATATAATTAGTAAAGCATGATTGGCATGAAAAACAATTTTTTTTTTCATTATTTTCGATATTCAAAATTATTTGTACTGTATACAGTACATCATTTACTGATGATAATCATAATTCGCTAAAAACAAATTAATTATCAATTAATAAAAATGAACAAAACAAATATGACATCCAAATATCAATTACGTTTGTTTTTCTTCGTTTTTTGTTTCGAAAAATCCACACATTTTATCTTATCTCCGGTGATGATGTGTGGCACACATTGTGTGCATCGCATGCGTTTATCAATGGATTATTATTCGATAAATCATCTGTCATTTGTGCGACCTTTTTTTTGGTTTGTCTACACAGCTCATTTGAATTATAATCAATACAGTTAATTTTGAAATTCAATAATTGTGTTTCTATATTGACAAGCAACAACAATGCCGTCTGACATGATGATCTATGATGTAATCGTAATTGGTGGTGGTTTAAGTGGTATGTGTTTTTATTATTCTTTGATTTATGAAATTTTCTTGATCAAATCAATTTGGATCGATTCATTTTTTATTTTATTTTCAGGTCTTAGCGCTGCTAAATTACTTGCCGAACGAAATGATGATTTAAATGTGGCTGTACTTGAAGCACGTGATCGTGTAGGTGGCCGTACATTTACCGTACAAAATGACAAAGTTAAATGGGTTGATCTAGGTGGTGCATATGTTGGCCGTGGTCAAAATCATCTTTTACGATTGATTAAAGAATTTAATCTTAAATTATACAATGTTAATGAAGTTGAAAATATTGTCTTTTATAATCAAAAAGTAATTTACAATTCATCGATCACTAAATTTCAAGAGAATTAATCATTTTATTATATTATTATTTCCCTTTCCCTACCGTAGAAAAATCAAAGAAATTTATTTCATTTTGATGAAATACCCAACATGGGTATATTGGCTAAATTAGATTTTTATTATATAATGCGATTAATGGATCAGATGGGCGAACAGATACCGGCGGATGAACCATGGAAAGCAACCAATGCTGAACAATGGGATCAGATGACATTCAAAGAATTTATTCAAAAAAATGTTTGGTCAATAGATATACAGAATTTTATGAAAATATTCATTGGTACATGTGTGACCAATGAAATGTATGAATCATCATTATTATGGTTTCTCTGGTATGTTAAACAATGTGGTGGAACAAGATCAATATTTTCAACCACATATGGTGGACAAGAATTCAAAATACATGGTGGTACAAATCAGATTTCTGATTGTATAGCCAATAGTATTGGCCGTGATCGTATCCATCTTAATGAACCGGTACATTATCTTGAACAATCGGCTGATCATGTTCTATTACGAACCATTGCTGGACATGAATTTCGTGCACGTTATGTTATAATGGCATTAGCACCAACATTACAACAGAAAATTCATTATCAACCACCATTACCACCAATGCGTAATCAATTGATTCAACGGGCACCAATGGGTTCCGTTCTTAAATGTATTGTTTATTATCGTAAACGTTTCTGGATCGATCATAATATGTGCGGAAGTTTAGTCATTTTTGGTGAAAATGATATTGAATGTCCTATAACGTATACATTGGATGATTCGAAACCGGATGGAACATGTCCAGCAATTATTGGATTTATGCCAGCTGATCGTGCAAGAAAACTATTGGATTTAACTAAAGAAGAACGATTAAAATTAATTTGTCAATGTTATTCAAAAGGATTCGCATGCGATGATGCACTTGATCCAATTCATTATGAAGAACAAAATTGGATGGCCGAACAATATTCTGGTGGTTGTTATACGATGGTCTGTGCACCAGGATTTCTTACCCGTTATGGACCATATTTACGTCGACCAATTGGTCGTATTTATTTTGCCGGAACCGAAACAGCATGGGATTGGTCAGGCTATATGAACGGCGCCATACAATCGGGTGAACACACCGCACTTGAAATTCTTGCCAAAATGGGTCGAATATCGCCATTAGAAATTAATGTTTCAGAGCCAGTATCGAAGGAATATCCACCCGTAATCATTCCAGCTACATGGATCGAACGTAATGGACCATCAGCACGTTCATTTATAGCCGGTGTTTCATTGACAACAATTGCTGCCACAATGTTTACCGTTTATTTCGGTTGGAAACGATGGGAATTTAATCAATATTGGCAACAATATATATCGCATTATATTATTGATTATTGATTTTTAATTGGAAATCAAAAAGTTTAAATTTCAAATATTTATAATCATTATTATTATTATTATTATTATTATGAAATACATTTTTGTAGTAGAAAAAGTAAATGAAAAAAATGGTGAAAAATTGTTCTAATTTACAGTGTCAATAACACAATTGATGATGTCGATAATAATAATACTTGATTTCGAATGTTTTGTTTGGACCGTCGTTGAGTTGAGAATACGAACGTGAAAAATGGACAAATGCAAGAAAAAATGTTACACATCATCATCGTCGATCATTTGAGAAAAAAAAGTTAAGATTAAAAAATTTGATTTGAACTAGAATGTTGGTCAAAAAAAATCCAATGGAATAGGACTGTTGATTAAATTCTTAATCATCAGCCCTTGGTAATATATCTTGTATGGAAATGGCACTGGTAGTAATAGAATCCTTAGTCATGATTAATCATTATCGAGCTAAGATAATGGTTTAGTTTCATCACCATCTGCATCTTTTTTTGTAACCATATCTGAATCAGTGATTTTATATTGATCCAATGGTCGTACAATATGATCACGAAATACACGATGTAATGCTTCACAAACGAAACGAAACTGTGTCGATGTTTGTATGAGCATCGCACGTTGATTACGCATAATTCGAACCAATTCTAATGGATAAACCGGTTGATTAGCTTCGATCAGACAGATTCCCGTTTCCATTAATATTAGTACACCGGTACGTCCGATTCCAGCACTGTTTGTAGAAAGTTTTATTAGTAAAAAGAAAATTGATAAAAATAATTCTTGTAATTTACCTGCAATGTACAATGACAGGTGATTCGGGTGCTTTTTGGCGAAGGTCACGAACTTTGAAAATAAGTTTCAGAAAATCGGTATCATCATCAGGCACACCTTGATCAGGCCATGCTAAATATTGTAAATGTGTTATATAATGTGTATTCTTATTTTCTGGATCAATCAATTTAAAACGACGTTCCAGAAAAGCACCACGATCTTGACAATCTTCAAGTGTCAAATCCAATAGATCATTCACAATCATTGTTTGACCTTCATCAGGCCAATATTTAAAACATTTTTTTCGGCCATCTTCGATCAATGGTGTAACCATGACGATTAATGTTGATCGTTGTTCCCAAACCATTTGCCAAAAATCACTAGTAGTACGTTTAAGTGGTCCCTGAGTTGCGATATATCTGTTAAAGTTTATAAAAAAAAATCCTTAAAATTAGAAAAAAAAACAAATTCTTAAGAGACCAAAACAAACCTATTGACTACATTACTGGCTTCAACTTTCATTGTTACAAATGAAGCATTTATATAATCACCAGTATTACATTCATTCAATATGACACGTGTTGAATCGTCTAAATTGTGAAGAAAAATGGAATTTCGTAGTAGTTAATAATAATCATCATAAACAATACATACATGGTGCAATATCAAGATAACGATTTTTCGGCACATTATCCAACAGCCGTGCTATCGTTATTGTTTCATCTTCATTACGACGTGGTAGATATTCAAATTGTATGATTAATAAATCACCTTGTAGACCTTCATGTAAAAGATTCATTGAAGTATCCAATAATGATGCTCCTCCTCCTGAAGATGTATGCTCTACTTTCATACCATTATCGTCATCATCATCATCATCATCACCGGATTCTTCGGGATTAACATCATCAACAAACGGTGATGGTGAAAATGATTGCTGTTGTTCAGAATGAAATGTTTTCGATGAAATAGAATAATTTACCGGTGTATAATGAAATGGTGATTGTCGTGGATCACAATGATTATTATGATCAACTGTGTCTATCGATTCATTTGGACATTGACAAGGTTTATAACAAACAATCGGAAGTACCGATAATACAAGTTTAGCTTCTGGACCACTATCTTTAGTAGATCGTATTAACTGTACAACTTGTTCATGTTTTAAACCGGATACTTCTACTCCATTGATAGCTAATACTTGATCACCTTCATGTAATTTTGGTTCAGCATAATCGGCCGGTGTATTTGGTAATATACGTGATACCAATATTACCCGACAATCTTGATCATGGCCACCTTTTACATTGAAACCAAAACGACCTTGTTCATCTGGTTTCATTGTAACGGTCACAGCATGAATTGGTGAATCTGTATCAGATGATGGATCTGGTATAATAGATTGATTGATTGTACCATCATCATCATCATCATCATTATTATTAGGCATAGCTGCTGCTGCATCATCATATAATTCTTCAATTAATTCATGTATGGGCAGATCAAAATCAAATGTCGGTTGTTGTTGTTTATCCATTAAACTATTATTACCTTCATTATCTGTATCATTATCATTAGGTAATTGAATATCTTCAGTTATTGTTGATGTTTGGCTTGTTTCAGTAATGGCGGCAGCATCTTTATTATTATTATTATCATCACCTAATATCGTACCATTTGTTAATGAACCAATTGTTTTATCCGATGATGTTGTCGATATTGAATCAATAAATGGTAATGAGATCAATGTGGATGGTGTAAATGCTGTTGTTGTCGTAAATGTTGTCGATGTCGTTGTTGAAATTTTAGCCTGATCACCAACAGTGGAACCACCAATAGTTATGATTGTTGTTGATGGATCAATTATCGATTTTCCATCATCATCATCATTATTGCTATTAAAGATTTTTAATTTTTTATTATTATCTTTGGTCAATATTTTCATGTTATTGTTTGAGGTTGTAATGGTGGCAGCACTTTTATCACAACAAACTTTTTGATCATTGAGATCATTGGTTCCATTTTCCAATTCTAATTTTACTAATTGTTGTTGTTCAACATTATCCATTGGATTTAATGGCATAAATGATGATTCTATTGATGATGTCGATGTAGATGATGATGATGAAGAAATAAATTGAAATCCTTGTGAATGATGATTAGAATGACTAGTATTATTATTATTAATGATTGTATTTTCCGATTGTTTTTTCAAATGTTTTTGATGATGATGATTATTATTATTATGAATAAGATGACCAGATGATGATGATGATGATAATACTGATTTTGTAATTATTGATTTTGTCGTTGTTAATAAATCATTATCATTTTTAGCTGTTGTTGTAGCTAATGTTTTTGCTTTCTTTTCATTCATCATTATTATTTTTTTGTTTGTTGATGATGATGGCCCCAATAATGATGATGCTGATGATGATGATAATGAACCAGAACCGGTTGATTCCATTGATGATAACGCTGTTGGTGAATGTTTTCGTTGTTGTTGATGTTGTGATTGAAGATGATGATTCGATGTTGATGATGTACGTTCTTTCATCATACAACCATTCGTTACTGCTGCTGTTGTTGTTGTTGTTGTGGTACCACCATCCATTGTTGATAATTTAAGATTAACAATATGTTTCTGTGCATCCATTATTTTTGTTTTTTGTTGTTGATCATTACCATTTGTTGTTATTATTGGTGTTGCCGATGATTTTATTATCGATGATGATGCTGGCATCGTTGCATTACGTCCAGTATTACGAATAAATATACGTTCTGTACGTGTTAAACGACGACGATTCTCTTCAATTGTTTGAAATTCTGTTTTACCACTATAACGAAATTTTGAACCCAATGAAAAGAAAAAGAAGAATTTTTTCGTCAATGGTTTTGGTGTATGTAAACGAAAAAATGTATGCTGTTCAACACAAGATTTCCACAATGATTTACATGCACGATATGAACATAGATTGAATCCGATTAAATTATCAAATCGTTCGGTCTGTAGGATAATGATAAACAACAAAATTGTTATAAAATCATCATCAATCAATGTATGTGTATACTTACGCCTTCATGTTTTAATTGAATAAAAAAACATCGTCGTTTGAAAGAGATTTTGACAATTTTAGCCCATGAAAACATGTTAATTTTTCGATATTTTTGTTGTTGAACACTATCATCGCCATTATTATTAATTTTATATATAGTTAAACCGTTTGATGAAACACCAATTTTTATGTCTAGATTATCACAATCCTGAAAAAAACAATAAAAGAAAAAATTCTCAAATTATTCAGTTTTCACTAAATGATTTATGTCAATTAATTACATACCTTAGCATTATGTAAATCAACACCATATAATTCTAAATGTTTTGCTTCTTCAAGATAATTACATTCAGCATCAGCCGGTGTCTGTCCCTGATGTAAACGATGTAATGATTCAACTTTGCGACAAAATTCATCCGTTTGATTAGGTATAAAACGAAATTCATTCGAATATCCTGGCCTATGTTCATCTTCACAATAATCACCCAATTCAGCTATTAAAAAAAAAATAAAATAAAATTTGTGCACATTATTATAATGGGAAAGGAAATTGGATTTGGTGTGTAGGGGAGAAAAAAAAAAAAAAAAAAAAAAATTTTTGTTTTGTTTATGAAAATGATGAATATATTGTCACAGGGAAATATTGTGCGTAACTCTCATGATTGAAAAAAAAACAGGAAAAAAAATATTTAAAATTGACATACATTGTAAAACATAACTAGCCAATGTGGCCATGATAGAATCCTGTTCTTCTTCATGTTGTCGTTGTTTTTGTCCGGAATTGTTTCCATCATTCATTGTTGTTGTTGTTATTGTTGTTGTTGTTGTTGATGATGATGATTGACATAATTGACCAGCTAATATATCTTTACGTATTTGTAGATAAAAATGATAACGTGTATATTCTTCTAATAAACGTGTCATTTCTGTTACATAGAATTTAACACGAAAATGTAATAGATATGGTTGTTGACAGAAACGCATCTGTTTACGTATTTTTTTCGTTGGATCAAGCCATTTCTATTTTTTTTTTTTTTTTTAATAATAAATGTTTTAATTAATTAGTCGATCGAATGAAAAAAAAACAAAGATTCATCATACTTACATTATATACAATTGTTCTTTTATTCATCATCATTGGACTATTACAATTCAATGTTATACCAGCATCATTTAAATCTTGTTGTGGTTGTTGTTGTTGATTAACACTTGATTGTGATGACGATGATGATGATGATGATGAACGAAATATTTCCGTAAATTGTAATGCAAAATATTCACGTTCAATCAATTCTAGATGACGAAATACGGCATCCATTAATTCTTCACCTTTTGCGGCACGCTAATTGATTAATTAATAAATATTAATTCGATTTTTAATTTTTTTTTCATATTCTCAATTTATTCATGTTACTTACATCAATTTCAAATATATGTTCAGTATCATCAAGAAAATGTACAATACATTTTATTGTTTCAGGTATCGGTACAATTGTACGACCGGTAATCAATGCGGATAGATTTGAAAAACGTCCACCAAAATTATTCGGTGATGATAATAATGATTGTGATAATGATGGATCATTTTCATTCTGATGTTGTTGTTGTTGTTGTTGTAATGATGATGATGATTGTTGTTGTTGTTGTTGACGCATACCACTTGCAATTTCATTTGCATGTACATTATATGTACCAGATAGTATGGATATAAATTTTCTTGACATTGTGTGTAAGTAAAAAAATAAACAAAAATGGAATATACTAGAAATAATGGAATTCAAGAATATTCTTTTGTGTGTGTGTGAGAGAGAGTCGAATGTGGAATGTGGGTGTATTTTTTTTTTTTGTTTTGGTTACAAATAAATGGGCAGAATAAATTTTAAATTCGACATCTGATTATTTGGTTTATTTGTTGAGCACACAAATATTCAAGAATTTGAATTTGATTCCTTTTCTTACTAAAATTTAATATATTTCATTTATATCAAGTGTATGATTGAATCGGTTTCAAGGTTTTATAAAAACATGAAAAAAAAAAATTCAGAATCATCACATATTATTAAGAATCAATTCTCAAATAAACAACCATGGATTGGCTGAATATAAACACATATTATAAATGAGAGAAAATGATGGTGAAAATAAAAAAACATTAAAGAGATCAGAACCGTCAGCTTTGTTCCATGATGATGATCATTATTTCTTTTATAAGCGGTTAATCTCTCTCTCTCTCTCTTTTTCTTAACAATGATTATAATCAATCACCAATCATCATCATTATCTGTGGATATTTTTTTTTTTGTACAGATAAGTTTCGGGTAATATCTGGATACAACATTATAAACAACAACAACAACATAATCGTCGTCGACAATAAATTGTAATTTATTTATTTTTTTTTTAACTAGTGGCGACACATTAAATCGGTTTTCTATCCTCTTTACTCTTCTTTTTTTTTTCTTGGTCGCTGTCAGTTTGAACCAAACACACAACCAGCGAAAAAAAAATGCGAGCATATAGGCTGGTTATTAATATGTGTGTGTGTGTGTGTGTGTGGGCAAGGCGTGTATTGTTTATATGTTGTAAATGTTTTTATTTGTAAGAAAGAAAAATGAAAAAAAAATTCAACAAAAATAAATCTAAACCCAATTCATACGTTGAAAGTTATAGTGTGCGGTAATTTTTATTAATATTTTCTAATTTTTTCGAAATCTTTTTATAAATGTTGTGATGAAATCAATTTTTGTTTCGGTTAATAACCAATGAAAAACAATCGAATTAAATGATGATTTTTAACCAATTTTTTTCCATTCAAATCGAACAATTATGATGATTAGGATTTTTTTTTAACAAACTGCTGAAAGCTCGTCATGTTGAAATAGTCGACTATCGTATTGATGATTTGTCTGTCTTTTTCTTTGAATTTTTTTTTCTTTTGATTTATTACACGATTTTTGATCATTTTTCTTTTTGCTTGTTGCAGGTCTATTTATATTGTTTGAAACACACAAACCGATAATAAAATGGCAATGGAACTGAGTTATGTACCACCGGTATCGGCACCAATGGTACCATATCTAAGTTTGATATCCATATCGTTTGGATTGTTTTTTATCGCCTGGTTTTTCATACTGGAAGTGACAAATAAATCACGAAATATTCTAAAAGAATTATTCATATCATCATTGTCATCATTGTTTATTGGTTTTGGTGTTGTTTTCCTAATGTTAACCACACGGATTTATATATGATAATGATATCCATCAATTCCATTCGATACGGCATGATGGATGTAATGATTTTTTCAATATTCCATGGCATATTGTTCGATTGTCGACCGAAGGCAAATTTTCCAATTTCAAATGTTGAAGTGATCTTTTTATGATAATAAGAATTGAATAAACAAAAAATTATTATTTTAAATTTTCGAAAAAAAACATAATCTACCTTAATTCTTTCAATGCTTGAATACCAATATCGGTTACATTGTAACAATTTCTTATTTCCAAATGTCGTAGTTGATCAAGCTGATATTCACACAACATTATCAATGCTTTATCATTCAGATATTTTGTTTCATTGAATATGATTCGTGACAAGTGTTTCAATTGGCGAAGATATTCAAATCCAACATAATTAATACTTGATTCAGTGGCATCGATACCAATTATATGATTGCCACAAAATTCATTCGGCTTGGTCATTAATCGTTCATAATCATTAAAATTATGAGAATCAATTTGTGATGACCATATAACCGAAGCACCATTTCTTATTAACCATTCTGCTGCAGCTCGATCTGGTCCTAATTCTTCGATTTTTTTCCTATCAACTCTGGTTCGATATATATGATTAAAAATCAATCGAAAAAATTTGAATTAAAATTCCAGACTTACGCGTTGAAAATATTATTTAGCCAATAAAATAAATGTCTAGAATTCGATGATGATGTTTGTAATGATAATGGTGTTAATCTGAGAAATTTCGAAATCATTGAAAGCGTTGGATAAATCAAAAATCAAATGTGTGTACAAACAATTCTCAACATGTAACCTTCAATGCCTCGAGCACTAACAAAGGTGTTTTCTATGTAAAAATATTGGGCCACATTTTTCAACTAATTTCTCAATACGATAGATGGTGCCACATTATCCATTATTGGAAATTGGTTTTTTTTTTCTTCATTCAATACATTTACCGGATATCGATGTTGACCGATTTTTTGTCGTTGTTTTTATTATTGGTGTTGTTTTTCAAACAAGAAGATCCTTTAATGATAATATAAATTCCATCAAAATGATTTGATCTAGATCCCATTATATATACCAAAGGAAAAGGGGAATAAATTGATCTGATGGCCGGAATTCGATTATTCTCTTGGTGCCATCAAAAGTAATTATCGACTAAATGGACCAAAACTAAATGTCATAATCATTTAGTTGTCATGCAGTAGTAGTAGTAGTCTCATTCACATCGATATTTTGATTCTTTTTTTTGTTTTTATTTTGTGTTGTTGTTTTTCATTCCTTTCGTTGACAAAAAAAAATAAAGAAAATCAAGATGTCCACAATGAACAAATAATGGATATATACAGATAGGGCTAATGAATAATGGATGGTGTGATTAGGTGACAAATAATTTCAATTTTCAATTCGATTCATCTTGGGTCATAGTTGTGTAACGCACTCACACACACACATTGACTGACATGAATAAATTATTAAATTTTACAAAAAAAAATTCGATTCGTAAACATTTAAATCACACAAACATTGTAAAAGTCAAAAAGTGTGTCAAATATTTCGCTTTTGAAACTTTTTTCCAAAGAAAATATACAGCACTGCAATGTAAATATTTTCTCATCTTGGTACGTGAAGAATCGATGAAACATGATAAACAATCAAATCAAATCAATCAATCACACAATTGATCGACAATCAATTGTTGATTTCATTTTCAAAAAAAAGTTTCAACAGAACAGAAAAGAGAACTTTTTCCGGATATTTTCCATATGATGTAGAACAATATAAACAGGAAAAAAAATTAAAAGTCCTTGAAAGATTTTCACACACAAACACACCGAAACCGAAACAAACAAACAAATAAAAAAAATTCGAATATTGACAACTATTTCTATATCGGCCAATGTGATAATGTGTGGTGTATATAGGTGAACTATATCAATGATCAATTGCTTGTTCCGATTCATTCGATTTCTTTATTTATCATTTTTCACAATAATTCCTGCTGACTATTCAATGGTCATTCCAAAGTAAAGTACAGAAAAAAAAATTCGAATGAATAAAAATAGTTTTGATGTAGACCATTAAAGTTTTCTGGAACAAAATTTTTCCATTGGTTTTATCTATAGATAGATAGGATGATGATGATGATGATGATGATGGACTTTTTTTTTGGACAAAAGATTCACTTACTGATATGGAGAATGGGACAAAAATTTTTTTTTTTTTTTTCGTCACTATTTCGACTCTTGTAACCAGGAAAAGAAAATGTGAACACACGAAAAAAAAATAACAAATGATCTTCATTGTGGAACATCAATTCTTTTTTCCATTTGAATTCATTCATTCATTCATTCCATGGTGAGAATGATTAATTATGTGGTAAGTGTGTGTGTGTGTGTGTGTGTCTATGTTGTTTGTTTATTGTTGATTTTTTTTTTTTGATTTCATCGAAAAGTAAACACAAATTGAATATATCGAGTAAAGTAAAATAAAAAAAAAGTTCAATTTTAAGGCGGCAAACGCAGCAGCAATCATTGTGTTTTACTATTGACTTTTTTTTTTACTTCTTTCAATTTATGAATTTTCAGTTTGTTTTTTTTCTTGTTGTTGATGATGATGATGATGATAATTATGCAAATGATGATGACCTCAATGTCTGTGGATGTGGATGATGGCTAGATTTTTTTTGTATTAAACAATAACCACCAGTTTTTTCTCCTTTTTTTTTGCTTGTTGAATAATAACCGGACTAATCTCTCTTTGTGTGTGTGTGTGTGTATTTGGGACAAATTTAGATATCTGTTTCTCTCTAACTTTTTACATTATTTAGGTTTAAAATTTCAGTTGTTGCTGATGTGTTCAATATAGCCAAAATTCAAAGTTAAAATACACGTTACGTTGTTTTCGTTTTCATTCATGTGTGATGATAGACTGAAATAAATCATGGCTAAATGTCATGATAAAGATGATAATTTTTTTTTTATTAAAATGAATTTTATGGTCATCGTACTGGACACAAGAGAAAAAGGAATTATCGACCGACCGACCGACTGATCGAGTTTTGTTGTTGAACTGAACATCCACCGACCGACCTCCTTAAGGCTAAAGATAGATTCTCATCGAAATGGTTCATTTTTTTATATATATTTTTAATCATTATCATCATCATCATCATGATCATAATCATCGAAATTCGGATTATCTGAATGTATGTTTTATGTATTGGATGATAAAAAAAAATTGTGGAATGGACACCATGGTACAGACAAAGAAATAAAAACAGTGTAGAAAAAAAAACTAGACTAGATTATCCAGCAACAGCATGAACAAATTTTTTTATTGTTGTTGTTGTTGTTAATAATTAAGAATGTATGTCATTCCAATACCATACAATGCCAATCATAATGAGAATCTCCATATTTTGATTGATTGATTGATTGTTTGAACAATGAATAAAATAACAAAAAAAAGTTCATTTATTTGCATAAATAAAAAAATTAATTGGCCACCACCATCATCATCATGATGATGATCATCATTAATAATGACATGTTAATGTATGGCAAAAATTCCACATGGTTTCCAACTATTTTTATTTATTCGGGCCTATTGAAATCGAAATGATGATGTTGAATAATTATTGATGATGATAACCGACTTTTTTTTGTTTTTTTCCGTTGAAAGAAAAAAAATGATTGATAATAATAGGGAAGGAGGGAAAAAAAGAAGTGAATGATGAATGAATTGGATCAAGTCATACACCTGGAATATGGAAAATAAAAAATTCGAGAAAAATCATTTACTGAATGACAAGAAAATTGAACGTTTGTTTTTTGTTTTGTTTGAATCATTTTCCAATTTTCCACTATTTCGACAAACTAAATTCAGACATCCACACACACACACACACACACAGGTAATAAATTCAGATAATCTACGATTGATTTATATCCGATAATTTACCATTTGTATACATATGATAAAAAAAAAATTGACAACCAATACAAAAGTGAAAAAAAATAAAGCTTTGAATCACACGAATACACAGAGAAAAAAAATCCAAAAATAGAACAAAGTTCATCAACTCTCTCTCTCTCTCTCTCTCTCTCTCTCTCTCATGGTCCATTCATTTATTCGCCATTCATTCATTGATATCTCATCATCAGATGGATACAAGACCGAAGAAAAAAATGAAAATCAAAATCAACTTTCAATTTACCAAGCAAAGTAACAGAAAAAAACGCCTTAATTGGAAACGGATTAAATTAGCAAAAAAAAACATTTTTTTCGTCCACCTTCGTCTTTACCTTTGGCAATAAATAAATAAATAAATAAAGTGCAATGATTCTTCACTTGTTTTTCTGTCTGTGTGTGTTTGAGTAACTCCACCAAAAAAAAAAACGAGAAACGATGAAGAAAGAAAATCAAATTTTTTTTTTTGTTTTTCTCCATCATTTCCAAACATGGTGAGATAAAGGTGTGCGTGTGTTCTACTTTATCAAAATGACAAATGTCAAAAAAAAATCGTCTTCATAGATTCAGTTATAAGATAAAAGTTTAAAATGGCCAAATATTTCTATCATCATCATCATCATCATCATCATCATCATGATGTATTAGGCTTATTGTAGGTCAATAGCCAAGCGTTTTTGTTTTGTTTTGTTTCCACACTGTTTTTTTTTTTCATTCATTATCTTTGACCGAAAAAAAATTTTTCTTTTCATTTGCCTCTTTAATCTTGTTTTGAATTAAAAATGGCCGACACAATGGATGGTGGATGGCCGAGTTTTGTTTTTTTTTTTATTTGATGGCTTTTTGTTCATACGCCCGAATCATATGGATAATGTCGATGATGATGATGATTGTGGACCAAGATTAGCCAGATTGGAAAAAAAAGAAACTAGTCTTTTCTTTTCTTTTTCAAGACTTGTTTCTTCATTTTCATTACTCTTAGTTTTCTAGTTTCTCTCGGAGAAGAAGAAGAAAATTCTTCAAAAAAAATCACGAAAATTGAAACCAAAAAAAAACAGAAAATGGCCAATAAAAAAAGAGAGAAAAATTCTCATTAGAGATTCCAAACAAGAAAAAACAAACTTTTCTCTTTTTTTCCCATTTTGTCATGTCTAACAGATTCAATGCATGTTGGCCAGACAAAAAAATTCACAGAGACATAGCCAGCAAGAGAGTGAGAGAGAGAGAATGAGAACAAAAAAATCATTTAAAAATGGCCAAAATTCATTTCAATCTCTAGTTTTTTTGCATTGATATTGAAGAAGATAACTCTTTTTTTTCGGTTATAATTTACGCGGTGTATATGGTGTGTTTTGGTTTTGTTGTTCCAACACCGCCACCAGCATCAGCAGCAGCAGTGTATTCATTCAAAATTCTGTTATTTTGTGTGTTTGTTTGTTTGTATGTTCATTAACCATTGTGACATCATATATTTGTGGTGAAAATTATTGATTGATTGTGAAAAGAAAAATTTTTTTGAATTTTTCATCAGATTCAGCAGAATAAAACATTTTTTTTTTGTGTTTTGTGTTTTTGTTTCAAATATGAAATTCTACATAGCGACAACATTTTCATTGGCCATAATACTTGGTGAAGCACAATTGGGTATGTGTGTTTTAGTATTTTACATGACCAATGGTGATTGAGAACGATGAGATTGATGGTATTAATTAATTAATTAATTGATAATGAATGGATGGATGGATGAAAATAGCCACATTGTTTGTTTGTTTTTGGTCATTGTTTATTATCGTGGTTAAACAACTACTACAACATCTGGATAGGCTAGAGATTTAATTTTCACCACTATCAGTAATAATAATCACAATTTAACCGCCGTCACAACAACCAAATCAATCATGAACGATGAAAACAAAACCAAAAAAAAAAAAAAAATCAGAGAAAAAAGCTCGTTTAACCCCGTTTAACCATATCTATTTTTTTTTCTTCTTATTTTCATTTTAATTACCAATGTCAATGATGATGATGATGATGATGATGATGATGATGACGGTATAATTTCGTTTTATTTTCGGTAATGGCCCCAGAAAAAAATAAATGAGAATCGACCCAAAAAATATAAGAAAAAAAGTGTGAGAGAAAAAAAAACGGTTGACATCAAAAATGATAACGAAATTCGGTTGTTGTTGTTGTTTTTTTTTGTTTCTTTCAAAATAAATAACTACCATAAAGTAAAGATTTGACTGTGAAATAATAATGCGAATGAAATGAACCAAAAAAAACGGAGAAGAAGAAAAAAAAAATCCAAGTCATGTTAGATGAAATTCTGATAAAAAGAAATGTATTAAGACAACAACAACAACAACAACAACGACGACGATGATGGCGATGGTGAATGATGATAATGTTTCCGAAAACTAAAAACAACAACAACAACAACAACAGGATGGCTGAAAATAGTGCAGGAAAATTCCGGACATTTTTCATTTCTTCCCTCCGCCTCACCATCACCACCACCAACAAAGACCCTCCCTCCTCATATTCACAATCATTTAGTGGTGGTATGAAGAAAAAAAATATCTAAGAGATCAGAGATCAGAAATAAACACATAAACATACACACACACACACATACATTATCAAATATATATTGGAAACCATTCATTTTTATGAACATAATAGTGTATATATGCTAAAGTGTTGAATGAATGAACTCTTAGAGTCACATTTCCATAGTTCCATCAATTCTTTTTGGGTTCTAGATCCAAAAATGTGTGTTGCAGAATAATTAGCCCATTCTTGACGACACACACACACACACACTCATACACACACTAACAGATCATTAACAGGCCCATTTTTATTCTCAATTTGTTTTTTTGTTTTTTTGATAGAAAAATATAAAAAGAGGATGATGGGTTAGTGTTTTATTCTGACTGGGGGCTGATTATATTGTGTAGAGAAATAGAAATTTGTCCAATAATTTTCCAATGTGAATCGAACAAAAAAAAATAGAAAAAATTTCCATAATGAACACACACACACAGATTTCCGAGGGGCTATTTCATGAAGAAAAGAGGAATGAATATTCTTTTTCATTCTTTCATTTTCCCCTTTCCTGCAACACTCATTCATCCATTCAGACGATGTAAAAGCAAAAAAAAAAGAAGAAAGAAAGAAAAAATGACGATAAAACGATTCGGTCGTTAGTTAGAACCAACAACAAATGAATGAAAAAAAAGAAGAAGAAAGTTTCTATAGAGAAAACGAAATAAAATAAATAAACTTTCGATCTCAAATGTTGAATGATCATGATCATCATCATGATCATCATAAACATTAAATATACGGACAAACATCATCATTTCTATGATGATGTTGATGTGAAACTTATGTTGTTTTTCGTTATTGTCGTCATTTTGATATTCAGATCTAAAGAGAGAAAGAGTGTGTGTGTGTGTGTTTGTGTGTTTGATGTGTAATTACACCAACCAACACACTAGTTTTGGTGACTTTTTTTTATAACGACAAAAAAAAGAATATTCAAAGATCGATTGTTCAATCGATCGATATGATGATGATGATGATGATGTTCTGCCGTCGTCGTTTTTTTCCGTTTTATCAAATCCCGATGATGATCAGCAGCCACATTCAAACAACAACAACAACCAAACACACAGACACACACACACTCAAAAGTAATCGCATCTTGTTTGTTTGGTTTTTTTTACTGATAATTTTCTTTCATTCCTCTTTGCGTCAATTAATGAATCGTAAATTTAATACTTGTAATGTGTGTGTGTGTGTGTGCATGTGGCTAATCATCAAAATAATAATCGGGCCAAAAAAAAAGTTGAAGAAAAAAAAAATTTTTTAAACATCCTGACTGATTACAAAAAAAGGGTTAATGTTCATTTTTTTTTCATCACGATTTCCTTTGATGCTCCGCACACACACACACACACACACTCGGATGTATATATAACACACAGACACTTTATTTTGGTAATAATTTCTACCACCACACATGACAAACAATAATAAAGAGTGATTTTTTGTTTTGTTTTGTTTTGTTTACAAATCTAATATATTTAAAGATGAAAATGAATGAATATACAGTAATACCCCGCTTAACGCGGGGGTTACGTTCCAAAAATTCTGAGCGTTAAGCGAAACAGCGCTAAGCGGGGCTATCTTTACATAATGCATTTTTACCCTTCATATACAATGTAACAATGTAATGCAATGTAGGGTAATTATACAGCGTTATATCGAATCAGCGCTAAACGGGGCAGCGTTAAGCGGGGTATGAGTGTATGAATATAGCTGGAAAAATAAATAGATAGAATGATGATGATGATGATGATGATTTATTTTTTTTTCATCTTCATCCTCAAGGGAGACCAACAGAAAAATTCGGAAACGGAAATGATGATGATGATGATGATGATGATATGAAAAAAGATATATCAACTAAATCATTCATTCATCATTTGAATATCGAAGATTTTAGTTTTTTAATGTGTTTGAAAGTTGTTTCAAAATGAATGTTGTGAACTTGTGAACTTTTTCTGTCTGTTTGTTTGTTTTTGTTTAAAGATTTTTTAGCCATCAAATAATTGATCATCGAATTTGATGAAACTGACCGTTGGCCTAATTTTTTTTCTATTATTCATCGTTTTTTTTTGTTTTTGTTTTTTTTTCGTTTCATAGGATCAACACAAGCACGTGCTGGACCAAATGCACAACAGTTATGTAAAAATGGCAAACGTACAATGTTTCCACATGAAGAATATTGCGATTATTATTATGAATGCATTAATGGTGAAGCTATTGTACAGACATGTCCAAATGGTTTAGCATTTGCTGGCCATCAAAAAGGATTGAATAGTAATTGCGATTATCCACATCGTGTTGGCTGTCCAGATGGTTCACGTGTTATGGGTCGTAAGTGTTATATTTATTTATTTATTAATTAATTAATAGAGAGAGAAAAAAAAAACAAACAGATTTTTTTTTTGCACACCAAAAACCAACGATAATTATCAATTAGTTCATGATTAACACGCACACACAAACAGCTGTCACGAGCAAAATCATTAACAAACACCACCCAATATTATCATCATCATCATCATCATAATCAGCAGCCATTAGCCATTCAACTAAATGAAATTAACTTTTAATAGGCCAAATAGGGAAAAATTTGAATTACCACACACACACACCCAGCCACACAAAAGTTATTTCAAAAAAAAAAAAAAAAACAAAACAAAAAATGTTACATAAAATGTTAAATGTTTTTTTTCGTCTTTTTTTTATCCACAACCACCGCCCATTCACACCCGAAATCAAAAAAATGAAACCGAATGGAATTTGTTTCAATTGTATATAAATATCGGCTATTATTATTATTATTATTATTACCATAATGATGATAATAATGACAATTTTTGTTGTTGTTTTTATATCAAGAACAACCAATATCTAGTGAAAACTGTCATTGGCAGTATGGTGTATTTCCACATGCAACATCATGTACAAGATATTGGCATTGTTGGAATGGTACGGCAACCATACAACAATGTCCATTCTCATTACTTTATAATGATGCTGTACATGCTTGTGATTGGCCAGATAATGTACCCGATTGTCAAAAACATCGTAAGTATAGTATTTTTGTTTAATTTTCATTTTCATTTTTTTGTTTGTTGTTTGATTCCATTATATATATTTTTATTATGTTGATTAAAAACCACCAAAAAAAAAAAAAAAAAAATGTTGCTGTGTGTCCATTGTCGATCGTTGTAGTGTTGTGGTGAATGTCAGTCGGTCGGTCGGTCAGTTTTCATATTTTGCAAGAAAGAAAAAATCAATTTAAGAAAATTAATAGATTTTTTTTTTCGTCGTTTGATGATGGACTGTCGTTTTTTTTTGGTTGTTGTTGTTGTTGTTGACTTTTTTTTCTTATATGCATGAAAATTGGATACCATACACCATTTAATTTGTTTTTGTTTTTGTTTGACAATTTTTCTCGTTTTTTTTCATCACAATTAGCAATTTGTAAGGATACACCAAATGGTGCCGTACCAATTGAAAAAAGCTGTGTACGTTATTGGCTATGTGTTGGTGGCTATCCACGTTTACAACGTTGTCCAGCTGGTTTAGCATTGAATACCAATACATTTAAATGTGAATTAGCACAAACAGTACCAGGATGGTAAGTTATATTTGTTTTTTTTATTGTTTTCAAACTTTAGATTATCATTTAGAATTCATTCTATATAAATCGTTAATATTGTTGCATATGCATGATCAATTGTTTGATTTTTTTTCTTTCCAATTTTAATTATCAATTTTGTTTTTGTTTTTTTATTTCATAAACAAACAGTGAACCACCACCAACAACACCACAACCAGATGATGATGATGAATTAAAATCTGGTGGCAATGAAAATGGTGGACAAAATTCACGTCCACCACAATCAAACGGTGCATTACCACAACAATTTCGTCCATCACAATCGGGTGTACGATTAGTTGGCCGTTAAATGACGGAAAAAAAACATCCATATTCAAACAATCGAAAAAAAACAGGAAGAAACAAAAACCAATCACACACACACACACATACACACACAGCAGAAAAAAAGGACCAGAACTCACCAAGACCAGAGGTTTTGATCTCCGAAATTTTTGTTTTCTTAAAGTAAAAAAAAAAAATATATGGATCGTTTTCTCTATCCAGCCAAAAAAAAAGAAAAAAAATCAAATTGAAATGTCCAATAAGACAAATGACCACGTCCATTACTACAATCACTGCCATTTCAATCATATAAAATCACAATGATCATCATCATCATCATCATCATCATCATTATAAAATCATCACATTTCATTCATTCATTCGTTCAGCATACACAAGAAAAAAAAACAAATTTCACTCAAAAATTTTCATTAAAAAAAATTAAATTTTTTTTCAAATCGATGATTAAAAAATAAAAATTTTTTTTTATTGATTTTTTTACACATTCCATTAATCAATCAATGCCAAATTTAAAAATCAAAATACAAAGCTCGGATATGTGTGTGTGTGTGTTTATTGGGTACAATGATTATGGTACATAACTCAAATATATAAATGTTGATGGACAGAATGTATATATATGGACATTATGATCATTATTATTTATATGAACGGAAAAAATTGCTTTAATTTCGATGATATCTAATATCTCAAACTATAATCGAATGTAAAAAGAAAAAAAAACAAAAACAAATCTTATTACTATTCATCAACACCATCATGACAATTATCAATTTGACAATCATCATGTTCAATCGATTGCAATTCATAATAATCATAATAATTCTGTATATAGCCTAAAGGCTTGTTGTAGTACCAAATTGATCGATGGATTGATAATAGTACATTCTACAAAATCAATAGGAAAAACAAAAAACAAAAACAAAACAAAACAAATATCCTCTTTATGGAAAACTAATAATAGAAAATAACTAAATATTGTGAGCAATTCAAGCATTTCTTAATACGATGGCTATTTGTATGTATGTGTCATGGCCATTTCCTTTTTTTTCTAAAATCGTTTCCTGTATGATGATTATTTACAGAGAATATAAATATTATAATAATATACAATCGTATTATTATATTTCATCATCTTCATTTAATGTTGCCAATGAAGATGGATTAATTATTGATGATATTGTTGTCGTTGCTGCTGCTGTTGTCGTTGTTGTTGATGATGATAATACCGGTAAACTTTGAATAATTTGTACACGTTTTGTTGCTGTTGTCGATGATAATGATGATCGATAATTATTGTTATCATTATTAATATAGATATTTGGTTCCATAAATGAAACCTTTGGTGTTGTTGTTTTTGTTGCAGCTGTAGTTGTTACGATTGTTGATGTTGATGGTGTCAAAATCATTGATTCTGAAGATATGATTGTATTTAATCGATAATCATGACAATGTTGTCCACTTTCCATGCCAGAATATATAGTAGCAGCAGCAGCATTAGCAGAATTGATTGCCGGTTGTATTTCATAGTTGGCACTACCATCCTCATTATTATTATCATTATCACCATAATGTATGGGTGTAAAACTAATTTGATATGTACCAGCAGTAGCCATTATTGGATCAGTAATAGTCATATGTGACAATAATGATGATGATGATAATGATGCTATTGATGATAGCGGTTGTTGTGGTTGTGGTGATGTTGACGAATCAATAGTTAATTGTTCTAATGTATCAGGTAATAGATGGACATTTGTTATCTATATAAAGTAAAATAACAATTAATTAAGTAAGTCAAACAGATAAAAAATCAGCAAAAAAAATAATGAATAAAAAAGGAAATGAAATCAACAAGAAAGAAAGAAAAAATGAAAAAAAAGAAATTTTAGATTTTGAAATTAACTTCCATACAACAAACAAACACACACACACTTTTTTCACTTCAATACTTTTTAAAACTCTTTTTATGATAGAGAATTGAAAATGACAACCAAAATCCAATCGATATATCCAGGCGTTATACTCACACACATACAACAGATTTTTTTTCAGTAATCATTAAATTGGACACCTGATTCACAAGTATTGAAATCCTAAAAGTTAACTAATAGAAAAACAGTGTGTGTGTGTGAAGTGAAGAAATCCAGAATTGGCAACCTACATATTACTTTGGTTGGTTTGCACTATAGTGTAATGTAATAATGGTTTTAAGATGTAGAAAAAAAAACTTTTTCTCCTTGCATGTGTGTTGTCCGTTAATTCTTTTATCTTATTTTTTCAAGTTTTCAATTTTCATTCACTTTCTAATCCATGTTCCAATTTCGGGATCATAGAATTTCACTTTCAGAGAGAGAGAGAAAAAAAACAAAATTTCACATTTTCAAATTATTTTAAACTTTATTTACACACATGTTGTTTTTCACTAAATGAATCGAGAATCGAATGAATGAATAATGGTAAAAAAAAATTTTCATCAAAATCAATTTCAATTTGTAAGGGGGTAGAGAGGGAGAAAAAATCAACACAAAAATTTTTTTTTCTTTGAACAATATCCTGGAAAAGAAACAGAAAATCTTGCCAGAAAAAAATGAATTCAATAATGATGATGATGATGATTGGAGATTCCATTTATCCAAAAAAAAAAAAAAATTTCATTCCATTTTTTTCCTTTTCAACATGCCTCGAACGACTTATTGATGACAGATATATAAATGGATTTTAAATTAAATGAAAGAAAAAAAAACAAAATTAATGATAAATGGCTACTACTATCCGTTGGCCGACAAAGTAAATAAGAAAATATTTTTCATAAAACCCATTGAAGCTTGTCGAAAGATTTTTTTTTTTTGCAGAAAAAAAGAGTGAAAATTCGAAACAAATTTTCACTGTTTTTGTTGTTGTTGTTGTTGGCGGTGGAAAAAGATTCTTAAAATGTTTTTTTTTCGTTCGTTTTTATAAATCCTATCCTATGTGAAATAAAAGAAGCTTTTTTTTCATTCTTTTCAAATACATCTCATTGAAATGAATGAACGAGATTTTGAATCAGACGAGAAAAAAAAACTCAACAACAGTTAAATAAATGGAAAAGCTTCACTATATGTTGTAGGCGGAAAACTTGATAAAAAAAATAATAATGGCTCAAGCTCATCATAATCATCATCATCAGATGTGGATAACCAGATTGGCTCATCAAAATGTAATGAAGAAAAAAAAGGGCAAAATCTAAAGAAAGCTACTTTTTAGAATATATTTAAGAGATTCAAAAAAGATTAAATAATTAGATTTTTTGCTTGGAAAAAAATTCTTGGCCAAGTGTGATCGAATTAGAGCATTGGAGGATTTAGCCTCGAATGTTTGCGAAACAAGAGACGAAAAAAAATCAAAATTTCATTTAAAATTTTTCTTCCATTGAAAAAGAAAAGAATTCTTTTTTTTCGGATCCATATCATCATCATATATAAATGGAGATGTGAAATGAGATATATTAAAAAAAAGGTTTAGAAAAAAAAGAAAAGAAAAAGCCATTCTTGGATTTTATCAAAAGGAGAAAAAAAATTTAAAATGATAATTATCATTCAGACACACATATAAAGCACATAACGTGAAAAAAAGTGGGCAAAAAAAATCTACAAAGATCCAGGATCGAGATAAGGCAAAGATTAATTAATTTGTGAATACACAAAAATAAAGGCCAAACATCACAGACACATACACACAAACAGAATTTTTTTAAAAATAAACCAGCATGAAAATTAAAATAATCAACTTTTTTTTGGATCGTTTGTCAACAAAAAAAAACGACCGAGATACTATTATCAGAGAATAAAAAAGAAATTTCTCATTCAACACCATTCTCTCTCTGTTGTTAATGAAATTTTTTTTACTTTAGAAATCTTTTTTTTTCTTCTTTTTTTTTGTAAACCAAATAATAATGTTTCTGTCACTGGTTGTCATTTAGAAAATCTCAAAAACAAAAAAAACGGGTGTAATGATTATTATAATTATTTTCTATGACAGCAAACACACAGAGACTTTGAGTTTTGCAATCATCATCATTCAATATAATTTTCTATATATGTAAAAAAGGGGGTTTATTTCAGCAAAAACAAATCCAAATCCATTTCCATTCGAAAATAGAAAAAAAATTCATTCATATTTGATCAGGTCAATATGCCCGGTGATATATAAAAATCATTCAATATAATTTTCTATATATGTAAAAAAGGGGGTTTATTTCAGCAAAAACAAATCCAAATCCATTTCCATTCGAAAATAGAAAAAAAATTCATTCATATTTGATCAGGTCAATATGCCCGGTGATATATAAAAATATAAATTAATAAATTAATAATTTACATTCCATTCAATCAATCAATAATGATGATAGAGTATTTGTAAATGAAAATAACATATGTTATGTAATTGACTGGCTGAAATTTTGTGTTTGCGATCAAACAAAATTAGCCAAAGAATAAACATTGAACAAGAAAATTGAAATTAATTATGAATATGATGATAAACATGATTACATTTAGCAAGCCACAGCAAGGAGAAGCTAGTAAAAAAAACATAAGCGTCATAATAAATAGGAAATGAACGTATGTTTTCTTTTGACAATCAAATCAAATCAAATTAGATTTAGGAAAAAAAAATTACCAATGGTTAAATATGACTGACAGATGTTTGTGTGTGTGTGTCGACTTTGTTGGAATTTTTTGAAAAAATTCATAAAACTTTTTTCACTTTTCGCTCTCTTTTCTCTTTTTTCAAAACGGAAAATTAAAAAAAAAGTTTCATCAAATGAAATCAAATCATAAACCGGTATTTGTATTCGATGTTACAAACATACAGAATGTGATAACCAATGATTGTGAATGCAGTGGAAACAATGGTTGATCAACCAACACGCGAATTTGTAACGTCACTGGTCCGAAGGGTTAAAATTAATTAATTAAACAAAAAAACCATCCTTACCTGTTGATGTGAAAGTACATATTGTAATTGTTTATCAAATGATGATGATGATTCTGATTCTGATGATGATTGTATTAGATGTCCATGCTGTTGATTGTGATGTGAGTGATGATTATGATTATATGAATGATGATGATGATCATTACTTGATTGGCTATCATTTATTGTAGTTAATTCATATGGAAATTCATATCTTTGTTGTTGTTGCAACTGTTGATGATGGTGATGATGATGATGGTCATTGGATGTGATGGCTAGATAATGACCATTAGATTCATTATTATAATCTTTTAAGAAAAAAAAATAAATGAAAAAAATTAATTTGATCCTAGAACACACAAACATACATTTCAAATGATGATGTGTATGATGATGACCATCAATCACATTGACATAATCATTCATCGCTATCGAAGATGATGATGGTGTAGTGGCCATTGGTGTAGATGATGCTGCCATTAATTCATTACAAATATTATTATCACCATCATTGGTAGTCGTTTTGATTAAATGATATGTTGTTGTAGCGGCGGCAGCAGCAGCAGAATTATTTGCATCAACTGATATTGATGGCTGAAATTCATTTTGATTCATCATCATCATCAATTTTGTTTTGGATCGATCATTGTTGTTACTGTTGTGGTTTGTAAGATGGTGATGTTGATTGTAACCATTTTCTGGTAGCTGTTGTTGTTGTTGTTGCTGTGATTCATTAATTTTATCATTGATTTTGTTGTTGTTGTTGTTAGATGATTGATGCTGTTGCTGCTGTTGTTGTTGATGATGATTTCGTTTACGCCAATAGATGAAAATAATCATTATGAATGATATAATTGCTAGAATTATGATTAAACCACCCATCAATATGGTTAATTCGACAAAATCTTCACCAACAACCATTGCTAAACGACGATTCTGTGAACGATGGCCACCAATTGTCGATGATTGTGATGCAGCTGTATCACCATTACCACCACCAATAACACCATTATCATTCAAAATAATTAGACGACCATTTAAACTTTGTTCATCAGCTGATGCTGCATATAAAGGATTTGTCGGTTGTTGTTGATGATGGCGATTTTTATTCCTAAAATTTTGCATCTGTTGTTGTTGTTGTTGTTGTTGATATTGTAATATGGATAAAGTATGAAATGTTTTTCGTAATGATTTTCGACTTCGACCTAAATGATTTTTTGCCCATAATAATAAACGATAATGAGTATTCGGTTCAAGGTTATTTAGTTGAAAATAATTATTGCTGATGTTGGCAAATATTCGTCCATCATTCGGTTGTTTTGGATCGATACGATCATCATCATCATGACCATCAACATAACCGCTAAACTCATCATCAGAAGTTAATGAATGTTTCGTGGACCATAACCGTATCGTAAATGATTGTTCATGGCCATAATTAAAACCAGGATTCCATCGTAAAAATGCTTGTTGATGTGTTAGATTTAGAATTTGTAAATTTTTTGGACTTTCTGGATAGCCTATAAAAAGATCGAAATAAATAGATTGAAATTTTTGTGTAAACAAACAGAAAAGAATGTTTGTTGTTCATTATAAAATATTAAATAGCATACTTTTTCGAACCAATTCAAATCGTTGATGATCATTACCAAATTCATTATTAACCATACATTCATATATACCATAATCATTATTATCGAGATGACGAATAATTAATTCACTTGTATGATGATAATTTTTAATTATCATTTCCGTTTCCAATGCTGATGATGTGGACGACGATTCAGAGGATGATGGAAAAATCACTCGATATTTATCACTATTAATCAGCATCATTGATGTTTGTTGTTGTTGTTTTTTTGGAATTTCATCACTATCAGCATTATTATTATTATTGTTATTGTGATCATCATCATCATCATCATCATCATTAACAGTAGTGAATCGTGTCCAATTGAAATAAACATTTGTCGGATATGCCAATGCTGAGCAGACAAATTTTACCGATTGTTGTTCACCATTATTTGCAGCTATTTTCCTTAAATTATATGGTACAAATATTCTTGGCCGATGTCGAATACGTATGGCTATTGAACGGCTATCATTCATTGTATGACATGTATAAATACCGGAATCAACAAAGTTTACTTGATTTATTGCCAATTCAGAATGTATGGATAAACTATTATTATTATTATTATAATGACTATAGTTTGGATGTTGTTGTTGATGATGATTGTTTGCTGCTGAATTTGCTATTTGCTTGGAATTCTTTTTCGATAAAACTGTTTGTGTTACATTTGAACGTGACCAATCGATAAACATATCGCTTGAATGTAAATTTGAATTAATTAAAAAATTATAATCATCATCATCAGCATTCATATCATCGTAGAGGTAAGGTATATCCACAGAATGATGTTGTGTATGATGATAATGATAATGATCATTAGATAAAGGCCAATAATTGATTGATTTCGATTGCTGATGTTGATGTCGAATATTATGAATTTGTAAGCGTTGTAAATGTTCACTGAAAAATTGTTTCGTCCAACGAATTATTGACGATGGATTACCATCATTTACATCACATTCAATACGAAAATTTCGATCATTATTTTCAATTAATTCGATTATTTCAATCGCGGTACTGTTATCCATTTGGATACGGTGATTTATGGTTGATGATTGATTGGTAGTGTTGGTCATCACAGACGTTTTTCTAGGCACTACAACTCTAATCTTATCGATAGAAGAAATGGCTACAAAAAAATAGTTGGGATTCGGATAAATTGAAAAAAAGAAAATTTTTAAATAATTTTTAACAACTTACTTCGTATGAATAACCGTATGAACATTAATGAATAACCGATAGAATTTTCTGCACGTAAAACATAAAGGCCATAATCATTTCGTGTTACATTATACATATCGATCAATATGCTATGATTATCCACTGATAATTGCCAATGCCATTGTGATGGTATTAATTCCAGATAATCTTGAATATTTTCCCATTTTAAATTTTCTAATAAAAAATCCGATCGTTGATTAGCGATTAATAATCGATCTAATTGAAGATTATTATCAGCATCATCATGTTTCGATGTTGATATTTTTCTCATAATACGATTCATACGTATCGAATTCGATATAGGATTTGATCGTAACAATATTTGTAGCTGAAAATTTTCTCGTTCATTCAATTCGATTGTTTCGATTGTTTTCAAAAATTTTGGCTTATCTTTTATGTTCCAAGGACATGAAATGAAGAAAAAAAGAAATGAAAATTAATTTACATTTAATCCAAAAAAAGAAATTTTATTTATGTGCTTCAAACAAAAAAAATTAAGTTACTTACAATGAACATTTAATATTCTATCTGATCGTATGGCTTTTTTATCCATATATAATTCGGTAATACCAGAATATACACGGGATTTTTTTTCCAACAGTATGATGATGATGTTTGATTTATTTGCAAAATATGGTTTTTCATTCACGCATTATTATTTATCATCATTGTTTATGGCCATTGGGTGGTGTTGGATAATAAAAAAAAATGAACCACAACAGTGTGTGGTGATTATGAATCACAACAGTAAATACAGTGACAAAAAGTGAAGATTTTTTTTTCGGTTAATAATAATCACCCGTCGTCCAACGGAGAATGAATTAAAGATGCAACAAGCCATGAGAGATAGAGTATCCATAAGATTCACAAAAAAAAGACATTAATTTCTATTTAGGATTTAAGATTATAATATACAGGGTGTAGTGTAATGATCATCTTAAGAAAGCTAGATAAATTTGCTTCATTCATCCATTCTTTCTTTTGAAAAACCATGGTAAATTAATTCGAATGAATTTATGATGTTTTTTTTCTTCGTTTCTATTTCCACCACTTGTGTATGTGTAGTGTTGATTTTGTGCCTCAGTTTAATTTTTTTGACATTTTTTTTTATTGTTCACACAATTCAATTTTTTTAAAATCTATTTTTGACACTTACCGTGATTTGTAATCAAAGGATTATTAGCAATACATGCCAATTGTGTTTGATCATCATTTGCATTTACACGAAATATGTAGATAATTTTATTCGATAATGCTATCGGTGATGATGATGAATGAAAATTTGATATACTCATGTTATTATCATAAGGTCGAAATAGATTCAAATGTTCATGTTGTTGTCGTCGACAATTCGTTCGATATAAAATGCCACCCTTTTTATCATCATTCAATTGTTGATGTTCATTGTTTTGTTTATAATTTATCAACGCTGATGGATCAATTTCATCATAATCATTGTCGATAGCAAACATTTGCCGGTATGATATGGTTTCAATGTGAATATCATTATTATTATTATTATTATTGTGGACATCTTGTTGTTGATCATCGACATCACCATTGCCATCATCATCAGTCATGATCATTCTATTACCATCATCATGATTATTTGTTTTTAACAATGTTAACGTCGAACATGGATTACTTGGACTTGATGTACATTCAATCTTAATCTATATAATATATTCGATACGAGAAAAAAACAAAAAAAAACATACAAGAAAACATCGACATAAGAAAAAAAATTGATTATAGGGTATGTATGATATATTCGATGTAAAAAGTAATTTTTCTTCTCTGAAATCAGAGAATCACGAAACAAACACTCGCTTACACACACACACCGTCACTGATTTATATATCAACACAAACAACATCAATCAATCGATAGATCGATATGCAATCAATCGTTATTTTTATTTTCATCTTCATCATAACATAAAATGATAAATGGATTTTTTCCACCATATAAAACAGTAATACACACACACACAAGAAAAACCGATGATGATTTGGAACATTGGGATCATATATTCTTTATTTATATGTGATGATTTGATTTTTGTTCCAATTATCGAAACGAATATTATATGATACAAAATGCAGCAACAACAACAACAACAAAAAGTAAACAACAATCAACATCATCAGAATATTACATGATTGATTCATTTATTCGATAATATAAATCGAATAATAATGTAATGATATTTTTAGTTATTATTATTAACGAAACAACAATATCTCTAGATATACATATATACCGATGAGAAAAAAATCGAATATATTTCTATCTATCTATATCTGGCTATTTATATACGCAATGTACATTTGTTACATTTTATTGTATCGAAATAGTAATTTTTGCAAAACTTTTTTTTTCTGTTTTTTGTTTTGTTTTGTTTTTACACAAAATTAGCCTAATTGAAGAATGGTATCGTTTTTTTTTCATTTCATTGTTTTTCTTTGGAATTGATTGGAAAAACTTTTTTTGTGTTACCAAGAAATTTTTACACTGACCATCATCATGTTGTTTTGTTCTGAAAGGATGCGTGAAAAAAAAACTAATTAAACAACTCATTTCGTAACAACGATAACTTTTAAAAACCGGACTAACTAACTAATAAAATTTGTTGTGTCGTTTATCGTGATAATCAAAAAAAAAAAAAAAAATCCTCATTCAATATGGTTTCTAAACCAAAACAGAAAAAATAAAACGGTATTCGATTCTGGGAACAAATAATGGAATTAAAAGGAATCAGATACATTGTTGATCAAAGATGGAAAGAAAAAAATCTTCATCCATATGACAATTTTTTTTGTTGTTGTTGTTGTTGTGTAATTCAAATTATCGATCGAATTTGCTCATCATTCGATTCGATCATCGATGATGATTTAATCCTGATCCAAAAAAAAAATGTCATTGTCAATAACAACCATAATGATGCTGATGATGATCATATCTATCGGTATTCATTGAGAATGGAAAAAAATTGGTTATTTGGACCATAAAGAAAAAAAATTCGAATGTTTTTTTATTCTTGAATGGATCAAGAATCACACACACTGTGTATATAATAATAATAATAACTGAATTAATTCTATAAGTAAGATAAAAAAAAACTAAAGGCTATTCCATCTCTCTACCATTCTTTCTTCATTCTTTGCTTGTATTCTGAAACTTACTGTATCATTTTCCTTAATGAACTTTGGAAACGTGATGTTTAGCTGATCCGGTGGAACTAATCACGATGATGATGATGATGATGTTGTGTGTATCCAGTCCAGTCCAGTCCAATTTGTTTGTTGTTGTTGTTGTTGTTATTTTTTTTTAGTTTTATTTATAAATTTCAGTGATAATAATGGTTTCAGGTTTTTATTTTTCATGGCCATCCATCCACAAATTTTGTTGCCATATATTGTAAAATAAAATGAAAAAAAAATTTAAAATAAAAAAAATTAAAAAATTCAGAAAACAAAAATTACAAATTACAAATTCAAATTCAAATATATATTGAAAAAATAAAAAATTGCCCTTAGATGGCATGATTGGCGTTTCCGTACGTCATCTATGAATATGTTTACAAAAAAAAAAAATTTTGTTCGATGTTATCATTGTTCGGAAATGCGTGAGTATTGCATGAATAAATGTTATAAAAACATCATCACACAACGCATGACTTCTCACTTTTTTTTCATGTTTTTTTTTCGCTAACCACATTTTCCAAAAATTCGAACTTTCATTTTTTCATTTTTGTTTCGTTGATTTTCGATTTTCTAAAACGTATTAATACAATTTCATCAATTCAAATTCATTTTCGATTAAATTCTGTTGATTTTTTTTTGTGAAATTAAAAGTATATAATACTACAAAATGAGTTCACGTGGACGATCACGTGCACGTTCCGGTTTTCGTGGTATGGCCAGTTCTTCTGGTCAACCATCACAACGAGAACAATTAGAATCTAAAGAAGAAGAAACTCGTTCACGAATGTCTGAATTATCAATTCAAGGTATTTTGAGCGTTTTTCCTTATAATTTCTCCAATTTTTTTTAAATTGATGATTATCCCTAGAACAAAGTGATAGAACCATACAAGAACTTCAATCGACAAGAATCTCTTCAGTTGTTTCTGGTGAAGAAAAAGATGATTATCGCTCCAGTAGTCGACGCGATGATGAACGTGAACGAAGTTATGGTGAACGTGGTACCGGACGTGGAAGTGGATATGGCGAACGAGAAAGCTATGGTGAACGGGGTACCGGACGCGGAGCTGGATACGGCGACCGTGGTGGCGAACGCGAAAGCTATGGTGAACGAGGTACCGGACGCGGAGCTGGATACGGCGACCGTGGTGGCGAACGCGAAAGCTATGGTGAACGAGGTACCGGACGCGGAGCTGGATACGGCGACCGTGGTGGCGAACGCGAAAGCTATGGTGAACGAGGTACCGGACGCGGAGCTGGATACGGCGACCGTGGTGGCGAACGCGAAAGCTATGGTGAACGGGGTACCGGACGCGGAGCTGGATACGGCGACCGTGGTGGCGAACGCGAAAGCTATGGTGAACGAGGTACCGGACGCGGAGCTGGATACGGCGACCGTGGTGGCGAACGCGAAAGCTATGGTGAACGGGGTACCGGACGCGGAGCTGGATACGGCGACCGTGGTGGCGAACGCGAAAGCTATGGTGAACGAGGTACCGGACGCGGAAGTGGATATGGCAGCCGTGGTGGCGAACGCGAAAGAAGTGGATATAGTGACCGTGGAAGAATTGGTTCCGGTACTCGTGGTATAAGCAGTGGTGCTGGTGGTGATCGTATGGCACCGCGAAACTTTACATCATATCCGGAATCCGAAGCGTATGACATTGTATTGCCCAACGAAATTGAACATGGCGTCAAAGGACGTAAAATTGAACTATTGGCTAATTACATGCGAATCAGTATAAAGCCGACCATGGTCTATCATTATAACATTGATTTCAATTTCAAAGATGATGAAGAACGTGTCGCAATCAATGCTAATAATGAACGGAAGCAAAAATATTTTGCTAATAATGCTTTAGAATTGGTTACTCGATTTATTGAAATAAACGATGAAAAAATGAGACAATTAAATGAATTTGTCTATGATATTGGAAAGAATATCTACACTACTAAAGAAATAGATTTAAACGAATTGACCAAGAATTTCGAAGCTAATATTGGTGGTCAAAGAAAACGATTTGTTGCCAAAATTGTCAATGTACAAAAAATTGATTTAACACAAATTGTGGACTTTTATGAAGGCCGTACATCGGAAGCACCACAAGTGATCATACATTTTCTTGAATTATTAATACAAAATGTATCCTTGTCAAAATTTCATCCTCATCGACGTAATTTATTCGATATTGAATCCGGTGTTATCCGTAGCCCAAAAAATTTTGTTAAATTTGTACAAGGTTTTAGTACGGCCGTACATTTAACCGAAATGGGACCATCGTTGAATCTACATCTAAAAACATCATGTATGATTTCATTGGAAGCTGATACATTATTACAATTAGTGGCCATGATTTCCGAAGGTCGTGATCCGCAACATTTAAATCCAAATGAAATTGAAAATATTAGCAAAATTATTCGTGGATTAGCAGTGAATACTGATTATACTGGCCGTAAACAAAAATATATAGTGAAAGCGTTTGCAGCACGACGACCACATGAAGTAACATTTATGATGAAAAAGAATGGCACTGATGAAGAAACACCCATTTCTGTTCATGATTATTTTCTCACGAAATATAGAATATCAGTGAAAGATTATCCGGTCGTTCAAATGTGTGGTAAACGTGATACAGTCATTCCATTGGAACTAATTTATTTGGTAGAGAAACAATTTTTGAACAATTCAAAAATCGATTCCATCATACAGAATGAATTATTACGTACGGCCACTCATAAACCATTGATTTATTTCAATCATTTATCACGATTTACACAAGAAATTGTCAAAAGTAATCCGGAACGAATGGCTCAATTTGGTACTGATCTTTCACCAAAACCTGTTCGCTTTTGTGGCCGTGTTTTGGATGAACCACGTGTACGTGGTGGCAACCGTAATGAACGTTTTGCATCGGCTTCTGTAGCTAGATGGGCATTCTTTAGCTTTGACGAGAAATTCGGTGAACGCGATGTGGATAGTATTGTATTAGAATTGAAACAAACAGGTAATCGTTTTGGTATGAATTTATCGAATTGCATTGAAAAACAAGTGGTGCCAATCGATAATCGAAGTCTGGATGTGGTAAAAAATGTTTTTGCAAACATTTTGAAAAAATTGCCCAATCTTAACTTGTTGTTTGTAGCATTGCCTCACAGTAAGTGTGTCTGATAATTTGATTTGATTGATTTATATTTTTTCTATTTTCAATCTAGTTCCATTCTTGTACAATGCTGTCAAACATTTTGGTGATCAAAAATTCGGTATTGTCACACAATGTTTGTCCGTAATGAAGGCTAAACGACGTAATCGTGGTTATATTGAGAATCTTTTGCTTAAAGTTAATGGAAAACTTAATGGTCAAAATAGCTTTATTGAACGCCAAGATCTTCAATCGTTATCAATTGACCATACTAAAACTATGGCCATTGGTGTTGATGTTAATCATCCGAGTTACACGGAAAAAGTCCAAAGTTCAATTGCTTGTGCAATTGGAAGCTATGACCATGAATTCACCCGTTATTCGGCCAGTGTACGTGTTCAAAAACGTGAAAAAGAAGAAATGATCTATGTACTTGAAGAAATGGTTGATGAATTGTTGGATGAATATGAAAAGCGTAACAAATATTTACCGGAGAATTTTGTCATTTTTCGTGATGGTGTTTCCGATGGACAATTTAAATATGCTGAAAATGAAATCAATCAAATTCGTACAGCTATACGACGACGAACAAAAACTGGCAAATTGGTGTATATTGTCACACAGAAAGGTCATCAAACTCGATTCGTATTGCAAAATCCAAGCGGTTCGGCTGATCGTCCGGTATATAATGTACCACCAGGTACTGTTGTCGATCATACAATTACCGATCCAACCAAATGTATGTTCTTCATGAATTCACATTTCTCATCATTGGTAAGTGAAAATTCAAATATCGATTTTATATATATTTCACGTTTTTTAATACAACAACAACCATAGGGAACATCACGTCCAATGAAATACGTCGTGTTACATAATGATTATGAACGACGAAAAATGAACATGGATGATTTGGAGAAACTTTGTTTCTATCTATGTCATAATTGTACTCGTTTTCGTGGACCAATTGCAATGCCCGTTCCGGTTCGTTATGCTGATCTTTGTGCTTATCGTTCAAAATTGCATTTGGAAGCACAACATGCTAGTAAAAATATACCGGCCGAAAGTCAAGAAGAATTTGAACGTCATGTCATTTCACAATTGAATAAATTGGTGAAATTGAATGATAAGATCAAAAATTCACTTTTCTATTGTTAAACAAACATATATGTATGATTCACATCTAACAAAAACAAAAAAAATCTACAATACACGATTATCATCTTTATAATTATCACATTCATATATTCATATATTCATATATTGTCTTATTATCATATAACAAATGTTTGGAAAAAATATTTCAGAATATATATTTCGGTTCAATTAATTTAATAAACTCTAATAAATGTTTGCAAAACGAGAATCGATCCAACCATCAAACTGACCCATATCAAAAAAAAAAAAAAATCTGGGTGTTTTTCTTCATACACCCACCACCGGAACCAAAAAAAAAAAAAGAATTTTCATACAGATGTTTATGATGGAATAATGATTTTGATAAATTGATGAGAATTGAATCGAATTCGGTTTTTTCGTTTCGTTTCCAAAGAAAATTCAATTAATCAATTTTTTTTTTTGGTTTAGCTTTCAAAAAAGAAATGACAAAGTTGTTTTTTCTTTCTTGATTGTCTGTCGACTGAGATTGAATTTTTTTACGTTCGACTTTGTAAGTTGAATTTTTTTCGATGTTTTTCTCTTTGATTTTTGATTGTTTGAAAAATGTGATTCCGGTTTTCTTTTTTTTTTGGCTCAAACCAAACCAACAATCATTGTCGACAACAACAACAAATCGATGATCGATATTTCGAGAAAATAAAGAAAAAAAACAGAAATCAAAATGGGCTATCAATCTAAGTGGAAAAAAGAAAGAAAAAGAAAAAAAAATTCAAGGAAAATTTCTTTATGATCGAAACTTTTTTCTTTTTCCCATCTCCATCATCATCATCATCATCATCATCCGTGTAATGACATTCGCACACACACATACACACAAACACGAAACGCCCCCCCATTTGGTTATATAACATAATCAAATCATCATCATCATCGGTGGAACAAATATAAAAGTCAGTCTTTCAAAAATACACACACACACACACACACACACACAAATATTGAAGAAAGTTATTAGTATAGTGAAGTATGTACAGTCAAATCACAACCAATCATACAACCATCATCATCATCATCATCGAAATTTACCCGAGAAAAAAAAATCAAACTTGTTTAGTGAAAACCAAACAAGTCAATTTATCTTTCCGGTAATTCATCTTGTTGTTGTTGCGGCCGAATCAAAAAAAAAAAAAAACGAATCAATCGAATTGTTGGTCAGACTTGGATTTTTCTATTTTCTATTTTTTTTCAAGCATCATCATCATCATCATCACAGACGACGACAAAAACTATAATGTGTTGTCAGATGGAGAAATGAATTTTTTTTTGTTTTGTTTACAAACCAAAACATCAACAATGAAGAGAAATAGAAAAAAAAAATTCTTCTCAATCATTCTACAAATAAAATTAGAAACCATAGATTTCAATTCGTTAGTTTTGAAAATTTTCTTGTTCTTTTTTTCGGGCCCATTTAATTTCGGGTCCTCGTCATCGTCGTCATCATCATCATCATCGGGACATATAAATGAGCAAATAGCGTGTGTGTGTGTGTGTTTCAAATCAAGTGATCCATGAAGCGAAAATGAAATGAAATGAAATGAAACAAGCACAAAAAAACAGGGAAAAATCAAATTTCTTAAATGATGAAAACAAAAGACAAATTTCTTCATAAATGATGAGTGATGAGTGTCCACATGGGCAACATTCATTTCAATTGCAAACAAAAAAAAACAAACCCGAAACCGAAACCAAATCAACTGAACACAATTAATTTTTTGGTTGTTGACCTAAACTGTCCAAAACATACAGTGTGTCGAAAACTATGAAAAGTCAATTAAATTTTGGCCATCAAAAATTTTTTTTCGGTTTCGTTTTTTTTTTGAATGAATGAATGATGATGATGATGATGATGAAGAGAAAGGAAGAAAAAAAAATTGTTTCATATTCTAGTGTTTCGATTCTTTTTTTTTCTTTGATCAAAATGCCTGAAGCTATTAAAGTCGATTGAATCAGAATTGTGAGCAAAAAAAAAAGACAATAACCTCGGAATCAATAAGATTTGTGAACAAATTGCTCATCGGAAATTTGTAAAAAAAAAATTCTATTTTTGATCGATAAATTTCAATGGAATTCGCGAATCTATCTATTATTACGAATTTATTTTGAATCAAAAAAAAAACAAAACAAAATAACGACTCAATTGAAACAATTATGACAGTGGAGAATTTCTTTGCACTGATAATAAAAATTCGATCATCTGACAAGATTTGTATCTACCACTTTTTTTTTTTTTTTTTGCCAGTCTTTATGTGTAATCCTCCGCTATGCCAATTAATGGGAATGTGTTCCAAATCATGTCATTTTTCTGTTATTGCTATCATTATAAAATTGGACATATAAAAGTGGGAAAATCAAGTTGAAATAGTCATAGCGATTAAAGGAAATTTTCTCAGGAAAAAAAACATTCTGGAAATTTTTCTATTAGTGTTACACAATGGTGAAAATGTTCCAATTTTTTTTCAATTGTGAATTCTTCATTTTAAATTCAATTTTGAAAATTTTTTCTTTACTGACTGTTAGAAAAAAAAATTATTGCCAAAAGATACGAAAAACGGAAATCGAACAAAATGGCTGTTTTTTGGCAACAGAATCGGAAATCACTTGATTTTTAATTGCACGAAAATCTTAAAAAAAACGAACGAATGAACGAACGAAAATAGAATGCCGGAAAAAGCTCGTCTTTGCTTTAAATTAAACTGAACGACTTTAACGAAAAATTCATTTTATGTATGTCAAACGTAAAATGGAATGGAAAAAAAAATTTTCAATCATCTAATTGCATTCAATATCAAGGAATTTGGTAAAGAATTTATGTTTCATTTCATTTCATTTTGTTCATTTGTTCTTGGAACCAAAATGATAATAAAATTGACATTCATATTTATGAATGAGTCAAAAAAAATAGATAAAAACAACACAACAGTAAAAAACAAAAATTTCTGTAAACATAAATTGACAAACATTTTCATTTTTATTATTGAAAGAGAAAGAAAATCAATTTCAACAGAAAAAGAAAGAAAGAAAGGTCAAAAGAAATCGTCCAAGAAATCTGATCGAACATGAATGAGTGAGTGAGTGAGTATGAACCCTCAAAGGTTGAAATGGTATCAAAACATTCTAAATGGAAATAGAAACTAATTGACTTTGAAAATGCAATTAAAATTTTCTTTTGTTTTCACTTTTGCCATCATTATCATTATCATCATCGCCGTCATCATCATCATTTTTTTCGTTTATTTGTTGTTATTGTTGTTGTAAACAATCAAGATTACGTTTAGCAATATTTATAGCTGTTCTATTGCTGTTTCTGCTGATTCTGTTGGTACAATGTTACGATTGACTGGCTACGAATTTAATGAATGGAAAACCATCATCATCATCAACAAGGCAAAAAAAAATTTAAAACATTCAAGAGAACAAAAAAAAATTCAATGAAAATGAAAATCACTTTGTTGAAACCCTTTTTTTTCACCCATATTCTATATTTCATTGCCCAATCTTTCATGAACTATTACTAACTGATATACTAACTATAGTTAATTCCAGTTAATAGAAGCCATTTATGGAACAAACAGCAACAGCAGCAGAAATGAAACCAAAATCAAATGGAGCAAATTGTTATTACTATTACTATTATTATATATATCGTATAAATAAAATCTCCCGAAACAAATGAACAAAGAAAAAAAAATTAGATAGATTTGGCCCAACGATAACAAGTAAAGGAGAAAGCGATAATACAGCACACACACACACACACACAAACATCACACATAGGGTAGAATGTGAATGTTTTTGTGTATTAAATAGATAGAATGGAAATAGATAGAATAGATAGATAGATATAGAAAATGAACATGAAACAAAAGAAAAAAAAATTCGTTTAAACATTAACTTACATATTACATGAAGCGTAAAGAAAACTTCATATGGCTTTTCCAACGATGGATGTACGACGTGACAACGAAATATTTGACCATGATCATTGGAAGTTGGACGTAATACAAGTTCACTATTAATACCAGTACCGGTTGTTGTTGCTAAAGCGGATATCTTTTTTTTCAGAATCAAATTGAATGGTGGTGAATGGCGAAACGAGAGAGAGAGAAAAAAAAATGTAATGGACAAACATTGTGAGAAAGAAAAAGAATTGGAAATCGAATAAAATAAATGATGAACAACGAAAATTTAGTGCAAACAAGAATTCACAATTCTCTTTGTTAGCTTTTTTTTGGGTTAACAATAACAATGGTAATAGAAAACAGAAACAAAAGAATATTCTGGCCATTGATCTTTTTTTTCTTTGTTTTTTTTGGTGATAACTAAAAACTAACTAATAGAAGCTATTTGTTGTTAGTTGTTGTAGTTTGTTTCCATTGATGGTTATTTGTCAATTTGACCGATAAATAATTGCTATAATTCAATATAAAAAACATTAACAACAGCAACAACATTGTCTGATGTCATTATTGCTTGTAGTTGTTTGAAATTGAATTCAGAAATGAATTTTTTTCCCTATCAATTCGACGTAAATAAATGTTTTATGGATGTTGTTCCTGATTCATAGGAATGTGGGTTAATTCATACCTCACGATCATTTTGATTCAACCAGATTAAATTGGCACGTGGATTACCACCATAACAAACACATTTACATTTAAATATTTCACCAACAAAAACGGTTACTTGGCCATTTTTAACGCCAAGTAAAATGGGCATTTCTGGTGGATCTTTGTGTGTGAGAAAAAAAAAGAGAAAATGAAAAATAAGATTTTTTCACATTACGCAAAACTTACAAATCACATTGATTTGATGAGTTGTAGATAATGTTTCGAATTTTCCATTCGTTGAATAGGCTACATATTGATTCGATTGAGTTCAATTTGAATTTAAAACGACAATGATGATGATGATGATGATGATGATGATGATGACATCGATGTGTTGTCGTCAATCGATCAATCGATAGTGGAACGATGAATAAGAGAAGTTAGATATTGAGAATAAAAAAAAATGGAAAAAAGTTGAGCCCATAAGAGAGAGAAAGTGTCATTTAAATTTTAATCGATCATCATCATCATCATCATCATCGATACTTACCAATACAAGCTATATTACGTATATTTGGTTCTTTATTATTGATCACAATTGTTATATTTGATCGTAATGTCCAGCTTTGATGATCATGTTTGATCATGTGAACATAATTATTATTATTATTATTATTACCAACATTGTTGATTATTGATCGTTGTTGTTGATTATGGCCATTATTATTAACATGACCATCATGATGATCATGTTCATCATTATTATTATTATTATAATAATCATCTGAATCAACTTCTTTACCATCGATAAGCCAACGTATTTTTGATTCATTCGGTTGATGTGATACAGGATGTGCATTACATTCTAATGTTATTGGTGTTCCTATATTCGAATATTCCAACATTCATGATGGCCATTCATTTTGATTTCCAGCATCCCGTACAAAAAAAATTGATCCAATCAACCGTAAACATGTTATCATCAGCCATTGAATGTCCATGAATAAATTCGAGTGCAAAATTTTTTTTTTATCGATGGAAGGCAAGTGAGCAAGCAAAAAGAAAAAAAATAACAGTCAATAAACACGTAACGTAAAAAAAATGACAAACCTTGTTGTCGCCGTTGTTGTTGTTGTTGTTGTTGCGAACCATCATCTGATAATAGCACTTCGGTTGGACCATCAATATGAATTTGTGTGGGAAACACTGGATAGATTTTTTTTCGTTTAAATTTCAATTAATTTAAAAAAAAAATCATTACTTACAAAATACATTCAATGTAATCGATTCCTGTAATGGTATGGCTGTCAAACTATTCATCACTTGACATGTATATTGTGCTTGATTATCATTATGATCAACAATAATTGATAATGTATTGAACACTTCATGATGGCCATTTTGTTGTTGTTGTGACATAATTATTGTGTATGTACGATCAATTTCAATACCATTACGATACCAAATGATTGTCGGTGGTGGATAACCATTGATCGAAGTACATTTAAGATTTAATTTTTCCTGATAATTAACAATATCACCATTTTTATAGCCATCTATCACAGGTGATGATGGTTGTCTATAAATATTGATCAATGCCATTGCACGTAATGGTTTCGATAAACCATTATGTTCAGCTTGACAACGATATTCTTCATCAATTTTTGGATATAAAATTAAACTTGATTCAATCGAATAAATGGTATGACGATTTGATAGCAATGTTTTCGATACAGTCGTTTTTGCCGCTTCTAATTTTCGTGTCATCCAAAAATTTAATTAGAAAGAGAGAGAAATACAGAAAAAAATGAACCAATAATCAATTATTTGGTAAAAAAAAGGTCAACAACAAAAAAAAATGGCTACAAGGCATTCAAGAATGAATGAAATAGAAATAGAAAAGAGTTTTAATGATCTTGAAACTTTTTTTTTGTCGGTGGCCACGAATAAAACTTAGTGAAAGTGGGATGAAGAATCAATCAACAATTAAGATGTGTAGGGGTGGGGGGCGAATAGTTTTCAACATTCGAATGAACAACTTACCAGGCAATAATTCAATATTTTTTCTATACCATTTTAATCTTGGTGGTGGTTTAGCATATGGTACCGTACATACGATAATAATCTTTTCACCTTCATATGCATCAACCATAAATATTGATGATGAATTATGATTTGATGATAATGTAAAAGGGCTATTCAATTCAGATTGATGATAATGATGATTGGACGAAATATTCGATGATGACGATAATAATGGACGAAATGCAACTCCAACACCACCACCAGCACCACCATTTGGATTGTCAAATGAACGTGTAGAATTTATATAGATCACTTTTGGTGGCACTAAATTTAAAAATTCAAGAAGAACAAAAAAAAATATAAAAATAGACAAACACGTCATTTATGAACAGAATCAAAAATTCGAACGAGTATTAAAAAAAAGGCTTTGTTCTTGTTGCTGTTGTTTTGTTTTAATTCATTTACTATCATCATGATGTTCAACTTTTGGCTCATTTGATTTCATTCATTCATTATTATTTCATTTTGTTTTTATTTATTTATTATTTGTTTCACTTCATTTTTCTTGTTCATTTCATTTTCTTCATTAAAGTGCACATATAACCAAGAAAAAAAAGGATGAAGTATGTTACCAAAAAAAACGCATAAATTCTGGATTTATTTCTTGATGTTCAAGTGCGTGTGTATGTTCCACACAATGAAAAATCACAAGTAACATATGTTTTTGTTGCGGATCAAAAGAATTTTATTCTTGTTTCTGTTTGTTTTTCTCAACATCATCACCATCCTCATGACCCAGAATAAAACTTTATGATCAAAATCAACTGCAACAACAAAAACAGCAACAACAATAACAACAACAACAGTTGTCGATATTGTAAAATGGTTTGATTCGAATTTCGTAACTCTTTTCTCATGGCGTTTTCGTAATGTTTTTTCTTCCCAATATATTCATCATATCTTTGTGTTTTTTTTTGTGGATCTCAAAAATCTCACCATGAAAAACAGGAAACAAAACGAGAAAAAATCATTCATTCATTTAGAACTCTATTTCATCATCATCATCATCACCATCATCAATGTAATTGTCAGTGCAGAATGAAGAATTTAATTTATATTTATACATTTTTGTTTTGTTATCTTGGAAACAATTTCGCTACATAGAGAGCCATCACCATCATCATCATCAAATGAATTCAGTATTCATCCTGAAGAATTTTTTTTCCAGTCTCATTTCTTAATTCTTTTTGCTGTGATTCATTTTGGTACATTTAGAATTTTTGGAATTGTTTTTTTTTTTGTATGTGAATGGCACGCGTTTCTTTCACGATGGTGATGACAACAACAAATGTTCGTTTTTTTTTATCCCAGATTCTGGATTGTGATGATGATGATTATGACGTTTTTTTTCTGGGTTCTTGTTTTTTTTCTCTGGTATCTTGCGGATGACTTGATATGAAGCAAGCATTTTTTTGTTTTGTTTTGGCTGGTTGAACTATGTAAGATGACAATCGAATGAAACACGAAGAAAAAGAAAGAATGTTTCTTCTTCGTTTCAGAAGAACAATTCTTTTCTTTTGGCTAAACGAATGAATGAATAAATGATAAATGGCCATAGAAATTGTTTCCGATTTGCTTTTTTGTTTTGTTTTGTTTTGCAGATTCTGTTTTCTAGCCGAGAATTTCTTGATTATCGTCTATCTTTGGTTGTTTTTGTGTGTGTGTATGTTTGTATGTGTAGTATGGAAACGATTTCGATCCGGTTGACATTCGGTCATCCGGATCAAGATATTATTTTTTTTTTGTTTCTTTCAAGTTTAAAATTCAGTGGTTATTGTGGCGATGATTGTGGACAATTCATAAATATGGTAACACAATAATAATGGTAATATATTGACAATCGAATTCGATTCTAATATTTACAGCCAACTTTTCCATCTTGAAAAAACAACAACAAAAGAGATGATGATAAAAAAGGAAAACTCAATTATCAAAATACATTTATTTCCTACTTTTGGATCATCATAGAAAAATAGACAAACAGAACAGATAAACAAACAGAATAAAAAAAATGGAATCTTTATTCCAGTCACCAGTCCATTTATATTCGGTCCAAAGGATCCATTGGCCTCCACTAACTAAACTATCATTGAGAACAGGCCAACTGAACTACAACAACGATGATGATGGTGACAGCGATATGTTGACACCGAACAAACAAAATAAAAACCTCGACAACGATTGAATCTCAAAAGATCTAAGAAATAGCAGCAAAAAAAAAAAAAAAAATTCACGAAAAATGAACAAAGATAATCAACGAAAAAAAAATGAGAATTTTTATCAACAACAACAACAACAACAACTGCAGCGAAAAAAAAATCTCTTCAAAACATCAATTGGACCAGAAAAAAAAATGAAAAGAAAATTTTTATTGATTTCTAAAGAACTGGCCACAAACCTAAAAATCATCATCATCAAAATCATCAAAATTAAAATTGAAATCGATTGATTGAATCACGTTACATTGTTATTATGAAGATGATGTTGTGTTTCTGTAAAGTGTGTGTGTATAGTGGTAGTGATGTCATTTGTGGATTTTTATCATCATCATCATCATTGTCATCATATTCTACTTTGAGAATGTTTGTGTAAATATCTTCAATTTTTTTTCACTCTATACACACACAAAAAAAAAATATTTCGACACTTGAATGATGAAAACGGAAATGGGAAAAACTGAGTGTGTGTGTGTAGATTTCCTGTGAATGTGTGTGTGTGTGTTTTTGTTGTTATTGAAAATAATATTTGTACTACAATTAAATGATTTGTCTGTTCCAACATGATCCAAAACGACGAGTGAAAGAAAAAAAAACAAACAAATCGATGATGAGTGAATAAAGAGCGAAATAAAAAAAAAATCTCGAATCACAACCCGAGAATAAAAACAAACAAAACAAAAAAAAATTTTATTTTTTAAAATTTTAGTCACGCCCAACCATTATTGACATAACAACAACGTCAACAACAACAACAAAAAATTCTTACGAAAAGAATAAACATTCCATACTTTTACAGTTGTTGTGGATGGATCATTTAAATTTTTTTTTCTTATTTGAACAAACAAACAAAAAAATGAACAACTACTACTTACTGATAAGATGTAGATGAGCTGCAGCACGAATTGGCTGTTTATTACTATTTCCATTTGAATTCTGTTGTTGTTGTTGATGATGATGATGATGATTATCATTATTATTATTATTATTATGATGATGATGATGGTTATTATTATCGGTCATTGTTGATGATGAGGCACTTGTCGTTTGACATTCAAATTCAGCTTCATCATCCAATTGTACATTCTGTATATGTAGATTATATGTTCGTAATGTTTGATTTACATACATTATATAACGATCATGTCCCGGTATGATTGCTTCATAACCTAAAAATATGTAAGTGAATAAAATGAAATGAAATGAAAAAAAAATTGTTATCATCATTATATTATTACATATGAAAGTCATGAATATTTGTTTGAATAAAATAAACTAAAAAAAAAAATTTCGTTTTTTTGTTGTTGTTGGAACAAAACACGCCTTTTTTAAAAAAATTCCATTTTGCTATTCATTGTTCAATGTGTGCAAGTTTATTATTATTAT